TTGCTCATTGCTGTTGTACGAATTCAATAAATAGTGCATAAATGAATATTAGTCGTGTCAAGTTTCATAATAATCGTAACTGGGTGGTCCAATAGATTACATAGCAGGAAATTGAAATTATGTATCACCTGCCCACCTACATTTTTATCTAATTTGTAAATTCCAATCACAATATCTTCCCTAATTAATGCACTTTTTTATTAAACCTTTGTATTTGCAACTTGTAGGAAATTAAACTGTAAATTTCGTAGCTCAAAATTGAATTTCAGATCCAGTTGCTAAACGATGCAGCAATCCCAGCTACAAACGTATTCAGTGTATATTGCAATCAAAAAACCTTAAATCTGAGGGATATAATGGAGAATTTTATGAATGCTCACTATAGTTCGAAATTCTACTTGTAAGAAGTATACTTAATACTTGATCCCCTTAATGTACAGTTGAAATTTAGTTACCTTGAAAAAGAAGATATTTCTATGATAGTTGCGATTAATGCAACTTTCTATTTACGGCTTATGATTTCGCAGGTGATGCAAATATAATTGGTCACTAAGTTTGTAATATTCATCTTAAAATTCTCCGCCATTTATAAAATGCACATCAACATGGTTAACATATCAACATTTGGCTGGCGCTTTAGACATTGTTATGAAGATTGCTATTACATCTCTATAAATTGTGCAGTTTTTGTACATCATGCTTGACTTCATATCCGGAACTACATGTAATATAAATATAATAAAAGCAATTCAAACATTTATACGAAGGATATCTCATGTTTATTCCTTGTGAGTATCCTTTTTTGGCAATGATGATGTAAATTACTTATAGCGCTTGTCTTAGTAGTTACTATCAAAATTATAATTGATCTAAATGTATCTGATATGTCGGAAAAGTAAAATATTCTTGAGAAGGGATGACGTAGTATTGAGAAACATTAAATGTTATCAATTTTACACTTTATACAATGATCAGTAACTACTTCTGAGAGAATTTCGAGAGCGAAACAAAAAAAAGAGCAAAAATATTTACTAATTTTCGCTACAACAGTGAATACTAATTAATTAAGCTTCTAATATATTTTGATGAAATACATGACATTTGTAAGCTTAGATTCCCACTTATCTTAAAATTGGAATTATATTATACACTCCAAGTTATTTTGTTGACCTTATAACAATATCATCAAGATGCAGTGTTATAAATCAGTACACTTTGCACTAGGAATAACATCAACCTCCTACTTTTTGAAGTTTTACAATAGCAATTAGAGTGTTAGGAAGTTGTTGTAGATTTATTATAATTAGTAAATATCAATTCTACTTTTACATTTACAAAATGTATCAAGCTCTACTTGTTATTTTTCAATAAAGGCAAAATGCACCGATTAATCGAGTTAAGGTGATATCTCAATTCAGGATAGGATTGCATGAATTTAGCACTAGAAGTTCGTATTGTACATAGTAAGTGATCAAATTGCATGCACATCTACTTAATTTGCTACATCTGTTGTACCTAATGTATTAATTCTTTTTATTATTGGCCCATTTATTATGTGTTTAAATCATGGAATAAGATTTGCAACTACTTGCTTATTTTAATTTGCTAACTACTGTTGAGCATGAACAATGTCCAACTACTGCATGCTAAATTTTCAATAACTGCACCATCCATAGCTTCTCAATATATCTGGATATCTTAATTAAACCTCTAAAAAATAATTAAGAGTGTTCATCTTGAATAGCTTTGTCTTAAAGTTAGATAATACTTGCAGACTCAACTTGAAACTCCATTCCCATACTTATATTTTAAAAGCACACATTTAATGTATTGATAGTTGCCCATCTGACGCTATTCTTACAACAATACATTAAATCAATTTCGAAAACTTGTATAATTCGTGCAATAAAAAATGCATACAAATATTGTATTCATGGTTTTTCTCAATCTTAGGCATCGCGTCAATCTGTAAGCAGAGTGACTGAATTTGCTTTAGAAATAGTTTGCTCTACCCAGATATAAACTAACTGAAGACAAACATAAAAGGCAAGCATTATTTTAAGACAAGTAATTGGCTAGCATTGCTCAACTATTATATGTGATTTAATTATCACAGATAATCAACTAACACTAGTTCTCCTTTAACTCTTATGGGTTCCACTGAGCATGATGAACATTTAGTAGAATTTTTATTCATATTTTCAAGAAGGTTATATAGGATCATCAATTATTTTAAAAGAAAGTTTTTATAACAATTTGGAGTTGCTCTATCTTACAAATTGTGAAACCACAAAAACCTTAGCATTTTTAGTTCTATCATAAATCTATACTTTAAATTCAATCAGTGTAAGTGAGTATGTTTAAGCAGTAAGAAGTTTTACATAAATTATTTTAAAGATTAGGGCTTGGATATGATAGATATTTATTTTATCAGATTATGGGAATATAAATATAGAGCATTTGTCATTATGTTTTTCAAAGATCAGTTCATTAAGCACATAAGAGGAGTGGTAGCTGTATCTGAATCATTACAGCATCTACACTCACACCACTTAAATAAAATTACAAGCTGTATGATTTTTGGAAGTAAGTATCATTAAGAACACTTCTAAATAATTCGCACAATATTCCTACTTTTATAAGAATCTTTATTACTTATGGAGGTAGACATGTTCTACATATTTTCTAACAATTCCACCAAAATAAAGGTAATAGACACTAGTTGAATCATCAATGATATAATTAACAATACAAGAAGTTTAGCATTATGAGATATGTCATATTAGCAGAGATATCTCTAATCAAACCAACCTCTTAATATTAAACGCATAGTTGTGCTCTCAAAATACAACCCTCTCAGATTTAATACGAATCCCAACTTTATCCTTTGAAACAGAGGATTTTTGTAATTTTAATGCAAAGGGAAATACATAATAACCTTTAAATATAAAAAGTACTGATATATATGTTTGAAGTAATTCTAACACAATTAACAAGTGAAGTTCATGCTAATCCATTATCATACTCCATGAATTAATTAAAGCATTGAGGGTGTTATAAATTATTGTCCTCTTTATTAAGGATTAGTACTATTATCAAAAACGTCTTAATTATTTCCGTTCATGTAGGGCCTGAATAAAGGTATCGAAGTGTTCTCCACAGTACCATATAGTTATTGAATTCTGATACAATAAGTAGTCGTCCTATTTATTATCTTCCACTAACAATAACAAATTAAATGTATTAAATATAAAGCAGACATTGCATTTGGCAACAATGCTTTGGCACTGTACAAGTATATTAAGTTAATTAAAGGCTTATGATATGAGTTAGGTAGGTCCTTAACAAAATTTAAAATTTATACTCTATTAATTACTATCATCATCAAAGAATTAGCACTGCAATCAGTCGATTAAGATGCTGCATTAAGAAAATAATAAAAAAAAACATAATACACAGTTTTTGTTTAATGGTTTGCGCTTCACTGATAGTACATACTATAGCAGGTTACTGGTGTCAACCAACTAACATCAAGCCATTTTGGAATTTTCTTTTGATAGTCGCGATATTATTCAGGTTTAGATGTTTATTCCTATGAATATGAATGAATATTTCGAAGGATATATTGATGAAGCTAAGATAAATTTTTATATCAATATCAATATAAATTATCATTTTAAAAAGAAAAAAATATAATGATATATTCAAAAGTATAGAGTTAAAAATTAATGATTTGAAATTCAATAGATGTATTTTTCTTGATAGATATAAAATTAGAAGTAAAGACCCGATTGATCAGTTTTTCTCTTTTGATTGTTGAAGTAGAAAAGAAAGGAAGAGAAATCAGAAAATATACAAAGCAGAAATGTAGGATGTCCTTATTAAATCAAATTCATTATAATCTCTAAATTCTAACTTTTAGATGGTCATAGGATAGTGGAAAAAAATTACCAATTTCAGAAATAACATTATTTTTAAAATTCTAACATTAAAAGTGTGCTAGAATATCTTTCTAACACTTATCAGAATGTAAGATTTTTTGATTATAATTTCTAGATGCAAATGTGGTGCCATCAAGAGAGAAACAGACTGAATAAACAAAAATGAATGACCAATTAATTTGATTATATATTTTACTTTTTTCAGATTCCATAATTACAAAAATTTTGGATTGCTGTTATTAGGTGAGAAGTAGTTGATCGTAACCACAAGGCAAGCAATCCTTCAATATAACAGGAAACACAAAAGCAGAATAGAGTTTTGAATGTTAGAGTTTACATTTTTATGTCTGATATCAATAAATGTGAATGTGGAAATTATGTATAACCTACTCCCTACATCTCAAAAAATTAGCAATTAAAAAATATGCACAAGCAAAAAGAATTTTATAAGAGCCCTAAGCTGTAATCTAAACAATTAATCAAGTTTTAAATTTATATCAACTTGAAATAAAGCTCTGATATCGAAATTAGTATTTTAAGTTTATTATATTACTTGTGATTTATTAAGCGCCAATTTAGATAAAAAAACTCACTTAATATTAATAAAATATATATCTTAAGGATCAGGAAGTATTACTAGTATTATTTATTCAAATTTCAGATAACTAATACTACCTTTCTAATAAATTATCCTAATGCTTCTTATCTAAAATTCTTAATCTTTTTTTTAAATCCATTAAGGAAATAAGCATCAATTAATTTTAGGATTTCTTTAAATGGATGAAATCTTGAGCAATATCTGTATATTTTATTATCAATAACATAAAAATATATATAACATCTTGAGTAAATCATTCTAAATCCAAAAATTAACAAAAAATATTGATGAATTATTTCTAAAAGCATTAGAAAAACCTCAAAGATTTTTAAGAAATCAAACCAACTTCTTCAATAACAATAAATTAAATGCTATATATAATGTGGTCGATTTTAAAGAAAATTTTTGCAATTTTAAAATATAAATGATCTCATCCTAAAAAAATAACCAGAAAATTTATATCAAAATCAATACTTATTTTTTATGTTGATTAATTTTTCATATAATTATAAAACAGTGAAAATAAATCAAATTTGAAATTGCTCAAATTTATTAATTAATCTAATCCAGATTAAATTCAACATCTGACAATGCTTTGTTAAGATTCTACATATTTTAACGATCAATAAGCTACAATGGAGAACTTAAAGTATTTTTCTCTTATAATATCTCCTTCTTTATTTTCTATTTCAGATAATTTGAATGAAGCTTACCAATGAATTCAATCATATCTACAAATAAACTTGTCCCTAATATAGTTGTGAGCATTGAAATATGGATCCAACCCCACGTTAAAAGCTGTTCTTCATCTTAATTAAAACTATAGGTTAAAAATGAGCCAACTGTTGATAGAAAGAGAAACTCTCTAAATATTAATTTAATATATTCATTATTTGATATTAATGGCTTTACTGTACATAGATATATCAAGTAGACTAATGATTGAATAGAGAGAAAAATAGATTAGACTTCAGGCCAATTGATCAAAAATACGACTACAAAAATATAGGCGTTAATTCTATAGATTGAAAATGATTTGAAATTTGCAGCCCAAAATTCTGATTTTGATTCCTCAAAAAAATACTTCCATTTTCTTTTATTTTTTATTTTTTATGATGTTATATCAAGCGATTTAAAATTAACCACCATTATTAATCCCAAAGCCAATAAAGAATTGAGTGAATTAAATGCTTCAAAAAATGATTGAAAACTATAGTTTGGAAATTGCATAAATGCACTAAATAATAATTAATGAAGTATTGTAAGATAAACTTGAAAAATATCTTTAGAGAAAAACTAATGTTTCAATTTGACACAATGCTATTGAATTTTTTTTTAGAATAACCTTATTATTTGTAAATATTTGATGTTTTCAAATTTTAATTCCAAAACCTTTTTGAGATAATTATCTATCTATTTTGATGTTATTATTTTATATATTATGTAGGTAAGATATGAAGTGAAGAATGAAATATAACAGCTTTTAGCATTAATTAAAAATACTTAGTTTTGCTATTCCGTTTGATTTGTTTATGAAGCTGATTTGTTTGAAGAAGGAAGTTATCCTCCATTTAGTTAAGTTAATATTTAATCAATTTATAAGTAGTCTAAAAATATTTGTAAAGATATCTTAGAGTATGTTTCAAGAAATTATGAAAAATGAGGAGGAAATTGATATTATACATATCTAAGATAAGAAAAAGATTAAAGTAGATTTAAGAGATTCAAAAACATTATTGGATTCCCTATTAGCAACGCTAGCACTGAAATGCTTATCAAAGTGTACATAACTATATCATTCAGTAAAATGATCTAACTTAGTTTTTTTTTCGTTTACTCTGATAAAACAAAAGAATTCCCAATAAAAATACTTTTTTCTAAGCTCACGAGAGGAATATTATCTAAGTTGACTAATGAATTTTATTTAAATTTTAGTTTAAATAGAGGGCGGTTTATGCTTTAATAGAATTATATAGAAAATTGATAATGCGACATATTTAATTCAGTTGTGAAATTAATTAGAGGAATAACTGTTATTTAACATTTAGAAGAAGGTTCAATTGAAAAATCGGCTAAATCTTCAATCATACTCTATTGTTGTAATCGAATCTCTTAAGAAAAAGTTAGATCTACAATTTGAATTGAATTCAAAGTAGTTGATATGAAATTTAAGTAAAATTCAGGAGCTTGTATAAATGAGCATTCACTCTTTTCATTTTCAAAATTCTTACACTTAAATGAAGACTCAATAGTACAAAATTGAGAACATCCATCTGATCCAAGTGTATTTCCATCGTCACATTCTTCTTCTAAGCTATATTACAATTTACCATTCCCACAATTCTAAACTGATAATTAATCATCATCACCTTATGGAATTTAATCATCCTCCTCATGTGCAAATTCTTCATTTTAAATAATTTTAATATCTTCTTCTTCCTCATTTGTAACTTCACTATTATTATTAGGAACTTCATTTTCTTAAATTTAAAAAAATACACATTTTTTAGTTTTGTGATCCAAAGTAAAAGACTCCTCTTCATTACATTTTAAGCAAACATTATTTTCTTAGCAAATCATGCATCCTATCGAACATGAAAATTCACAATTATGGCATCCATCAAACTCAATTTCATTTCCATCATCACATTACTCATACCCCAAAGTTATAATACCATCACCACATATAGTTATGCAACTATTATTAACCAGTTAGAAAGAGACTTAGCAAGCTTAGCATTATTATAGGTTATCACAAAAATCGCAATATGGCATACATTAATTTAATTTACAATTTTTACAATTTAAATCTAATGGATTGTCACATTATTCCTCAGATATTATTGCTAATTTGCCATCACCACATTTCTAGTAGCATTTTCCATCAATTAGATTCCATCCTGAAATACATTAAACACATTTGGCTTGTAAACAGATTAGACACTCTATTTGACAACTATTTTAGCATTTATAACATCCATCAAATGGTATCATATTTCCATCGTCACATTACTTTTCATATTTAATAAGTTAATCTCTACATTTAGGATAACATATATTTTCTAATATTTAGAAGCCATCAATACATTTATTACATTAACCAAATTCGCATTATAAACAATTAATAGGACATGAATATCTACAATTAAAGCATCCATATGATTATTGTGAATACTCATCTTCACATTCTTCGTCATGAGTTATTATACCATCTCCACAAATCGGTAAACATTAGTTAAATGCAAAAGCCAAATAATTACTATTTCTAGAAGCGCAATACTGTTCTAATTCATAATTACTCTCTCTAACAAAGTCATAATACTATAAATTGTTTGAAATATCAAACCCATAAATGTAACATGAACTATTAATTAATATATAACCTTCAATGCATAAATTACAAAGCCCATCTTTGTATTCTTTACAACCATTATCAAAGGTATATTTACATTATTGGCATCCGTTTCTCATATATTAGTGTTATATTTCACAATCTTCGTCTTCTGCTATAATTCCATCTCCACAAATAGATTCACAGTCTTAGATTAGAAGATTATAATAATATCCATGTTTGCACTATAAACATAATTCTAAAGGTTAATATTAGCAATATTTTGATATTTAGAATTCACAACTCAAACAGGTTTGTTCATTAATTTCGCATTTTTCGTTAATTGTCTGAATCCCATCTTCACAATCAGAGATACAATTAGATTAATAATCAGTATGATATCCTTCCATGCATAAAATACAACTATGGTAGGAACATTTCAAACAATTTTTGAAGCATTAGTTGCAAAATTGATCTGGTGATAATAACATCTAAATTTGACACTTTTTAATATTGGATAGATTCGGTTTACAAATTTATTCAAGCACATCAAAATAAGCATAATCAGCACATTTTAAGCACACATTACCAATTTTTATTAAACTATGTTCTTAATTATAATCAAAAAGCGAAGTTTTTTAAATACATTTCCTAGAATCTACTGAAAGTATATAGTCATGGTCACATCTGTAGCAGATTTAAAAAAAACAATTTTGGCAATTTAAATCACAACCAAAATTGGAATTATAGATCTCACTCAATAGGTATAAATTGTCTATTAAATAACATAATGATGAATTATTAAACATTTCTTTTCCTAATACTGGATCACATTGGATTTTTGTTAATGGATGATCTAATTTATAATTAAAACATATTCCATCAATACAATTTTAACATGAATCTGAACAACTGTATTGACAAAAATGACACCCATCACCATATATTAGGTTTCCATCATCACATTATTCTTCTTCCGTTAAAATCTAGTCGCCACAGATAGAATAACATAAATTGTCGATTAATGAATAACCTTTCACACATTCTAAACAACCTTTTTCACCTGTACCACAATTGAAACATGATGATTGACAATTTGGTTCACAATTAATACATCCTCTATAAGGCAATACAAAACTGCTTTCACACTTCTCAGACTCTAATTTAACAAAATCCCCACATTTTTATTTACAAATATACTCGATAGGATCTACATACCAATTTTCACTACATTCAAAACACTTTCCAGAAATACAATTCTAACATTATAAGCCGCATTAAAGGGTAAGGGTATTATTTTCACATAAATTACTGGCTGCATTCAAAGTGTAGCCATTAATGCAATTACATTACCCATTTATTAGGCTCATTTTAGTCCTATCGATACATTCGATACAAAAGGTGTCACTTAAACATTAATTGCACTAGGGTGGACAAGTTTTACATTCATCAGTTTCTTCATATTAATTTTTAGCACAAAAACATCCAAAGTTTGTTAATTAATACCTACTTTTGCATGATAAGCAAACAATAGCTGATTTACAAGTTAGACATGAAGAAGTGCAATTTAAACATAAGGATTGATGAACATCAAAATATTAATTCGTACTACAATCTTATTAAGAAAATTAAATTTAAGTTAAATTATATGTTCCATTCCATTCTTAACAATCTTTTTAATCTATACATTTTTTGCAATAAGGTTTACAATAATGAACTGCTAAGTAGAAGTTATACAAGCCACAAAATGCTTTTATGGGTTCGTTTAAACCCTTACATTCAAAAGTAATATTAATAGTACTAGATTAATGTGTTATGCTTTATGAAACCAAATCAAAATAGGTTCCATCGCTATTTTGTTTTGCATTTATCCTCTTCTTAATATTTGGACTATTTTAATCTATTGTAAATATAAATTCACTATTATCTGGAAATTCAGATCCATACAAAATGTGAAATGCTATTGAAATACTATGATGTGGTCTATCAATTGAATGAATTCTTTCAAATTATGCTTAAGCCCATATAAAAGAGCCTCCAAAAATAAGAAATCCATTCCAATATGAATAATATAAATCTTCTCCTTTCAAGAAATTATCTCCAGTTTATTTGATAAGTTTGTATGAGGAGTCGTACTAATAAGTGTAATTTATGTTTTCTCTTATTATTAATTCAGAATCTATGGAATATATATTTTAATAATTACATGGTGTTTCATCATCGAAATCCTTACAATATGTTCCATTATTTTATTGATACAAATCATTGCATTCCTTGATACAAGTACCATTTCGATACAAAAAGTAAGGGCTCACACAAGTTGTACATTTTTGTGATATATCACAGGCTAAACAGTTATCAGTGCAATAATCTGCTGTTATTTCGACACCAACCATGCCCCAACCAGATTAAGGATCCCTAATTTATAATAAAATTTACGTCAGATTTCCGATTGCTGAAAATAAAAATGGATACTAAGGAATATCAAAGTAGCCATAAATTACACATAACTAATTGGAAGTATACTCATGATAAGCAGATTAAAGAATACATTAGATAGAAGTAAAATTATGCAATTTAATTCCTTCGCTTGTATTATATATTGATGCATAATAAGTTTTATTGAACTAAAAATGAATTCCACTATCAGGTTTTAAATCATTAAAAAAAATTACTTTTATCAAAAATCCAAGGGAATACCCAACATTTGATTTAATTTTATCAAAATATCTTGATATTCCTAAAGCCATTTTAAATATTCCATAAAAAAATTAATTCCACCATAATACTGAAGGGTGAACATTCTAATTTTGATGATCATAAATTATGGACCATAAAATTCGCTCTGGATAATATGATAAATTAGTATAATATTATATGGAAACTTAAATTATTATTGAAAATTACATGAAATTTCATTACAAAAATCGTTGAAGCATAAAGGCTAAATGAAACTTTTTTTAAATTGGCAGCCTTTATATTTTACATAGTATTAACCAAAAGGACAAGAAGGACAAATGTTATTTTGTTGAGTTCCATAAAAGCACTTCTAACATTAATTATATTCAGGACCTGAGCATTCACTACATTTAGGATAGCAATTATATTAATAATTGAGGATAAAAAGATTTTTTAAAGATACTTAACCATTACTTAATGCTGCTGAAAATGTGAAGTTTAACATTGACTTTTACGTATGAGTTATGTTTATTTATTTAACTTCATATTATATCGAGTCACAAAATCCTGTATTTAACTTGTATTCATGAAGTGATGTATGAGCGAAGGTATAGCTGTGATTATAAAATTTAAATTCTAATTATTCATTCGCCCAAATACCCTAATAATATAAATCAAATGAAATTAGACACATATAATCGCAATAAATTGTTTAAGTTTTATAATCACAATTTGAAACTGTTCGATTTAGTTAATCTAATGTTATATAGCTTTTAGGAGAGGACGTGCAATTAATATAATTAGCAGGTTGATATTGATTTGTTAAATATTCTGTGTACTAGCAGTTAGTATTTTTTATTTGCATATTAAATTGTAAAGTATCTTTTGAAGCATAGCTATGTTAAAGAAGCCACTGGGAATCAGTTATTTTCAATAAAATAGTAAGAAGGAAGAATTTGTTCGTCATATATTTTTATTATTACAAATTATCTTCTATATTTCTGCTTAAATCACCTCTGCATATAAAATATCAAAAATTATTCTAAACTCATTTTATTAGTTTACTTCTAATCTATAATTTATCACCTAAAATAAGTGAAGAAGAAGACAGAATTTGATAAATATTAAATATGTTGATTCAAAAAAAGAGGTTCAATTTAATGTTAAAATAAGTTAAAGTGTGTTTATGAGCTTTGAGAAACTTAAGACAAACATTATGGATTACATAATCCTAACCAAAGATCTATTTTTTATTAGAAAGAATTATTGATAATTATTTTATTTTAATTTAAGGAATCAATTTATATTAAAATGATATTTTGTACATTTTATATTTGTGGTTTTCAATTTTTCCATACATTCAAAAGAATAGAAAATCATATGGTAATAAATTCAGTATATTCTCTATTGTAAAAATGATTTAATTAATATTTTTTAAAAGTAAGTGAATTTATTCAAAATTTATGATAGCTTGTTTAATTGTCAGAATCTGATTTAGCTAATTGCCGAATATACTTTTGAATGAACTTTTCCAGAGTTAAACTCTAGAATGCAATTTATAAGAGCACAACCTAATTCTCCAGATGAAAACTTAAAATATTATTTAAAAGAATTTAAAACCATAAATATCAATCATGATGAATCACAACATCAACTGCAATTATTTAAATTAATTATAGATCAAAAGGAGCAGCCATTTCTGTAAAAAATAGGGTCTCTTTGTTTTATTTTTCAAAATAGAAGGATTGGAGTGCTGGAAATTCAATTTCAATGTTAAAATCTACCAGATTTATATGAATAATGATTAATGATTTATTCAACTATATACAACTAGAAGAGATTAATTTGATGGAGCCAATTAAGGTTTTGTATTCCCAGTCCAAAAACAATTTGTTCCATCTTCTAAGTTCAATTAACATTAATTTGAGTTATCATTTGAGCCCAATCTATTTGCCATTTTTAACATCCAACTCCTGAAGATCCAATTATTTCAGGACCAATAAACACTTTAAATGATTAGCAATCTTCATTTGTAAAATAAAAGCTAGTATTTGCGTCTGTACATTATTGATGAATACATTTTTTACTATATCTATCCCATTTACACTCCTGAAATTATATATTATACATTAACTGTGCATTTTGGCATCTACTCTTCACATTTTGAATTTGAATCATAAAATGGAGGAGCAGCATTGCAATCTTTTTGACACATCCTTGATTCAAAGTGCAAATAGTACCATTTGATTCAATAGTACAATATTCTATTTCTAAAATATTTTCACATAAATAATCTGTGCAACCTAAAGTGTTTACATTAAAAGTGCAATATTAGCATGCATGCCTTCTAGCATATTTGATGATTTTTATAGGTTTGTAATTTCAATTATTTACATTGTAACAATTCGCGCTTACCTCCAAGCCAAATGCACCTTTCTCTATAATAATTTATTTGACAAAAGTATTTTTCCAATATTTCTTGACATAATTAAAGTGTCATTTCACATCCTCCATTTAATTTCCAGATACAATACCCATATTAATGATAATCTGCAAGATCATTACAAATATTTTATTTAAATTGATAATAATTATTATTTTTAATGAAATTATTTGAAAACAGCAAAAATCATCAACTAAGAAACTTGATTTTGAATCTTTTTGAGACTTGTAATACTACTCCTCATAATGAAAAGCTTATCTGCTTAATCATGATAAGAATAATTTAAACACAAATTTTTATGATTCGAAATTTCCTTTGTTCTTTGTCTTTGGTTTGTATTCTCTTATAACATGTGCATTTCTACTTGACTTAATAACGATTTGTCTATTATTATTGATAAATTATTGAATATAAATTTGAATTAATTTTTAATTGTTAATTATCATAATTTCAGTTTTTCAAAAGTCCCAAAACATTTATTTTTATTGTTGCTTAAATTTTCAGGATCATAAATTATATTCCACTAAATTAATTTAGCATAACTATAAGCTTGAAGCTAAAGCCAAAGTAATTATGGAGGCTTGACAAGCTCTAGCTCTTTATCTGAGTATCCTAGTAAACAAAAGTTCAAAAATCTATAATTTGAAGGTGGATCACCAGATTAAGTTGTTCTAATAGGGCATAGACATATACCATCAACCAAGCCAGCACCTTAAAAGCATTTTGTGCATTAATTATAATTATCTCCATTACAACTTTTGCAAGTAAGATGACATAAATAATAAGATAAGAAAATTTTTAATAAAGCCAAGTGTTATTTATTATAGATACTGAATTTTAATTAACTCATAGAAGTAACTTTTTATAATGCTATTTGAATTGTCTTCACTTCATGTTAACTTGAATAACAACCTCCTAAATTAAATTACAAAGGATTCTACATGGTAAATTTAAACTAGACTAAGAAAGTATATATTAAAATTTAAATGAGTTTTACCATTTGCCTTCAAGCTTTTTGAGTTATTTACTTATGCTAACCATCATTTAGGAGGATTTTAAATCTAATTCAGTTCCAATAGGATTTGTATAATTTGAAAACAGAGAGCTAGTTTATGTCTCTCATATTTGATTGGATAGAGGCATTTGTTTTATTCAATTATTATAGTCGTTAGACAAATAACACAAAATTTATATACTCTATAATGAAATTGAGGAGTAAATCATTTTATTCACTGCATTTATTTGAATTATGAAATATTTGAAAAATCAACATTGATTAGTATATTTTTAATACATAATCTCAATTTTTGGCTTTAATATAATAAAAAGACACTTTATTAAATGTTCTAAGTTTAACGATTTGGACATCACTTCTGTGAATCATTCAAATTACATACTCAATGTTTGATATCTTCTCTTTCTCTTCACTAACCTATAGATACTTCTTATAAATATAAGATGTTACTAAATTGATAAAAAATTTCAAATTAATAGACTAATTAGATTTTGGACTAGATAAGCTATAACACTCTCTAGATAATAATTAGAATATAAAAGGAGAAAAAATAAGGAAAATTATTAATGAAGCAAGTTGTCCTCATAGTAGATAGCAATATTAGGGCTTAGATTGGGCTATTTCAGAGAAATTTATTTTCTGTCCTCTTATATTATCCTAAACTTAATGTTTGGTTAAGAAAATTATAAGCAAATCTAAACAGACCATCATTTTTTGAAGTTTTTGACAATAAAAGAAGCCCAAGGATGCAACCAAGTAATTCAATAAATTTCCAATCAGAATTACCTTAAAAGAAGTTCAGAGATTTATCCACAAAACTTCTTTTGAATATTAAATAGATCCAACTCTAAAATATATTTATTCACTCAAATGGGCACTCAAATTGGTAACTAAGGAAGAATTTTTTCATATCCAATCTTAAAATTGTACTCGCGATTTTATAACATTTGAGGCTTGATTTATGATTTTAGAAAGCGATTAAATTAGAAAATTTATGCGCCTCATTAATAATAAATTGAAATTTTTTATGAAAATACCATTATTGAATATTTACAATAATTCCTATTCGAATATAAGCAAGTTTCTACATAAGTTAAATAATATTCAACGTTCTTACCATTTTCTGCATAACCATTTTATATGTCATCTCAATTTCACTAATCTTATTAAACAACACTTCCATCAGTTGTATTTTGAAAGGCATAAAATACGTTATCAGAAGAATTGTTAATTGTTTGAACCAATTTTATTTCTTTCAACTTCACAAGCAACTTTGAAATTTTTTCTATTTTTTTCCTACTAGTGCATATTTTGAGTTGAGTAGTTTTATTTACTAAAAATTAGGTTGGTTTTGTGGGGTTGAATCCCTTATCAAAATTCTAATAATTTTTATTAATGGGGCTTAGTTTAATCTGAAAATTATGGATAGTATAATTTTCACATGAGGTCTTTTAATTGAGTAGAAATATCGTTATTTTGATGCTTTGATTAATGTTATTTATTTCAAATATTTGAAATTAAAGTAATTTTAGATTAATTAAAATTAATATTTAAGTTGTAGATATATTTTGGAAGTTTATTGGAAGGTGATATATTTCGCGTTGAAAAAATATATTTTCTATTCAATTTATAACTTGTTATAATAAATCTAATGAATATAACAACTTTTAATTATTTTATTCAAGTTAAGATCATATATATATTGTAATATATTATATAAATGTTGGATTTTATTGAAATTTCCTCATACCAATATATTCTAGGTATAAGCTTAAATTGAATTTTTACAAAATATTAGTTTCATTGATTGCATGAGAAATGATTGATTGTAGTGGCATTACAATTTTGACTCAAAACACTGTAAAGAATACAAATTTATCTTGATTTTAGGATGTGCCTAATTTATAGTAGCTGCTCCAATGATTTCAAGAAAAAAAAAAGAATATTTAATTTAATATATAATTTTATAGTTGTTTTATATTAAATAGCAATGTTAGTATGGTTAAGAAAATAAAAAAGATAAGCATTAGAAATTTACGAAGATTATAATGACTCTAATTATATTGATTGTCAGAATGAGTTAATCATTTCTCAATTCTGGCCTCTGTTTGTGACAATAATGAAAATCTATTTGTTTTACAGTATTGTATTGATAATGATAAAAAATATTGAAGGCTTTGCATCTTATAATAGTTAGACAATCACTCTTTATACTTATTTAATTATGTTGCTTCCTTTAGCAATGATAGTATATGATAGATGGATAATCCAAAAATTATCTAAAAAATAGAAAGTAACACTTACGCAAATTATCTTTATTGTAATGGAAACACTTTTACAGCTATATTTATCTCAATTGTTGATGGAATATTAAAGTTTATAAAGAGTAATTGGGATCTTGTTAATATTTACAATAATGCTAATCGTGATGGCAACAATGAATAATTTCAAACTAAGGTTAATGATTCTCGTTAAATTCTTCGTTTACTTAGGTTATAAAACCGAATTCACTATATTCTAATGTTTGTTCACATACCATGTTGTGTTTTTGAATTTGCTACTAGTTTATTATTGGGATTAGCAAATAATGAGATTAAGTAAAATAAAACATTTCGCTGAATAATCTCTAAGAAGCATACCAACAGCGGTTTGTATATTAAATTCTGATTGCTAACAAGTGCTATTTTCGAATAGGTATATGAAGAAATTGATAGACAAGTCAAATACAAAGACAAAAACCATTCTAACCAAGTCTGTAAAATAGGACTATCTATTTGAGACTCAACCATCGATTATGAACAATTATGATGAGATTTATTTATTTTTTTCTTAAATGTTTGCAAATATGGAAGAAGTCAAAAATTAATTGCCATTAGATTCAAGCAAATTCAATCTTGATAATATGGATGATGAATAATTAAACTTAAATTAAATAATTCAATATATAATTAAGACAGACAAAAAGACTTAAGGTAAAATATATACCCTAAGATGCTAATTTATTGATCGTCCAGAATAAGTCTATGATGAATCATAAAAAGTTGTAATTGAAGTAAAGATGAAAACACTTTTGTAATATGAGGATAATAAACATGCAACTTTAATTAACCTTTATGATATATCAACTAATCTAAAGTCTATTTATTATAAGAATTTGAATTAATTTAAAAGCAAAGTAATAAGATCAATCTCCCACGAATTAAGAACTAGATTGAATGCTATTTAAGGTATGATTTAGATGGTTTAAAGTTATAACCAAAAATTTGATAGAGAGGTGTAGACATATTTAAAGGCTGCCTTTAACAATTGTAGAATATAAAATTTTATTATTGGATCCATAATAGATTATAACCTGTTAAGGGAAAGACAATTGCCTGTCAAATCAGACAAAATTAGAATTAATATATTAATATAGGAAGTGATAGACCTATTCAAAGATGAAGCGGAACTAAAAAATATCAAGATTAAATATGAGGATAAAATACAGACCAATAATTATGAATTGTTGAATTCAGAGAGATTTCAAAGCATCCTCGTTCATATTATTTCTAATAGCATTAGATTTAGTAAGTCTGATGGATTAATTTAAATTAGGCTGCTAAAAGATATTAGTAATAACTACAACAATAGTAATAGCAACAACAACAATAGCAATAACAATAACATTAACAATAACAATAGTTATTAAACTAATAGTTACATTTAAGTTCCTGATAGCAAAATACAAATTCATCGACATTCAAAATTGTAGATTCCCAATTCTTAATCTCCTCAATAGCAGAGACTGAGTGGAAGTGAATTTAATCATGATTCATCAAATAATAAATAACGTAGAACATATAGCAAATACAAGATGGCCAGTTAATTTTCTTCAATTGGAAATTTGTCAACCAATCTTGCAGATGTTTATCTGATTGAGGTGAAAGACAACGGTTTAGGAATGAGTGCGGACAGATTAGAGTAAATTCGATCTTTACTTAATGGGGAAGACTTTTAGGTTGACAGAAACTCAAATGACGCATCTACTGGTATGATGCTAGGATTGCGTGCTTCAAATTAATTAATAAAAAATTTATCAGGTAAAGATGATAATCTAAATTACTTATCTATCGATTCAGAATAAGATAAGGGTACAATTGTTTAGATGCATATAAAAATACGATTAATTTCAGGTGAAAATTTCTCAAGTGAGTTGATAATAAAGGAATCTAGTGTTGAAAATGAAGGAATTGTACATTCATATCACAATTTCAATTAGAAACTTAGTCCTTGGTCAACAGTCACTTAAATTCATGGAAAAATCTTATGTCAATGTGAAAATACCTTTATGATTGTTGATGATGAGCCTTACAATTTAATAGTGTTAGAATCTCTTCTAAAAAAATTACAACACTAAGTAGTGAAGGCAGAAAATGGTAGACATTGCATCCAACTATTAGAAAAAATGCTTGAACAATTTCAAGAACATAAATGTAAAGGATACAAAGGTATAATAATGGATTATTAAATGCCAATAATGAATGGCGAAGAGGCTACTAAATATATCACATAAATTTGTAAAGATAAAAAGTATTCCTCCCAATTCCAATATTTGGACTTACTGGGTTTTCAGGGGAGGATGAAATAAATAGGCTATTAGATTCAGGAATGAGAGAAGTATACATTAAACCCATTACAATCAGATCTCTTGAAGATCTCATTAGCAACATTAGTAAGAGTGAATATCGATCTCTGGATTATGTATCAAATATATCCTAGCAATTTTAATTCATGGATATAGAATATGCTGAAGAGGATAAATTGGTGTTGGAATAATCAGCTCATTGAAACTTAAATCATGCTTTTTGAATTATCTTGAAGCTTTCATTATTTGTGTTTTATAAGCTTTTATTTTATATAGATAAGAAGTATAAAATCAGATTGCTCATTTATTCAGTATCAATTTTGAGAATTCCTCATAAGATATTTTCCCATCGTTGTTTCCATCTGTTTCATTTAGAAATAGATTCCAAACATCAGCATTCAATTCTCCCATAACTTCTTCTATTTCCTACCTGCTGATAAAGCCATCTCCATCCGAATCGAAAATTTTGAATGCCTACTCTATCTTTTTAATCGAAAGGATCTTCTCCTCATTAATGGCAGCCATTAAAAATTCATTAAATTCTATTACTCCTGATTAATTCTTATCAATCTTAGAAATAATCTTTTCAACATATTCTTCAGCTTATTCTTTATTCTTAAGTACTTTGGTGTATCCTTCTACTAATTCTGCTTTACTTAAAACTCCATCTTTATTCTTATCCAAAGATTGAAATGATTTCTAAAGATCTTCTAATTCTTTATTGGTAGTCATTTGACTAATTATATACTACACAATTGCAGCTTTAAATTCACTTTTGGCTTGGAATTAACCCAAATTCTCTAGAACTTTTTTATTTATTTGGGTATCTGGCGAGTGTTTCGAAATCCAAGGGTCACTTAAAGCTTGTGATGCTGAATATCTTGAAGCCACATCTACTTAAAGCATTCTTTGAATTAAACTCTTTGCTTCTCTGCTTATTGAATCCCATTCCTCAACTAATCAAATAAACATTGAAAAGTTACTTGGGAATTTGAATTTACCTGTTTTGACCTTCTCAAATATTTCATTCTCATTTTTTCCCGTGAATGGAGGATATCCGCACAATAAAATATATAAAATGACCCCACACGACCATACATCACATTTCTCATTATAATTATGATTTAAGACTTCAGGTGCAATGTAATATGGCTTAATATTAATTTGTATAGCATACAGTCCCTAACCTTTTGGTCATGTTCTTTTAGGAATTAAATCTTCTAGAGCATCCGAAGTCAATAATCTTGAGTAATGCATCAGGCTCTGTGCCTGAGAACAGAATATTCTCTGGCTTCAAATCTCTATGAACAATTTTCTTTTCGTGACAATACACAATGGCCATCAATATTTGTCTCATCAAATCACTAGCTCTTTTCTCAGTAAATTGATTCATCTTCTTAATTCTTTCAAACAGCTCCCCACCACTTAAATATCTACATTTTATGTTGTTATTAATACTCAGTTATCAAGTAATAATTATTAGAATCTTGGTACAATTCATATAGTTTAACAATATTGGGATGATACAAATTTTTTAGCAGGTTCATCTCTGAAAACATTTTTTACTCATCTTCCTTGATTAATTCTGACTTTCGAATTTGTTTCATTGCTCTAATTAAACCTCAAATTTAACTAATATTTATACCTGTGGTTTTATGTGTTACTTTCCAAACCTTACCAAATGCACCTTAACCTAAAACCTAACCGAGAGTGTAAACTTTAGTTATTGATTGTTTTTTTAAATTTACGAATAATTCTACTCCAATTTTTACAGAAACTGACCCTACTGAAGCCATACTCTATTTTCTGCTGGGACTATGATCAATAGGATCCCGAGGTACTGTTTTTGTAGAGAGTGCTGGAGACTTTCTTGTTCCTGTATCTTATTACTGCTTTTACTAAGCTTCATTTTAAATCTCCAATTTTTCTGCTTTAACTATTTTCTCAAACTGATTGAAATCCACTCTATCCTTTTGCTCTGCATGATCCTCCTTTTTTTCCTCTATTTCATCTTATTATTATAGGGGCTCCTAAGACTCCTTCGAATCTTTCAATATATTCTCCTCCACCACGGCTCCTTTCACATTTTGTATTGGAATTTTCAGCTAACTTAACACCACAACTTCTTCGTATACTTATGGAATGGAAACACTCTATGACGGTAACTTTAAAGGAGGTTCATTTAGACTTTCCTCCTTATGATTAGACTTCTTAATGATAGAAATGTTATTGCTATCAAATACTAACTCTGTTTAATATAATATTAATCATTTACCCTAAGACTAGTTTACCTGAAGTTATTTATGGCAACAAGTACTTCCCATTAATTTAACAATAAAAATATGATTAGATTTAAACTTAATTTATTAAAATTATACAATCTATAATCATTATCAAAATCATTTAAAATAATAACAGAAATTATAGTTAATATCTTCCAAAGAGATTTTCTTCCGATCTTATTGTCATCTTATCGATTAACACAGTAGTCTTCTTATCTGAAATTTATTTCTACTTTCAAATTTACAATATCAAATTACAATGTCAAAATTAAATTTTATCATGAAGGCAAGGATTTAATATAGATGGCATTCAATAGACTTTAACAGTTTATAATTAATTTTTTTTGTTTTTAATGGCAAATACCATTTTTAAGTTTTAATTAATATTTAATTAATTTGATATCAGAATGAACCAGACTTTAGGACTCTTAAAAAATAAAACTCATGCTTTAAACTCTTTTAAAGAAAATCTAAGGTTGAAATCTAATCAAATAAAAGGTTCTAAGTAATCTAACCCATTAAGTAAGATTCTTTAATATTTTACTAAAGAGCAAAACTCTTTATTACTAAATTCTTAAAACAACTCTGCATTGTCTACAGATGCTAATATTTCAATCGAAATGTAATCTTCCACTTTTGGCCTTCCAGCTGGATGGGCCCAGCACTATTATGGTACGATAGAATATATAAGACAAATTAAGGAAATAAGTATTTGATATTCTTAAATTTTATAAGTCAAAGAATTATAAATTTTGGGTACTAAAAGAGTCAAGATTTAATTTGGCGATACTAGTCAGTTAGAAAAATCAATTTATGAAAAAAACTAAATGGCTACAACAGTAAATAATTTATTTAACTTTAAGAAAATCGTTGAATGTGAAAAGAAAATTTAAACAATTTAAATGTACACAAGCAACCTAGAATCTCACAGTGAAAGAAGAAGTAAGCAAAAATATTATCATTTAAGTAAGAGAAAATATCAGCAAGGCATTGTCTTAGCAAATATCAGAAACAGCATATCTATTGAGAAATTAACAGAAAAGAATGGTAAACTTGATAAAATCAGTTTCCGTAGACCAAAATAGTATATTTTATTAATTATAATAATAGAAAGTTTTTTAAATTCAAATGATTAAAAGTAAATAGAATTTAAGCAGAACAGTATTTTAACTTAGTAGGAAGAAGAAGTCTATGAATAAATCCAATAAGAAAAGTATATGAAATTGCTAATGAAATAGTGATTAAGAAATAAATAAATTGGTTAAGATGATTAATGACTTAGCCTAAGTTTTTTAATCTCTCAATTAACTAGTTTTAGAACAAGGACATCTTCTTGATCGAATTGATGAAAATATCGATTAATCATATAAAAATATAAAAAAAGCAAACCATGAACTTCAGGAAGTAATATTTTATAGATATATCTAAGAGTGAAAGAAATTAAAATTCTCCTTTAGCAAATAAATGCATTATAACCCTTTTAGGGCTTATTGTAGTTTGTAGTCTAATTTTAGTAATTAAATATTCAAGTTGAATATGAATTAAATATAAAACACTTAAAAATCAATAAAACATTTCTGTTCTCCTATTAATTTGAATGGTGGGTAACCCTTAAATAAATTCCTGATTTTCGGAAAGTTCATCTTAATCCTCAATCAAATTAATTGAAATTATTTCATTGTTAATGCTATTGGTATCTATATGGGTCTTATCGAGAGAACGAGAGAAATAAGGAGTTCTTTATGATAGTTGATGAATTATGTTTAGACACTGATCTGCAGTCGCCCTTAATTCAGGATTGAATTGAAGCATCATTCTAAGTAAGTTCTAGTATTAGATATCGATGTCTGATTAATTGATCAAATGCAACATCATTTTTTCATCATATGTATTAGATTCATGATCAAATAAATCTTTTCTAGTTATACTAAATTAATATTAAATGTGGATACATTTTGTATAAGATGACACCGCAACTAAAAATATCAGATTTTTATGTAACTATATCCTACTTAATTTCGGGTGCAGAATAACCATGAACTCTGTAAGTTAGACGTCTAAAAATATGGGATGAAAATAAGTACTTATTCTGAAAATCTATTGATCTGCATCCCAATTCAAACTCTGAAATGACGAGAGTTTCAAGGTTGTTCGGTTCCTAAAAGTATATATGTTCTGGTTTTAAGTTTCTATGAACATAACCTTTTGAATGAATATAGGAGACGGTTGACATCAATTACTAAAGTAATTATAATAATTTACTTCAATTATTAATTTCACTTCTTGGAATGGTAATTATTTTGACTTGATCAGATCAACCAAGGAACCTCCTTCTGGATAGTTGAAAACAAAATGATACTAATTGTTAGTATTATAAACTTCTTTCAATTTTAAGATTTTCGAATGATCTAATTATTTAAGGATTTCGAATTAATAATAGAAATCCTAAGGATATAAATTGTATTTTACTTCATCAGTATATTTTAGAGATTTTTAAATAGTTTTACACATGTAGGAATCCCCAGAATCAAGATATCTCATTTTTACAAGTTATTAAATCTGTTATATATAGTGATGATTACTTAGCCAAAAGTATTGTGCGATATAGAATTTATTGGCTCATAAAGAATTTAATATTTTCCGTAGGTGACTATGCCATTTAGAGACTGTTTAAACAAATTACAATTCATTGCATCCATCAAGAATAACTTCTATTTGTTATTCCAAATTAACCAAAACCCATTGAGTTACTTGGTTTTTTAATTAATTGACCAATCAATGATAGTTTAAGGAGTGAGATTGATAGTATATTTTATTTTAGTTATGTTCTAAAATAAAATGAATATTTACTTCTCCTAAGAGAATTTCATTTTCATTTTTGAAAATATGGTACTTTTTTGTGAAAAGAGAGTGTTTACGATAACAAAGCATGATGATAAGTATTAGGGAATATTATTATTTAGTTGATAAATTCTAATAAAGAATGATGTATAAAAATTGTGATTGATTTGATTAAAAACTAACCCATTATAATCCATAAATAAAATCTAATACTAAATAACTCTATAAACATAAATAAAGGAGAATCATAACTAGTTAAAGCCATTCTTTTTGATGGGAATATGCTTTATCTTTTGTGTTACATCTAGTGAATTCTATTCTTCTAGAAGGTATAAGTCAAAATTTTCAAAGTATATTTGGGCGTCCTTCGCAGTTATTCTTTGATTAGGACAAGTTTCTAACATCTTAAGCAAAATATTCTTGAATTAGTTGTTGCATGAAGTGAATTGTCTTTCTTCATATACTTAAGCCTCTATATTATAAATTTCGCTTTCTTCACTCTACACTTCAAGGTTATATCCTGTCAATCTATAAATTTAAATAAATAGATTTACATTGAATATAGCAAAGATCCACAACTGAAAACATCACATTGTTCATTATATGGGTTAGTCTGGTCATATTTGATAACTTCTGGGGCCATAAATCCAGGAGTTCCACAATTTGGATGTTTAATAAAGATATCTTCAACCCTTGCAGCAAAGCCAAAATCGCACACTTGTATGCTGGAGACATCATTCTCTTCTCTCAATAAGATATTGTCAGGTTTAATATCTCTATGGATGTATCCTTTTGAATTCATATAAATGAGAGCATTCAAGATTTACTAGAGACAATTAAAATTCATAATACCTTCATTATGATAACTATTTGATCCTAATTCAATGTTCTAAATGCCATATATTCTCTAAGAGTTCCTCCTCTACAATAATCCATAATAATGAAGAAGTGAGATTTTGAACTATAAACTTCCTTAATCTTGACGATATTCTCGTGGTTCAATGATTACATCGTCATCAACTCATAGATTATATCCTATTATATATATTTCATATTTACGTTTTTCGAAAACTTTTGATTTAGTTTCATAACTTTGCATGCATACTCCTTTCTGTCTATAAGACTAACCACTTTGATGACCTAGGAACAATAACATTTTAAACTTACTTTGCCAAAAGTCCCTTCCCCCACAATTTAAATAGGAAAATATTATGAATTTATTTCTTTGTATAGTATTTTTCCATCAATAAGTGATTTTAACCTCCTGCAATCTATATCAGACATGTTAAATAGCTTTTTCTAATGTTTCCACTCAATTGTAAACCCATCAAATTAACAAAGTTCTTTGTCAAAACTCCATTCAAGTTTTGACTGTAAATTTATTGGCAACACATATTTCGGATTTGCATAATTCTAGAATAACACTTCAAAGTACCTTTCCGATGCAGATGTTGCTATCTTGGATAAATAACAGATAATGTTAATCAATTATAGCGTGTTTACGGATGCAAATCATAATTAAATTGAAATTTAATATCATTTAGCTATTAGATATCCGATTGCGTTTTTTCAGTTTGTATATTAATTTTTATGTTTTTAATTTATAGTACGGGTTAATAATAATAGAGTAAATGCATAATTTGTCTTGAATTAAAATTTCATTATTAATAAGTTATTGAGGAAAGAGGTTAGATTTGAACATCAATAAGTTAGAGAATAGATTCGATGAGTATATAATAACTATTAAATGTCATAAGACATAAAACATTAACAAATTCAATAATCAGAAATCTATGTTCATAAGATTAGGATCTGATTTCGGTTTGATTGACATCATGACAGGCAATCTCTATATGTTATCATCTGCAGGAATCTCATCAATTTGTCTTGAAATATGCTCCAAAATAGTGAGTGCTTCTTTAGCATTGATTCGCTTTTGTGGATTATCTTCAAGCATTTGGGAGAGTAGATTCTGAAAGTAGTAGTGGATATCTCCAAAGTTGTAATCAGCTTTGCGATACAGTTTGTTATTCTCGTATATTTCTGATTTTGAGTCTCCTTCAAATAAATATTTATGAGTGAGTCTATATGAATTATAATTAAATAAAATTACAATTAATAGAGGATCACTCCGCAACTAAAGATGTCACATTTTGTGCCATATGGTGTGAGTCCATTGTTGTTTATCACTTCCGGAGCTACATAGCCACTGGTTCCACATACTTTATACTAAATATGGGGATCATTGAGATTCGCAGCAAGCCCAAAGTCAATCAATTTAATGAGAGCTTTGTTATTGAGATTTAGTACTTTGATCGTCGGAGTGTTGCAAGATGATGTTTTCTGGCTTGATGTCTCGATGGATGATGTTGTTCGAGTGGAGATGATCTATAGCTTATAATAATTACTCGAATATTATTAAAACTTACTTTAAGAATTCCAACGATTTCTTCTTCACTTAATTTGATCTTCTTACACATGTAATTTTTTAAAGTGTCACCATTTGGCAATTCCAAAAGTAAATAGAAATGCCTTTGAGTTTTGGATATCCCCAACAGTCTAACTATATTTTAATGGTTTATTAAAGAATGTATTTAAATCTCATTCATAATATCCTAAATTCAAAATATAGTAATACTTGTTCAGAAAAGTTGTCGTTGGGTTCTATGCACTTGCAGGCATACATATTTTTATTCTGATAACTTACTACTTTCAAAACCTTGAATAATCGACAGAAAATTTACATTACTATAACTTCCTTTACCAATTTCATAAATGGGTTTATAAAACTTGTATAAGTTTGAAAAGAAGATTTATGATTTCACTGTGTCTTAGAATACCTGGCAATCTTCTGGTTTCATTTCGAATTAAATGAGTTTCTTGTTGTAAAGAAACTCAAATCCGATTAATTTGTTCTCGTCCAAGTTCCAATTTACTTCGATCTCCGAGTAGAAGGGAATGGTGTATTTGACGATGTTAGTTCCCTTTAATTAATAGAATATATTACATCTAGTATGACGATCTGATTATTTTTGATTCCAATCTTGTAATTGCTATTGAAAAGTTTACGCTTCCTTTTGCAGATAAATTGCATTTATACAAATTTATTAATTAAGTGCATGAAACTTTAAGAAAATTCAGTAATGAATTGTTACAATTCATCAATTACACATAATGAGAACATATATTTATTGAAATCACAAATGGCATCAACACCCTAGTTTTCTCAATGTTTAAATTGAAACTGTCCTAACCTGTTGCACTTCTGAATCCGAAACCTCTACTTCGAAAACATCCTTCCTGTTCGCAACAATCTATTCCAACATCTCTAAGGCTTGAGTAGCAGTTAGTCTGGTATTCGGATTCTCTCGCAACATTCCTTTGAGAAGTGGTTCGAATTCATTATAGTCGAATTACTCTTATTCCAAACGAAACTATTGATTCTAAAAGTAAACCTCACTATAAAAAGATCCATCAAATAAATCTGTCCCATAAATTCTAAACCATCAAAATAATCAATACATTTTATGTAATAGAACTCCACAACTGAATATGTCACTTAATTCATCATACGGATGATGAGGATCAAAATTGATCACTTCAGGTGCTATATAGCCTGGAGTACCACAATTAGGGTATCGAGTGGCAACATCTTCTTTCTTTGCTGTCAATCCGAAATCTATCATGTATAGTTTGGAAGGGTCACGATATTGACTTAATAAAATGTTCTCTGGTTTGATATCTCGATGAACATATCCTTTCGAATGTAAATATTAAACAATATTTAATATTTGCTAAAATTAATTAAATTGAGTACTTTCATAATTACATATACTTCAAATTGAGTAATTTCAGTTAATTTTTCTAAATATTCTTTCAATGTCCCTCCCTCGACCAAATCCGTTATTAACCAGATCTGCTTGTCTTCCAAATAAACTTCTTTCACTTTGATGATATTTGGGTGATCCAAAGATTAAAGTATGGAAAATTCGTTTTTAAAATCCTTGGGTGATATTAAATTATAGGATACATCAAATTAAGTCAATTTAAGGATCTTGCAAGCGTAGAACTACTTCTCAATATTGTGAAATACTTTGATTACCTAACACATACATTACAAAATTACTTTACTAAAGCTTCCTACTCCTATAATGTACAAGAATTGATAGAAGGCTTGAATATTTCTGTAAAGAAATCTTCCATTCAAAATCTGCATCAACTAAAATGTCTGATGAGGACTCATATCAAACCATTTCTTCTTCCCATTGATAATCATCTCGAACCCTTACAATTATTGACTGTCATTGAAGCTCCAGGTAATAATACTCTCTATACTATAAGGAATACGATATTTGGGGTTGATCTAAGACTATGATTTAAAATATTCAAATACTTTTCCAATCATTAAGAGATTGTCTTAGTTGAAGATTCCATATTTTTAGTTTAAAAAGGTGTGATGTCTCACACAAATCATAGAGATGGATATAATTTAATTAATGAAATTTTTAATTATCGCTAAATGCTTCCCAATATCTTTTTGAGATTTATTTAAATAAGCCATTGTCTTCATTTAATTTCCTTGGGCTGCGAAATTTATGATTAAATGACTTCAATATTTTGTGCTATTATTCACGATTCAAGACTAATAATTTTAATTACATATTAATAGCAATCAAAATAGGTAAGTAATTTTGGTTATCACAACCTTTTCAGATTAATAATAAAATTAATTAATATAAAAAGAACTCATTCTTGTATTTCCATCTATCTTTGAGGTACCTCGCTTATTTGTTATTGTTAATTTATTTCATTTATTGGAGGGGGAGCTTCAGCTTGAATGCGTAGAATTTATTGATGTAAATGTTAAGGAATCTCATCGTGCTAATTTTATTGAGTGAATTAACTAAGTATCTGCTGTCTGCAATTCGGACAAGAGTTCTTGATTCTAATCCAAGGCTTTAAACATTCCGAATGGAAAATATGGGAGCAATTCAATTTCATCACCATCTCATTCTTTAGAAGATTCATGTCACATATCGAACACACAAATTCAAATTCCATCTTAAACTTTTACACAGGCAACATCTCAATTTACTCCTCACTGATTACTTATGCCGATTGTCTTATGTAGGGGTCTCTGGGTGGTAATAAATTCAACGCACTCAGAATATCGGGAGGTTGATGTTAAGTCTAATTTAAGTATTCCTCCCTTGCTCTTATTGCACCTATTAAACATTGTTACACCATTCTGATTAAAAATATGATTGTGATCACTATCAAAGTGATCTAATATCCTTTCTAAGAATCATCCTTGAATTAGTTAATAGAGTTGGCTGCTGAGTAGAGCAGCCTGGTAGTTGTGATTATCAAAAATATTTTTATCAAAATACCCAACTTAGTTATGGAATAGAATTGGTAGAGCAAGGTGAATATGATTAATTGACACAAGGTTTGATTTGGTTCAGGCAATTTCTCGAAATGGGTAACCAAAAAGTAACCTATATTTTGATATATATATATCTACTTAAGACAATGAATAAACACACTATGTAATAGAGAACTTCATAGGCGCATCGGAAGATTCCCTCTCTTTCGAACATAAACTCGTTCGGAATCAAGGCTCTTCGCTTTAGCAAGTCATTTGAAAATATTGTGAAGAGAACTGCTTGAATATAGTAGGCAGCTATGAAGTGGAGCGATTAAATAGTGTTGAAACTAACAGATTCTGAGTCCACTATTGAAATAATATTGAAGGATATCAGAAATGCCTAAATTATCAAATTCTATACTAAATTAATTATTATCAGAGCGTAATATTCCTTGTAGCAGTTCTATCGAATGTAGCGACCAATCATTCCCAGGGATGTTATTTGAACATGAGTTTTCATTAGAATGAATAAAATTATTGCAACCAATAATTCTGTGAATCCTAAAATTAGCCCATACACAAAAGCAAGCTATTCATAATAAGGTTTCTGAATATTATCAATGTAATCTTTACATCATCTAATTTCTTCCAGAATATATAGAAATAGAGTCCAGCTGATACAAAAGCTACTTAAAATACGCAGAGCAGCATTTTTAATTAGTTTTGCGTCATATAATATTAAATATTTTTAATTACTGAGAATTTTAGGGCTCTTGTGTTTGAATTAACAATTTTATAATTTATTATAGGAGAATTTGTTATTAAAATATTGAAACAACTCGTTTTCTCGCATAGGAACTTAATTCTAAGTGATATTTTAGAATTTAGATTTAATTATAAAAATATAAGAATTATAATTTTTCTTCTCAATTCTTGATTTAAAAATAAATGATAAGGAATATTAATTTTTTTATTTATAAATTAATGATTTAAAGTTAGCCATATCAATACCGCTTTGGATCAGAACCTCTTCACGGCATCGTCAAGAGTCTCAATCTGCCCATTTAATTTGAATATGTTCAAGAAATCTGCATTTTTGAATAATTAATAAAATTAGTTGAGATTTCAGAAAAACTTGAAAATTATAGCAAATATTTCACAAATTCAATCAATAAATTAGAATAGCTCAAACCATTTTATTAAACTATTCAATCATCTTTTCATTAAGGAGTTGACAAGAAAAATGAAATCTATGAACATTGTCATAATATCTAAAATTATATTATCCAAAATCAATTCAAATACTTAGAACATGAGAAATTACTATCAGTCTCAGACTTGCTATTAGTAGAGCTATTGGAGATTGTTAACAATATGTATCCCAACATACTCTATAATCAATATCAAATTTTGTATTAATTCTTAGCAAAAGTCTTATCCAATAATGTTTTGTAGAATTACTACTTCAATGTGGATTTTATGATGAAGGATTTTTCGCCCAATATAAAGAATGCTCAAAATATTTTGAAAGGAATCATATAGACTAACTTACCAACTTTCCATGATTTTGCCTAATGTCAAGGAATATTGTATAGATACAAGGAGGATGGCAAATAATTTCCAGATAATTGCCCTGTTAGCTTGTTCCCCTTATATGTATAATATTAATCTATTAATTAGATAAACTACGATATAATCAATGATATAAAGAAGAAAACGATCTTATAGTAAAAAGTGGTTGCCAAAATGGGTATGGATTTTGAATGGTACACTGGTATATTGGGAAGATTGGCAAAGCATGATGAATTCATAAGAAGAATGATTTCAATATAAGCCAAGGTAGAAAAGTCACAAACAAAATGTCCTTATACAATTTGCATCGTGAGAAATGATTTTTTGCACCATGCTTCTTTGAATCAATGGATGCAAGTAGAATATAATTGCATAGCAATAAGTTTTGGGTTTATTTCAGATAGAGTTCAGAAGTACCATTCACTTCTATTTGATTCTTATTATAAGTAAATAAGAGAGAACTACAAAGTTAAAGTGAAACAAGACTTAAATCATGATATCATGGTTGATGCATTACACAAAGCATATGAACTGTACAATAATAAAAATGCTATTGTTCTAATAATAACAGCAGAATTTGAAGGAAATATATATGATTAGAGATACATTGAAAAAGGGTTAGCAAAATTAGGAATTTTGAGTAAAAGAACTACATTCTTAAGACTAATTGGTAACATCACTTCAGAGAATGGAATTCTAAGAGCATTTGGATAAGAAGTAGCTTTGGTGTATTTTAGAACTGGATATACTTTTGATCAATATGAAAATGAAGTATTTATTGATATCATTTCAGGAATGCTGGAGTATAAGAGAAATGATTGAATTAAGCAAAGCACTCAAATGTCCAAGTTTGAATACTTAATTAGTGAATTTTAAGAAACTTTAACAAATTTTATTAGATGAAACTTAAATCCAGAAGTTTTTGAACAAAGATGAAGCCAAACTCATAAGTGAGAATTATTGTAAAATTTGGGGTTTTGATCATGAGGACTAACACGAGAAGGTAATTTCGACTCATTTAATATTATTAGTTGATTGAAATGATCTAATAGAATCCTCATGATTATGTGTTGAAACCATAAAGAGAAGGAGGTGGAAACAATTATTACGATGATTAAATCATTCCTGAACTATTGAAATTGACTCCTGAGTAAAGAACTGAGTTTATTGTAATGGAAAGAATCAAACCGATTCCTAGGATCGGATTCATGATGAGAAGGGGTCAATTAGATATTTAAGCTGTGATAAGTGAAATTAGTGTTATTGGGTATTTCATAAATGAGGGAGAGAATATATTGGTGAATGAAGTCGGGGGGTATCTAGTTAGGACAAAAAGATACTTAGATAATGAAGGAGGAGTGGCAGCAGGTTATGCAGTAGTGGACTCTTTTATGGTAGCTGATAGTTGATTGATGGTTAATTATTAAATAATTATTTTGATAATTGATGTTATTTTTAAAGGCAAACAAATATTATTATTAATAAAGATCACAACAAATCTGTCAATAGAGTTTCGAAATTTTTAAAATTTAACTAAATTAATGAGAATATAATGTACATGAGCATGATCGTATTCATTAAAGGCTTCTTGCAATTCATTTTCTCGTGATTTGTATATATTGACTAAGGTTTGTAAAAGAAGATATTTTTTGACTGTTGCGTACAGATTGAATATGATTTCAATGTTTTGAGAAGTTAGCAACTAAGACCTGTCAACTGAAATAACTAAGAACTCCTAAAAATCCATTTTATCCTTTAATGAGAGCAAATTAAAAAGAGAATTAATTTGCTCTCCTTTATCAGGATGCAAGGCTAAACATTCATTCTTTGAAATTTTGCCATCATAATCTACATCGAGGTTCTAAAAGACTTTCTAAAATTTGGCCTTCTATTCTTCTGCAAATTAATTTATAAATAACAACAATAAACATTGTTGTAGAACACTTATTTTTTTTAATTTTTTATTTCTCTCCAAAATTTGATCAAATTCCTCCATCTCATTAGTCTTAGGTAGATATTAATCTTTTAATGCTTCTTAGAGAGTGATTCTTTTCTCAGGAGAAATGTGTAAGAACTTTTCCAACAACTCTTTAATCGAGGAATTCTCAAGATGTATATGCTTTTTGATTCTGATCTATTCGATCTCTTTCAAGATATCCACAGCATTTGACACTTTAAAATATCTACCACACATGAGATTATGCGCTATCATTCCCACAGCCCAGATGTCTCTTTCTTTAGTGTAAATAGAGGAATCCAAAGTGCATTCTGGAGCCATATATTCAGCGTCATGGTTCGTTGGATCATGTCTTATGAAAATACTCTAGATATCAACCAATTTAACTAAATCATTATTTCTTTCGAAAGCTCCCAGCCATAATGCTCCATGTATTAAATTTTTACTATGCAAGTAACAAACTATCTCTATGATTTATTTTAAAATGGAAGCTTATTTCTCAGGAGGCTCAAAATATGAAACTGGAACTCCCTATGCACATTCTTTGATAACTATATATTAAGATTTGTCCTCCAAAATTTCTATAACATTCGTGATATTTGGATGTTGCTAAAAACATAATTATTATATAATATTACCAATTGACATCTCAATAATTCATCAACATAGAATTTGGTAGCTTATGTGTTCTCCAAAATATCGGCATAGTGCAATTTTCCTGTCATATTATGTTGAACTACTATACTCCCTCCAGGTATTTTAGAGAAACTATTTTTCTTGCTTTATTGAACAGAATAAAACTTGGAGAAAGCAGCTTTCTTTACAGTTGCATTCATTTTAAATGTTGTTTTATGTTTAGATGATCTTACCTGATCTTATTCAAGATTTTTTAGATCAACCATGGGGGTTGAAAATCTACTTTTGAAAGCTTAATCGCTAGATGCACTGTTGAATTGAAAAGGTTGACTTTTTAAAGATTGTCTTTATGAAGTTACGGGAGTCTTTTTCTCTAAACCAGCACTTTTGGATTGCTAGATCTGGGATTTCTTGGTATTGTCAAGATGATCGTTGTTGGGGATTTGGATTTCAAGATCGGGTTTTGCTTATTGAGATTTTTTGGTTCCTTGACAAGTTCCCATTAATATTATTATTTTAAGAAATCAGCATAATTAATATCTTAAATAAAAAGAAACCTGGTAAAAAAGGATATTTGAAAAGCCAAATTATGGTGACATATCGGAGTAGATTTTTACTGCAATTTTATAGATTATAATAGTGAAATAATAATACTAATAATTAATTAGGACAATAAATTAATATAAATAAACCAATAACAATCTTAAGGTGAATTCCAACATTTCACCAACTTTGAATGATTTTTCTGATGTGATCATGTTCCTTAACCTTTTTTTCAAGAAGTGCCTTAGCAAGTTCCATAAGATGAAAATATTATTGGAAATTAAATTCTGGATGTTTGTTTTTAACTAGTTTTACAGCCCAACTGTCGAATAAGAGAAGGACATCGGAAATGTCACTAATAGCAAACGTATTAGTATATAGATTGCGATTTTTGGGTTATCCAGGGAATGCCAATATCAAATGAAGAAGAGTGACCCCTAAGGCATAGAACTCATCCATTTTGTCATACTCCTTGTTGATCTACGAATTGACAGTAGCATAACCGCTGGTGCCAGAATTAATGGTATTCCTTGATTTGATGGAATTGAGATCTTGGTCGTTGAGTTTCTCATCTGTGATGATGGAGAGTTTGGATTCCCTAACATCTTTTCCTTAATCGAAGTCAGCCAACATGACTTGGAGTTGACAGTCGATGCCGTAAGTGACAAAGATGTTCTCCGGTTTCAGATCTCTATGAACGATGCCTCGTTTGTGTATGTATTCTAGTCCATCCATGATTTAGAGCATGATTGTTTTGATTTGTTCTATCTTTTCTTTGCAGTTCATGGGATTCAGATAATAATAGGCATAGTTGAGTAGGTCGTTGGTTTGATGTTTAAGTCCAGGATAGGAGCAGTATTCGGACATCAAGAATAGGGAGTAGCCTGATTCTTCTTCTTCGATCCACCAATCGTAGAGAGTTAGAACGTTGGGATGGTTGAGTTTGGATAGAATTTTGGCTTCTCTGATTTTTCTTTGATCGTTTGTTATTTCTGATAGGTTGACTGTTGAAAAGACATCGAAAAAGGATATGACATTTGAAGCTAATTAAGACTACATAGACTTGAATTGATTATACTTTCTTCACTGCATAGATTTGATCATCTTTGATTCGATAAACAAAAAAGATTTGGACTCCAGATTTGAGTTCATTTTCATTTGTTTTTTGGAGGATGAGGAATTGCTTCTTAAAGTAATCCTTCTTGATGAACTCTTATTTGAGCCAATTGGTTTGATGGCAGAGAGGCAGACTTCTTTTCAATTGATTTTCAATCTCACCCTCATTCTGGGATATAGTCTTTGAACCTGCACTATTTTGTTTAAATTACTCTCTTTCTGTTTTCTCTTTAGTCAATATAGGGGATGTGAACTCTGGACTCGATTTGCTGGATTTGTTCCTTTCATCAATTGAGAAATAGTTGGCTACGATTTTTAGATCTTCCTTATTAAAATTCAAATTTATCTGACGATTGTCCAAGCAACTTGCTATAGATTGATGGACATAGATGAACACTGTTGATTTCAGTTACCCTGTTGATGTAATGAAACCAATGTTCATGTCCGAATAGAAGAGTCTCATCAATTGTTATTGCTCTTTCTAATATCGTAATCAATGATACTTGCCACTGTTCCTTGTCCTGGATCTTCTAGGCTTTAATGAGAATCTTTTGTACCCCCTTGTAGACTGCTTTCTCCATCAAAAACTAAAGATGCGGATCCTGTTCACTCAGATATTTATCCTTCCTGATCTGGCAGATAACAATGAATTCCGTGAAGATGTTTCTCTCCTCCGAACCCAAAAACTCTTATTTATTTCGATTGTCCAATTCCTAATTCAATATACATTCACACTTACCAACAAAGCTTCCAATCCCCCCTACTCCTGTCTGTCCACCACAGTGTTGGAGAATCGTTTGTCGTCGTCCGTCTGCTCGTTGATGAACGTTTGATCTCCTTCCGTGAATTTTTGATCATCCTCATATTTGTTAAGATGCTCTCCCTAATTCATATTATTATAATTTAAATTAACATAAATGTCTGAGAACGAAGATAATAATAAATTCGAATTCTACTCCTGGATTATCTCCCAAGTCGTAATTGTAGTCTTGGCATTCATCCTCTGTGGCTGTCATTGTATTGAAAGACGCAAATTCAAGAAGAAAGTACAACATCTCCTCAGAATTATAGTTGATTGATTTCAGAGATATCAAAGATGCCCCTAAGTACAAAAGGAATATCGTGGACCCAATGCTAGCACCTCTCAATGGATGAGCCAATAAAAGAACATGACTTTTATGTTATATTTTTGTTATTTTTATAAAAAGCAAACATATTACCTGTGCATGTGCGATTTATCACTAAATGCAATTGAAATGTTTACAATAAATAATAATTATTAAATATGTCATAACATTGGTTAATTAATTTATTAATATTCAACCCTGGTTCAAGTTCAAGATACACGCATCTTCAATTAAATTCTAGCACTCTTTCAATAACTACGAATTCAATTTAATAATTAGTGTAAGTTCAAATATATATATTTTTGGAATATTACGATGATTAATAGCGGAGCTCGGATTTGAAATTAATATTAATAATAATATAATCGAATGGCTAGCAAAGTTTCAGGAATGTTTTGGACTTGGGTGCATTCTTCAACTGGCCCCAAAACTACTCATTTTTGGGCTCCAGTGTGCAATTGGTTTTTCCCAATTCAAGCCTTGTATGATTGGAATAGAGATCCTGCCAAAATCAGCAAGGAGATGCAATGTGTGTTGGTTTGTAAGAATCTCTCAAATAATTAGGCTATTCATCATTATTTATGAGATGGGCACTCAGGATATCTCCCCAAAGCTACATTCTATTTTGCATGCATCTCTTTAATGCAACATTGTAGGGAAGATTATTAATCAGAAGATTGACCTGGGAATCAACTTAATAGAAAGCCATAGAAGACAAACCAACTAATTGATTGTCTATTTAGAGAATTTCATATATAAATAAATATATATACAATTATGCAAACTGATTTAGACATCTCATTGAAAATTGAGAACTATTGAACCAGAAAGAAGAAAAGCAATAGTGTGTCAAAATAAGAGAAATCTTCATTGAAGAAGGAAATGTCCCATGAATCAATCCTCCAGTTGATTGTATGATCTCTTTTGAGATTATCAAACAATCAGGGGAAGTTTGAGACTAAAATTATCTGATCTTGGGGGATTATGTTAAAAGAGGATCTCACAATAAAGATTCAATTTGTTTGCTTTATGCATTAAAAATCAAGAACGATGAAAAAATAACATTGTTAAGAGGAAACCAAGAATCTTGAATTCTTACTCCAATTTGATTACACGATGAAACCACGAGGAAGTTTAGCTCCTTAAATATTTGGGTTTATCTAATTGAATCCTGTGATTGAATGCCATTATTTATCAGGATTTAATTGATCAGAAGGTGTAGTGCGTATATTTTGGAATACTTTAAGATCTTAAGACACTAGATGATGTATGGCAGTGTTATTGTAAAATATTTTATGGAAGAGCACTAAAAATAGATTGTTAAAAATCTCTAATAATAGATAGATGTGTGAATTACTTTGGAAAAAAACAAATCAATAGGATATAAAAGGATTTGGAGAAACTTAAAGAAGTGTGGATAAAAATTAGGTTAGGATGTGTTTACTTAATTTTGGTAAACAAAAAATTTGAGTAGTATTTCTGAGTTCTCATTAAGTACGGGTATTACATTATCTACACAGATTAATTTATGTTAATTTTCTCTACTCCTGATTAATGATACAAATGTGGTAATTCAGGGTCTGCTTGTTAATTTAGTGATATATTGGAGATGAGAGCTAACAGATTTTAGGCAAGTGGAAAATCAAATGAAGTATGCTCAAACGAAGATTTGGAATCAGATTGTCGATTCCTATTTATCAATATAACTGATATGAATAAAAATATGAAATCTCTTTATTTTGATATTTTTATTTTTAGAAGCAAAATTACTGATCGAATATATTTATATATTTAATTCTGAACTAATTCTGATTTCATTCTATAAATATCAAACATAATCAATCAGGGTTATTAATTTTGATATCTACTTTTTCAATGCCTCCCAAGAAATCAACTCCAAAAGTCACTAGTTCACCTCCACCAACCGGTAGAGCAACGAGATCTAAAAAAACTGATAAAGCAGAGGATAAAAAATAGTATTCTCATATATAACAATTATAGAGAAGTTATCGATAAAGCTGTCAAAGACGTATCACAATCGAAAGATAAGGATGGAAAAACCAATGTTTCACCCAAGAAGGTTCCTTCAAGGAAGAACTCAAAAAAGGATTCTAAAAAATCAACTTCTCCATCTCCAATAAAAAATGGTTAGGATGGCAAATAGAAGGATGATACTTCAAATATCAATAAAAGTACTAAAAGTGCACCTGTTGATGAATATTTTGATGATTAAGAGAATTTTGTAGTGTATGAAGAAAATGGTAAAATTTACGATTGCATGATGAATCAAACCAATATTATGGATGATAATAATAACAATAAGTTTTATGTTGTTCAATTATTGAAAAAGAAGGATAAGGGTAAGAAATCATCTTAATATTTAGACTTTTTTTATTTGTACACAAGATGGGGCAGAGTTGGCGTTGAAGGCTCTTCAGCCAAACAATCATTCCTGAAACCTGAATCTGCAAAAAAAGCCTATGAGAGTAAAGTGAGATAGAAAAGTGTTAAAGGAGAATATAGAGTGTTGGAAAGGGATTATAGTGGAGAACAAGATCCTAAGGAATTGGAGAAGTTGGAGAATCTCAGAGAGGAAAGGGAGAAGGAATCATACAATAAAAGCAAATTACATGCAAAGATAAAGGATCTGGTTAGATTGATTTTTGATATGAAGATGATTAATAATTAGATGAAAGAGTATTGTTAATCTATTTATCATTAGTATTGGTTATGATGCTAAAAAAACACCTTTGGGGAAATTGGCAGTTTCCACTATTAAAAAAGGATTTGATGTTCTAAAATAGATATCGGAGGAATTGCAAAAAAAGACTCCCGAATAATCGATCTTATAGAGACTCTCAAGTGAGTTTTATAGTCAGATCCCCCATGATTTTGGATATTTAAGAGCTCCTGTTATTGAAACTCCTTAGATGGTTAAAAATAAATTAGATATGCTCGAAGCAATTCAACATATTTAAATTGCTACTAAGATTTTAGAAGAAAATTCAGAGGACACCAATGCAATTGACGAAAATTTCAAAAAATTAGGAATCAATATGCAATTCTTAGAACCCACTGATGAAAAAGTCTCAACTATTAAGTAATTTGTATAAAATACACATTGCGAAACACATAGAGGATATGGATTAGAAGTGTTGGATGTTTTTGAATTGCAGAAAGATCAAGATGATAATAGATTCAAAAAAGAATTAGGCAATAGAATGTTGCTATGGCATGGATCTAGACTTACAAACTTTGTGGGTATTCTAAGTTAAGGATTAAGGATTGCCCCCCCTGAGGCTCCAGTCACTGGATATATGTTTGGAAAGGTAATTGTTAAATTCATCAAAATAGGGTGTATATTTTGCAGATATGGTTTCAAAATCAGCAAATTATTGCGCAGTCACAAAAGAAAACAACACAGGATTGATATTATTGTGTGATGTGGCCTTGGGAAATCCAAATGAGAAGTTCTATTCAGATTATTATGCTAACCAATTGCCTTAAGGTAAGCACAGCACATGGGGAAGAGGAAAGACAATGCCTCCCCAATCTGAAAACATTCCATTCCCAGGCATGCCAGAAGTCAAAGTGCCAATTGGAAAAGGAGCTCCTTCTGGTGTTCCTAATGTAAAAAATCGTATTTATGTAGACATCTTTATTGTACAACGAATTCATTGTTTATGACATTGCTTAGATCAGATTGAAGTATTTAATCAAGATGAAGTGGAATTTTAAGTGAGATCTTGAGTGTATTTTATTTATAAATTAAACTTATGTTATATATATTTTTAGTAATTAACTTACTATTTGCAAGAAGAGTAAATGAATTGGGTTAATTATTAACGAGAGATAAATTGCCAGTTGGAGCCATTTTGACAATCTCGTATGATGGATAATAGGTGGTTTGCAATGAGCAAGGATATTTCCTGCTAAAGTAGGAGAAGTTTGAAGTCGATGTGCTTGGTTTGTTCAAATAGACATTTTATCCTACTCCTTTGTAAAAGACATTCATCATTGATAATAACCAAACTGCAGTCCTGTAAATAGGTGGATTGGTAAGTCAACGAGCCAACCTCACTTTAAATGTAAATTAACCACTGAATTTGAAATAAAGAGAATATCAAATTAATAAAGGAAAATTCACAATTCAAATTGATATAATGAAACTGCTTGTTTATTAAGCCAAGGTGGTAGTATCTGCGGACTCTTTCAAAAACAATTCGCAGATCATTTATCTCTATGGTTCATACGAATATGATTTAGGAATGATTGAGCTCATTCCTGCAGAAATAGATGTGAAACTAAAATTTAATTTCAAATTTGATACTGAATGTTATTTAATGTGTACCAAGTTTAATGGGAAATTGTACGTGTTATAAAATCATACGCAAGGGGGAGAAACTGTAGAGTTTAATGGAAAATTATTCGATGAGTGGCCGTAGCAGTGTCTTTTGTATTCGGATGAAGGACAGGCCAAATTGCTGGAATTGGAAGGACCAATATCAGATTTGGCCAGGAGTCATTTATGAAGAATGTTACAAGTTATAATATTTAATAATATAAAAAAAATATGATGACTGGTAATGTAAACCCAGAATATCGGTATCTCAGTATTCTTGCGAAAACTTGGAATGAAGTTTATTTGGCTGAGAATCTGTAGACGAAGCAAAAGTGTTGTATAAAGCAAGTGTTGATTGATGAGTAATTGAGAGAGAGGTTTTAGTAGGAGATTTAGATCCTACAAAAAATAAAGGTTTATCCGCATCCAAATATTATTTCCTTTGAGGATAGTTTCTATTATGAGAAGGTGACCACTCAGGATAAAGTACTCATTCATCTCTTAAATGCAGGCAATCACCTTCGGCTGTATTGTCATGGAATTGGGCATCACCAACTTATAGCAATACATCTCCTCCAAAAAGCAATCGGATCCAGAATTCAGGTTTCAAGAGTATGAAGTGGCTGATTTCTTTGCGACTATGATCAAAGCGCACTCGCATCTCCAAGAAATCAAAATAGCACACAGAGATATCAAACCAGAAAATATTATACTTTTCAATGATGAAAATCTATTGTTTAAAGTTTGCGATGTAACACTCCTCATTTAACGCAGGTTGGTTTTGGCACTGAAATTATTGACGAGGAATCAAAATCAAGAACCATCGGGGGCACCGTTTTATACTAAGCTCCAGAAGTCTATCGAGCTTTCAAAAGAAGGAAACATCAAGCCAAGTACAACCCTTACAAGAGTGACGTCTTCTCACTTGGATTGGTCTTCTTGTTGTTTGCTACCTCTCAAAATATGACAAAACAGGTATCATCCCCAATTTTCATATTAGTTAAGAGAAGAATTGTTCGATGACGAAGTAAAGCTCTACAATTATTTAAAAGAAAAACGAAAGCAAGTCAAGGAATCATACCCTAGAATCAAAGGAGTTTCCAAAATCCTGAAGCTCATGTTGGACATCTCTCCTGATCAGAGATACGATTTCTCCCAACTGAGTCAAATTATTGAAGAAAGATCCTACTTGGAAGTTAAATCTGTACGTCATTCATCATCTAAATAGCCTGCCAAAATCAATCACAAACATCTGTAATCCATTTCTAATTTGGACAATTTATAATTGGATATTAAGAATAAGGAGGATGTGCAATTGGATCTAAATGGAATGCAGAACAAATCACAAGACGATTTACTTAAATTCTTAGAAACCATAGCGTAGCAAGTTAAAAATTTTTAAATGATTACGTTACAAATAAAATTGGAGATGAGTTGTTTGAATGTGAGAACCATCGCACCAGTTGAAAAGATTTTGAATAGAGCTCAAAAGTTGAAAGAATTGCAATTGCATCTGTGGAAGTAAGGTCTTATTTCTATTTATAGTAATAAATTGGGGAATTTGGGATTGTTGTTCTTAACCAAGGCGATAATGAAGATGAGTGAATTGAAGCGATTAACCTTGGAACTATCTAATAATTAAATCTCTGATGAGGGCATTAATAATTCATTACCCCTTTTAGAGGGACTTGTTCAGATGGAGGAGTTAAAATTGGATTTCGGATTGTATTAGTTCTTCTAAATTAATTAAGAAATCATCTACCTATGGATTGTTGTGAAGCATTTTTTTAACTTATATGTGCCATGCCAAATCTAAAAAAGCTCGATTTAGGTCTTGAAAGTAATTAAATGAATTAAGTGCTTTCTAAATTACTGAGGTAGTCAATGAAGCGATTGCCCCTCCTCACTCAATTAACCATTAACTTTTCCAAGTATTTCTTATGCCTTAAAAGCAGCATTCCTATGCACAATGAGGGTTTTTCTGATCTTGGAGAGAGCATATCCGAATTGGAGAATTGCGAACTGGTTCTTTGGGGTTCGCAAATCAAAGATTTGGGAGTGGAGGAATTTGCTAAGGGATTGTCCAAATGCGAGAAGGTTAAGCATTTAAATCTGACTTTGTGGAGCAATCAAATTACAAAGAAGGGATGCGAATCTCTGGGTTTGGTGTTACCGAAATTGACGAAGTTAAGTACTTTAGTAATTGACTTGTCCAAAAATCGTATAGAGGATGAGGGAGTTAGATTTTTGGCTAAGGCCATTCATGAGATGCAGCAAGGGTTAAGAGAATTAAAATTTTGGATTGAGAAGTGAGTGCGATATATTAAACATAGTGTGTCTTGTTCTTCCTTTGGATTGAGGTATGTCAATAGATTTTTGGTATCGCAAAAGAAGTTGAGGAGTATCAGTTTGAATTTCAGATCGAACTAGATTGGATTGGATGGAATGGAGTTGCTGTATAATGGCTTCGGTTAAGCTACTTAGTTAGAAACAGTAAACTTGATTCTTGATCAGTAATGAATTAATTGGAAATTAGCAATCCATTAGGGGATGAAGGTGTGAACACTTTGTTTAAGGGGTTGTGTAAGTTGAAGGAGTTGCAGAGATTGTTTCTGAGTCTTGAGAGTGTTCAGAGTTCTGGGAACTCGGTGACTGTGATGTTGTCTTCGATCAAGTCTTGGTCTGAATTGAGAGAATTGCATGTCAATTTCATGAAGTACATATAACATAACATTTACGTTAGAAATGATACTGATTTGGCTGACGACATCAATTTGAAGAACCGACTGTTGGAGATACAATCGAATGCCAAAATTAATATTGAATTAAAAACTATAAATTAATAAATAAAGTGATTAATGATCTTAGGGATATTTGAATCTATTAATTTATAATTAACGACATATATTTGAATTTTAATGTGTATAATGGAAAATTAATTAATTAAATTTCAAAAATACAGAAGAATTAGCGATGGTTTTAAAAAATTTATAAGTCTTTATTAGTCTAGAGGAGGACCCAAGAATTAAGTGCTTTATGACGGAGATAAGAGGAACTCCATCAGAACATACAATGGTAGTTATTGTTAATTTAATATTTTCAGATAACTCAAACACCAGACAAGGATTCAAAATCGGATGGGACATTGATCAATCTAGAAAGGGAGACACCAAAATAGCTGGAAAAGTGGGACAAGATCAAAGAAATTCATACATCCCCTAATATCAAACATAAACCTATGTGCCAGTTGTGGAAGTATTCACTAACATAATTAGTAAAATCAAGATGACGATTACATGAAGTAGTTGTACCTTCAAGAAATGAACAAAAAGCAAGAGCTCGCTGCCTTGTATAAGCAACCCGAGTATAATTACTAGGATGCTTTGGATAGTTATAATAATGGAAAACAATATTCAAATAATAATAACCCTTCCAACACTTATGAACAACCATAATTGTTGCAATAATCTAACAAATATGATCACTATCAATAGCCAAATGTCGAAGAGGAGCTCTATTATAAGGTATCTTATATAATAATATAATTAGTACAAATAAGGGAACAGTGGAAGTAAACAGTAGAATACTGGTAAACCACCAGTAGCCTCTTATCATCCTATTACAGGATAGGCTTATGAAAATGCCTACACTAACCAAAGAGTTCAAGAACCCTAACAATAATAGCAGTAGGATGATGCACTTAGTTAATTTAGTTAATGTATTGAGAATGTTCATCTTCATTAGTGCAATAACACAAAGTAACCTCGATGAAGAACAAAACTTCAAACATCTTCAACACAGATATTCAGGAGACTGAGAACATCAACCACAATAGACAAAATAGCAGAGTCTTAAATAAAAGAAAAGAAATGGACGATGCTCAGTATAAGGGATATGGTATGATATATGAAGTGATCTTGTTTTTAGGCTAGTTCTACAAGAATCCAATTGATGCAGTCCCAACTCAATATAGGGAGTAAAAGTTTGTTAATAGAAACATGATTGACAATCAGATATTTCCAAAATGATTATATAATTGCATAATAATTATATAAATTAATTTAACACGTATAGTGTGAATATAAATTGCGAAATGATTAAGTGAGAATTCAATATTAAATTTAAAATGAGTTAAGAAACCTTGAATGGAATCAATGGAATATTGTAGGATGTCCAAAGTTTCGGTTAGGAGAGTTACAGATTTATTAGAAAATGCACTAAACCAGATAAAAGAGGTATATGAATGTACAATTTCAAAATAGAGTACATTAAAATCGCAACATCTTGTGCTGTTGGCTTTGCAGTTATGGGAGCTGTCGGATACTTTATTAAGTTGGTTTTCATTCCAATAAACAATATTATATTAAGTGCCAATTGATTTTTGTTACATTTACATTTTATCATAAATATACATATAATTTGCAATGCAATCATTTATCAATCAATTAAAATAAGCAAATATTTAATAGTTACTAAGCAAAGAGACTTTCAAAGACATCCCAATCCAATTGAAAGCAATCCGATTAAGTTATGAGATCGAGCAAAATCCAGGAGCCCTCTTAGAGATCTTTAAATGTAGAAATAGAAATGATGATGTAATTCAACAGGCAATCAAGATTGCAAATCAGAGTCAATTTGATAATTAGGAGATTGTTAAAAATATAAGAATTGAATAATTCCAATATCAGCAGAAGTTGAAGCAGATTCAATAAAAGCATATGTTGAAAATGGGATTGATCCTGTATGGAGTATTGTTGAGCTTGCATTTAGGCATTCAAGGTTGGTACTATTTGGAGTATGATTTGTGGTTATCGAATCCTGGGATTTCAGAATATCATACGAATAGATTTCGTTGAAATATATTTATATTTGAACAAAACAATAAATTTATCACCAATTTGCTGCATCCTTTAATTACGTAACAGCATCATCTACTAACTCATTAAATTGATCTTCATTCTTGATCATATCGAGGATTTCATCAACTGTGAAATTGGAAGGATCTGAAAGCACTTCACTTACTTTCTTCCAATGAGATTCTGCTTCTTAGCTTAGTTTTGCTTTGATTCTATAATACAACATCATTCTAGAATTAATTTTATTACAAAAGATTACTATAATTATTTGACTTGCTCTTCTTCAGGTTTTGCCTTGAAATTCTCGAAGTTCTCCAATAAATCGACTAAATCTTATCGTTTATCGAAGGCTACAGGTTAAAGTGAAGCCAAGTCAGTAACTTATCGAACTGGAGGAGGGAAGGGAGTTTGTCTTATGGGATTGGGGAATTACTATTGATATGGTCTTCTCATTCCACCACCTGGAACTCTCTATTGTTACATGGGGAAAGGGAAGGGCATTCTAGGACCAAATTAGGCTGGTCCTGAAGGCATTTAGTACATTCTTCTGTTTGGAGACTATCTTTAATTAGGTCTTCTCTATCCTTTTGATTAGGAATGTTGAGGGAAAAGATGTTGGAAGTATTTTCCACCAGCTTACTCTACGTTTGGATCGAATAGACTCTTGATTTCATCGAACTTTTCATTCTCCTTGAAGGATTTGATCAACTTATTTGCATCTGAACCTTATTCAAATACAATATATCCAATTCTGATGATTTATTGAAATCCTTATTACATCTTTTCCAATCTAATCTAATATAGAATAAGATTTCAATAATACCATGCAGATATCACCATAACCAGCATCTTTCAATGTTTATCTAATCACGTCTTCTGTAACATTTCTATTCAAATGATCAGCGTAAATATATTTTTAATAGACATTATTATCTCTTTGTTGTTTTCTATCTGTTTTAGTTTATGCCCATCCGACATACATCTTTCTCCCAGTATTCAATGGATCCTTCGATGGATTAGCTCCTAAGGTAGTACCTAATGTTCTTTATGCCTCTTTTGCATCTTGATGCCTGCTGAAACTGACAAATGCAAATGGAGCTTTGCGTTCAAGATCAATTTTGACCAAGATACTAATTATTGGACCGTATGTGATGAACCATTCATTCAATTTTGCACGCATTTCAATTTCCTTTCATGGATAATTGATTATTGATACCAATTATTCTCTAACTTAGTTGTTTGTTAAATCGACAGCATCCAATGAAGTCCAGAAGTTCTTTATGTATAAGTTACATCTCTTGTCTTCACGTTCTGTTTAGCCTTTCCTAACAAATCGTTTCACAATAATTGATGTCTTTTCATTATATGACACTTTTCCTTCATTTTATTAACTTTCAGTCAACAATGCATCTGCTTAGTCTTTCTTTTCATATTAAACCCATCCATAGCCTGAATGATTTAGAATTTTCAAATACCTCTGCTCTTCTTATTTTCATCGACTGATAATTTGACACTGACCACTGCTCCCCATTTGGTGAAGAATTCCTCCAATTGCTTGAGTGATACATTCAACTCGAATCCTGCAAAAAATAAGTTTGCATCTTTTTCATAATCCTGAATGTAGGTTATACGCATAGGATCTCTAAGAAGCTATTTGTAATTCATTGCCTCTTTTGCCTTCCTTGCCTCCTCTTACGATGAAAAATAGATGAAGGCATAATGCTTTGACTTTCCAATGAATTGATATCTAATTATGGCGAGATCACTTTTACCTGTGCAATTTAACATAGCTAATCTATCCAAATTTTCTAAACTCTACAAAGAGTTGCTCCTCTGTGATTCCATCTTCCAAGTCTGAAATGTGAAGTCCATTTTGGGATGGTCTGTTTTGATCCTAGTAGCCGGGAAACTTGAACACTAAATCAATTAACAAATAGTGATACTTTTATGTGGATTTAATAATCAAGATTTAAAAATTCTTTTAATTTTTTGTGCTTGTTTTTTTCTCTGATATTTCAAAAATTATTACATCTAATAGATGAGAATTGATAGTCATATTTCTTAAAGTAAATGATTTAATATTGATGAGAATTTAATTAATCAATAAATTTCTAAAAGAGGCTTAATCCACATTTTGGAAGTACATTATTCTATTTTATTCATAACTATATGTTTATCTGATTTGATCTTGAGAGCACTATCCAATTCGTAATCACTTTCCTTGGTCGGTATCGTGGAGCATTCGAATTGTCGAGTATTGCAATTCTCAATAATTTCAGATGAGATTTTATTCTTAGAAATCTACATTTTTGTTGGTTCGTGAAATTTCGCAAATGGGTAAATAAGCACGTCTAGAAGCACATTGGAAACCTTCAGCAGAATCAAGTCGATCAAGTATATGCTTGAATCACTCTATAAAACTGTAATTTCAAATTATTACATTTATGATTTCTGTGATTATGTTACAACATATGAACAGTTCGCAAAATATATAGAACCCTATTATAATGTGCAATTCGTTTTAAAGTTTTCCTTGTGGCTTAGCTTGACATAACAGACATAAAATCATTGTGATCAATCCAACTCCCCCAGAACCCAGAATGGCGATTGCTCGACTCAGACTGAATTGATTCTGGAACATCCTAACCATAAAATGGCGAATCCATACCAAATGTAAAGAGAGAGGAAATCTACTAAAAATCCAATCAAATATATTTAAAACACGATTCCAACTGCAATCTTGTTCTTGTTCAACACTATCAGGGACAACAGCAAACAAGCTGCCATCTACTGAAGGATAATCAACATAAGATAATAATGATCAAATTGTTGTATGGCCAAAAGAATTGATAAAATAGTATGACAGCTTGCCAAGCCGAAAAGATTAGGTTTTCTCATTTGAAATTTGTGTCGAATGAAAATCATCACCATAAGGGCGAAACTGAGTAGGAATTGCACGATTCCCATAATCAAAGTCGACCATTCTTATGATATGCTACCATTTGAGGTAATATTACCTTGATATCCTTGTGACAAGATAGACTTGGGAAATAAGGATGGTTGTTGTGTAAAACTAAGGTAATGCGTAATGACAAAGAGATTACATGATTGTTTAACTTAAAAATTAATATTTTAATATGAACGATAAGATATTAAAATAGCAACCAAACCACACTTATTTATTATATATTTTTCATTATGGCTTGCTCATACCCAAAATAACTTCACGAGCATAGGCAGTCTACCCCAAACCTGCATCATTCAAAGCCACTTGCAATCGATATCTCATATCCGACATTAATTGATTGATGTTAAATCCCGTAACATTGGACTTTGCACAATAATTAATATGATTACTAAAGGAATTTTGTCCGCCTTATCATATTTCGTTTGTTTTCGCAATTGCCTCGTCTCAGTCTCACTGATCAACCTCTGAAAATCCTTATCCACATTAGGTCTGATACTGTATCTATTGATGGCATCTTCAATTCTCTGAGCCTTCACTTCCGGTTCCAACTTCTTGATCTCCTACTTCAATTTCTTATCCTCCCGTTTCACTACCTCCTTCTCCTGTCTTTATTACACTCGTGGTTTTGCCTACTCGATTTATTGTAACTGTTGTTTCTTCACCACCTCTGCTTGTTATTACTATTAGATCAAGAACTATTGTCTCTTCTATTCCTTCTCTACTTGATATGTCAGAGCAATCTCTGCAATTTCAGCCTTGTGTTTCAACCATTCATCGTGCTTAACCTAATCCAATTATTCCTATTGTTCCCTCTACTCCTCTTTCTATTATTGTAAAATTAATTATTTTTTCTCGTATTCAACACGTCTATTTTCATTATGATATAGTGTTACTTCTCCTCTAGTTCCTCTGCTATTCTGATTCTTTGTTGCTTCAATTACAAGTACTCCATCCATCTCTGATTTTTTTGAATTTTATTCTATTGCATATCATTCAGCAACTGTTCTGATTTATTTTATAATTGCTATATCTTCAGATAAATAGACTACCGAATATTCAATCTTCCAATTGCGTTATAAAATTGTCAACCTCTTATTGATATCTTTTTGTTTTCTAATGTAATCGACAGCCTCTTGCAACTCGGGACGACTCTTCTTTGGGAAATGGAGCATCAACCTTTACATACTGTGTAAACTGTTTGATGATCCCAGATATAGCATCTCCTCACTGACTTCGATCCTCTCTTTGGGAGTCAGTTTCTGTATTTCCAATTGGTACCTCTCATAAAGATACTCTAAAGCTTTGGCATAGTTTTCAAGAATCTCCAACTCTTCATCATCACAATTTTAGGCATATAAGATCAATTCTAAATGGTTTTGATTAACATTACAATACTGTCATTCAAATATTCTTGCTCAATTCTGGATCGAAATGAATTGCATATAGTCACATTGCATTGTTGCATATCCAAGGTTTCTTCGTTGTCCTCATCGACTATTGTAGATTCTTTTTAATATTCTACTTCCAATTTAGAAATCATTTATTGCAAGTAATCCTTAAATGAAAATGCCAATTCCTTAAATTAAGAGCTCTCGTTATTAGTCTTCTTATCCAATCGAGGCAATTATTCTCTCCTCAATTAGAGTTGAATCTTCTTTAGATTTTGTAATTAATAAATCAACTCATCTTTGACTTATTTGTAATTTTGAATTCCCTACTCCAGTAGGGCAGCTAAACAAAACTTGGGTAAGTCTGATTGGATCTCCAAGAGTAGTAACTTCGACTCCAAATCAATATTGAGCATTCTCTCTACTTTCATCAATTGCAAATACTCTTTCGACCATTCCTACCTTTAAACTGATTGAACATTCTTATGTTTCATGTCCTTCGACACCTTAAACCCTCAAATGATAGCGATACCTTTTTAATTTAGTTCAACTTGGCTAAGAATTCTTTGCTCCTCTCCTCCTCCTCCTCAAATTACTTTTGTAACATATTTATATATATATTTATAATTCATGTTCTTAATTTCAAAAACATCCTCTTAATCATCCTGGCTTCATATGATATCGTGTGTTTCTCATCAAGTTATTCTAGCGGGTTAATTACCTAAAGAATATACGGGTAATAAATACAGAGGGGATAGACTTGCCACATTGATCAGCTGCATCCAAGAAATCCAGGATCTCACTATACGAAGTGTCCTTAAGAATAATCATATGTTTGGCCAAGACTTCGATCAAAGCAAGGAAACATCTCTTGGCATAATACCACGTATCTGTGTTAATCTACATAATAGATTTCATTAATTTACTTTCTTGTTATATGGTTCAAGTGATTTGATAACTCTAGAGATACCAAATTCGTAATTATTTTTTGAACAATAAAGTGTTCCTATAACTAAATTTACAATGCACAAATGATACACTGATTTCTCTGGATCTTGATACTGTGATTTCTCTTCTTCCTTTTCCAATTTACGCATCATCTCTTCAGCATCTTCATTTTGATTGACCATAATGTAACTAACACACAAATTTGCAATCACTATTGCAGTCAATGACAATAGATTATCACTATTCTTCTTAACAATAGGTTCATAATAACGAATAGCCTCTCTATATTTATTGTCTTGCACATAAAATACATGTGCCACATTTAATTTCCAGACATCGTGATCAGCACAAAATTCTGCTGACTGTCTAAACAGTTTCTCCACCTATGAATAATTATCCTTATCCCAATATATTTTAGCCTGTGCCATCAATACAGGAATGAACTTCTCCAAACAATCATCGAATTCCTTAAGCGATTTCTTGATTCCCTCGTTGTCCCTGTTCAACCTTGCATCCTGAATTGATTTAGTGATCCTTCGTAGAGTGTCTATATGTTTGTTTGCTAAGATCTAAAACTTTCTAAAGGATTCCTCTGGACTCGCTGCACTCAAAATCAATGCGTCTACAAATTCAAAGTCGTCTGAACTAATGGTCTTAAAAGTGAGATCTGCATTTTCAGCTAGAATATCAGCTGCCATGTCATAATAGCCATATTTGCAATACAACAGTAATAGATTCGGAAATGTCTCAGGAGGGAATGGCGGATTTTGCAATAAATGATTCAACTTTTTAAACCCTTCCGCTGTTTTCTCCTCTATGTTCATCAAGGCTTGATTCATCAAAGTTACAGGATCCAATTCGTCCTCTTCTCTCGGAGGCATGTCAACCAAAGCTTCTTTTGCTGCATCAAAATTTTTGATAGAGTATTCGATGGCTGCCTTTAAATTGAATGCTTCAATCAAAGCAGACTCCTTCAATGCTTAGGAATTACCAACACTCTTGACTTCGATTCCTTCTGCATTTGAACCTACTCCCAAATCTGGTCTTTCTCTCACTCCCCTCTCAATGATCTCGGCTATGTACTTGAGAGATTGAGCCAATTGTTTTTATTTGTAATAACACAGAGCTATGTTGTAGGCCAATTCACAAGAGTAACCAGTCAAATTCATTCCGTCCTGAAATCGCTGTCTTGCCTCATCGAACTTATTCTCCTTGAATAAAATGCACCCTTCATTAATGACTGAGTCTGGATCGTCCATGTTATTCTATTTTAATAATGTCTTCGCATGTTGAAATTCGCTCTTCTCATATCGAATCAGAGCTTACAATTACACCATCTTGCCTTGATATTGAGGATTCTCAATTGAAGCACACACTTTCAATGCCTCATCGTATAGACCTATTTTTCAAAAACTTTCTTACTATCCTTGTAATATGACTATGCCAAGTAGATCTTATAATCATCAATCTCAGGATAGTACTTCACCAATTGTTCATAACTAATTTATCTAGACCATTTCGTACATGCCAACGGCAGAAGTGAAATCCTAATTCATGTAATGGCAATATGCGAGTAAAGATAAGGCTCTGCTCTTCGGACAGAATTGCAACTCGTAATTCAAATAATTTATAGCCTCCTTGTACTTTTGATCCTTGATAAGTGTGTATATTATTTTTGTTCGCTGTCCTTCAGCAATAGGTTGGACCGGTTGCATTATTTAATTTAAAGAATATATGAACAAAAAACAATCACATTTATAGGGATGGGAAGAATACTCCTATTAAAATACGTACACCAACCAACTCAAATTTCTCAGTGAGTCACTCAACTATGCCAATACTGTCCCCACACACATCGACTGTAAGTTGCACTAATCGGTCTCACCAAAAAAGAATCGAATTTTTTAGTGCTACGTCAAGAACTCCTTACTCATCGACAATGCCTACACGGTGTCTCAGAGATAGCATTACTTGCAAGGGAACTTCATAAAGAAGGCTTAATTCTCTCCGAAGAAATAACTTAAGCGCAACTACATTGGACCCATTTTATAATAAATTAGAATCTACCAAAAAACTAAATACATCGGTAAAAACGATTCTATTATCAAATAAGTAACAAGGTGATGTCAATGAATTCTACTCTAGATTTTCATTTTGTTTAAATTAGATAAAATAATAATCATAAAATTTTATTGGCATAAAAATAAAATAAAAATAATGTGTTATAATTTCTGTTATTTTTATAACATTCCTATATCTATTTCTATTTCTATTCCGAAATCTATAAATGAGATTTCCATTTGAATCATTTTTTATGATGGGGTGTGATATTAAATAATTATTTGTAATTTATATTAAAATCTTGGAAAATGAAATAATCGTAAAAGGGAATTTTGAAGAAGAATTCATAACAGGATCTAGATATGTATTGAAATGAATTTTATTGTAGGAAGAAAGAATTGCATTGGGATGAGCATACAATATAGTAAAGAATATTCTAATTTTATTAGATAGCAAGATTTAGAGAGAGGAAATAAAACTAAAATTAATGAACCCAAAACACCCTATGAAGATGAAATTATACAATAAAATCTCTAGGAGGATAAAATTGAAGTTGAGGATGAAATAGAGCAGGATTTAATATAAGCGCAATTGAATAAACAAAAATTGCAGCAAGTAAAATCAAGTCCATTAAATGTAGTAACATTAAAAGAAACTGGACATTGAAGAACTGAATAAAAGATTAAAAGAGGATTTGGATAGGGAAAGAAAAAATATGGATGATGATTCTGCAGAAGAAGAGGAAAAAAGAAAAAAACACGAAGAATTTGTTAAAAAAAGAAAATAACACTATAATGAAAAGAACCTGATTAGAGATGCCATGCACAAAAAATAGTTTGAGGACTAATGAAATATATATTTAATATAATTCAATTGAATAAAATCTGATTCCCAGATATATTGTACTGAGTTAATATATTATGTTTATCCAATCACGAACAATCTGTATGACCCAACACTTGCATGCAGGAAAATAGGATGGACTTCAATAGTAAGTTAAGTATTCAGCTTCACATTCAATTATATGGTTTGAATTTAGTTCTCCAAATTTGATTAAGCCATTACTCTACCATCTTTCTCTCGTAAAATCAAAGAGTAAGAATCTAAACCTGCCAGAGGAGTCAAAACAAATGTAAATATTTAATTGAAGGGTTAAGAACCAATATGATATGCACCAAATATCATTCTCAACTAGAAATGATGTATCCAACAATATCGTCTTAGCGTAACTGCTCTAATAAAATTCATACAAAGGATATGTTCTGGTACTACAACCATCATAATCTATGGTAACTGATTTTACTATATTTGTTCCATAAATGTAGTTCCCATTAAGATCCACTCTGTATCTATGAGCTCCTATTGGTTCCAGTGGTCCCAGTGGTCTCGAAAAGGTCCTATTGGACCAAGTGCTGACCATAAACCAAAGGCTCGTAATTGGAAAGCAAAGTCATTAGTTTCAAATAAGGTTTTCCCTGGATCTTTTTAACCATAATATTTGATTGTTGCCAAAGGACCTTTATAACCTAATGGTCCATCCTTAGACATAGGAGATCCTTTTAATATTGAGTCCATTGAAATAATTCCACTAAATTAGTAGGGAAATAGATTTTGTCCAACTAGATGGTTAGATACCAAACTGGATTGGACAAAGGACCTAGTGATGATAATGGGCCATAAGGACCCAAAGATCCTTTGTATCAAAGACGACTATTAGAACTCAGGTATTGATAGGGATTTAATTCTGGAACCTTTGCTAGGTCAATATTTGGACACACTTTTGTGAGATCCACTTTTGAAATGGAATTGGTTGTTGTTATGAGGGTCTTTTGGTAATCATTTCTTCAACCGAAGTTCGCAGTATTGGCACAGGCACGAGTGGATATGATCAAGAGAGAGAGGAATCATTAATGCTCTATGTTTAAATAATATTCTTTACGGATATTGAATTTAAGTTTAATAGTAATTAATAATACAAATTATGATAAATGTATGAGATTCATGTTGAACATAAATTAGATATTATTTATCTTCATTCGCATTATAATAATGTTGTATGCTTATTGACTTATCAAAAAAATTCAGCTTACAAATTAGAAATTATTATAAATATTATGGATTATATATACATTAAACAACATCTCGACAATGATCCAAAAATGTAACGATTCATTAGAAATCGCATTCTTTACTAAACATCTGATACATATCATTATGCAAACTATAAGAAAAGGATGAATCAATCATTTGATTAATCAATACATCAAACGACTTTACAAAAATTTAACGACCTCTCTTATCTTGTAATTGATAAACTACGGCAATCTCCAACACGAAAGTCTTACTTTTCACGACCGACATCAGCCACCCAAAGATCACCTTTTATATTTTCTAGTAATTGTAACTTTTATAAATAAGCACTGCAAACCCAAGAATCACAAGCAGTCAGAAATTTCAAAAGAAAACTAAACAGCAGTAAGAGATGTGCATAAAAGCAAAAAAAATAACCCATTGAATACACATGCAGACAATACAAATTTATATTATGAATTTGATTTTAAATACTAATATTTATATTGTTTTGTTCAAAATCAATCTAAAAAGAGTTATGGCTTTTTAACATTACACAATATTTAGGTCTACAAAATTCAAACATCTTGAATGCGTTTGATGATTGTAGGCTAGATAAAGAAATCAGAGTAAAATTTTAATTTTATTGAAATCTGAAATTAACATATGTGTGTAAATGTTCATAAGAAAAAGACAAAAATATGCATCAAGAGAATTAATTAATTTATTTTTGGGGGGATGTCAATTATAAATAATTAAAATGATAATTACGACCATTTTTTGTTGAGTTTGAAAAATGCCAATTTTTAGAGACTATGACATATCATAAATGATAAATTCTGAGAGTGAGAAATTTATTAAGATATGTTACACTTATTATAATTGGTTGGTTTCATAAAAACATCATATTGTCATCACTTACAATATTATTTGTCTACACCTACACTTACATCTATAAATTCTTTTTTTGTATAGTTTAAACACATTATTTTTCTTGATTGATTAATTACTCATATGTTTCAAGATACAATAATTGTTCTTCTAACTTATCCATCTAAACCGAGATCATCTGTTTTAAATTTTCATCCATTTTTTAAGGTTCCTAACTTTGAATTACTTCAACATTGGGTAATTTGAGTTTATCCAATTGTGACTTGAAACATGCCACTCCCAATTGAATTGGATTACTCACATCATTATGAAAAGTAATGTGTTCCTTTGAGTTATTGATGATAAGATACTTTTGCTGGTTTTTTTGGTATGGATGGTTCCTTGTCCAAGGATGGAAATATGTTGGAATAAGGGAGTTATAAATACATTTTAACAATTTCAGTCAAAGATCGTTTCGTAAAATATTTTGCAATTTCATTCCATTTCTCTTTGTGTTTGTATACCAATTCTAACAATCGATATATCTCATCTTGGGTCCATGGAGCATATTTCTAAGTCTATTGTAATTACGCTAAGGATAGTGAGAAGGTAAACTTACAAAAATCTTCATTTTTCAAAAATTTAGGATATTTTTTTTCAAGGAAACAATTATTACATAGCAATAATGGTTGTAATTGAAATGATGCCAAATTCTCCTTCTTTTGTTGGTGGAATGGATAAGCCTTCATGTCACAAATATGACATCTAAGTAAAATTATATGCAAATTATTCTTACTCATTGTGAGGATCGCTATGGAAATTGATTTGATTACTTTGGAAGTTAAGCTTCACTCTTTCCAAGAAGGTGCCATTTTGTTGGTAAACTTGTCCTTAATTCGGAAGATTGTTGGGATTGTATTGGAAATTGATTAATCCCCAATGTTCTAAGAAGGTGTAGACTCTTAGCAAAGACGAAGCATCTCCGCTAATAAAATTGAGACAATCAGTAAATTTTAGATATTTAGTTTGAGTGCTTATCCATTTCTATAGGATCCCATTCCTTATTTTGAGGTAAGTGAGGGGAGTCTTGTAGTTGCCCTTATAGTATGAAATGTCATTGTGAAAATGTTGATGGAAAAATTCTGGGAGGGAATCCTTTTCAATCTGATGGATGGAATCGATCTGAAACCAACGTGCTGGAGCTGGGATGATTGCTTCCCAATTCTGCAAAAACCAATCCTTCTAAAAGCTTGAAGTCCAATTATTACCTTGCTTTGTGTTGCTTCTTAAGTAATGTTAGTTGTGGTGCTTTCTTTTTTGACAGGAAGAGGATTCGGCGCCTATGTTGAAGACTTTTGAATCACCTTCCGCTATTCTGTTTGCACCTCCAGTACTTCATACCCAGTTGATACTTTATGGAGTAAAATTGTAATTTGTGAATTTCTGCTTTCAGGTCTTCTGTTGTACATTCCTAAAAATAATAGAATGTAAAAAGTAAGCTTATAATGGAATGAGGGTTGGCAATCAGGAAATGCAAGAGGGAGTTAATCAATATGGAGATTGAAGGTCGATTCCAGTTGTTCCCTCCAGATCATAATCCTGTTACCTCATATACTCTAGAGACTCAAAATGTGTTCCAATTAGGTTGGAAAACATAATGAATTTCATCTAGAAAAGTATATTAAATTATTTATATCAAATATTTTACCTTTTTGAATCTAATTTGCTGAAATGTTTTGTTCTCTAAAAGAAAATAATTTATCTTTTTAAAAATCCAATAGAGAACTAAATATGCCAAGAAATTCAATATCAAAAATCAAATAGAACACATTTTATTGTAGATATCATATAATAAACATATATAAAATACATTAATATAATAGTCTGCCGATCAAGATCAAAAATATCTTGAAGTAATTTAATAAAAATATTATAATAAGAAGATTTAGAAATTAAGGCAAGATAAAGGTAATTAAAGTTTTAAATTACCTTGATAGAAAGAGAATTATAATACTTTATCTTAAATTTGTCTTTAAATGAATCTAATAAAAAAATCTAAATAATATCTAACCATCAGTGGTGAATCTATCTTATATAATTGCTTAATAAATCTTTTTCTCATTTATCTTGTTTTGAATACTTTAAAAAAGACATCAGATATCTAAACTATAATATCTCAATAGAGATATTTGAATTTCACATAATAAAGAAGAAATAATTATATCATTATTGATTATTAATGAGTTATATATGCATACAATTTAATAAGTTAGCTTCAAGATAGGCTGAGACAATAACGAGATTTTATTCACTATTATATATTTTAATATTTTTTTAAAATCAATAAAGGAATTCAATATGTAATATCTGATAATTAAATTATAATTGGAAACAAATGGCTATTTTAAATGTTAGAATTGGAAAAAAAAATTTCGAATATACTTTTAATTATTTATAGTTAAATTCAAAGACAAAATTGAGCAAGTATTTATGTACTTTAATAACGCTTTAATAAGAAATTTATTCTTAATTACAACGAATATTTATTCCGTAAATGAATCATATTAATTATATTAAATTTAAAATCTTAATTCTATTATATACTTTTTTAAATTCACTTTTATTCACTTAAAACAACTATTTTCTCATAATAAAAATTGAAATTTCATCATTTATTAATAGAAATTTCTATTAATCAAACCTAGATAAATAATGAAATTATTATAATTATATTAATGAGGTGGTGTAATGAATGGAAAAATACAATAAGTTTAATAATTTGAATTAAGCACTGTAACTTGTAAATTTATCTAAAAATTATATTGATTCTCAATATTTTTAATATAAATGTAAGATTAAAATGAAAATTATAAATTAATGCAAGTATTCTAAGAGGAAATGAAAGTTCTTATGTAATAAGTAAGATAACGTGAATAAATCAATTATTTATAATAGTTTAATAATATAAAATTATAATGGGAAATAATTTTTGCTATTCTAAAAGTGGGATGCAATCTACAATGTCTCAATTATTATGTTAATAGAGACTTAATGGATGTGATGTCATTTTAACCGCAGGAAATATAGAGAAGGAGTAAGTAGATTGTATAGTTTAACCAACTGATGAATAATTTTCAAATGTTCCCTAAACTGATAAACCCACCTTTATACCAACGAATGGGAACTGCATTTTTGTGGGATCGACCAAAAGTAAACAGAAAGATTAATAAGATTAGAGAACAAAAAAAATTATATTTTGGCTGTTGTTCAAGAAACTAATGAAATAAGTATCTAAGATTAACAAGATGAAGAGAGACAATTAATTTATGAAACCATTCAAAATTGTTTGAAAATGGTATCCATTCATCTAAATTAGGCAAATGCCAGACAAATGAGATCTGTAGCATTTCCTGTATTCTAATAAAAGGATCACACAACATCAGCAACAATAATGATTATGGCTATCAAATTATTTATCAATGAACAGAAATCAGATTCAGTCAACAAAATTTTTATTACATTAAATGTAAGAATGTGTTCTTTATACATTTATTAATTTAGCAAATAGAATAGGTGAGCACTTTTAAATGGGTATTTTAGTAAGTGTTCGAACAGCTAGATTAAATAAAATCTAAATCATACTCCAGTTCAATCAATACTACGTTTATGGACGAATATAAGTCGATTAGGCAGATCCAATAATAAACAGTCAAAGAAGGTACTCCTTGATATAATTATTAATATAAAAATTTTGATGAAAATACAAAAATTCGTTTTCTATGCAGATTATTAAATTAAATGAAGATTATTGCATTTCTCTGTGTTGTGATTGCTTTGTCAACAGCCACTGAAGCCATTGACATCTTTAATACAGTACAAACTTCGTAATAGTTAGTTACCAAAAACAGATTTCGGAAGAACAATATTACAAACTGTCTAATTGGAATTGTCAAATGGATCAGCAGTAGATTCTGTTGTGGATTCATTAAATGAAATATTGAAATCAGCTGAATAAGAGAAAGGAGCTATTCAAGCTAATTTGAGAAATAGACAGGCTTAATGTCAAACAAGACAAGATGATGCTTAGAGTGTTATCGATAGAGCAAATGCCAAGAGAGCTGATGATGAAAGAAAATGTATATACTTCAATTCATATGCTAGTGCCATTGATCAATGAAGAATTGATTAGCAAATAAGAGCAAGCATTAGTGAAGGACTCTGAAGAACAAAGAAACAATGATAAACTTGCACTCATTACAGCTACAAGAGAAGAACAAAAATAAGAATATCAAGAAAGAAGAAATGAATTGACAAACTATGTTGCAGCATTAGGAGAAGCAAAATCAATTGTTTCCGGATTAGGTTCTGTTAGCTTCTTGCAAGTCAGTTCAAGTGAACATTATTCCAAATTCAGTATATCTGAATCTCTATTATTTTTAGAGGAAGCATATCCAAAACCCAGAGGTTATGGAATCATGGTCGAATTGTTATTGAAAGCATCAACATAAGCTAAAACACCAGAATAAGTTGAAAGACTAGTTGCCACCATTTAGGGATTAATTGATTCAATCTATGAACTCTAAAAGTAAGAATTATTGGTTGACGATGCAAGAGAAGTCGAATTCATCAGACAAAGGTACTTACGATTATACTAATAGATAGAGAGATCATACTTTTAGCTAATCAAACTTTGGCTGCATCAGTAGCTGAATTGAAGGCCTAAGTCTTACATTTACAATAAGATATTGTCGAAGTAACAAACGATGTCAATACTAACAAATCAATTGCATCCATCAAAACTAAGGAACTTAATGATTGGGTCAAAACTTGTTAAGACGAAGAGAAGAATCTTAGAGCCATCTTTGATAGCAGGTAATTCAATGTAAATAAACTTATAGAGTTGGATAAGTGGAAACAGTCAATCAAATACTCATAATATTCAACTCAGGTTTAAGTTAAGAATTAAGAAAATCAATTGCAGAAATATAACTAAATTGATAAAGCATATCATAAATAGGATTATTCAACCTAAATTTTATCTCCAACCAGGAATGGCTCTTCTACCAGCTCCTAATAAATTACCTCCAAAAGTATCTGCATATTTTCCTTGATCAATTTTTGGATCAAATTTTTATCTCTTTTATTATTCTGCTGCTTTTGTTGTCTCATTAAATTTTGATTCAACATAAGCAAATTTAATATACTTATCTTCATCCCTTGCTTATTATTTGATCTCCTAATCAAATTGTTTCTTTTATTTCTATTCAAGAATACTCTTCTTTTTTTCAAGTAATTAATTTTCTTTCATTTTTATTCTCTCTATTGCTTCTTAACTAACATATCTTCTAGACATTGTTTCTACTTATTTTAATTCTTATTCTCTTTATTTTTCAATTAATTTCTATTCCCTATAATATTAGACTTGTAGTTTCTTTTCTTCTCTTTCCTTCTTCAACATTTCAGATTTCTATTTCTCAATATCTTTTTTTGTATCATACTCAATTTCATCGATTGCTTTCTATGTAACCTTCTTAATCTTCCATTGTTTTATATCTTCTTTCAATTTATCTCTCTCCTCCTTTGGAACCAGTGGTTTTTTGACTTATTTTTATCTTTCTATTTCTTATTATTGTTATTCTTATTGCAACTGAATTTACTTGTTCTCCTCCTTTTTTCTTTTGTACTCCGTAAGTAGTTCCTTCTTTTCATCTTCAAATTATTGCAATAGATTGTAGTTTTCAATTTGTTCCATCAATTGATCCTCAGTGATAAATGGAATAGCCTTGAGACAATCATTGACAAAATTCTGTGATACTTTGCCTTTATGTTTGGTTCTTACTCTCAAGAACTCTCTGTGATCTTCTGGTTCTAAGAGTTTGATTTAATCTATTTTTTCATCTATCAAATCCACTTTTTATTTGATCAATCCCAATTCACTTATAGTCTCTTCATTATTTTGCATAGGCTTTCTTTTTATAACTGGTTACTTCTGAACAACATCATAATTGTCCATTTTCTGTTCAAGCATTTTCAATTCATCAGTCAATGCCTCTTCCTGCTATGCTAAATCATCAAATTAATATGACATTTTTGTTTTGTACTCTGTTATTCTATGAAAACATGGATATAGATTAATACTCGTTGGTAATATTTTTTGCCATGCTTTCAATTTTTTAATAATACTCGTGACTGTTAGTGAACCCTTTCAACTCCTTGATGTATCTCTGTACATCATTTCTTAACAGTCTCAAACTGGTCTTAGTGTTGTCCTTAAAGAATCACGTTAACACACTACCCTCTCCTTCTCTTCATCAAAGTCAGATTTTTCAATCATGTCATTCAAAATGAAAATCTCGTTCTTACTTGTACTAGTCTTACACATGGGTAATAGTTTAGACATGTCCTTTATGCTCAAGGATATGAGTTTGGCTTTGCATGATGCCAATTCTGATTTGCATTCTTGAAGCATTTATAAAATATTTGTAAATTGTAAAAATACTCATATAACAAATCTAGACACAAGCATGTATACTGAAGACAATCCGCCTCTGGTGATGATATCTTGGAAATTCGGGAGTACAAGAACCTTAATCATTATCATGGCATAACTAATTTTGTTTTTTGAATGCAGTAGTCCAACCAAGAACAAGGTTTCAAACTAATTTAAAATAATGTATGTACAAACTCTAAATTGGCTGTGATTCCTCTTAAAATGAATGTCCATGTAAACTCATCAGTTGTAGCATTTGGAATGAAAGTGAAGAGGTGTTTCATCACACAATCCATCAAAGCCCATCCGATTGCAATTGCAAATATTCTGCTTATTTTATCATCAATGTTAGTCTTCTATTTCGATACTAAAATGATTCCATAGCAATCGATCAAATCGAATAGCAATTTAATCTACAATTTAAGTGCCATCCCTTACATGAATCAATTATTCTGTAATCACCGACAAAGAGGCCAACAGAAACAATTTACAAAATTATGTCAGCAAACATCCTAAAATGCTAATCAATACAGTCTTATAGGCTCCTTGTTCAGCACTAGTTTTAATACAAGAATCTTACAGTGATCTTGCCTTGTATACAACAAAGAAGGGTCCAAATGCTAACAAAAGACAATTTATCAAATGTGAGAATGCCATTAAATGTAATAATTATTTGATTTAAAGATTACTAAATTAGTCACTTTACAAGTTCAAGATAAACCTAATTAGACTCGTAAACATTTCAATCAAAACCGTATGTCACTCTGGAATAGTTTCCACGATATATGGACTCCAAGTGGAAAACAATTTAATTTCTAACCATTTGAATAATCATTCACCTAGGTGCAAACTACTCGAAAGAGCAACTCTCTCTCTAGACAGAAGTCTCAGATTTAGCAGAGCATTGAGAACAAATAAAAAATCTTAGAGGATGCCTACTTGCCTAAGAAGGTTAGAACTGTTACCCCTCAAGTTTAAATTAAGGAAGCCCCTCAAATAAAGAGTCTATCCATGTTGAATTATAAAAGAAGCGAATCTCGTAGCCAAACGTCAAGAACACAATCAGCAACTCCCATGATGAGAAGATCCAAAAAACACCAAAAACCTATTGAAATTAAAGATACTATAGGATTATAAATAGAGAAATGCCTTTTGTACGATCGTTATCCAAAGGAGAAAATAAAACTAGACTATACACTGGTACCACAACGTAGATAGAAATCAAGTGTCGAATCATCTCGTTATCCGTATAATAAGTTCGAATTCAAGCATTCGATTACCCTAGCCAAATGGGATTAAAGCGAAAAATCAGACGAATTATTTTGATAATTTTCTATTTTAAAAAGCCTATATATTCCTTTCTTTATTAAATTATGTTAATTAACAAGCTTCCTTTGTTAGAATAAACCTAGTCTCCTAAACCATCCCATAAAACCAAGTTGCACTTTGAGAATACGAGTTATCTCTAAGGAGAGAAGTTTTATAAGCAGCCCCTTGTGCAGAAACAGAAGAGACAATTAAGCATAATGAAATCTCAAACTGAGATAAAAAAATAAATTCAGAGCATAACTGATGATTCAGTCTCAAAGCGAATGCAACAATCCAAACAACAACAAGAATTCCAATCAGTAGACAAATTATAGTTAGAATTTGAAAGCAAATATTAGGAACAAGTAATTTGTGTTTGGGGTTATTTAGAATAGAACTATAGAAGATTTGAAATTGGAAAACATAAAATTAAAAATGCAGTTAGAAGAATAAGAATAATAAATTATTTATCTAAAAATAATAAATAGTGATTTGCGATAGTAGATAGAAATCTCGTCTACAGACATCTAAATCAAAAGGATAGAATAAGAGTATAAGGACACCTACAGAAGAATGGATGAGACCTTGAGGAAGGCCATTGACGAGAATTACGAGAGTTAAATTAAGATGAAGAATTTATAAATCAAATCCTAGCAATTGGAGTAATTTACTGTACGAAATACTTAATAAGATAGTTTATGTTTAAGTAATAGTTAACATGCAAGTTCTGCAGAAAGGAATTGCACAATACAATTACTGTGATCCCTTGTGCTCATAACTATTGTCAAAGGTGTGTTTCTGGTTATGTTGGTAGATGTTTTGCATGCAATGATGATGTATGACAATCGGTTATGTAATAGAATAAAGTTTAGGCCACTTATCATAATGAATATATGAGTGATCTGATAAACATGTATAAAATATTTGAGAACATTTTGAATTTATTGAGAAATTGATTATAATTATATAAAATGTAAAAATTTATATAAAGTTAATGATGGGAAAATAAGATTTGGTAATTGATTGTTAAATAATATAAATGAAGTCAAAGGTTAAGTAAGCCTTAGTAGTATTCACTGTAAACATCGTGAAGCTGCTATTCGACTCTTTGATGGCATCTTTCGAATTCTCGATCATTTGTGTTTCCCTTGTAGCATTCTAATGCTTATTTTTCGATAAAGAGCATCTTCATAGAGAGATACTTAGCTATGTTGTCTATTTTGCCCTCATGTCTTTCCATACCTACATAAATCTAGAAGTCATACAAGTAGCAAATAATTCAAAAGTCTTAGCGTTTCTGAGACAGGTTTCCTTATTCTTTTCATTGAGGTCTTGTAGTTTGAACATTTAATCGAGTGAGGTTTTGCTTGCTTCTTAGAAATTATTGAAATCACTTTCGAATTACTATTTCCTTTACATTTTTTTAGTGTATTTAATATTGAATTGAATAAATAAGATATCGCTAAGCTTTGAATTATGATATTTCATCATTAAAATATATTATTTTCAAAATTTCGTGATTCATTATGCAACAAATTATTCCGTCATTTAATAATTAATTTATATATAATTATTTTTTAGGACATGAAAGAAATTCTTCATTTCTTAATTTAGTTGAAAATATATATATTAATATTTTCAGTTTTGAGTTTGAATTGTTTCTGAGGAAGTAGATCTTTAAGCTTTGAGGATTATCACTTCCAAGACTGAATCAACGAAGATAAGAACGACTAAGGAGATGGTCCAAGTTAGATCGATTTAGAATAAGAGAAGAATAGAAATGTCAAATCCAAAGCTAATGAATAATTGTAGCACTTGAACCCATCTCCTGTCCGATTGCAAAAATCTGAATATCCAAACTGCGACCAAATCTATTAACACACACAAGGCAGGGTGCAATCCCAAAAGCAAAAAGCAACCAATCAATCCTTGAGAAATGACACATCTCGTTAATACTCTATAAACAGTATTAGTATAAAAATAATTTTATCTATTATCTTAATTTTATTTGATTTCTCCTATCAATTAGATTTCACTCTATCTAACCGAATCTGGTAATTCTTATAAAGATGGTATGGTGGCTAGATTATTAGGCTGATGGTGATTAAATTATTGAGTTTCAATTCTATTGTTTGTTTTAATTACTTGGTAGCCAGAGTTTTTTCTTATTAGAGTAGGTGTTTTGAGTAGATTTCTGGCTGGAGACACTGCAGCATTTGATTTGATACTGTTTCTGGCTTATTAATTGGTATCTGGTACTGACTCAATTGTAAATGTTCCTTTTTTTTAAAGAGTTCTGTGTAAACGTTGAGTATTTTATAAGGTGATGATGTGATGATCGTCAGATTAGGCAGAATGTTTTGAAGATCTGTGAGTCGAATGATGTGTTCTACTTGAAGGAACTGTCTTCATTATATTCGATGGGGTTATTGCTGATGCATTTGTAATATTCTTCTTTCTATACATCCTACATAGCAGGTACAACTGTATTAAGAGGATGAAACCAGCAAATCCTATGTGATAATATAAGAAGAGCATCAAATTTTAATATTAATTTAACTTTTAATATCTATTTTTAGATGTTAAAACACAGCCGTAATAGATTGTATTCCATTAACTGAATCAACGCAAAACTATTTGACACATGCACATGAAAAATTTTAAATAAAAAGTGAAATTATAAAATAAGGAATATATGGTTATCAAACTACTAATCAGAGTCAACAATCTGAAACTTCATCTTGTACATCCATCGAGGGTTCATCATAAGATTTGAAATTGACAAAGAAGCCATCTGTAGATCTATCGATTGAGGGTATTTCAACAGTAGTGTGGAAAGTAAATTTGAATTCTTCAGGAAAGTGTTACTCCAAGATCTCCTTCGTACTGGATGAAACCTACAATTTCCCTTTCTCTCCCTTTGATTCCATCTTATTTGCCACAAGTACATCAGGCCCATATATGTCGTATCTGACAATCTCAGTACCCAAAACTCCTCCAATAATGGATCCAGTATGAATTCCTATCCTCATATCCAACCCTTAGAAGTTGATATGGTCTCTGACCCGTTTGATAATGTTGATCATCTCAAACCCTAATTCTACGGTGTTTTTTGCTTCCTATGCAATATTCCTATCTTTCGCATCTAGCATCCCCATCACAACATAGCAATCCCCTATGGTATACAATTTATAGACTGATTTCTCTTAGCAACATTTATCAAACTCAGTGAATAGATTTCTCAACATGAATACAACCTATTCTGGTGGTACTCTACTTGAATACTCAGTAAATCCTGCGATATCTGCAAAAAGTAATGTAACATTATCATAACTGTCCTTCAAAACTGCTCTTTGTTATTGGAACTTCAGAAATTGTTCTAACATATGTCTTGGCAATTGATGTTTTACCAATTAATCTAATTGTTGATGTTTTGCTTTGAGTTTGCATTTGTTGTTGTACATTTGTACATTCTTATTGAATTTGTAAACTTGATTAGAAATGAAAATCAATTATAAAATGATAGCATAATATATTAGACTCTTCTCCCAATTCTTAACGAGCACAACAATCAAATTAACTGAGATCATTGATATGCTTTCTATGACCTTGTACTTCATTTTGATTATTGGATTGAGTTACGTCATAAAGGACAGGAATACTCCAACGGCAATGCATATTTCTCCAACAATAAAACTCTAGTATGAGAATATGTGTATGATCCACCAAACCATGGTTACGATGTAACTGTAAATAAAGTAGGTTTCTTTGAATACTCTGTCTCTGTATTGCTTCCTTAACAAAAGAATAAGAAACCCCAATTTGATTGTAACAATAAAATATCCAAAACTCAGATTGATAAACCATGTGTACTAGTTTTCAAAGATCTAAGAAATTAGAATCGTAGAGGTATTTTAAACTAATAATAATGTTGCCACTCCAGCCTTCAACAATATCACCAACAATGCATTCTTCTTAGTCAACTCTTTGTAAAAGTCTTCAATGTGTTAAGGATCTACATCAGGATGGAAATCTAAGAATAATTTCTTCTTATCTAGAATAAGAACATCGCATTCCTTAAACTCGTCTTCGTTTTGATTTAACTATTTTAGTTTCTCCTTCTCTATCTCTCCACTCAGAAAATCAAAGTTTTCATCAACCAATAGATTCTCCTTCCCCAATTTAATCTCTATTGCTTCAATCAAATTAGCACCTTCAACAGAGAATTTCTATCCAACATGATTAGCATGATCACTATCACCATGTGATTGCTGTTGCTGATGAGCATCCACATTCAAACTAGATTTGTGTTGTAATTTTGTATTATTTTACTTCAAATGAGGCAAAACTAGAGTTGGTTTTCTCTTAACCTTTTTGTCTCTATTAAACTTGGCAGGACTGTCAATGGCAGTTACAGAATTTGAAGTGTAATTGTTAGTATTCTGCTTTGAAGACTTACTCTTATTTCTCAAATTCTTTGTCATTTATTATTCCGATAGGATGTAAGTGACGATCGATCCCTTTCCCTTTGCATCTACAATATCTTGTGTAAAAAGGAAATCCTGTGATCCACTCACTAGTCTATAGGCCTCCTCTGATATTTTAATCTAACCATCTTAACCAGTTGAACAAACCCTAGAGGTTGTATTGACAGTATCTCCTATCAACGAGAATTGAGGTTTGTGATATCCTATGACTCCAGCAATAACATTCCCATAATGAACACCAATCTTCACGATGATCTCCTCAGATGTACCAAAATTTTGTTGCTGAGCGAATCTCCTCATTTCGAATGCCACTTGAATTGTCCTGAGAACTGGATTGACGTTGCTTTGAGTGGCTATGTTTTTGAGTCCTGCTGCTGCCATGTATGTTTTACCGACTGTTTCAACCTTCTATAATCCATATTAACTGCATAGGGAATCATATTGTCTAAATAGGATATCCAAGAGATGGATGACATTCTCCTTCTCTGTCTTAATAATTTTATCAAATTGACAGATGTCACAGAATAGAATTGCCACTTCTCCTTGATTCTCTTAGATGTCGAATTCTCCCTTTTGATTGATCATGTTTCTTATGAATCTGGGCATCAAAATGCTCAGGGTGTCACTAATGGAATTGGTTTATTGATCCAGAGTCAACATCTGAATGAACTCCTCTCTGGAGTTTCTTTGGATTCTCAGATGCATTCCACTGGACAAGGCTGTTTGCATCAGGGCAATGAGATAGTAATTCAACATGATGTAATTATTGAAATTCTCATCAGAAGTGGTGTTGTTGGCACTGAATCTGACGATGAAACTGATATTAACTACAAAACAATAAAAGATGATTGTCAAGGGCCTGTCATCAATAAGTGGTTGCAACATGAACAACTGCATAATCAACATGTCTGTTAATTCATTGTTGTTATCCTAATAGAAGTAGGCGTCGTAGATGATCTTGTAAATCAATCTACACGTAATCAATATTTTGCTGATCCTGAAATGGTACTTCTTAAAAGCAACTGTGTAGATGAACAAAGCCATCAATACCTAGGCTGCATTGTATCCGAAGGTGAAGTAGAGGAACCAAGTGTAATCTACGTCGGTGTTTATCAACCAAATTTATACCAAGATGGCTCCTTCCACCAACATCCAACTCAATGGATAGTAGAGTCGATAATATTCAATGATGGAGGGCAATTCATTCAGTTGATATTTAATCTCCAATTGCATGTTCTTGAAGGTTTGAGTGATTTTGTTAATCTTGGTAGTCTTCACACTCAATACAATCCCAGAGAGCACTTGCTTTATTATAGGGTCGATTTCTTCTTCGTTTTTGAATAACTTCAACACGTACTTCTAGATGTTTATTACGATGTTTTCTTTCTTCCTTTTATGATTGTAAATTTGGATTGGCTTTATTTTATTGTTGATTTCTATTTGATCCTCAGGGGAGTATATGTGATTGTGCATGTAAATGGAATGAAACTGAGTCAAGATCTTCTAGAAACAAAAGAACATCAACTAGATTGCTATGATAAAGAGAATAGATTGCAAAGATAGTACGAACTAGAATAATTCACCATACTAATAGTCGAAATAGTCTAAATAACCAACAGTGCATAATCCGAAGTAGGCAATAGGCAAAATAATAAATTGGTAGATGTTGGCATGAGTAAGCAGTTTAGTCAAATCCAATAACAGTATGATCACAAACTATTGAATCGATTTCATCTATTCATCAAAGCTAAATCCTTTGTTGCTCTTCAAGTCCATGTTCTGAAGAGTCACCGAAATGATGAGTGCTTCAAATGCCGAGTACAGAATCACCTTGTAGAAGAACAACCAATATCTCATTTGTCTGAAATCCAACTGGTTTTGATTATAGAAAAAGACCAACTGATTCTTCATGCTGCTCACTTTCTCCTACTTCTAAGTTATACGTTAGAAGAACATTGAAAAGCAAGGAATGATGTAAAGTAAACTCTAAAAGAAATCTAGAGGAGGGTAGAATGTTATTCCAGTGAACAAGATCTAGAAAAATAGAGTGAAACATAAGAGGTAACTTCGATAAAAGGAGAATGTGATAATATTCTCTAGCAATTCCGCAGAGTGTCTACTTTCATTTAGAACCAAACTGATGAGATTCTTAAAGTCTTTGACTACGATATCTGCCATGCCAATGAAAGGGATCGTTTTGTAAGAATGTTCTAATTTTAAATGTAATCATTACTTATGATATTGCTGAGGTTCTTTCCACTAGTCAATTATGCCCTAGAACTCTTTTGATCCTTTTTGCCTCTCTGCAATTGCTCCATCTTTTCTATAGTTGTTTTTTGTAGTTGTCTTTCACTTTGCAATTGAATTGCGAAATCTGAATAGGCCATCAATTGACTATCATTAATTTCATCTCCGATCACTAAAATCTTTCTTCTCCATACTTACTTCTCCTACAAGATCCTCCCTAGAATAGCCTTCTGGGATTTAGTCATTCTGTATCCCACAACAGAAGTTGAGAAGGCTATGATGAAAGCAAGATGATTAAACAAAGAATTGTCCTACGATATCTTCTCCAAGGTGTCACCGTGAATAAGGATTGAAAATGGCTTAATCTTCTGCTGGTTATTTGGTAATCCAGGCAATAATCCTTTAGTGCTTTGTCTTCTGGCATTGGAATGAATTGACATTCTTTTTTGATTGGGACTCAACAACATTCGTTCTGTTTATCTTTTTTCAACGCTGATAGAGTCCTCTTTTAAATGCTTAATTTGATTATTGTATAACCATTAGATTTATTATTTGATTTGTAGATTGACTTCCTACTGATCGAAGTGTATAATAGGAATGAGATCCTTAAGGATTTCAGTTTTATAGGCAATGGGTAACACTTTATCTAGAGTGTCACCACTGGCTATCCAAATAATCATGTCAGCAGCCAGAAAGTTCTTGATGACTGTCGTGATGGATTTTCTGAGTTTCTCCCTTATGCCTATGACCAAACACAATTCGTAGGCTCTGGGTTGGATTTTCAACTCTTGAATTGGGTTCTTGAGAAATAAAGTGTGTTGATTAGCATCCAAAAAGGATTTGAAGAAGATCACTGGTCTGCAACCATTCTGATGCATTCTGTAGATCATTGCATCCCATTTGTCTCTCTCCTCTTTGTCCATGAGGATTTGTTCACTCATTTCTTGACTGTCATCTCTAATAAATTAAACATATTCATATGCCAAGTCTACATCTTCAAAGAATCGTGTATAATCTTACCTTGAAATTATAACACTGATTTTATAATGTTCCAATTGTGTGACAGTGACTGGGACTTCAACTAGATTTCCATCGATTTCCAAGATGTACTTCGATTTATTTTTGGCTGCACAAATAAACTTGTAATCGAAGTTGGATATAAAGTCCAATTGCAGACTATCCACATTAGATGAGAATTCGTGTTTAAATAGATCCTCAGTCTTATTAAAGGAGGAAGAAGTGTTGTGACAGATCATCAAGATAAAGATGGCTTCTTCAGTTTACTTCTTGGTCTCCGAAGTAATGAGACGATTAAATAGATCCTTCTCATCCAAATTCTTTTGCTCATCGCTCAATCTCTCGAATGATGCCTTTACACCTTCATCCGAAAGGAACTTTGTGAAGACCATTGACTTCTCGAGTTGCATCCTGCGTTGCTATTTATCCGATCTATCCAACTTAATGCTCTGTTTTCGTCGAATGGTGACTCCTCCAACAAAGGTCTGTCTTTTGATCTCATTCTATTAAGAAGAATTCTATTGATTGTTTTGACTCGGGGGATTGTTGTTGTTGGCATTGACAATGTCTGTGTTGGAACCCCAAGAATCTTGGAACAATTTGGGTTACTTGCTTTTATGGATTTCTTTTAATTTGGTATGGTCATCCACCATTTCCTCAGGATCAAAATTGGCTTAATCATTGTTATTGGTTTCGCTATTGGAGGGGGGAATGTACTCTTCTGGTTTGATTGGCTTGATTGAAGAACGCTTAGTACTACCATTCATTTATTTTGGAGAAGGAGATATCTTGACTTGGGATGCTATTTTGACAGGAGATTGTGTGTCTTTTAGAAAGTATTGTTGGATTTCATAATGATCTTGTTGCTATTTTTGAATTGATTTCCAATTGGTCTTATTCACAAAGGTCTTGTTGTTGATGTTGTAGATTTGGTCATTGATTGAGATCATCTTCAATTTAAATTGGGGGATGGTCATTGTGCCAGTCTTATCAAAAATCACACTGTCCACAAGACTCAAATCAGCCAAGGGAGTATCATTTACCCTCGAATAGAAGGACTGCAATTGGAAGGAAGTATCCTTGTCTTTATTGGTTTCTTCCTGAGTGCTCGATTTGAATTGATGACTCTTTATGATCATTGAAATGAGAGTCTAACAATCAATGATGGAGTGCAGATAATATGGAATCATGTTCAAGTATCCCAGTAAATATTTAGCCAAAGTTTGGAGACTCCATCCTCTCCCATAGGAGATGTAACGCAGGGATTCTGCCATCCAAGAGGCAAATGACAACACTATCAACAGGATTAGAGTAAATTAAAAGTAACGATCTATCTTTGTGTAGAAGAAGGAATTGTTTATTCTGTTCTTTGGTTGGTTGTAATAATAGCGAGAAGACATGCCAGCATACAGCACTATACCATAGATGTAATCACAATTCAAGAGCAATTACTCTCGGAACAGTATGTTCTCCTTTTTTATGTCGATGGCTTGAGGGTCATTCTTCAACCTCACAAAACCTGAGTAAAGAGATTTGTCACTTGATTGTCGATCGTAATTCACTTTTCCACTCAATAACAAACGATATTCAAAACAATTGTTCTTAAATTGATGGACTCTTGACATTGCTGTCAGGATGTTTGGTTGTTTTTGAATTTGATTTGTGTTACCACTGAAACTGGTGACGTCGGCAAAACAGTGATCTAAATTAGATTCCAAAATCAGAATGTCAGCTGGACAAATTTCGTTTCTTTACAAAAATATAATATCTCCGACTTCAACTTGATCCCAGTATACTGTCTCGAATATTGGAACTTTCTATTCCGTTTGAAGTGGAGGGGATAGTACCATCTTCTTGTCCTCTCGGAATGAGGATATTATCATGGGTTTGTACATGTCTTGTTTACGAGGGGCTGAGAGGAGAACGATCTCGTTTTTAGGAGGATTATTATTTTTGTTGTCCCCCTCCTGCAACGCTTTTTCTTATTTAGGTTTTTTGACAGCACACCCTTTTTTTAATCTCTTAAAAATAGTCACTTTCCTCTTATTAATAAGTTCATCCTATTAGTATTTGATATATTGATAATAAATCATCTTTACGAGAAATGCAGCAATGCCTGTTAATAAAGGAATTACAAACTAATAAAAAAGAGAAAAGTCTTCACCATGTAAATCGATTATTGATAGACAAATGATATTAATTATTATGAAAATCCAATTCCCAGGTCTGTTAGCATACTCACGGAACATTTGTGGGTAGGATAAATATGAGCGAATACCATTGCTTAGCTCAGCTGAAGGGATCCCCTTCAAATTAACTGCTTCTCCCATGTCGAATTCTATCTAAGCAATCAAATGGCTCACGTACCTGGCGTGAATACAAATCATCTGATCTACGGATCATCTTGGCTACGTACTTCTTATGAATGTACTCATACAAAGCCAATGCTACTTTTTACATTAATTATTTAACAAATATATTATTTTTCCATTTCGATATTATAATATATTCATTTCTTATTTTATTATCTCTACTTCCTCTCTGGCACATAATCCTTCTTCGTAGTTCTGTCCGCCTTCAAACTATCTATCTTATTCTTCAACTTCTGCATCAACTCCTCCCTAGAAGCCAGAGGCGCCTCCTTTATTTTCTTCGATTTCTGACTGATCTTTTGCTGTTTCCCATTGCTTTTCTGCTCCTTCTTCTAAGCCTGATAAAAACTACTCATCTTAACCATCTTTTTCAATTCTTTATAAACATTTAAAAATTACTCCATAAATTATTAATTTAATAATGTAATAAGGAAATTACATTTCCAATCCTCCTGAATCCTTGTAGATAATCAAATGCCTTAAAACACTCTACTCATCAAGGCTAGACATCTGAGGCTTCCAAACCTCATGTTACCTCCCTCCAAAAGGAAGGAACCATTGAGGATAAGCATTACCTCAATTCCTAATGATACCAGTTTGCAAATAGAATACACTTAATAATATTGGTAATCTAAATTGCTATTATTCAAATACTCATAGATCAAAATATTATTCATTATGAATCTGGTCAACAATCATTAATTAAAAACCAAATGAATCGAAAAGAGAAGAATCTATTATTATATTGAAGCTGAAGATTAAAATGAATTATTAAACTATAAATTCCTGTAAATCAAAGTCTATGGGATATTTAGCTATTAGAAAATTGAAAGAATACTAGAAGGTGATGAACTTAAAATTTGAATTTAAATGAGCCTTATCAATTATATTGTAATTAGACAAATCTATCTTTGTTTTCATAGGTAGTAATTAGGAAGTTTAAACATATCATATAAACTTACAATTTAAGATTTTTTATAATTCCAAACTATATCAATTTCGATAGCAATTATAAAATCAAATATACGATAATAAGTCTATGAAAATTATTGGATAAAAGACTAATTTTACTTAAAAGAGTGTTAAAAGATTTCCAAATAAGATTTTATATTGAATGAACTTGACCTATAGAATTAGATACGAGAATATATAGTTTGATTTTTCAGAGTAACCATCAAATTGAAGATTTAATTGAATTCGATGTGGAAGCATTTTATTAAGATTTTTTAGTTCAGATGAAAATTGTGATTGTATTTCTAAAAAACGATAACTAGATATAGTAAAATAATTTTGGTGGGCTATTTAAAGAACAATTATCATTTTTACAACTTTTGGGCTGATAGAATCAATAAAAGATACTTTAAATGATAGATTTATTTGATAAAAAAACCTTATTTTCTTTAGATGAAAATTACTTTCTTCATACTCTATATTCTATCTGATATCATTTATTATGCCTAAGCAACTGATATAGCTAAGAACCAAGTTTTCATCAAAATTTGTAATGTTGAATTAATTTTTTTTATATAAGGTATCAAAATTCAAAAGTGCTCCATTTGCATTGATTATAATCTTCCTATCCTAAATCATTTACTTATTGGAAGTGTACGCAATTAAAACCTAGCACTCCATATAAGATTTAAACCAAAATATTAGTAACATCAACAGTATTATTTATAATGATTATTCCTATTAATTATCTTATAGATGACTTTAATTTTGAGAAGAATCAATGCATTTCGATTAGGAATTGATTACTCAAATATTTTTAATACCGAAATTTAAACGCATATTGACATATCGATAAGCAAGAAATCATAAAATAAATTGATTTTATGTATTCTAATAAAGAGAATACAAGATTTCAGAATGCAATTGTATGAAGAATTTAGATAAAGTGGTCAGAAATTATTAGTAACCATCAAAACGCTATCTTTACCATGATTATTATATAATTTCAATTTCAATTTTTATTATATTGATTAAAACAACTAAACCTTTATTTCTAAGTGATGAATTCAAGAATTAAATCAAAGAACTATACTAATTTTAGATAAGGAAGCTAAGGAGAATAATGTAATATTGTCTCTAAAAATTATATTCAACAAACTGAATTACCTAACCAAAAAAGCTCAAAAATAAATCATAGTAAAAAATACATTAGTCCAAATGAAGTTCTTTAATCGACTTGATTGCTATTATATGATATTATACATAGATCTTTTAATTTTTTCCCTTTCAAACATTTGTAATACGAATACAATAAATATCAAACATTTAAAACGTATTATATACTACTCGTCTAATAAATTATAATGCTTGAAATTATAGCTTAATGTCTTATTGAATGGATAGTAAGATAGTAATAAATATAATATAATTATAGAACTGGATTGGATTGAAATATTATAATATTGATACCCATCATATTATAGTTAATGATTATTATTATTTTTTATGAATGACCCATTAGGGGGGGGGGGTGAGAAAAAATAATTAAAATCTTCTTTTATTCTTACAAAAACAAGCAAAAACATGAAAAATAGTCAGAAATTAGGTGGCATTAAAAAATTATAACAAAATTGTAAAGATGAAGAGTTGATGCAATAGGAATAAATAGATCAAGAGCTGAAGGATGAAATAATTTAAATGTTAAGAATGGATGAAGGTCATGTGTCTGCAAAGGATGCTATAATAGCACTGAAATCAGAGAATTTTATTGAAAGTCACAGAGCAACAATTGGGTTGAGAAGAACATTATCAGTATATATGCATTTCTATAAATTTAAGAAGAATTTTTAGTAGACAGAATTGATTGCTAAAGAAAATGAGCTGATTCCTATTTTATTTCATGTTATCTAATATGGGAGCACATACTTAATAAAACTTGAAGCTGCATGTTGTTTATATTAATATTCTAATTTTAGAAATCATTTCAATTTTAGCTGGTGGTAGAAGTGAAATAACAAGAATTATCATGGAAAATGGAATTCTATAATTATCCTTGAGTGTACTGGATGGTAATTAGAGCGAACTGATAATGCTAATAATAACAATATTGGGTAAATTGGCTGGTGAATCTGTGAGATATCGAGATTCTATATTGCAAGTGTGCAGTATGGAAAAAATAATAAGCAAAATGGATTCGCAATACAAATCGATATACATTTGGTGTTTGGCCAATTTGTGTATAGGTAGGCCAAGTCCCAGATTTGATAAGGTATAATCGGCATTTGAAATATTTGCAAAAGTAATAATGGAGGAGTTCAATCAATAAAATTTAAAAATGATCAACGATGCCATATGGGCCTTGGGATACATGATTGATGGAGAACCCAACAGAATAGCTGCTTTGATAAACAGCGGAGTTGTGCCTTAGTTGATTAATCTATTACCAATGGGCAATTTTGTATCAATTCTTCGGATTTTTGAGTGCATATTTTATGGGACTGAAGACTAAATAAAGTACTTATTAGAATGCGGATTCATTGCTCACATCAGAATGATAGTTGATCCGAAAAGCAGAGAAAACAGTGGAGATATGATATAGACCTTTGCAGCCACGGAAACGTTGTTTAAGGTTTTATCCAATCAAAACTTTCTGGTCTCTCTTTTTAGATCATTAAGTGATGATAATTCAAATCTAAGAGGAGATTCATTAGAAGTGATTGGAAATGCGATTCAACATGGGACTAATGAGGATGTCAATTAACTCGTTAAAAGTGGACTTATTCAATATCTACTCAGAATGTTGGAAATTGCAAATGAAAAGGAGATTGCTCCCAATCATCTAAAGAAAGGACTCGAAATACTCATTAAAATAATCAGAAAAGGAGAAATCAAGGTTAAGGATAAAAAGTTCAATTAATTCTTTACCCTATTTGAGAGATTGGATGGAATCGGTATAATTCAAAAACTATCATCCTATAAATAGGACGACGTTGCGAAATATGCTTTAATATTTAAATAGGAATTCGCCATATGAATATATTAAATAATATAATAATACATTTAGCAATTTATACTAAGTTTCATGCTTTCGTTCATCTATATCCTTTTTCCCACTCTGAGCATAGCAATTTAATCCTATTTTGTTAAGTTTGGTGAAGTTAAGACCTTATTTGAAGCGAAGGATGCATTAGATGCCCAACTAATTCAGATTGAGTATTGATTACAATTAACCTAGTGATGAACACAAAATAATTGCTAATGCACAGTATTGCTATCTTTCAAATAGAACATTATACACAGAAGGATAAACATTTGCATTATCAACTGTTGAATAAGGAAGCGAAGTTGTATCTGAAGATTCAGATCTCCTAATAGATATGGTGATACTCGGGGAAAATGATATATATGGATTAACAATAAATAATCGCCTTTTCCATGTCAGTCTAAATTCGAAAACGACTAAAACATATGCTCTTAATTTCACAAATTACTCAGACTCACTCCCTCAACTCATTGGGTACTCAAACAATCTTATATTTGCCTATTCTAATTATGCTTTCTACTTGAACTTTGATAACCTGAAGCAATAGACTGGTATTCAGAATTGGTAAAGTAGGCAGACTCGATATTACTCTGAAATAATTGATTGCTATTTATTTTCAGCTATTGGATTAGATGGTTTGGAAATTTACTTGTTAAATTAAGAATATTAGTCTTATAATTTAAACAATTAATCTATTGGATTATTGGCAGTTGATTTTAGAGATTTTTCAATTTTTAAAATAAAGGACTCAAATTATATACTTTATATACTATGTAAGATCAATGGCGTTATCGTAATTGATTTGACAATATCCAATGAGGAAATCTCGAGCAAATTACTTTTGAAAAATGTTGGTCCAAAAAATGATGGAATCGCATTAACCATCAATAGTGGTGGTTCTGTCTTTGTTGCTTATAAAACTAAAAATCAGTATTATGTCATCCAATTCACTGTTGAGATCAATAGTAGAAAGTGGGGTTCTGTCAATAGATTCAACATTTCAAATAAAATACTAGACATTGATGTTAATGAGGAGTTTATTCTTGTTTAAGGGTTTCATACTCATTTTCTCATTTATTACATGGATAAATAAAATGCCATCCCTTTTCAATTAACTTCGGTTAAGTAATTTGTGTTGGCTGATTCGAACATCTATGGAACAACATCTAAATATTTATTTCAATTTTAACCAAAAATTTAGCCATTTTAAATTAAGTGCTTCATTGATAGTATTATAATTTATAGAAATTTTAGCGGATTCAAAATAATTTGAACGAAAATATAAATTACTGTATAGAACTAATTAAGGTTGGAAACAAAGAGAATTTAAAGTTCGTTTTAACTAAAGTTCTTAATTTATTTCAATACAATTGTTATTTTTCATATTACTAGTGGTTGTCATATTAATTCTATTATGTGTAGCATATAATTAATGCTAAAATTAAAGATAAAAATTGAAGGAAAGCTAATAACTAGAATAGAAGATTAAGTCTCTGCCCTAGAATAGGGCTTCTAAATTACTAATGCCTCATACCTTTAGAGCCACTAATACAAATGCAGAAACGAGAATTAATACTAATAATTACCAGGATGAGAACACCATGTTGGAGAGGGATATGAAAATCTCTTGATATATATATATATATTTATAAAATCATCAAATTAGTTTATATTGTATGTGTTTTTTGAACTGTATTTGCAAATCGATATTTAATTCATTAAATAGCAAGAGTGACTTTATTTTTTGAATAAATATGTTTTAACTATATAGACTAAGAAATAAGAGGTTGACATTTCTTTCTAAATTCTATTTAAATTAAATCTGCATCAGAATACAATCTTCTAGATCTTGAAATTATATAGTGATCCTTTTATTGGATACTTGGTCAAAGATTTGGAAAATTTGAATTAAAAATACTTTCAATTAGGAGGAATAAGTTTGAAGTTTTAACTTAACATTGTTTGGAAGTATTTTAATAGGTTTCATCGAATATTTATATTATTTATTCAGCTTTTTAAAAATTTGAGTTATTTCTATTTCTTTCAATTACATCTAATTAATTAATAAAAGAGATAATAATCCTTAATTAAAAAATATTTAATAAATTGACCTTTATTATTACGATTTAATTTATTGAAAAATTACATTCCGCATTTTTGAAGGAACTATTTATCCGTTAGCATCTGCATTTTATTATTCGAAAATTACAATAAAATTTAAGTTTTTAATTCCAACACACACTATTCTTAAATGAAATAAATGATGCTTATAATGGACTTTAATTGAATTTTAAATTGTTTACGCTTAATCCAAAACGAATTCGCTTAAAGATGATTATTTGTATTAATATAAGTGTAATATTTATCGACAATTACACCCTTCGCACAAATTTTCATCATAACCTGGAAAATCACATAATTAATTTTAGGAAATTAAATCAATCTTCATAAATTCCTTATTGTATTATACCCTAAAATGAGGTTTTTTAATAAGGATGGACAACGAATGATCCCATAAATCTTCTGAAATACTTGACAGAAATTCTTTTCTTGAGTTCTGGTCATTAACATACAATGTGACTAAAATAAATGACGTCGAAGCCATTCCTATTAAAACCGTCTGCAAATCAACATCATCTATCTTTATTGAGGTAATCATCAGTCGCATAAACAACAAAGCTATAACCTGTATGACTCCGTCTCGAAAATCAGAAATGAAGTAAGCCACTGCCTATAATTAAGTAAATGAGGAGCTTTAAGCATAATATATTTGGGCTGAGGTTGAATCATTAAAATTAAATTATAACAAACCTGTGGTGATATTTGATGCAATCAATAAGTATTTTATTAGCGTAGGTTTTTTGTATACTAAAATAGCTTGGAACACCATAAAAATAAGGTAAGAATAATTGATATATTTTTTTAAAAGTGACTATTACGAAGTTATCAAATTTAATATAGTATTTGTACCAATCATGCAAAAGCATAGGACCAACAATCCTATATAAATTGGTTTTCTAATTTTTGCGAGTTTAACTTCTTAATATTATTCTTCTAACATGTCATCATCGAATTTTAAAGTAAATTTATTCATCAAACAAAATATAAAATTATTTATTTGAGAGGATTACTATTTAATTTTGATTAAAATGTATTTTTTCCAAAAATGATTACTTAATTATGTATATAAAATTATAAACAAATTTTTTAAATCGTATTGTAAAAAATGTAATAGATCTAATAATTAATATTTTCATAATATTGAGTCTACGTACTTTTGTGAAGGCAGTAATGGATTCTAAGAGAACCAATACATTTTCAAGTTCCTTCTCTTTCTTTCTCTGTATGATTTTATTTTTCTTTAAGTGATTTTGATCATCCTAAGTTAGAATTAATTAGAAAATTACTCAATGATGTAATAGGCTGAGTACACCAACAATCCAGAGGCTGAGATTTTTATCAACAATGGAGCATGGAGATCTTCATAAGTTCGTATTAATAGCACTGGACTCAAGATGCCTCTAAAAATTATGAATAATGAGAAATAAAAAATTTCGATCGATTCATAAATCTTTGTTTATCTCAATCCAAAACAACCCAAAATATGTCTAAGATGCATTGGCAAATTTGATATCTCTGTGATGAACATACCGACTATATAGTAATTTAGTATAGCTGTTACATATAATGATATGTCCATATTTCTTATAGAGAATGCTTTCTCCAAAGGCCATCAAACTGACTACATGATGAAATATCAACCAATAGTCATATAAATCGAAATAAGTGCAAATTATGACGTCGTATGCAAAATAGCCTGCACTGACAATCATAACGAATTGCATCTCAGAAGAATTCATCTCCTACAATTAGTAAGGAGTTTGAGAAAGTATTACTATAAGTGATCCCCAAAAAGTAAATTGTCCATGCAAAATTGAGACGATTCGGTTAAAAACATCTATTTGTCGTTTAGAACTAAGATTATTCAATTTGATCCTATCATAGCAAAGTATAAATAAAGCACTCCAAAGTATAAAACAATAGCTAAACATTCTTAACTAATCGCTGGATTCATTTACTAAATCCCATTAATACATTATTAAATGAATATAAAACTTAAGTTTCCAAATAGGATTTTTTTAGAGTACTAATATTCATGTTAATGGACAACAGAATTAATACAAGTCCATTTTACATGAGATTTGTTAATTCTCCACCAGAAAAACTAATCCATCTATAATCTAGATGCATCAATTTATATCATTACGAACAGGAATTGTAAGGAAATGAGATGTTACATATTATAGCACAAAAATCATAACAAATTGTATTTTTTAACAATGATTTGTAATGAAAAGACAACCCTCTTAACCCAATAAGAAATTGCTATATATTTAATATTCCAAAAATATTAAAAGTATATAGTTTAACAACTAATAATAATTATCTAATTCATCTACTCTATTGCCTTAAATGCCCATTATGTGGATTATAATTCTAACATCAAAATTAAAAAATAATAATAATTGTATTTTTAATACTATGAAAACAAAAATAACAAAAAACAGGAAAAATAATAAAAAAACTTTTCAAACATGAATGATATGTTTCTTAGCCAATCTCTAAATCTCCCACATAATCCAAGATTTATTTTAACTATTAGAATTCAAATTACCTGATAAGATAGATTTATTTAATTAATATAACAAAGTAATAAATTTTAATGGAGATTTAATAAAACTTTAAGGGTTTTTTGATGAGGCAAAATAGCCTATTACTGAGTTGAGAAATATAATATTTAAATAAAATGGAGGAAAAATTAGATGAAAATTTAAAAGAAATGAAATTTAAAGATAAGTAAAAACTGCTGAAGGAGAGAAAGAACCTGAATTAGAGGGAGCAGTTCGAAGACCTAAATTATAATAAATTAATTATTTAAAAACAATAAATTAGAGTAGATGATAATAGCTTTTAGATCATTTATTAAGGCTGCTGTTGAATTACGATACTGTTATAAAATGCCTTTGTTTTATCTTGGTAAGCTAGATTATATGAATAAGAATGAATTAAATTTATATAAAATTTTACATATAAATTAATTGATGGATTCTAATACTTCTTATAATATGATGATAAATATGAGGGAATAATTTAGATAGGAGATAAGGAAAAAAGATTAAGAATCCTTTTTTTAGAGGAAAAGATTACAATTCTAGCTATCTTAGAAATTGCCTGAGATATAATTTGATTAAATAATTCCTCAATTAAAAGAGTGTTTGCAATAAAAGAATGTAGTTCAATTAGGATTGATACATTAAGTGATTTTTAAATAAATTAATGACAATTAGCAAAACGAGGTTTATTTTCTAAATAATTAATACTTGGAGCTCTGCATATAATCAATACAATTAGGTTAGTTGGTGTGTTATCAAGTATTAACAAATTTATGTCTAAACACATAATTTCCAAACAGTGCAATTAGTTAGGCATTGATTACATAGGCAATGAATTTAATTATTCAAGCAAACTTATAGTTCGAAAATGTAAAATATATTGATATAATAGAAACCATAAGCTGGATCAAATGTAACAAATCAAGTCTTAGAAATTGAATAGAAAAGTTAATTCATTGAAAATCTAGAAAACTCATACAAGTTTATATTCTTTTTTCTTGGAAATATCATATCGCAATTTAAATTGTCATATTTGAATTTGCTTCCTAATTTATTACAATTTGTTTCAGTTGCAGAAGGGTAGTTCTTAACCAGCATAATATTTTTGTTGAATTCTCTAATAGAGCATTAATAAATTGATTCCAATTAAAAGTTCATAGGCCTCAAGATTGCACTATAGGCTTTAAAAAAAGAGTAATGTGAAGATTATCTGATGCCATTAGGTAGGCTATATGATTCTTAATTTGATGAGTTATTATTAGAATCTAATGTTTTTGAAACGATAATCGATCACTAATGCACAATGATGGATAAATGCTTAGTTATAATAAAGTAATTCACTTTATCAGACTCATTATTAGTTGCACATGTATACATTTGTTTAAATTTAGAAATTATTGGATTTAAAAATTTTAGATAAATTACTACAAAATTTAAGTAACAAATCACAGAGCATTAGGAAAGAAAGTTACTTAATTTTGGCAAATTTAAGTTACAATGATAGCAATGCTGCAATAAAGATCATTACTCATCCTGTCCTGTTCAAGATTATCGAAAATATCATAGCTTCACCAAATGAAAAGAGTTATTGCATGAGCATAATCTTGAATTTATAAGCAACTGGAGATGAAATTGTTTCAAAGAAGTTGTTAGATTTAGGATTTCTCCAAATAATTTGTAGTTTGTTAGATGTTAGTGAAGTTGGATTGATAAAATAGTTTTTAGATTCAATATTAAGATTTTTGATTTCTTAAAATATCAAGGAACAGCTTAGATAATAAAATTTTAAATTAAAATTAGACAAGATATTATAGGAATTCAATGACAAAATGATTCAAGAGTTACATGGAAAGATTCTATAATTATTGTGATTTTTTTGTTGTTGTAAATATTAAAATGAAATAACCCAGTATATCATGATGAATCTCTAAATGAAGATTGCTTGACATGTATTGTAGGCATAAATGCTTCAACTTTAGTCTCGAAATTATTTGCATAAGTATTCCTATTTTATGATTAGCTAAGTTAGATAATTAATGAGGAATTATTAACTAGACCATCATGTACAATCATGTCATCCATACATTACTGTTTTATTTCTTTATTTTGAAACCAAAGATGTTTTAATGCTTCATCAGCATTGAATCTTTTTTTGGGGTCAATCCATAATAATCTACTCAAGAGATCTTTGCTAACTTTATCTAAAGCAGGATGGTCTTTGAACTATGCTTTACATATTAATTCAATGGTTCCATGAGCAGTCTCGTCTTAGAATGGCAACTCTTTTGTTAATAGTTAATACAGAATTACCTATAATGTTAATTATAAATAAATACTCCAACAGACCAAATATCTACTTTGTAAGTGTAACTAACTTTAGTATATATTTCAGGAGCACAATAAAATTAAGTACCTGTGGGTGTCCACATGTCTATGTGATGCTATTTCACATAGAATTTCTTGCTGACTCCAAAGTCTAAGAGTTTTACATTCTATCCATCAAATAGGATGTTATCAGGTTTAATGTCTCTATGACAAATCTTCTATTTGTGCATGTAAAGTATCCCATTCAACAATTCGCTATTTCACATAAATTAATAATTTACCGCATAACTGTCTTTATTTCATTAAGATTCAAGTTGTTTATCTAACTTTCTAAATTTGGATATTGGCATAATTCCATAATTTAATACGAATATCCATTTTATTAATTTATATATAGTTCTTTCACTTTAATTAAATTAGGGTGTTGAAGCATAGATCCAATCTAGTAGGTTTTTCTTATGGAAGCAATTATTTCAGGGTCGCTGGATCGAAATATTTTTACAGCAAACTCTTAATTATCGCATTTTCGTATAGCCTTATGAACAATTGCATGAGCTCCTTCCCCTAATTTTTCTCCCAATTCGTAATTGTCAGAAAAGTCGGCAGCGATATTTGATTATTTTTAGGATGGTGTATCTAATTGTACTATTTGACATATGAATCATATATGTTACAATCACTTTTGGAATGTCTCAGCTTCATTTGATCTTTGATGATAACTATCTTTTTTTTCAATTAACTTCTTATCTTGTCCTTATATAATGTCACTTTTTATTGCAGTTTTTCATTTGGTCTTTATAACATTTTTTAATTATAGAATAAATAAAATAAGTCACATTTTAGCTTTTTATTTCTTTTTTAACTATTGTATATAATAAGATTCTTTCGCCATTCCAAATATCTATTGAGCATTCTTATTTCCAGTTTCAAGTACCATCTCTGCAAACTTAGTTTTCTTATTGATATTCTCCGCATGATAGTCATCACTCAGCAATTCAAAAGGATTCCCCTATTCTGCAATTTCCCCATTTTCTAACACTATTACCTTATCATAATGTGCAATAGTATTCAGTCGATGCGCAATTGTGAGTATGGTGCAATCCATGAATTTAGAGCGAATGATATCCTAAATGGCCTGATCTGTCAAAATATCAATATTGGCAGATGCTTCATCAAGAATCAGGATTTTCCTTCTCATCAAAATTACTCTAGCCAGACACAATTACTACTTCTAGCCAGCTGACAAATTCAGATCCATGATATCACAATTCAACAACTGTTTCTATTATTCAATCATGCCATCTAGATTGACCTCTGACAAGGCCTTCCAAATATCAGAATCAGTATATAAATTTTGGGGATCCAGATTCTGTTTGATAGATCCATAAAACAAAAGGGGTTGTTATGGTATGATAGCCAAGGCTCTCCTTAATTGATTTAATGATAAATCCCTAACATTGCAACCATCTATAAGTATCGAACTCTCAGAGCCAATGTCGACTAGTCGGAATAATGCAGATATTATTGATGATTTACCAGCACCTGTCCTTCCAACAAATGCAATCTTCTCTTCTGGTTTAATTTCTAGATCAATATTTTTTAGGACTGGTTATTAATTGGCATAATATTACAATGATAAATTCTTGAGTACAATACTTCCTTACTTTGGCCAAGCACGTGGCAATATTGTACTAACTTTATCGTCATCCTTTTCCTTCTCAATCTCAAAAATATCTAATAATCTCTCATATGAATTGAATAGTCCACTGAGTTCCATCAATTGTCTAAGCAATGTGTTCTGGGAGTGAAATGATTATAACAATAGTAATGCTTGGGAAAACAAGGAGTTGTCTTCAATAAATGCAATTATGAGATAAGTTCCTGAGGTTTTTGTAAATAAAGCTATCAAATCTACATATTATGAAAAGCATTTCTGAGTCAAATGATAAATGTAATTGGATTGAAAACTATTATTTGCAAGTGTAAAAAACTTCTACTTCAATTGGTTAAATTAATTGGATAGTCTATAATGAGTCAGCCCTTGGATGTATATCTTAAATTGTGACAATTAAGGCGCTCTTTAAGTTAAATCATTGATCTTTAATTGTGATAGTATCTGGACCACAGTTTTAAATAAAACGTAACTCAAGAACAATGTAAGCAGTATGGGTAAAAAGAAGAAAGGTTAAAGAAATCCAATCATTAAAAGCGACACTACAAATTAACAACCATCTTCAAAAATATCAATCAACACTATTGGCATCTGATTATCCAAGATAGACAAATCAGTTGAGTACTTATTGATGATTATACCACTTGGTTATTTATCAAAAAATGACTTTTTTCCATGAGCCAGAGCCTACATTGATTTTGAAAATATTTTATTGTTCATATCTAAGATTACGTAACTACAAATTGAATATTTCAATACGTTATTAATCAAATGAGTTATTACCAATACCGATATCAAAAAGGCATATTTCCTGATGCCTTCATCATCTGCATTCAAAGTAAGCAATCTATAAAATAAATTTCTGATTATTTCAGTCAATATATTCAATGCTAAGATTAACAACAATTTAGATGTAGTTACATATAATATCAGCTTTTTAATAGTCTTTATAACTTGTTCATTAGGAGTCAAAAGATTCGTTTGATTACAAAATAAATTGAAATTATTTGATTTCTTTTTTTCATCAAACGATAATTATTATCTGTTATTCTAAGCATTTTCGTTTATTTCTACAGGTTGAACATTTAAAATCTTTTCTATCTGCTACCCAATATCGCTAGCCCTCCCTTGACATATGATTTGGCCATCCTCCAAAACAACTATATAATCACATTTCAATGCATAAGATAATTGATGAGTAGTCAAAATTACTATTGGACTTGGATGGTTGTTTCTTTTGGTTGGCTAATATTAAAATATAAATTATTAGATCGCTTTAGAAAAGATGTGTTTGGCAACTTTAGTGTCAACAGCTGAGAGTGGATCATCAAATAAATATACACTTGGCATAGCATATAGAGCTCTTGCTAAACTTAACCTAGCTCTTTATCCCCCTGAAAGAGTTGCTCCATTATCTCCAATTACTGTATTCTCCAAATCTGGAAGTTCAATAAGATCTGTTAAAAAATTAGAGGCTTTCAAAACCTAACAATACTTGTTGATATGTGTACCTCATTAAATAACTCTTTATTGTATTCTCTCCCAAATAAAATGTTGTCCTTTATTGTAGTTGGATTTATGAAGGGCTCTTATTCTACATACCCGAAAGTCAAATTGTCTGCTAATTCTAATTGACCCTAAATGTACGGAATCTCTTTTAGTATCAACTATAGGAAGGTGGTTTTCCCTGATCCAGTTTTACCTATAACACTTATCAATTATCCTCTATTGGCAGCAAAATTAATGTTTTTTAACAGAGGCTATTTTTACAGTTCCCAATAACAGTATACAGAACGGAGCGAAATAGCTTCATCTTACAAGATCTGAAAACTTGCCTTTGTTTGTTGATTCGCTTTTTCAGATAATTTTATCAAGGAGAATTAACTCATCTCTTTATTACTTGACAGTTCAAGATAACTCTAACCGTTGATATTTGGATGATCATTGTGAAACTCAAGAATCTGAGCAAAAAGAGGTTCAATCTATGCGAAGTCCTTAATTCTCTTAAAAATAACATTCAAATTGATAATTGCTTTTAAACCATATGAAACTTGATGTACACAATAATACCTAATGGAGGCCATTAATTATATAGTTAAGATAACCTTCTATAGATTTAATGGAATTCCTAAGTTATAGATGATAACTAGAAATAAAAAGGAACCCCAAATATTTATTGATTAATTGATAGATCTGTCTATTAAAGTTAAAATTTAAATTTAAATATGTTTCTTCCATTCCAGAAGTCTCGTCCTTAATATCATTTATCTTACAGTCTCTTACCAACAATACATTTTGATAGTTTAAATGTTGTCTAAAAAGTTTGTTTGCTACTTCAATCTTAAATCTTAGTATTCTTTCAACTATTTTATCATAGACTGAATGCACTTTTAGATTATTGTCTGAGTCGGATAAGTAATCACACAAATTAACACTGCCATCAAACCATATGGTCCTTGAAATTAGAGCTAGAATTCAAAACAATCTTTTACCCACAAAATCCAACCAGAACACAATAACGAGATTGGAACAATTGGTATACAATAGATGTATCCGTATTACCATTCCAAAGTGGATAAGTCACTACATATGATATTTAGGATAGAACCGGAGTTTGATTTCTAAATTGAAGAATTGGACAAGGTGGAAATCTTCTCAATCAAAATATACATCAAGATTTACCTAAGTTTCCCTCCAAATTTGCTCAATTATATACTTAAATTAATTATAAATATATACTATTAATAATGTCTTCCAATAATTGTAATTATTGATAAAAAAGTTAAATATAGTGCATTCAATTGAGCTGCTTCTTTGTTACCATTTTGTACATTTTCAATTATATTGAACAATAACAGTGAAATGATAAAGTTAGAATTAGATTCAATCATTCCCAATATTAACATCGTCAGAGTAAAACATGAATTAAATTTCCAAAAAAATAAGTTGTAAAAGCTAAAATCTACTTTGGCCTTCAAGTCTTATCTCATCTAGTTGACATATTCTGCACTATATAATTCAATCTAATCCTATGAAGATAATTGTGGCAAATTCTTGATATCGACTGTTTTGTGATATTTTATTATGTTTTTATAAATAGTTATTATTGTCTTAATTGTGCTGATAAAAAATAATTCTTTTATAAACGTGCATCTGTCTTTCGATTTCACTACCTATCTTGTATTGACTTCTTTTTTATCTTTAAGTAGATCGGTTTTCAACAACTTTACTGATTTTGGAATTGAAATTGAACATATTTCTGATTTTATATTATTTTCACACTCTAAACTTACTACCCTTCTTTTGTTGAATTAAACTTCGTTTTCAGGTTTTATAGAACACTATGAATTTATTCTGAAATCTTTATATTTTTGTTTTTCCTTTTTTAAACTAATTACATTCTGAAATATCTCTGTTATCGAAGAGTCCTTCCTTTGAGGTTGCTAAAATAATTCTTCTCAATACCTAATTGGTAGATTCAATTTGAATAGAGCGTTTTGTTGGAGCTTTTTGAGAATTAAGACATACAACTTCTCCATAATTAGGAGTCATGACACTAATCTCATTAACTAAGCCATCTTATTTGGAAATACACTGCCTTTATTGCTTAAATTATTTGTCAGTGTTGGAATGTAAATTCGAATTCATTTAATTATTAATAGCTCTTAAACGTGGCCTTAATTATATATATGGCTATTGTAAATATCTATTAAATCTCAGGATATTCAACACTCTCAAGAATTGTGACTATGAGGTGTTTTGAAGTTTTCAATTAAAAATTTAAATAGTTTTAATCAGATGGCTTTAATTAAGCGGCAATCAATAAAAAAAACTTTTATCATTCTGACAATTTAATGTCGGCCTGATGGGCACTTTAGTTTAGTTGTAAAGACCTCTGAAAGTTGTAAAATTAATTTGTCTTTAATAACCAATTATTAAATTGATCTTAATTTACATTTTACAGCCACTTAAAATTGCAGACCAAGTGAATGAAATATAAAATAGTTTCACACATTTTTGAAGTAATTCAGCTAACATATAAAGTGAAGTAATTTTTATTAATAATGATCTAACTACCATAAATCTTTAAGTATGATTATAGTGAAAAATAATATTAATAAAAAATTAATACATTTATGGGGGTTTGCACTAGTCACTCCTAAAAATAAAGGAAAATAAAAGAAGAAGAAAAAAACAATACAATCCAATAAAACAAGAATTCTAATAATGGATCTCTCAAAGCAAATATCGAAAATGCACATAAAAACTCAAAATCACCCTCTAGTTAATTGTCACAATAAGGCAACTAAAAATAAAAAATTGATATGGGAGCCATCCTGGATGTTGGAAGAAGGAAGAGAGGGAGTGTCCAAACCGAGAAGAAGTCTTAATATAGCCAAGAAAAGAGCGAATATTCTAATAAAAACAAGTCGAACAAGAAGACCTTCAAAGTGAACATTTCTTTAAAATAAGTACCACTTTAATTATGCTATGAAATTATGAAATTTGATGAACATAATGTATTAATAAGACATTTAATTACCAAAAAGCTAAGAATTGGAACATTATATGAAAGCAATGCATAAACGAAGGAACTTGTGCAATAAATTTTAGAATTACAATTAGTAAGTTATTTTATTAAAGTAGTTTCATCCAAGATTATAGAATATCATCGAAATATTAGAATTTGAAAATTAATTTTTAATTGTCAAGGAACATTTTGAAAATAAAGAATTAATTTCAATTCAAATTGAAAATTAATCCGAAATTTTGAAGTAAATCATAGAAATTATAGAATATTTACACTAAAAAAACATCATTCATGGCTATTTGAATATTAAATCATTTCAAATATGTGCTCAAACAGAAAAAATTAAATTGATAGATATTGAAAAGATATTGTCTAAACCATAACATAAAGAAGAAGAAATTCAATACTTCTCGCCTGAAGCATGCAATTAAGGCAATATTTATACAAAATAAAGAGATTGCTGGGCTATAGGAATAATTGGACTAGAATTATTTACAGGTCAACATCTCTTTCAAGGGGACAGTGTTGAATCAATTTAGAAGGATATACTCTCTAATCATGAAGTAATCATAAAAACTGTAATCAATCAAATCAAAGATGTTCAATATTCAGAGTTGTTGAGATTATTATTGAATTCGTAATAAAAAAACAGAATATCCTTATAAGTTGCCTCAACACATATTTGCTTTTAATCTCAATAGGTCATCAGTAAAAAGAGAATAAATTAGCTTCTCAACAAGGTATTTCAATTAAAAAAGAAATCATGCATCTATTAGTGTCTAGCCTTATTTATTATTAAAAATATCAACATTAATTTTAATGAAGATAGGGAAAACTGTTTATTCTATGAAATGGATGCATCAAATGATGGGAAGGTTAGTAAAAATGAATTAATGGAGTTTATGAAAAAGAATAAATTCACAGAGGATGAAATAATAAGTTAATTTATAGAAATTGAAAAGTAAAATAATGGAATTTATTTTGATTATAATGAATACATTACATCACTGTTTGAAACTTCTACTTGTTTAATTGAAGATTAACTATAGGATGCTTTTTCTCAATTAACATATAGTAATTAAGGAATAACTCTTGGGAAGATGATATCTCTTTTTCCTCATCGTGAAGGTTAATTAAAATTAGAGTTTAATGAATTCTAAGATAAAATAGTAAACAAACATATAAATAATTTTAGATTACTTATCCTATTTTTAAAAAAATAATGTGTCAATGATTCTTTATATTTTAGAAATTATAGATAGATTTTATACATATCATTTGTTTTCTATCAACTCAAACATAATTTGTTAAAATTTTTCAAAGTCAATCTAAAATATAAGATAAAATAATTACAATTTGATTTGGAATTGATTGAAGGGAATTTTGTAGTTCTGTTTCTTTAGTTCTGAACAACGGTTGCAATTCATTAAATCCGAATGGTTTCCCTTGATTAATTTGATTGAAAATGCACTTCAAGTTTTCATTAGTTATGATGGTCTTTTGATTAGAGAGGGCAATCAAAAATTCAGAAAATTCGATATCACCACTATGATTAAGATCTGAAGCATCAAAAATCTCGTCTACAAATTCTTAGATCTCATGCGCATTATATTTGGGATGAAAGTATTAGGTGTAATGTTTAACTAATTCTGGTTTGGTGAGTCTACCATTTTTGTCAAGATCTAATCCATTGAATATTTCTTGTATTTGAGTGTATTGATCATCAAATTGTTTAATCATCATTAAAAGGAAGCAAGATTGAAGAAAGTTTGCTTCTTTTCTCTTAGTTATTTCGTCTAAACATTACTTAAATTATGATTTGAAGATTTGTTCGTAATTTTTCATCCATTTACACTCTAAGGCTTAAAAAAAGTCTATTCTTTTTGAAGGAGAAACCTGCAAAAATTAAAGTATCAATTCTTTAATCAAAGGATTGCCAACTTATTTCTCCAATTCCTTTTGTATGAAGCCTTCCTTTTTACAAGATTATTGAATATTATCCAAGCATTCTTGTAGGGATTTTGCATTGAATGGTAGTTTACCTAAGGTTATAGCCATAGTAATGATTCCAACTGCCCATTAATCTCTGGCAGCAGTCTAGCTTTATTTTTCATTGCAACATTCAGGTGATAAAAATTACACATTGTTTTCATCGACATCTGATTTACAAAATAAACAACTAAACTCAACAAGTTTGAGTGTAAATTTGTTTTTTCCTTGATTATATTTTTCAAAACTCTTCAAACTTAATGAACCATGATAAAGCCCAAATTTGTGTAAATACCCCATCACTTCGTATATTTATCTACAACATTAGGCAGCAACTTCCTCTTCAAAATGAGAATTCCTCTCAGAAAGCAATGTTAACAATGATCCACCATTACAATAGTCAGAAATAATAGTAAAATAGTTATCTTCCTAAAATATTCCGTATATATCAAGCAAATTAGGATGATTCTAAAATAGATCAAATATTTACTAATTGCAAGAAGACTATTTTATTTATGAAAGCACTCGTGGTTGTAGTTATTGAAAATCTTTCGGCAACTCTAATTTTTCCAGTAACAATATGTTGTACAACAAACATATTATCTTTAAAGTTAACACCTTCCAAATAACGTAGGTTCTTTTTGACATAGTATTTAGATATAGGGTCATTTGTTATAGAAAGTGTGACTTTAAGACTCTCTTACTTTTTCATTGTCTTCCTTTTCTGATTAGCCAAATCTAAACCTTTAGATTCTGCACTTTTTCTCGAAACATTTGAGAGATTGATACCCCCAGTGAAAGCATCACTTCCTCTTTCTTTATCTGGTTCTGTTCTAATTCTTTCATCCCTTAGTTGCTTTTATTTATTTTAACTTGATCCAGCACAAGAACCCATTTAATATTATAAATATTATATCAAATAATTCTCATTTCTTTGATTTACATTCCATTCATAATAATATTATTATTCTAAATCCTAAAGTTACATAGATTTCACTCATAAGATTAATTAATTCAAAATAATTATATATTTCAAATACTCAACTTAAAATTATATTGCTTTGAAATCTGTAATTAATTAATTCAATATTGCCACTTTCTTATTTACACTTTGAATGGTATTCTCTTTTTTAGACATTTATTTAAATTAATATAAACAAATTGATTATTTTAAATAAATGGGTTGATTAATTAATAACTTTATTAAATAGGTGAATAATCATAAAATCACATAATCTTTAAGTATTCTCTTCTATATAAGTACTTTCTCTATAGAAAAGACTCCAAAGTTTATGAATAATGTTACACATATATTCAATTAATCTAGTGATAATATTAGCAGTTATGAAAATTAAAATATATATTAAAGGAAGACCATGCCAATAGTTTTGAAACTATTAATTATCAGGAATTGGTTGATAGAGTTCTAAGTTATGAAAAGCAAAGCCATGAAGTAATAAATTTCTCTTTTTTCTTAAATTTTGACTAGAATTTGTCAATTATAAAACCTCAATTGAATTTGACATAATAAATAATTTAACAAAAATATCTACTTCATTATAAACATAATTTATTTAGATTTAATCGTTTTTAATAACTCCATTAGAATGTTAATTTAGACATAGAATTTGAAAGGGGGTCTATGAATTAATCTTCAAAATTACAAAACATTAAAATAAAGATTATTAGAAGTGTTCTTAAAACAACTTACAAAATTAAACAAGAGGGAATGAATTTATTATGCTAATGAGAATGAAAATATAAGAAAACTATGAGGATTATTATTAAGAGCAAAAATAGAATCTTTACTTTAACCTAACCTACTTTTAATTTTATTTATTCTATAGAATATTAATCATGATTGGCTATTTTAATTGATGAGATCAATTTATAAGGAGAAAGGTATCAAAATGTATTTTATATTATAAATTATTTTAATCAACCTGTTAATTGGAGACAAATTTCAAATTATATATTTTTTGATCATTTTCTAATTATTTAATCAAAAGAAACAAAAATTTTATTGTCAATTTAAATATCTGATACAACAATCAACAGCTGATGCGTAATATGAAACAGCCTATTCTCTTCTCACTTGGACATTTTAATTTACCATAAGCATTAAATTAATAATTTGAAGAATTTTCTTAAAATCTCACTTCTGAGAAATAAATTTCAAATAACATCTATATTTATACTAAATTCATGTTGTCTTCAATTAGAATAATATAAATAATTATTTATGCAACAATAAATACCTCTTAGATAAACAAATCAGATTAGACCATCAATATTTTTGAATAATTTAGATTTCAACTCTGCCTTGCTGTCTCCAAAATTGATCTCCTCAGATTTTGAAACGTCTCCTCTCATCTCTCAATTAAGATATCCAACCAAGCTCCCTTTGATTAAAGAAAAACCTACTATATCTATCAGTAATAAGGAATCCCTTGAAAACACACTTTATAACGATTCTAGTAGTTAACCCTCATCCATGAAGATTGCATTTCAATCAGGGGAACGTCTGAAGTTGCCTCTAATTTAATTAGCATCTCCTCAAAATGAAACTAAACACAAAAAAAATTTAACAGAGGGTAGTCTGGCTAAAAAAAGAGTAGAATTCAGAGCATCCATTCTGGTGATAGATTTCATTAATTAAGTGATGAAGAAAGATAAAATTGACGGAAGTGCAAAGCCTCTAATTCGAAAAGGCATGAAAAGAGAGTAAACCAAATTCTAACCAAAATTAGGGTGAAAGAAGAAACTTGAATGCATCTGGATGGGAATTTAAATGAATTCATTGAGAATAAATTTAGTTCATTGAAACTATTAAGTATCTTATAGTTTTCTTTATTATTTTTATTATTTTTTTATATATTTTCATTAATAAAATTATTAGAAATAGTAATATTTATTGATGCTAAGCATCTTTTATCATATAGGATATTTTGGATCAAAATATCCTTGCTTTGTATTTTTGATTTGCCTGACTTTAAACGGACTGATGTCGTTGGGATTATATAATTTAACAGTCTTAACTGATCCGCAATGTATTTAATATATTTTACATAGCGTTGTGGGTTTCTTCTAGTAGCAGGACCTATTAGGAATAGGAGAGTTCTTCTAAAAATTATGGTCCTTTTTATAGAACAAATCAATTCATTTTAACGTATAGGAATGAAAATTGGGTGAATGTGTTTTAAAAGGAAGGACTGCAAGTGATCTATTTTTTATAGAATATAATCAGAAACAGGAAGGTATTGGTTGGAGGTAAAAATACAACACTTGATGATCTGTGTTATAGACCAATCTCAGCCAAGGGTTGTTATGTTCCAAGTCCAATGGATATATGGCTTTAGGATCCGAAGTTATTAGAAGTTGTTATTTATAATTTATTTTAGAAAGACAAAGATATTCAATTTACAACTCTTTGTACAGAATCAATTGATATCAATTAAACCAACATCCCTTGCAGTGATTAGAATGGGATCCCAATCATTTTGGAATCTGTATTTGGAGGAATGTATCTACTATAAATTAGACAACCAATAGATCCTGCGAGAGTCGATAGAATGACACTTAACCTTGTGATCATTGTTACATCTAGGCTAGAACCATGGCAGTTACCTATCTTCTAAAGAATGATGAGTTCACAAAGTAAAACGCTGAGTTGTGGGAGAAAGATGTATGGATGGACACATTGGAAGCTCTGAACAAAAGGGATTACAAAAAGCTTTATGGCTATTACAATAAAACAGTGATGACTGCTCCCAAAGAGGGACTTTTGGATCAATACAAGGTGGCATTTATGGCAGAACGATCAGTTTCAGATGAAATTAATGATGAGACAAATTAAAATGCTTGGATTGTGGTTGTGTCATACTTGATGATGTTCGCCTACATTGGATTTGCTATAGGGTAATTCCCCAGCAAAATATACAATGGATTTACTTTGGGATTGGGAGGAATATTTATAGTTGCTCTCTCTATGATAAGCAGCATAGGACTTGTATCCTATTTTAGTATAGGATTGACGATGATTAGTTTGGAAGTAAAATTGTTACTATTATCAAGGTCATTCCATTTTTAATTTTGGCAATTGGTGTTGATAACATGTTTATTATAACACATCAATTTAAGAAACAAAAACACCCGACGATTCAAGAAAGAATGGGTAATACGTTGGAATAAGTGGGTCCAAGTATTACAATAGCAGCAATATGTGAAACATTGGCATTTTTGGTTGGATCTATGACTAAGATGCCAGCATTATAATCATTTTGTATTTAAGCAGCTGTGGGTGTATTCATCGATTACTTTTTGTAAATTACAATGTTTGTTGCCTTTTTAACATGGGATGAGGAGAGAAAGAAACATAAAAGATATGATCTCATTGTTTGTAAGCAGGATATAAATTATCAGTTTAGAGAAAATAGAAAACTAATTTAAACCTTTTTTAAGAAGACTTATTCTAGACTATTGTAAAACCCAATTTGTATAATAATGACTATCATAATATTTGTGGCATTGTTTGTAATAAGTTGTGTGGGAATCACAAAGATACAAGTGGGATTGGATGAGTAGGTATCAATGGTCGAAGGCTCTAACTTATTTAATTATATGACTTTAGAGAAGAAGTATATTGAGATAGGACCTTTGGCTTATTTGATATTAGAGAATTTGGATTATTAGGATCCTCATGATTTAGAATTAGTAGCCAATCTATCTAATTCTTTGTCCAGATTAAATGAAACAGTACAACCTCCCATTTATAGTTGGGTAGCTTCTTTTAATTTATTTACTCGAAAATCAGCTGAATGGATTCAAGCTTGTGAAACATAGGATATTGCATTGTATGATCAACCAACTCAGTTAAAACGATTTTTGGGAGTGAGAATAAATTCTCCCTGTTGTCAAAGATATGGTATTTGTGGAGAAACATTCGAGGCTGACATAGTTTTAAATGAGAAAGGATATGTCAAGACAAGTAGGCTGAGATTTTAGCACCGTCCCATCCACAATTCGGCTGGATACATCTTGTCTTTGGAATAGACTAGATAGGTGATTGATAAAGTAGTTTAGCAGGCCAACTTGAAGGAAGGCCAAAAGGTTTACCCTTATTCTATGCCATACGTCTTTTATGATTAATACTCGTATATAAGAGCAGTAGCCATAACCAATATATTATTGGCTTTGGCTACTATCTTCTTCGCAATGACTATAGTTTAAGATGTCATATGTGCACTAATAGTGGTGTTATTTGTATTTTTGATAGCCTTCAACTTAATAGGAACAATATGGTTAACAAACATTATATTTGGTGGTTTTGTGGTACTTAATGATTAAGATTAATTTAGATTGAAATAAATGCAGTCAGTGTTGTTAATTTAGTCACTTGCATTGGATTGGCAGTTGAGTTCGTTGCACATATAATTATCAAATTTCGATTATGTCAAGGTTCAAGATGGGAAAGAGTGAGAGAGGCAATGTCAACAATGGGGACTTCAGTCTTTGTTGGCATAGCTTGTACTAAATTCATCGGTGTGGCAGTGCTTGGTTTTGCACCTTCCACACTATTTAAATTGTATTACTTTAGAATGTACATTCTGATGGTTATTTTGGGAGCATTTAATGTAAACTATGAGTGATCTTCATTATTAGGGCCTAGTACTTCTTCCAATCTTTTTAGGATTGGTGGGACCTTAATCTCCAATTAAGAAGATTAGGATTAGATCTCTTATAAATAAGTCAGGAAGTTATTCGAATACCACCTCGAATGCAAGTGGTAGAAGTAAAGGTCTAATATGACTTATATAAAATATTATTAATTATGTAAGATTCAATTACTTTGATACTCTATAGAAACACACTTTCATGGAGACTACTCCACGCATTGAGATTAAGTACATTACTCAATCTTGATCAAAGGGTGGGTATGTTTGTATTAACCATCTATAAAAAATCTGCAGATTCGATTGTCAAAGAAATGTTCTATTTAAATCCAAGGAGTTACTGAAGGAAATTAAATTTGGGGAATGGTAAGTATATATTCTTTAAATGAAGATCATCCATTTGAATATGTTATAGTGCAGATTGCAACAAGGCTTCACTAAAATGGTGCAAAATTGGCCTTGGAAAGTATCTAGCTAGGTAGTTAAACAGAAGGTTGAAGATAATTCAATATGTGTGTTATTACCTCATAATTATACGATTCATGATACAGCAGAATTCAGTTTTTGCTGTAATTGACAATTGTAGATGGTCATTTTAATTTATAATAGAAGAAAGAAGGAGGGAAATCATCATCATTTCCAATTAATCATTTAAATTTGTTACTACAATCACAAAAGGAGGTTATCTAACTTAAATTGAATATAAGTGGAATCTAAGATAAGTATAATGAGATAATTAATATTATAGTTTGCATCATTTACCGAAGTCAGTACCAATAAGACCTAATGTTGCTACAACTGAATAAATGAATAAAAGTAGAATTACATTATAGATATAGTAAAAGAGTTTAGAGATAAAGTAATCTCACCCTGATCGAAGGAGATGAGTTTCTGACTGCTGGTTGGTAGAGGATCTATATATGAACTATTTTATTCTTGTATGTCGTATAAAGGAAGCTTAAAGTATTACACTTTAGTAGGGAAAGGAGGTAAGATATTGAACCAAATTTAGTTGTTTTTGATAGTGGAAATCTGAGCATAAAAGTAAATCCAGTACGGAATAAATTTATGATTATATGGTAGTGAGACCTTTCAGAGCTGGGACTTCCAATTATTTTGTTGTTTTCAACAGCATGGGTTGAGTATTTTGTTCGATCAGATTCATTTAGAGTTCCAGATGTCATTCAACCTTAGAAGGGAATAACTTTAGAAATATTAAATACAGATGCTGAATAGAGATTGATACTGGCTGATGCTATGTCATATGCATAATATGAGTTTGAGATTTAAGAAAATATCGAATTATCAACACTTACTGGCATAATTAAAAATGTTTTGGGTAGCTGTTGTGAGTGTTTACGAATTGGTAGGGATGATTTTCATTATTACAGATAGTGGAGAAAATCACCTTAGAACCTTTCTGAGTTTTGCCGTTAGAGGGTTATAATAGAGAATTGATTAAAGGAAGTATTGCTGTTATCAATAACTCTAGTTCTGGTAAAGTGGGAACATCTCCAGCGGCCGCATTTTTAGAATGTTTTGTTGAAAAGAAGGTAAGATTGTTGCATTGTGATGTATCTTCTGTGTGAGTATCTAACAGAATGAGGGAATATAGACGAAAAGGGAAATTAGTTTTGAAGTTAGGCCCTTAATTTATTTTATGAATTGAGATATTGTAAGTAAGGGAGTCAAGGAGTAATATGAAGAAAATGAGGATGATAATAACTGAATTTTAAGTTTCATATTAGCTAATAAAAATAATACATTAATAATGAACAAATACACTCTAAGATTTGATAATCCCACGCTTGAGTCAGAATACTAAAAAACTGAATTTGATGCATTTAGAAGCAAAACTAATTCTTATTTTCTCTTGATCTATTTCCTAATAAGCTGTTTAAACTTCTCTTCGCAATTCATCCAAGTACCTGAAAATCCTTAACATTTGTGGCCTATAGCAAACATACTCTTAATTGTGTTGATATTTGTGATCACAAGAAAGTATCAATATTTAGGGAAACAGATGATATTCTTGGAATGCCTTGTTGCTATTTCTTCAGTACTTTAGATAACTTATTCTCACAATATGTCAAGTGAGTCCCTAAATAGTGTACTGCCTCTTGTTGATATAGTATCTAATTTGCACTTCTTGCAAATATTCGATATTAGCTGCGTTTAGATAACTCTAACTATGGGATTGAAAATTTATCTGTCATGTGTAAACTAGCCTGAAATTAACTTATTTTTAGTACTTACCTCAATTCTGAGTTCCACCATTCAGATAGTTACTATTTACTTTTATAAACAATGGAGCAGATAATAATTTACCCTTTATATGAAAGACTTAATATGGCAATAGTAACTTTCAAATATTATTTAAAAACCCTTTTTTAAATTTTCACTTGATCCTATTTCCAACAATTTAGTTACTCTTCTATCCAGTAAAATTAATCTATTTCCAGGATTCCAATCTAGTTTTTGCGAAAGCTGTAATTTAAGAACCTTTTTAAGATTGTGCTAAAATAAAAACATATCCCTTGAGCAGAAATTGATAAACGACTATCAAGCTGAAAGGCTCTCACTTATACAACATAATTATGAGTTGTCCTATTAAGTCAATTCTAAAACTGTAGTGGTTCGTGTTTGCAATATAAATGTCGAAAGATTTAAATGTTTAATCATCCTGGAACAATGCACTCAATAAAAGAAGTAGGTTGTCTCAACTTCCAATATCAGAAAATCGATGTTGAATTCGCTCACTTCTAATTCGAAACTATTGAATCACAAATTCTTTAAATTGGGAATTCTCACTATCTTACATTTCAACAACAGAATAGTTGGCATAATCAATACCTATGATCTCATGAGGAAGGTAGTCAGTTATTTCAGCTTTCTCAATATTGAACTATTCCCTTTGAAATCTTCAAATGCCTACTTACTATCCACGTATAAACAGCAACTATTTATATTTATGATATGCATCTTCAACATTTTGACCACTTAGATCAAATCCAAAAACACCAAGATACTTGTCAATTTATCAAATGATGAAGGCACAATCAATATCATAATTAAAGGAGTTAATGAAGTTATATTTTTAGAATAATACAAATCCAATATGTTTTTAATGTAAAGCTAATAACAACTACTCATATCTCCATTGAATAAGAATTTGACACTAAAATTATAAACTTAAAGAATGAAATGATAACCCAAATGATGATGTGATCAATATTTTTGATAATTAAATCCCATAATTATTATATACATACATTCTCCCTCCCTCTATTCAAGTATTATCAAATTAATGTTTCTGATATGATTATTTTTTATATTTTAAATGGATAAAGAGTTTGTGTAATTAAAATAAATATGATAATAGATATAATCTTGATAATGGCAACTATTATGTGTTAGATTTTATTAACCAGAAGGTATAGAAAACAAATTCGAGAGGAAAATTTCCTGAAAATTTCGTGCCTTATCAAAGTGGAATTAGTAATTCTTAACAACGACAATTAAAGTTGAAATATCACAAGTCTGTCTCATACACTCCACATTAGAATAAATATTTTGGCTATTGTTAATGTCCAAACCAAAAAATCAAACACACATCCTTGGCCAAAGTCCCTATTTCTAATAATGTCTCTGACCGCATCTAAGATGTAAAACCAACTTTACCTGTGAATTTGGTTAACTGCTTTAATAAACCGAAAACTCCTAAAATTTCATTAACACAAAACATTTATCCTTCAAAATATAGAATAACAGAAACTAATTTTGATGACAATCTCATTCCCCATTTAAGTGGAACCATTAAAGATGCATCATAGGTTTATAACTCCGGATCCATTGAATCCATGAAATACAGAAAAGGAACCACAGTCCTCGATAAAACCCTAAGGTTTCAAACCAATGAGCCAGACTATCTTAGATTCACTTGCAGATACCTAAACACCAAGAAAATCAAGTCTCCGCCCTATAAAGTGATGCAAAGATATGAGATCATCAATAAAATTAATTAAGACAAGGATAGAAAAATCGCAAAATCGATTGATGATAGTCTTATTAAAAGAATCCCTCCAGTTCCCTATTTATAGACTTTATCTTCTAATGTTCAAAATACTTTTTATCAGAATGTTGATGTGTCACTATCTCATTCAATCGACTCTTAGAAGATCAGAGCATTCATTTCATTAAGATGAAAGAACTATTCATGTTTGATATTTTTCGCTGATTAAAATAATATTTAATATTTCTAAATTTTTAAATCTTTCTCTTAATGGAAAAAATGGAAAAAAATATAAAAATGATCAAAAGTTCGCCTTAATCAATGTATAAATAATTTAGGTCAGGACAAAAGATCCAAGTAATGTATTCACTCTAATTTCTTCTGATAAGATCTAGTCTTTTAATGTGCGATCCTTCTTAGTGGCTTCTTGACTTCATTTAATTCTTATCTGTCTTAGGTACCAGTCTCTATATCAATGACCACGAGAGACTTTTTGAATTCGACTCTCCTCCTTTGAAATTTAAGTACTGGAGCATCTAATTTAGATTCTTATCTTCTCAAAAACAATCTTGTTCTCTTGAGTGGCCTCTAATAATCAATTGGAGAGGCATCACTTAAGTCTTTATTCATGAGAGGTAAATCAGGTAGTGATTGCTATATCCTTTAGGCTCTTTATGTGCCCAATTTATGGAGTTTAAAGTGATAAGAATGTTCTATGAGGGGATCGCTTTCAATTTCAGTGCGAATCGGTTTGGAAATGCTCCTATCAGTTACTTCTGCCTCAGTTTTTAAAGAATTAGGAATTATATCAATTTAATTCAGAAAAAGAGAAGGTCTCATTGCTCTCAACACTGGAATTTATTTAGGTTATGCATCTTTTTACCCAATGCTAGGTAGTGAGAATCTATTTGTTGAAAGTTAAGCCATGTAAAGTTTCAATTTTATTTAATTAATTCTTGTTTGTATTTTTCATCAACTTTATAGAGTTGAAACTGTTTAATAAATCTGATTAATTAGAGAATAACAATGCAAATTAAGATTATTTGACACTAGCTTATTCACTTATAATAGAGCAATATTCCTATCTAGATTTATATTTATTGATTATTTCATTCAGTTAATGGCCCAAAGTCCAGAATGAATCTATGAAGCCAAAACTGAATTGAAAATATTCAAATCATGTCACTAAATTAGTGAAATTCCATTTTACTAACTAGACGATTAGTTATTAAATTAGAACTCACTTTATTCAATCAGGAAAGTATAACATATAATTTAAATATCGAAATAGATGTTTGATTTTATTAAATAAAATCTAATACTTAATTAATAATATATATTTATCAAAAATGTACCACTCAAATTTCTAATTTTAGTATCACCTCTAGATACCACAATTATAATTGTTGTAATGCTCTTTCTAACTAAATAAATATTAATGCTTTTAATGTGATAATATTTATATTAATATTATATTTATATTTTATATGGTCTTGCATATTCCTAATTTTTTAGTAAAAGGAGTTGTCTTCTCTTGGATGGGATATCTAACATACCAATATTTCTAGTAAGTTCCACTTCAATATTAATTAGGATATATCGATTGGATCAATAAGCCAAAAAGTTAGATGCCTACATCAAGTAATATTGGGGAATTATTTAATTAGAAATAAAGCCTTGAATGGAGAGAAGGTTGAGATTCCAGAAGAGCTCTAATAGGCGAAATTATATTAAGAAAATCATTGTATTTAATTAAATTATACAGATGGACAGAAGCTTTTAGAGAGAATGAAAACACAGCATGTTTTAGAGGAATAAGTGAAGTATGCAATAGCATAGAAGAAAGAACTGAGACAAAAACTAATCAATGAAAGCAACGAGAAAGAAGTCGAGGCATTAGAATAAGAATTGTTACAATTGAATTAATTGTTCTCAAAAATTTAATCGAAGAATGTGCCCAAGGATTGATGATGTACATAATTTTATTATAATAATCATTTAACACAAATCATATTAATTAATTGAAATAAGAAAAAATAGTGATAAATTTTATGAAATATTTATTTGTTTCACTTCTAATTCTGAAATGTATATCTTTTGACGATGTCACACTCTTTGAAGTGAATTTGAATGATTTGGTTATCAATTTACACTAAAATGAAGCAAAAGGTTTGGTTTTACAATAAGCAAGAAGTGCTATTTTAGAATCTAAAAATAATAGTCTAGGATGCGAAATTATTCCCTTGCATCTTAAAATGGAGACACAGGAACTTCGTATTATTCAGGATTTTAATTTTCTTGAATCTGATTTAAACGATGAACTTTAGTTTAGGCAGTTTATATCGATGACTCACATAAATGATGGCATGATAGCAATAACCTCAGATTTCATAGTGTATTTATTGAAATTCAATTACATTTTTATATCCAAACATGATTTTCGTGAAACAGGTTCATAATTCGCTAAAATAGTGTGGAAGTTCAATCTCACTCAATTAACTAGTGCAATTCATTTAGAATAAGAGTTTCCTAAATTATTGTATGCTCCATCATCGAATGTGGCATTTTTATTGTAGAATGATAGGGCACAATTATTTAGTTTGGCCCAAATAGAATCTCAAGGCAGCTCTTTAAATGTGTATGAGGTGCCTAGTTGGAAGAAAAGAGCTTATAGAGGATTTACAAAGGAGGTTGATGGGTTGATTTTCAGTGCAGTTGGTACAGATGGGCTTGATGTATATAAAATAGTAGAGAAAGGATTAAAATTTATATCAAATTTCAAGATTTTTCACGAATACTAATAAGTTAATATAATAGATTTTTCAATAATAAAATCGGATAAAATTAAGGGAAAATATTTTTTTTTTATTTTGGATAAGGAAAACGGGTTATTTCTGGGTGAAATAGAATAGGAAGAGGAAGAAGTTAAATATGAATTCAATTTGTGGATGGATCATTTAATTGGAGGAATATCAGTAGATACTAGGAATGGTAAGAATGTATTTTTTGGTTATTATTAATAAGGGTTGTATTATTTGAGAGAATATTACATAAACTTATAAAATGGATATAATTTTGTTATCAGAACAAAGTAAATCGAATCAAGGATCATTGATGTAGATGCAACTGATGAGTTTGTGATAGTGCAAGGATTAAATTAGCATACGATTGTATTTTCTAATGATTATGATTACTTGTCTACTAATAATAAGGATTAGATTTTCAAGCATGTAGGACTAAGGGATTTTGAATTTTTCAATCAAGTTTACAAATTGGAAGGGTTAAATGATATAACAAAGGAGTATGAGAATGATGCTTTCTTTTTTGGGATAACGTCTTAAACAGCCTTTTTGACCAGATTCCGAGTGCAGCCAATATAGATTCGTTGTTTGTACCATCCACAAAACTGTATTCAGTAAATGATATGATACTTAGCTATTGTTGGAGAATCATATTAATATATTCTGTAGTATAACATGACACACAAAAACTTGACAGGATTCGTAGTGAGATACACATAAAATGTCACAGTTAATATCATAGAGACATATCTGTATGAGAATGATATGGAGATAGTAAAGATTTCTTTATTCGCGTTGAGTTTGTTGTTGTTAATTATATTAGTAAAGACTTGTAGTTGGTTGGATAGTAGGAATAAAATAATAAATAAGATTAATGAAGTAATTGAAAATATGAAGATGAATAAGGGATACAAGGAGGATAATGGGCCGTAAACAGGTAAAATAGATGAAACCTCTGTTTTCTAGATTCAAAATCAATCAATTATACAATAATGAAAATCAATAACCCTACATCTCACTCAATTTATAATTTAAGTATGAATTGTAATCTGGTTGTATTTTTCTCTCTTGAATAAATGAAAAGTCCACATTATTATTTCCATTCATAATTTTGCTTCTATTAAGACACATCTCCATCAAGTAATCCAGAAGGATCAACACTTCGTTGTCTTTGCAAGCCTATAAGATTAATTTAGAAACACTTTAGACTCTTTCCTTAATGATCTTCTCTACTGAAATGAGTTGATTTTAATTTAATTCTGGGATATCAATAAAGGTTTAAAAATCAGCCAATTGTCTTAGACTAGACAACAAACCAATTCGATCAAAGTATTACAAAGTATTGGTACAAAGTTCAGATGCTAATTGGTATTCGTTTTAGATTTGGCTGATGAATTTTGAATACTCATTTGATTTCTTTTAGGATTCCAATAAGGATATAACTTTTGTTTGTAATAGTTTGAATGAATTGGCAGTGAATTTGGCTGAAAGAAGACATAACAGTTCAAAATATAATTCTTTTTTATAATGTTGAGTAATGATTGAGATGTGTTGGGTGATTTCAACATTCACAAAATGTGAAAAGTTCAAATGCATTCTTTATAAATTCAGTATATTTAATTGGGATAATAATTACGAATTAGGAGCCTCGTTTATTTGAAGAGATTGGGGAGAATCAAGGATATTAGGCTTATTCTTTTCAAATTGGATCTTGGCTTATGGCAATGATCTCTTCTATTATTCAAACATCATAAATAGTTCATTCCATTCCATTCTTTTGGATTCCTCTTTCTCCAGAGCTTTAGAAATGAAATTTTTTCCGAATTCTGTCAATTACACATGAGATGGAAATCTCAATGGTTATTTCATGATATTTTGAGTTAAACTCTTTTCATCCATGCCTGTCCATGGAGAGTTACCATAAATCATCTCATAATAAATAATACCCAATGACCAAATATCTGACTTGGTGGTGTATTTCTCCTTTTTCAATATCTGAGGTGCCATGTATAATGGTGAACCTACACAAGTCCTTAACAAATCTCCATTAAAATTATCAACGATCTTAGAGAATCCAAAATCGGCTATCTTAACAATGCCTCTATGATTCATAATATTGGCTGGTTTGAGATCACGATGGATTATGTTTGCTCTCACCAATTCTTTGAATCCACTTGCTAATTGACAGAAGATCTAATTAACTTCTGTCTCGGGTATTCTTCTGCCCTTCATTATATTTCTTAAATCGCCATCTGCGCAATACTCTGTGACTATGTAGATGGAGCGATCAGTTGTAAATTTATCAATAAACTTGACAATGTTCGGATGATCCAATTACTTCATGATTTGGACTTCGCTATCTATTCTACTTGTTCATTTAATTACTTAGAGCATCAATTAGATACTAATCCTTATTGATCATTGAACTATCAATTTTCTTAATGGCCACTTCCATATTCGTGCTTATTTTACTTCCCCTGTAAACCTTGCCAAATGCCCCCTCTCCCAACAGATACTTGGAATCGAATTGATAGTCCCCCAATCTTCGTATGTTTTAATCGAATTACTATTACATATTTGTAATTATTTAATCATTTTTGCAAAACTTTCAATGCTTTCTGGATTTCAACATTATTTATTTATCTCAATTCATATAAACTCAATGGAGCTGATTGTCTGAGGTTCAGTCCTTTCTGTTCAATCACTTTTTGGACATTAGAAGTCTTCACTTCTTTCGGACGTTCTTATTTTAATGAAATCGATCTCACGTTTAGGATGTCAGCCTTAAGATCCAACATACTCTGATGACCCTGCTATTATGGTGGATTGTAATCCAACGATTAGGTTGTTTCAGATAGTAGGTTTCCCATAGGTGAGAATTTCTCCATAAATGACTTCTAATTGCGTTCTTTGGGTTCTTATTTCTAATATAGTTGAGAGTCCTTCTTTGCGAAGAGAGAATCAACCAGATTATTGATTTTGTCAAGTTCCTAACTTACTTGTGGTTTGGTTTGGAGAAGGCTTGAATCCCAATTCTAGGTCTGGATATTGTTTTTCTAATAGTAGTCTAACGGATTGCGAGTCTCTATGTATTACACCTGAGACTTGGTTAGATATGAAGAAAACTAATCATATTTAACAAATTAGTTTAGTTCTTGATTTTACATTAATAAAAATAAAATGTTCTAAGCAGAAAAAGGTGCCAATGCCATTCCTGGATACACAGGGTAACAGTGTCTCATTAATTACGCTTTAGATTCATTCCAAGTCAAGACTACGATTAAGACTTATTGCAAATTCAAGGCAACAGAAATCATATCCCAAGTACACTGTTTATGCTTATGTCACTAAGATTATGCAGGATTCGTTCCAGGAATAAAGTCAGAAAATCTATTTGGAAAGACATTCGGGAAAATCACTTTGCTTTCCAGCACTCATGAACATCATCGAGGGTACATTAAGAATCTCTAACTCAAGATCTGATTTGCCTGCTGACATTAGATACAAAAGCGAAGTCAAAGAGGCTTATTGCGATCAAAGAGACTAACGTGGAAGAGATATTGATCTCTATGGCAAATTAGACTCAGAAACATCAGTAACTGTTATACATGCTATTTTATTAGAAAGCTCTTGCTTATACTCTATCCAATCTGACACACTTTGAATAAACTAACACTCTTCCAAAAAGAAGTAAATATCTCTTGTTATCAACCAAGGCGACTCCAAAGATAGACAGAGCAATTTAACCTATGAAGAAGCTTTGCAAAAATTAAAATGATTATTAATAATAGATAATAATATATGAAATTAGAAATACTTATTCACTTTAATAATTCCATAACACTAATGAATTACTCTAAAGTGAGCTATCAATTAATAAACATAATATATTACTTTTTTCTCAGAAGCAAGATCATTAAACTAAGTTTCCAAGTCTTCGTTTACTAGATTAAGATATTTAGTAATGTTAGCAGCTCTCAACTCTGCTTTATTGTTACTCAAAAGATTAAATGTGGTTTCAAGATTTGCCCTAGTCAATAGCGATTCCTTGGGGGCAGCAAGTGATAAAAAAGTAAACTATGCCATAAACTCAGACTTAATTGAGTGATCAACGAATAATTGATTCACATGATATTCTAAATCAGTTAATTTGGTATATTTCTCGAACATTTTTATTAATTCCTCTTTTGACAATTTCATGTCTAAATCTGAATCAAATTCTGAAAACAGCTTTTGTAACTGCATTGCTGTCTCCTAGTCCAATTCCTGAACCATAATCTCTAATATTGTCTATTGCAATTCACAACTCTCCTTCTGAGTAAACAAATTTTTTAACAACCTCTCCTAAGTAGAGATTTCCTCCTTCCTGTGTTTTTTTAACCAATGATTATTTCTTTATTCTTCGAAAGTTTTTCTTCTCTTCTTATTCCTTTCCCCTATCACTGATTCAATAAAATATCGAAAATCTGCTGGCCATTTCCTAAGATCTTATTCCACATTAAATTAAAAGTGCAGAATATACTACTTCACAGCAGGGATGTCACTCTACAATTTAAGAGGTATCTTATAGGGTACATCACCTATCCCTAACGAGTACAGAATCATCATCACAGCCCATAAATCTCTACTGGCTTAGTATTCATTTTTATAGAGAGCATCAGGGGGAGTAAATAGTAAGACTTCGTACTCATCTACTCCTTTAACCGAGATAGGTTTCAAGTCGATTAATTTAACCAGTACTTAACCTGATTGAAATTAATATTCCCAACTGTTGATAGTCATATTTCCATGAACCATTTATTAAGTTTTTAAATAGGCTAGAACTTAAAACATTTGGTCAGCAATATTTGCTAAAATTTACTCTGTGATTTCCATTTAACTTGATAATCGAGATAATTTGCCTCCATCAAAATATTCGTAGATTAATTGATAACAAGTATTGTCTTAATGGACCTCCAAGTTTTTTAGTATATTTTGGTGATCCTAAGTAATAAAATAATAAAATACTAATTAATTGGATTTCAGCCAATAAATGAATTTAATGCTATCTTCTTCTGCCTTTGATAGTACTTGTAATCGAGCCTTTGTACCAGTTTTGTTGTTTTAAACAAATGACAGTTCTTGCTAATAAATTAGTAATGTTGATACATTCATCTGAATTTCTTTATTATGCATAAAGGAGTACTTTTTGGATGCGTTGGTACTATAAAATTGAACTCCTATTTAAACAGATCCCCTGAGTGGAGAACTGCAATTGCTGAGTGATCTTTGGGAGAGAGAACGTTGAGAAGGTGATTTTTGAAGTTTTCCGATCATTTATTTTGAGCATTTTTTATTGAGGCCCTGAGATTGTACTGGCGATCTCTGATTTTCAGAAATAATCGCTGGAGTATGGATACTTCTCTAACTATGCTGACTTGGTTGACTATTTTATGGTGATTATTCTCTTTTGGATTAATTGAGAATTTAAGGTTCATGAGCTGATTCCTGTGATTACTTATTTGGTAGTACAATTTTGAGTTATTATCTTTACTCCTATTATTTTTTAACATTTTAAGAGGTGCAAATCCCCATATTAATCAAGATTTGATGTAATAAATAATTGAAGATTTAATTAATTTTGCAAAGGTTATTATATATACTGTTCGTTCTGGCCAGCATTATTTCCTATTTGCCACTCTCTCTATTTAGCATTTAGCTATGCAGATCAACACAATTTAAAAATTGCCATTACATTTATAAATTTAGAAATTGATAATTAGATTGTTAATATTATTATATTAAATAATTAACATAATTAATGATAGTCACTTATAATAATTAGGATTATAAAGTAGGGTATCCTAAAACCTTATCAAAAATGAAAAAGAAGTTGTAAGAATAAATACCAGAAATAAAAGAGAGAGAGCTGGTTATTATGAAGGTACATACTAAGGAAGAGAAAAAACTAATTGAGCAATTTAAATATCAAGAGGTTGTTTAATCTTATAAAAAGAATCAAGGTCCTAAACTGAAATGTTATATACTTTAGAAATTACTTCAATCATTGAGTTTTGAATTTTCTCAATAAAAATAACAACATGAAATTGATTTATGTAAATAGAAGAACAACACATTAGAAAATACAGCCTTATAGATAGATTCAAATCAATAAATGACTGGTAAACTTGAATAATTTTGTTCTTCCGAATAGTAAAATCAATAAAAGGAATCTGTTGTGAGTGGTGTAATTTCTGAAATAAGTACTTTCTATGTGGAGTAACCTTTGATTAATTAGAATAATTAAGAAATTAACGAAAAATAGTAGTATCAGAAAGAGCAAATCACAGAATCTTAATTTGATTCTATTTTAAATAGGAGCTAGATGGACAGAGGAAATAATACTGAATCTAATTTATAGACAATGATTTCAAAATGCCAGATTTGTAATCAGAAAATTGTTTAATACCCTTATTTTTTGAGTTGCTCTCATGTTTATCATGAATAATGTTTAAAAGAGTTCTTAATAAATTAAATCAAAAATAAGGGTTAGAAATTGTTTTGTCATTGTAACAAACAAATAATTCATCCTTGCTCGATTCTAGAAACTTTAGATTTAAATTATTACAATTCTAAATTACTAGATAATCAACTTAATGAAATAAAAAAAACATATAAGTGTATTAAAAGATGTCCAAACAAAACTTGTACTTTTTTTGTAATAAATACAAACAATTAGATTACTAAATCATTCTGCCCTTAATGCTTGATGCAAGTGCTACTAGTATGACAATTTGAGATTGAATATTAAATTTAAAATTATTATAAAATGATTTTATCAGAGAGGGAGTATCTAAATGTGAAAGGAAAATAGTATTAGGGAGTTCATTCAAAGCGAATCTGTTCTCCTAATGAAAGTCTGATTAGTGTTAATCCCAATCCCTCACTCCCTCAACTGAAATTGCAGGCAAAACATCTTTTGGCTTAATCAATCCATAAAGATATATCTGGAGTTCCTCCTTTCAGTCAAATACACTTGAAACCCTTGATTTGCAAAAACAAATCTTGTATCTACCTAGTTAGAAATTTGGAAGATAAAATAGCTAAATACATTATGAAAATTAAGGAAATTGCAAAAGAGAATAATATACTGAGAAAGAAATTATAAATGGATAGATTGGTTGTTGATGGTCTAATATCATCTACACACAGATCTCAACAATCTTCTGATTTTAAATAGCTAACTGAAGAGGTGCAATACCCAAGATCTAATTTCATGAGTCTTCATGATGTTCACTTAATATCCAAGTTTTCAAATGAAGTTAGTCTTGCTAATCTTAGTCAAAAATGGACATCTGATATTGTTAATAATCTCAATACGTTATTCCAATAACCCTTTTTGGATATCAATTGGAGTAAACCAACAACAATGAGTATGCCTTAATCAAATTAGTGTTTGAAAAGTTGTTAGAATAATGTTCAGACAGATCTTATAGAATTGAATTGTAGGCATACTTATCACAAAAATTGTTTGTGTGAAGAAATCATAAATTCTCCTAAATTAAAAGGTTATTTTTGTTAATGCAACTAACAATTATGCAAATAAGATATCAATCAATTAAACGGAGTACAGAGGGCAATTATTAAAGAGATCAAATTAAATTCTTAGTTATCTTAATTAATAAAGAAATAGGATACTTTCTATAAATGCCAATAGACTACTTGCCAATTTATAATCATGAATTCAGAATTCGAAAATTTACTTAGTGTTTAATCTTTTTGTCAATCATGTTTGACCATGAGATTATTCTACAAAAAAGAATTGACAGAAAAATGATTATTAATATTTTAATTATATCTGTTTGTATAATAATTTAAACTGTATGGTAATGATTTAGAAAATAAAAAAAAGAATTCTTTTTATAATAATAAAATTTCATATTATTTTAATATGAACTTTCTAATTACAAAACTCATCTCCATGTCTTTTTTAATAACTTGAATTGCCATATTTATTGAATATTAGATCTCAAATTATTGACTACTTTTTGCATGAATTCTATTTATTTATAAATTATTTATAATAACAATGATAAACAACTAAAAGAATAAGAAATAGCTGCCCATTATTATCTAAAAGTATGAAGACTCCTTAAGAGATAGTAAGTATAAATAAAAATATAGGAAAGCAAAAGGAAGTTATATGTATGATCATTCATTATCAGTTGAGAGAGCAAACTATTATTAAAGCAAAAATAAAATACCGACACGAAGTTCAAGCAATTATCAATCATAGAAGAATGACAAAGACAGATTTTTATATAGCTTAGCTTCAACTTCAAAGAATATTAAGAACTAAAAGTCTAAATTCACTTTTACTACTGAAGAAATTAATAACCAAAATCAGAAATTAAAGACTGACGTTTAATTACTCTATTAACTTATTAATCTTGAATAACAGAGCCCAAATAAACTCTAAAGTCCAAAGAAAACTATACAACAAGCTAAATTAATCAATCCAATCTAGAAGAACATGAAAGATTTTACTGCAAATTAATTGATCATTTAAAATTGTTAAGTTTGCACAAAATCACGTAATGGAAGAATAGTGTAAATTCCATGCGATCACTTTTATCATTATGAATGCTTTTAATAATATTTAGAAAAGTGTATAAAAAAGGGATATTCATAAATCCATTGCCATTGCAAAGCCAAAATACCCTAATAAATTCTTCTAAATAATTCTAATATACTAATTATCTAAAGATATTTTCATAATTAATATGAGAAACTAAAAACTAAATTTTTTAAACACAAAGATTTTGAAAAATGCCTCAATTCATTTTGCAATTTCTTTTGGATAAATGATGGCAGCAAAAGAAAGACTATCATTTTATCATATTGTACAAATTGCTTAAACCAAAATTGTGCAATATGATTTAAAGTGTATTACGAAATGAAAAACATTTAAATGTTATATAATTTTAATTATAAATCTTGAAAAAGATTGAAATATGAATTCAATAAAGAATCAAACTCTAGCAAAATATTTTTTTCATTAACTTGAAATGTCATAGATCATTTCATCATTAATTATATTAATATATAAAATTATTTCTTAAAATTACAACACAATGGATCCTTAAAGTTAGAAAATACATAAGGTTTAAGATAGTGGTTTTGAATAAAATCAAAGCAATGAGACAACTGAAATGACTTAAAATAAAGGAGATAAAAATGATAACAAAAATCTATTAAATAGTGAAATTAATGAAGATGTTTCTATGAAGAAGGATGATGTATAAGCTAAAAAAAAAGATGAAGAAACATAGTAATAATCGAAAGATTAGAACTAAATGTATAAAATAAAAGTTTAAACTTAATTCCTTAATAATTAATCGTCATATATAAACAGTAATAGCTAAGCATGTATTTAAACTCAGTAGATTGTTAATCCGTCAACTGAAAAAGGAGGAGAACAAAACAATTAAATTCACTAGATTTTAAATAAGGAAACAATAGTTAAATTACTTAAAAAGAATGGTTTCAATTATTTTAATGAAAAGTTGTAATAAGATGAGAAATCTCTTCTCCCTTCTCCATGGGATTAGCCAGATGTTTATTCAGAATAAAATAGCTGAATATTCATCAATATTTATAATCATATTATATATATTTTGGGGTGGTGGTTTAGTAGAATGATGAGGATAGGCCAGGCTATGAAGTTGGAATCAATAAGATAATCAATCGTCTTTCTATTTTCTTTATTGAATTAATCTTAAAAAGGTTAATAACTCTATAGAAAAGAAAAAATTTTAATATCCTATCTAAAATTGAATACTAAAGTTTTCATAATCATGTTGCTGACATTTATTTAATTCTCAAATACGTCAAATTAAATGCATTTTGGGTCTTTGTTTTATTTTATAATCATTTAGGTTAAAATTACTAGTGAAGTACAAATCAAAGTAGTTCTATTGATTGATTGAATGTTTCGATTAAAGTATATGTTGAGAAAATATATGATATTATCTTTTATTAAAGTGTTTAGGTGTTAAATTTGTTACTGGAATTATAAAAATTATTGAAAGTAGGGATCATACAATATAAAGAGGAATCAAAGTTAATACATATCAAAAATAGGAGCTTGAATTTGGATTGAATTATTTATTAAACTTGATTCTATATAATGTTTAAATTATTTTTATTCGAAAGTAGATTAATTATGCTATTGAGAATTGCTTATCAATTCTTTTTATATATTCTCTTTCGTAGTTTTACATTATAAGTGTTCTAATTCTTTGAATAGTTATTAATAGAAGAGCTCCATATTTATAATAACAATCTGAAATCCAATAATTACTCCCATAATCATATTGTTCTTATTGATCAGACATTTCTTGGAATTCTGCATTCAAATTGAGTATTTATTTCATTCAATAATTCCTAATCTAACTGCTTGGTTTCTAAATTAACGTATTTAAATATTTATATATGAATTAATAATACTAAAAATTCATTATTGATGATTATAACAGTATTGCTAGGAATATTATTTTAAGAAGCTCAAAGCATCAGATACTAAATACAAAGGCATTAAACTATTATGGATCCCATTCATGATATTCATCAAGTAGAATACAGAGTTCAAATGCAATTTGGATCTCAGAAATAACCGATGGAGTTGATTATTGATACTGGGTCTTCTGATCTATGGATCCCATCAATAGATGCAAAAGGATTTCTTAATAATGGTATAATAATTGAATTTAATAGCAGTCAATCGATATGATTGTAAGGGAAGTTCAACTTGTATTAATACTCATTCCAGTTACTCAGTTTTCTATGATGACGGTCCCATTTCAGGTACATTGGTTTGGGACTAAGTGTGGATGCATAATATCAAATTTAATTAGTCGTTCCTATTGATTGAAAGAGCAAGTGGGAATATGGCATCCAGTGGAGGCATTCTTGGACTTGGTTTCAATTCAAATGCAGCCAATCCCAATCCATCTATCTTAGAGTCACTTTACTAATAAAAGCTGATATCTAAAAAATACTTCTCATTGTATTTAAAGGATGAAGGTGAATTTGGTAGTTATATTCTCTTTGGAGGCATTGATATGGAATTTATACAAAAGGATCAAAAGATATCTTATGTACCTCTGATTTCTGATACCTCATATCTTATGGGAATAGAAGGAATGTCAATTGATGATGAATTGTTCTCTATTACAACAGCTCTTGTGGACAGTGGAACCAGTTGTCTTACAGTTCCTGCAGTTGCAATGGATGATATGTTGCAAGTCTTTGCAGCCAAGGGAGTAGAATGTTCCTACAGAGTTGAAAACTATGCACCTTCCTATTGCACTGTGCATTGCTTTGTAAATGCTACAAATGAACAAGGAATTATAGATTCATTTCCAATTATAAAAATAAGAGTCAATAGTTCTTTTGAATTGCTCCTAAATCCATAAGACTATCTCTATTGTATAAATTGATCCTTATTCCCTTATAGCTTGTACAATCTTAGATGGCAGCTAATCGAAATGTAATACGAAACTAGAAAGATCTTAGAGTGATGACATCTTATTGTTAGGCGATGCTTTCCTACATAGTTATTATACTGTGTTTGATTAAACAGATAAGTAGATGGGGTTTGCGCATTCAATAAATAATAAGGGTTTGAAACTACATGTGAAAACAAGACACCTAGTTAATTTTGCTCAAATGCTGATATTATATATAGCATTGTTGTTAGTTATTTGATTATTTGATTATTTAAGTATTTAAGTATATTAAAATACATAATGGACGGTTCAAATCTCACTTCAGATGGACAAAAGGAACTTTAGACCTTCCTGAATTTCTTCAATCTCAAAAAATAAGAAGCCATGAGAGAAATAGAATTAGAATTCAAGGATTTCTCCAAATTCTAAGTGCAAGACACCTTATACAATAAGGATGATGTCTAAGAACTTTTTAAGAAATTGGAGGGCAGTTTGGAAGTGCTGATGAATAAAGAAGTGTCTAAAATAATTTATATGTGCGGTGTCTATGTCAAAATATTTTTATCAGTGTGTTCTGATCAAGATTTTCATGCAGATTTCAATTTCATAGAAAATGTGTAATTAGCATTCTAATCATAGTAAAATTATAGAGTAGATGAAAATACTTGAAAAAGGAGGTACCATTGTTGAGGATAAGCCACTCTAGTCGAAAGTTAGATATTCGAGATTGCCAACACTCGACACTGCTCTATAAAGTAAGATCATCATCTTATTTGATAAGAATAGATGGAGGAGACGGTTAAAGAGAATGATTTCTTAAAATAGTACAATCAAAAACTATAGAATGAATTGGTCGTGCTAAAAAAGGAGTAGGTTTAAGATGCTGATCAAGTAGGTTCATTTCAAGATTAGATAAATTAATTAAAATAAGAGAATTAGCAATTGAAATAAGAGATGGAGAAGAAATTAAATGATTGTGTACAATTCAAAACTCTGAAATAGATGATCTAAGAGAAGAATCAACAAATTAAAGAATTACAAATGAAGTTATAATGATAATCATTCAATTCTGTTAAGATATAAGAGCTAATGATATTAAGTCATTTTGCATTGTTTCTTGTTTATGGTGTTAAAAGTTGAAATTCTTGAATTTGAGTATTTAAGCCTCCTTTAAAGAGATCTTATTCATAGTGAAAAAGGGGTTTATTTTATCTGTGAGTTTATTCATGGTTTGTCAATGCTTTTTTTGCTGATATTATGGTAATATTGTTAATGATATCAGATGTTCTTCTAAATTTAATAAGTATCCTTCATGTATCCTTTACATTTTCATGTAGATTAATCTCAAAACTAAGCTATTCCACTTATATTAATAATTTTATCCCTTTTGTATTCTATTAATGTTGCTTTGAGAAATTAATTAAGTCTGAAATTTTGAAAAAACAAAGTTGTCTATCTATTTATGGATTGGAATCTTCAGCATTGTGAATCAAGTTCAAACGAATCACCTCAGTGTAAATCTGGTTCTATCATTTCCTAAAGTAGATATCCTTAAGATATAGTTTGATTTCCTTGATAGCTTTACATCTCTAAAGTAAATAATAATTTAATTGAAATGGAGATTCTTAATATGATATTTAATGATTTGAGTATTGGCAATAATGTCTTGATTTCTGTTAGTAGTAGTCTATAATCATCAAGAGAAGATATCTTATTCTTACAGCTTTATTCATATTTTAAATACAAAATTATAAAAATCATTTAAGTGATGTCTTTTTGTTGAGAAGAGTATTTTTAATTTTATTTTTATGATATTATAATTATCTATGACTTAAAACATCAGACCATCTCTTATAGAAATCATTCCTATCTTCAGGAGAATGCTCTGTGCATAAAGTGAGTTGTTTTTTGTGACCCTTCTTTTTTACATCTTAAAGCGTATGATAAGTATGATAAGTTCTCTTCGTCGCTTGAGTAGTAACAGTATTAATATTATCCATTTTCAATAATTTCTTCAGTTGAGGAGATTGTACCATTTACTACTTTTGTTGTTATATCAATGTAGCAATCGCACTTTTATCATAAAAAAGAGGTTTGATCTATTTGACCAATTGTTGTAATTATCTTGTTGTCTATAGTTCACTTAGCCCTTTCAGAGCCTTAAATGAATATATCATATTATCTCTAGTTGTGTCCTAAACGTGCATCCCTAATTATTTCTTTATCTTCTTGTATCTAATCTCTCTTTGCTTCTCATGATAAGCTTCCAATTAAGGAGTAATGTTCTTGATGAAAATCCTAGGGATGTCTCTATGATATCTATAATATTCAATCAGCTGCTTTTGATTATCTTTCAAATGTGGAAAGGTGTAATAACTATACTAAATAACTAGAGCTTATACAATTTGAGATACTCTTCTAACTCCTCTAAACATGCCTAATCCTAGAAGCGAATAGTAGTTTGGCTGCGTAATTATAGTTAACAAAAATCAGTCTGATACCTTGAGTAAAGAGCCTTGAATGTTTTTGATGATTACCATATTCAATAATCCTGGCAGACTCCCTTTATGATCACAGAACATACATGACAACTACATTATTATTATTTAATTTAATAACGAGAAATTTATTATTTTTCATAATCTACATAAAGCTAAATAGGAATTTCAAAATTGATTTAGAAATATTATTTTCCTCTAAGTTCTCATGTTTTGTGTGAAAACCATTTAAGTAGATTAAATAATTACTAACCCTTTCATAAAATTGAATCTATGCTTTTAAATTTTTGTTTAATCTCAAAAGCATCCAGAGAGCTATACTAAGATTTATTGAAGAATTTAAGTTTAGCAGATTGTCCCAACATTCATTTTATAGCACTAGTATGGTAGTTCTTTATAAATTAGAGTAATAATCAAAGTATTCTAAAGATCAGAATTGAAATTGTCTTGACTTTATGTAAATTATATTAATAATTTTATCATATAAAAATTAAATTTCATATATTTCCTCTGAAATCCTATTTTCCATGATCTTTAGTTAGATTCACTAAAAAAAGCATCATCATTTATTAGTTCTTGTAATTTATCCTAATTATGACTTATATGTTGATTAAGCTTTTAATCCATAAATTTCCAAAAACAATTTTCTTCAAATTTTAGAATGTTTTCTATTTATTTAAATATAAATTATCCTGCACCACAACATACTCTCCATTTTTATGATTTATTTTTCCAAATAAAATAGAATCATCAATTAGATATTAATTTTAATTCCTAAACTTTATGATAGTTATATGAAAATTATTATTCCAAAACTATTAATTTAGATTTTTAAATTAATATATTATTCAAATATGTTTGGATATACAAATATTATAAATATCCTTGATATCTTTGTATTACTTGTTCTTATATTAGACTTAGTATTTAATTAGAAAATAAACATCCTCATCACTAATTAATTTCAGAAGAAATGGGTAGCATGCAAGAAGAGTTAATAATAATAATAATGTTTGATTTATCTTGTGCATTTTTATTAATCATTTGAACATTCTATTGTTTTATTGATTATTATATAATCTGAGCTATTCTGATGTGTACAATGCTTAATTTTATCTCTCAAGTCTTCTAAATATCATTTATGCTCTTCTATCACTATCAGGGCATACATCCTTCCACAATTGGTGTTCTCTGCCACAAAGTTTTCGATTGACTGCATTAATAAATCAATTACCATTAGTTGAATTTTCTCTATCCAAACATTCGAAATAGTCCTCTTGTGCAGCAAAGCATGTTTGGGCATTCCATGATTCTCCACCATATCGTGAAGGTGTCAGTAGTGCATTTCCATTAAAACTCATGATGTTGTAAAAATTAAAAATAAATTAATTATAGTGTTTGCTCAGCAAATCAAATTTTTTTTTACTCGAAATGATTGTCTTGATTATTATACATCGATTATGATTTTGATTGTGTTTCTGCAAGATGGAAACATACTCTACATGCAGGTTTGTAACAATCCTCACCACCAATCAACTCAACTACAATTTAATTTATTTAATTTACTCTCCTGTGATTATACTATTCTTTTAGTGAAAGAGGCATTTTCTTTTTTACAGAACCAACACACAGCTGTTAGTTTAGTTATGCGCTCAGCCAAAGGAATCAAGTTTAGGATGTTATGGAAAGGTTTCCTGTCAAAAGTTCCATCAAGAGCTGCAACTATTACAATCTTTCCTAAATTTGCCATCTTCTCACTAAATTCCACAATCTACACATTTTGTTAGAACATTTACATCTGTGAAGAATTAACCTTCATCAATAGCCACAACATCACTCTCCTTGCATTTCTCATAAGCTTCATTCAATTTGCATACTTTTATAGCTTTCAAAAATTGTCTTCATTTTAGAATGGATAACTTACTTGTCGTGGCTTGAAATACACTATTCCTCTGAGTATCGGTTATCATTTGCATAATTCAAGACCACACATTTTCTCTCGGAAATAGTAAATCTCTTGACCAATCTCATGAGCTCACTAGTTTTACCAGAAAACTATCATAGAATCAGAACCATACCATTGGACCATAGATTACTGAAATTGTTCCTGTGTACATACTAATATTTCAATCAAATTAATGCTCTTATAAAATAAATCATCTCAAGAAATGTCTTTCCCGCTTCTTAGAAAATAAATATATAACCATTCAAAAAAATTATATAATTTAAAGTATAACATCTTCACCTTATTTTTATGTCACCACTCTACCACAATTATATTTTAATTTATTTCAAAAAATAAATATCGATAACTTTTAACATATACATTAATATTTAGATCTCTAGTTGAATTATGCAACAAGCATAAAGATCAATTTGTTTATTTCGAAATACCTTTGGAATAAAAATAAAAAATATAACTAGTTAATTAGAATGATTATTATAATCTTTATTGCTTTAATTTGTAATTGTTATGGACAAATTGGATAGACGATATGTTCAGACTTTTATGAGTCCGAGTGTTTTTAATCTGGGTATTGTTATTGGGATGACTTTTAATGCAATCCACAACCTTGCCATTTAGTGACTGAATAGAACGCATGCAGAACTGGAGGAGCATTATAAATTGGTTGTAAGCCAGTTTCTTATACTCCTCCTTAATTTGTAGCATCTTGCTATAGTTCTGCCTATACTAAATAGAAGATTTATCTATATAGATTTATCTCAGACTTATCACCAGAAGATAGATTCCAAACCTCAGTTACAATTGAATAACCTAGTGTGGAAGCAATGGAAAAGTTATATAAACTTGATTTGTTGTCTAGTTCTAATTTTGAATTGAATAATATCCTTGATTCATATCTAAATCAAGCACCAATTTTGATTGGAGAATATTCTCACCCATATTATTTGGAGAGGGCAATTTATGAAAGTTTACAAAATGTTAGAGATGATCTTAAAATAATTAAATCAGAAAGAAGCGATACAATGATTAAGATATTAGAGTTGATAGATATTTATTATTAGAGATTAAACACATATTCAGAAAAGTACTCTACTTTTTATAATTTTGTGAATTTCAATCACATTCACTTTAAATATTTGGGATTTTCATTTTAAAATTTAATTGAATTATCCTGGACCACATATCCAGAAAATGGATTCTTTTCATTAACAGTCATTTACCCATAAATATTTGGTATCCAATCAGCCGTTAGTCCTATATTCATGATCAGAACAACGAATTAAATTAACTTATAATACACGATGAAATGGGCAATAACTACTACTGACTTTGTATAATTAAGGAGGATTGATTTAGTCTCTATGAACTTATATGATGCTGAATATTTGCCTAATTGCATTAGTGGATACTGCACAGTTAGTGTATATGGACCAGGCAATTATTTATTTGTTACCCCAACCATTCCTGATAATTGCAGTGGCATCACGGATCTGACATTGTGCATTTTGGCCAAGTGCAATATAGTTTCGAATGCGTGTGTTTGATTTATTCAAAATTCAGAAATTTTTATTCTAAACTTTTAATCATATGTATAAACAACTTATTGGCCCTAAATTAAATTTGATTATTTATAATTAATGGGAGTTTGTACTTCTTCAACTTCTAAAAATAATTAGAAACAAAAATAAGAGGAAACAGTAACCAAAATAAATAAATAAATTTCATTGATAGCTGAGTAGAAGAATGGTATTAACTAATTCCAAGAGAACCAAAGAACCATTACACCAAGAAGGAGGCTGTCTCAGAATTAAGCCGCAACTCCAGTGTAGCAGAATTTGGTTAAAAATGGTACATAGGCGATTAGAAGAGCCTCTCATGCCACAACAATGACAACAAAGACATTGATCATTTAGTCTTCATCAATATAAGAGTAATAAAAAACGGGATCATTTTCAAATCTTTCTTATTAAAGAAGCAACATTAGAAAAGGGAACAAAACTCTATTGGTGTCAGCCTCTAAAAACTTTTCAATCGTTTCAAGCAAAAATCTAGGTATTTGAATATATTATATAGACAATTAAGGCAAAACGGTTATGCAACACAATGAATCAGGCTAATTGGTTTAAGTTGAAGTACTCAAGTTTGAGAGTAAAAATCATGAGTACTTATAGAAATTGGAAGAAATTAAGTTGGTAAGGATATTAATAACCTAGGATAATATGCATATTGTAAAAATTATAGACACTCTTGTAGATCATCATCATAAAAAAACATATTAAATAATGTATGAATGTTGTGCTGGAGGGTCATTGTCGAAACTACTGGAATGTCGTAGGCTGAGTGATAATACAATAGGGATTATACTATATTAAATGATAGAAGCTTTAGCTTATGTACATTCATTAGGATTAAGTCACGACGAATTGACTATTGATAGCTTTTCAGTATTTGATGATTCTTCTACTCCATTTATCAAGTTATCTGATATTAGAAGCATCTATTAATTGATGTATCCAAAAGAAGCTCAATAATATGAGGATCGACCTCCTTAAAAGCACTAAAATCATAAACAAAAAAATAAACACCATGAGGCTAGCCAGGTTGCAATCAAGACCAGAGATAAATCTAATGATGTTTGGGCGTTAGCAGTCATTATTCTATAATTAAGAAATAAAGAATTACCTTATGAAATTTCTAAAATTCATTTATTTAATCCTGAAGAGTATTTGAATAATCATCCTTCAGAGATGAATTAACTTTTAATTGAGATGTTACGTAATAATCGTAATGATAGAATTTCCTTAAAGAAATGTTTAGAACACCCATACCTCATTAAGATGAAACAAGTCTAGCCATAAGATTTGTTGCAACCTCTAAAAAATATGGTAAAGTGCAAGAATATGACATATGTCCATAAATGTTTATTTTCTTATTTTCTTCACAATTATGCTCATGATCATTTAAAAGTCTTGACTAAGATATTTATAACAGCTGACACAAATCAAGATGGAAGTTTGAGTTTAGAAGAATTGAAGGAACTATTTTCAATTGAGGGAAAGGATCTAATTGAACAACTGGATCTATAACAAGAATTGACTTTAGATGAGTTCTTACTTTTGGCTTCCAATAAAGAAATTATTCTAACAGAAGATAATATCGAATCCAGTTTTAAATTATTATCTAGACAATCAAATCTAGTCACTTAAAAATCTATATGCAAATTTGTAAACAATTGTAATGAGCAATTGATTCAATAAGATTTTAATACATTCAATCTTCATGATGTTGTAAGAATATATTATCTATATTCCATAGTTAGATCTTAAAGAGTATAGAGAGTTCTTAATTAATTATGAAACTCCCATCCCCATAGTTTGATTAAAACGAATCTTCATTTATATATAAAACACAATTAAAATTAGTTGTTTTTTCCTCTTTATTAATATTATAATTAAAAATTTGTTATGACTGAATTTTTGAGAGCATCCTTTATTAGTAGTTCATCTGGCACTGAAAGATAAACTCATCCAAATAAAATTGATAATGGTCTATTCAGAAAAAAATTTAAGAAAAACAGCAATTAAATAAATAACAGTTAAATACAACAATTCCGATCATTCCAAAATTGTTCAAGTCCAGACTCTTCAGATGAGAATTAATAACAACAAATTAAATCAGCCATAATTGAATCAGATACCGATTAAAACTTAACCTACTCAAAGCAATCTCCCATTCCTACATTATAAATTGACATCCAAAAAAATGGGAATTCTAAATAGAAAGTACCTCTGTAACCTGTAACCATCTCAAAGTCCAAATCTCCATAACAATTAAAATAGTCAATTTAATTACTCACACTCTAGTTTGATCTAAAGTATAGAACTATAAAATTACCTGTGTTTCTTGATGACACATCCTTCACCTTGACGCATAAATTACTATAGGAATTAAGTATATCAACGACAGCAGCAATCATTTCAAAAACTGCAGACATCATTTAACAAACAATAGAAATGTATATGACTAGGTTGTACGATTGGATCAATTATAATCGATTGGGTAAAATTGATAGTGCCTTATGGAAAGCATAAGCCTATAAAAATAATAGTTTTCTGTAAGACTTAGAAGATGAGATGCAAGTGGATTTGTTATCCGAATACCAATTAGTCGATAAGAATTGCACAATTGGAAAGATTAAGCTCTATTAATCTGGTTAATACATAGGGGATATTCCAGTATACAGGAATCAGGATCCATAAGAATGCATTCGGAACTTCTATTATTCCACAGGATTGCATTATGATGAATAGAAATTCAATCGGCTAGTCAATGAGGTCATCCAGATTTAATTGTTAAGTGGAGAAAGCATTGATGAAAAATATACTAAGGACGAGATTACGACAACTGTTAAAGTGAGTCATGATAAAATTGTCAAAGTCAATGCTAAAAGAGTTTGTAAAAATAAAATATATATTATTTTAGAATTAGAATTTGGATAAATTTATGATCAAATTAAGTGTTAATCATAAATTAACACCTTAATAGGCCATGAAAGTGAAAGATTAAATATAGAAAAGCTTTTACATGTGATTGTTTAATCTATACTCAATATTATAATCAAGATTGTTGATTTTTGCATTCTCATTTATTTTTAATTAAAATCATACAGTTTTTTCGCGTACCTTTCCTTTTAACTTTACAATCATCTATTAACTTCTCTCTCTTCTTAACTCCGTTTTCTGAATAAATCACCAAAACTGAAGGGTTGAAGTCAACTTTCTTCAAGTTCCCTAGAGATATAGTCCTCTTTTTAATTGGAGTAAAGTGATCGGCTAATTCAGTCACAGATGGAGTAATCTTGGTTAACTTTAAGGAAGGTCTTATTCTCAAGTTTCTTTGTATTCCAGGCTGACTTGTTTGGGGATAGCCAGACTATTTGAAGTTCAAAAGGTCGGAAATTTGTTATTTAGTTATTAAATAGTTTGGTTCACTTTGAATTGTTAAGGAAGGACGATATCTTTTTAATTAGAATAGGAACTAGTGGCTGTTTTCTGAAGAATTTTACAATTTAAACATTATTTTTAATGATATAATCAATTAATTTTCATCATCATTCCGATTAAACTTCTAAAATTGAATTTAATATCTATTCATATTATGCTTTTTCTAAAGGAATGCAATAATTCTATATAGAATAATGTAAGTTACCTAATAACAAAATTAGCGGTTCTTGAATTCTTGAGTCAATTCTTCCTCTTATATATTGAGAATTTTGGATAAAGTTTTGACAGTGACTTCTTAATTTTTGTTACCAAATTTAGCGAAACTATGATCAAGATTGTGGTGTGTTAAGTATATAGATTTATTCGATATAATCAGGATGAAATCTTCTAATCCTAATTCACTTTAAGTATCTATTAAATTCTATATAACTTAAATATTCCTCTCTTATCCTTGCGCCTACTTGAGTCTTCGTTTAAAGTCTTCTAGTTCTTAAATATTCAGTTTCCCATCTTTATCTTTATCTAGAATATCGAAGATTCTACGTCCGACCTGTTAGTGAGAACGCTCATAGTTATTTATTAGATAAATCATAAATTATTTCTGCAGATTATCGCAGAAACTGCTAGTAAAAAGGTGTTTGAAATGGCAATTCAAATTTTAAGATTGATAATTTTGGATAAATTCTTGGTCTATGCATTCTTCTATAGTAAGTCTTAAGGTTTTATCAGGATTTAACATCATCAAAATTAGATTTTCAAACTCTTAAGATATTTCATCATTTATCTCATATTTTTTTGTCCATTTGATAATTGCTTTTTTAACCTCATGGATATTGGTTAAATCTTGATCTTCTTCATAAATTAAATTTCTAGTCATTAATTGATAAGCAATAATTCCTAAAGACCAAATGTCATTTGACCTATGAGGGTTATTGGATGTCAGAGCTTCAGGAGAGGCATATTAAGCAATCTAAAGTGAAATCTCTCTAGGAGGCTTATGCAAACTACTTAAATCCGTCAACTTAATTAAATAATTTTACAAATCGTAATAAAATGAAAAACTATCGATTGTCAGTTTATTGTGTGTTAACTTATTTTAATGAAGAAAGTTGACTATTTTAAAAAGTTAATCCAAAATGGTACACACCACCTATTCAGACAGTTTGTGATGTAATAACTCTGATAATGGACCACCTGTGCAATATTCATGCATTATCTAAAACTAGTGTCCATAAACAAAGATTTCTTAAACCTTAGCAATGTGATAAAACTCCTACATTCACCTATATAAATACCAAGTTTGTTTTTTGGAGCCAGTCAATATAGTCCTTTCCTTCCTAATCGTAAGGCAGTTATTCCATAACGACTAGTTGCCCATCGCTATTGTGCTACATAACCCTAAGCGTTGCCTTGGTGGGTATTTTCACATGCCCTTTATACACCGAGTACTCTTTTGATGCTATTGAGTCAGTGATCTTGATTTTCAATTGAGGAGCACTGGATCCAACTTTTTTATTATTTTCTAATATTCATATTGTAAATTTTACAAGGGCGTTTCTCAGCTTAGAGCTTATCCTGATTGTATTCGAAGTAGCTCAGCGTTCCTGACTTTCTAATCTTCCTCTGGACGGTTAAGTTCTAATTAATTTTTTATTCATTTTAAGTGGAAGCATGGTCTCTTTAGGTTTATTAAACATCTGCTGTGTTGGCCAAGGCTGGATTAAATTTATCCTAAGAATTCTTAGATGAAGATTTTTTTGTTGAACTACAAACCCCCATTAGTATTTAATATTAATGTAAATCATAAATTTCACTTTTGAATTTAAACATAAAAAAATACAAATTATTTGATTTATTAATTGATTTATGATAACATATTATATATTCAATCATATCTTTTTTAATCAATTATAAATGTGAAGTTTATTTTAAAATTTATATATTTCAAACCCTAATATAATTGGTTCATTTACAATTCTTCTGTTTACGTCTTCATAAGAAATAAACTCTCCCATTAGACTCCTGTGTATATGAAATTCATCTTGGATTTAAAGTGAATTTAGAATAAGAGAATTTAATAATCTGTTTTTAAATTTTTTTTAATGATTTTTAATGATAAATTATTATTTCAATTTGCATAAATTGTATATGCATCGTTTTTATTTATCTTTTAAAGATGCTCAAATTGAGGAATCCTACCAAATAAAAAATCAACATTCGAAAAGGTTGATCACTTTTATCTCCATAAGTAGTGGTTTTATTTTAGCGTTCTTGATAAAAGTAATCCAATCAATAAGCGAAGACAATATGTACGCCTTTTATCTCAATATCACTATTCTTTCTTATCTGTGCTTATAATTAGGTGTTTTTTGGAAATAAAGTAAGTATCTTAGAGTAGGCATCATAATACTTAATCATTTTGTGACGATATACTTCATTGTTTTCGAGGATAGATCAGAAGTTGATAATTAGATGGCCATGCTTTAGGGTGTTAATTAAATGGCTGCAAGTTATCTACTAATTTTAACAGGAGAGTACATTGATGGGATGTTAACTATTATTTCCCTCTAAATATTTAGAATTAGTTGGGTTTTAGTGAAATGCGAATCAGTCTAATATTCAGCTCCTATTACATCTATGTTACTCATCCTGTATATAAATTATTTCAATTTTTTATACAATAAAGCAAAGCGCTCGTAATATTTGCTCTCTTTGGCAGATTGTCGATGGGAAGAAATTCTATAAAAGCTGTAAATTCAATAATCTTATTTGATTTTATAATTTTAAGAAGACACTTTGCGTTACACGATCAAGAATTTTTAGAATTGTGAGAAAATGTTTAAAACATAAGAGGAAGCCCAGAATTTCCTCAGATCAGCCACTTATCATAATAATTTACTTCAAAATGTTATCCATAAAAGTATGATTGAATTCGAAAAGACTACACATAACAACTTCAATGAAACCATTTTAATAAACTATTAAAAGTAAACTATCAGAACTGAAATTTCTATCTATAAAGGCGATTAACCCACCATCCTATTGATATTTAGAAATTTCTTTCTTGAAAATAAAATCAATCCAGTTGCAATTCAAAAGCAATTTGGAAATGCTATCAAATTGATTGTTAAAATACTAGAGAAAATCAGAGGAGCATAATTTTTTGAGATTTAATACTTAATGATCTAGAGAAAACTTATTCTCGTTCATTTAATGATTAATGTGCAAAACAAGTTAAAAATAAAGACCATCAATCTTAACGATTTCTTAAACCATGCAATTTTACTCTATTAAGATTTAAAGATTAAGTTAAACTATAAATGCAATGAAAAAATAGAAACCATTGTTAGTATTTTATAAATATTTATTATTTTGATTTTTGAGAATAGAAATAGTGAATTTTTGACTATAACAACTAAATTAACTTAGGATGAAGAGGTTTAATGCATATTTTAAGGTAGATTTAACAAAGAGAAACTGGAGAGATTTTAGAAAGCTTATGAATTGCCATGGCTATTAATATTTGAAACCTTGCATCTTGAAGAAGAGGGTAAATAATTATCTAATCCTAGTACTCACATTTACTTTTCATAAAAATATTGGAATTCCTTTCGGAGCTTGATAAAATATACTCTAGATATTTATCTTATTTGTAAATTTAAATATTAAATGATTTATGAGTTCGAGAAAAAATCTATATTATTAAAAACGAGAAACATGATCTCAAATTTGGAGATGATTCTTTACAAAAGAGTACTACAATATTATATCTCAATTAATTATAATTATTTATTTTTATTTCAAATATCAAAAACATCCTTTTATGGTATTTTTTTATCTGAAATTCTACAAAATGGACAACATTTCTTTTAGACATATTCGAATTCATGTTCGTCAACATAGAAAAATCTTCCACAATCAGAACAGACATGAATAGGTTACTCTCCAATCATATTTTTATAATATTTGACTTCTATGGATCTGCAATATTATCTATAATCGACAATCAAGACCTCCTCTGGTGATAGTGATTGAATTGCAGCTTCATCCAATTCAACAACTAAATATTAATCTTAGGATGTGTGCTATTATTAAATAATTTCATTGATTTTATCTTGAAATGGTTAACCTGGTCTCTTATTGTGGAATACTTTTTCACTATTTAACAATCTTTCCACATCTTCTCTGGATAGTGAATTATCAACTTTGAATTCAACAAGTGGTAGAGAAGCAAAACTAATGAATGAACAAAAAAGAGGATGCAAACAAGCATTGCAAACGGACAATTTCTCAGTTGCATTGATGATGGCATTGTAAGTCTAACATCTCATACAGAGTGGTAATCTAGATTCATCATCTGTATATGGTTTTGATCTAACTAATAAGGATTGAAGATCTATTTCTTCACTCCATTCTGCAGGGATTTTGAATTGCTAAAATTTCATATTGACAAATAAGTACATTTAATTTTTCATAACATGTACGAGCAGTTTTGAAACAAGTGAGTTGAATAGCACACTTGGCTAAAGCATAATAGACGTAACTCATTTTTATTCCCTGATAGATGCTCTTCCATTTGGATATGATAAACCTGGCAGAATTCATAATCTATAGGAAATAATTTTCACCAGATAAAGGTTGAAATGGTTCACAGATGAAGCTGTGTATCTTTTGATATGCATAATAGACATCTGCTAAATCACTATAATCACGATATTAAGTGATAGCTTTTACATCATCTCCTGATGGATTCTAATAGTCTTGAATTTGAGATAAGCAATCTATGGCTAAGTTCCATAAGTATTGACTTGCATCATGATATCGTTGTTCTTCTATGCAATTTTTGGCCATGTCTTTTGTCATCTTCATTGTGATATCAAATCTTCCAGCACTCTTATAAGCTTTTAGAGCATCTTCATATCGATCATTTAGCAATAAGTAATCGGCATAGGGTACTTTGGCAATTTCAAGAAGTTCTTTGTTAGATCTTCCAATCTAAAAGGCTTCTTGCCATTTCTGAAATTCAACATGTAAAGTCATAAGATTCCTCAAATCATTTAATTTAAGATAAGCTTCTTTGGCTCCTCCATGATGTTTGAGTTTCTTGAAATAATTAGCACACAAAACTATATTATCTGAATTCTCTTATCTGTCCAACATTCTGCAAACATTGATCAATCCATCCAAATTTTTATTCTAACCATATAATTCAATGGCTTTCTTATATTCTCCACAAGTGACAAACAAATCAGCTGCTGCTTTCCAATCTCCAGATTCTTTGGTCCATTCAGCTTGTTCTCTCAACAACATATTCATTTCTATCTTAGGCGGGGCTATATCTTATGGTTATGGCATAACTGCCTAACCTCTACCAGTACCTGTTCTTCCCTATGAAGTTGGTGCTCTAACTCCAGTGCCAGTTCGTCCACCAGATGTCACAGCCCTATAAGCAACATCTCCCTTTTTAGCAAAGTCTACATTACAATAATTAATTACTTATGGCATCATCCCATCTCCTTAATTCCTTAAATAACTACACTGCTCTATCAGCCTACCCAACCTTTATTAAGAGATTACCAGCATCCATGAATCTCCCTTGATATGCCAAAGCCTCTGCGTTCAACTCATTCAGTGTTTGAGCGTCCATATTTTTCTTCTCATATTTCAATAGCAAATCAATGAATTAGTAGTCCTTATTTCTCAAGAAACACTATAAATAATCATACTCTTTTATACTCTTCTTGCTATTTCAAACTCCCCTGCAATCAAAGCCTCAATTCCCAAAGCCCTTATATCTTATTCTGTTACACCAAGACAAGCTATCTTCAAAGCATTCTAGAAGTCCTTCTTTTCTAGATATCTCTGCATATTGGCTGTTTATTAAATGTCAATTGTCTAGACTTTGTTGTTATGTTGAAGGAACAATTTGCATCCCTTGAACCCTATTACATTACCCGTTATCTTTTAATTTAAAGCTGGGAATGTAATGCATTTGAAAAATAACAATCCCTTACCAGAATAAGCAATCAAATCCTCAAATTCTTGATTAAAGGCAACACCTTCAACACTCATTTCTCCAAACAAAATTTCTTTACTTATAGTATCTAGTACTTATAAATTCTAATTGCCATCTATCAATGCCAATTTTCTTTTGGTTTAAGACATAGTCAAATATTTAATAGGTGTATTAACCTTATGAATTTGAATAGGGAATGAGTTATCCAAAAAGATTTTGTAAACACCTCCATTCTCTAACCCAACCAATACGAGTTCTCTCTTAGGTGCACCACCTTGACAAGAAACAAAAGTAATTGGAGATTCAAAACTCCAAGTTTTGTCCATATCTCCATTAAAATTGAATGCAATTAATTTCTAGCCTGCTCCAATCAAAACATTTGATGATGCCAATTAGAAATGCTCACAATCCACTCTCTTCTAAAATTTCTTGAATTGCTTGTATTTCATGTAATCATCCCCTTTAATAACACAAGTGTAAATCAAAACCTTGATACCACATAAGATAGCCACTTTCTCCTTGAAGATAGCCACTCTTTTGACTAATTCCTTACATTTGATTCTTGCCTTCTAATTAGAAATCATTGACAATATGATGGCATCTGTTAACTGCTCTCTCTAAACAAACTTATCATCATATAATGCAGTAACATTTTCTGAAAGTAATTCTTATACAACAATGTCACCATCATTAGTACCACAAACAATTACTGTAGATTTTGGCTTTATTTTAGTACACCAAATCCAGTCATTAAGAGAACAGGCTTCTATCAAGAATCCCCCCTCTCTTGTATAGAGGTTGATCTTATTATTATTTCCAGCTATTGCCATATACTCACCATTATTCTAGTAATTGATATGCAAGGGATCGAATGGCAATTCTGTTCGAGCACCAATTTATTAACCATTGCAATCAAATTAATATAATGAATTCATCCACACTCCAATTGTCAATTGAGACTATTAATACTCTGAAGTTATCGGAGTCCATTCCATACACCATACTGGTCCCCCCTTCTAAGTCTAAATCTCCTTCAACTAATGTGCTTATCTATCCGTAATCACAATCAGTCCTAATGTGAATAGAACTCAAATATACCATTGATTGTCCCAAAAGAAACATACTGTCCATCAGCACTCCAAGCTGCGCATATTATCTTGTCCTTGTACTTTTACCTTTCAATATTACTCATTCCAGGAATCCATAAAGAGTACTCTTAATTTGAGCCTGTAAATATCTAATACATCAAAGGGCTGATAGCAACGCATTATATAGCCTCACTATGTGAAAAGAATTTTTCTGCATCCAACATCTTCTCACCTCTTGCTATATTGAATCCCCACACAATAACTGTTTTATCCGCACTCCCTGTTACCATTTTATTTCCATCCTTAGATGCAGCCAAACAAGTAATTGTGTCTTTATGTTGTCCTCTTATAGGTGGTCGTAGCATTTCAGATTTTTAAGTATCGAATAATAGCAAAGCATTTCCCACAGCGGCAACAACAACATCTCCATCTAATCAAATCTCGCATTACTTTACCTTTTAAAAAAGCACAAGCAAATACTTGATTTGTTAGATTTGAATTTGGCTCAGTTGGCTTATCAATTGTGTATGTCCAAAGCTCCTTCGTTTTCATTTTTAAATTATATTATCAAATTATTTTTATGAATTCTATTTATTAAAGAACTCACTAAATATCCCTATACCAATCACTTTAAAGAATTCTTTATTCACTCTAATCTGGAAATTACAAGATGCATTTTGAATATTTAAAATTTGAATTATTACACATTAGACATTTTATAATTATATTTATTAATATAAGCATATTTTTATTAGAGTTCGTATTTGTACTCTTACCCTAATTTTATGATATTTCATTCCATTCTGATTTAGAATTTTACTTAAATATCCGAACTTCCTGTAATAAAAATTGGAATTATAACAGTGGATAGAAGAATTAGAATTTGGGCATTATTATTATACTGATAAAATCATTTAGAACAAGTGTGCTAATCATCCTGACATTTTTTATTCTAAATTCATAAAAATGTTAATTTAATCGATATTGTTATTTTGTAATAAGGAATTTAAATCAATCTTCATAAATAAATAAATATAAAAATCCTAGTTTTGTGTTTACAAGCTAAGAGTAATCTTTATAGAAATAAAACGATCAAAAAAATGTATTTTTGTTTAAAATTATTTCACAAATTAGCTTAATTTTATTTAATATTATTTACTGTCTTCTAGATTTGGTTTTTCAGGTTATTTAGTCTATTTAAAATAGAAAGTAACTTAAAAACTATTGAATTCATCAAAAGAAGTATTTTAATTGAATATTTTATTATTTTAAGTTACTTTTTATGAAATTTATAAATTAGGAAATATTTTATTATTAGGGATGTATTTAAAAGTATATATTTTTATCATTAAGAAATTAATTAGCAAATAGATACCAAGTCAACCACCCCGCAAATGGCTTAATTAAACAGATTAAATCAAATTAAAATGGTTAAAAGAAAAAGAAATAAATTTTATTGATACCTATTTTATTATAATGAGTTATTTATAAAGAGAAGCAGCCTTTTACTTTTGCCTTTTTGGATATTCGTTTTGAAATATTGGGTTTCTTGATGAATGCATTAATATATAAAACAATGCAATATCAGATTCAATAAATTCGTTAACATATCAGCTCTATCGATCGCAAATTCCACCCTGTCCCAGCATTTGTTGTCACAAGGCCTTTATTTACTTGTCGATCCCTTTCTCCTTCCTTCTACAGATTGAGCTCCAAGACTACAATTAGCCCACTCTCTTACTCTTTAGTGAAAATAAATCCTACACCAATAAGAGAGAATAAGTTTACTTTCAAAGGCACAGATTGTACACCAAGCAGGGAAACTCCCATCAGTGACTTAAATGACATAAAATTAACTAAAGTGAATTCAACACATGAAAAAATAATGAGCGAATCGTAAGAACGGTTCTATCAAAAGAAGAGACAATCTAACATAAATAATAACAGTACTGAAAGGGTGTCTCATTAAAATTAATCGCCTGAACAATTTAAAATGTTTGATATGCCCAAGGTGTAGAAATAAGAATTATAACTAATTTCTTAAGAAAAGTCTAAACAAAATTAGGATTCTAAAAATAATGGAGATCATATTCATAAAATTGAGTAATTACAAAAGTATTGTGAATAATAAACATCTAATGAAGTTTTCAATATTTATAATCAGAGATAAGATAAATAGAAAATATCAAGTAATCAAGATAAAAATGATATTGAATAAGTAATCAAAGAATTGCCTGAAGTAATATACTAGGATTAAACCTAATAGTAATAATAATCTGGAATGAAACTATGGGCTTGTAGTCCAAATGATTCTTAAAGATAAAGTGTTGGTAGAAAGTGTAATCAAAAAAGGAGTTCTAAGAAAAGCCCACTTAAAACTCCTAAGTCCCCAAAAAAATAACATATTATTCATTACAACTAGATCTTTTTATATAAACCTAGAGAGAATAATAAATAAAATAGCTCAAAACTCTCTTACAATTCTTCTTCTAAATACATAAGTCCTAGAAGGCAAAGTAAATAAATTTCATATATTCTGACAACCCCAAGTAAAAGAAATACAAGAGCACCACCATAATCAAATGAGGATGAAGAAATCGAAATCATAAATTTGGCTCCTGAATTTTCTAAATTAATTTGATTAACAATTAAAATTTACAAATTTTTTATAATATATTATCATTTTTGGATTTGATCATCCTTTTTCTTTGATGCTTATATAAATAACTATTCAAAAAGTTCTTTAACATTCTCAACCTATAATAGTGGTGAACTTTCATACATTTTTATAACCTGGAAAATGATTAATATCAATTATATAAAATTCCCAATTCATTCCTATAATATCAAATCCAAACAGATGTAGTTTAAATTCCTTTGATATCATTGAAGATAATAATTCAATTTACTTTAACAATTAAGCTTCGTTTGAACATTCATGAATTCCTTCATCAACCTATATAAGACACTGTGAAACGTTATTAAATAGGTCTTTTTAAGTGTCAAAAATGTAGAAACCCTAAGTCCAATAAATATTATTTGTTACTTCATCAAATTTGAAATTGTTAATTTCTATATTCGGAATAGATTTACGCTTTTACACTATCATTTTGCTTCCTAATTGATATATTTTGTATATAATGCTGTTATGATTAATAATTTACTGCAAAATTAATTATCCTCTAATCTACAAATAATCTGATACTTAAATTATTCATGCTTAAATAACTCCTTGAGTCCTTTTTCATTGATAACTATAGCCATAATGTGACAATTAGCAGTCAGTGCTCCTTATTTACTTTTTACTATTAATGGATATTTCAAATTTGACAAATCTTAAGGTTAGTCATTATTGTTGAACACTATTTATTCTGGGGTCATAATTTTAATATGATGTTCCTAAACAGCCTTTTAAAATTCAGGACTAACAATGATAGATTCTAATTTAGTATTGAGTTCGTCTCGCTAGATTAACATATCTAAGCATTCCGTTGAGTCTATTACAGGAATATAGGCATTTTCTGTTGTGAATTTGTCATAATTTTATTAGAATAATTCAACCTCATCTTATTTCATGTTGATTTCCTTACTCTTATAGATGTCCATAATTTTATGAAATAACAAATCAATTTCTTGATATTTATTTTAAAACCTAAAGTCTATGGGCAGATAATTAAAGTTGCTGTTGCTGATAAATATATCAAACTGAACCAGTTCATTAAATTTTTTAGGGTAAAAATAATAGCCTACGCAAAAAGGATTTTCTGATTTTGAAAAATATGACATGACTTATTGAAGGTGCGATACGTGAAATTTTGTTTTAGGATTTAGTTGGTAATATTTAAGTTCTAGTTCCTTTTTCTTATTTAATTTTTAAGAGACACTAGAAAAATAGTATAATTGATAATTCTAAGTGAGAGTGAATTATTCATAATTATGAGTTACAATAAGTATTTCTTGATTTTAAAATTAACTCTCCTTTAATTCTTGGATTGAGAGTTTTCTTGAGTTGATATCCTTAAAATTCTTTTGAAATTCATTATAAAAAAAGTCATTTGTATTAGGTTTAGAGTGACAAAATATCACTTATATTTGAAAATGTTCTTACAACAGCAGAAATGATTTTTACAGAACTGCATTATATTTATATGCTCTTTTTTGTCTCATGTCATAGAGTGTGTATCTGGAATCAATAATCAGCAGAGGTTTTTGATTTTATTGCATTTTATTATTTATTAATAAATATAAATTATATTGTTACTTATTTAATCATTTTTCTCATTCAAGAAATAATAATATTTTATATGAATTCCAAGGATTAATTATATTTAAGTAAAATAGGCGAATTACAATAGAAGAGTTCTAATAAATGTAATAGCGCATGAAAATTTTCAATATTAGAATGCACAATCACATAATTGGTTACTTAGAAAAACAAAAAATTAGAAGCAGATCGAGTCAAATGATCCTTGATCATCAAATATGTTTTTGTGAAGCAGCAAAATATGGCAGCTGGTCGTTTTAGATATTGGACTTCATTTAAACAAGAGATTTCTTAAAGGAAAGGTGTTTCTTGAGTTTGATATTTCTTAGGAATCTCAAAAAAATCTGGTTTCTTTCTAATATGCTTTATTTTTTCAATAAAATTGTTATTATTATTTTTATGTAGGTAATTGAGCACCTCCATTAAATGAATAATTAATGTGTCATCAAATGTCTAGGATAAATAAGTTTGAATTATTACATGTTCTAAAAATAAATTAAAATAATTTTATTTGTCTTTGATGTATTTAAATATCCCTTCATCACTTATATCATCTCCAAAATCTCCCAAATACTCATTCAAGGAAAACACAAGGAAATTCAAAAATAGATCAGATGAGCTCTAAAATTTCTAGAGTTTTAATTTTAATTAATGGGTAGTATTTTGAGGATCTTTCATACTAATTAATTGATTGATTGCCCATTCTCTAAAGAAATTAATGATATGAATAAAAGGATGCTTTTGGTAACTTAGGGCATCGTTAATACAAGATAAAAACACATAGAATTATGATACTTAAGAATTTTGATTTTCTGGGTACATACTTTCCAAGATTTTGGATGATATGGATTGACTCTCATTGATTTTACCAACTATGCTATTTCACAAGTAATTACTTGAATTAGAATTAGTGGAGATGGTAAGATCAGATGTTCCGGTGGTTGATTGCAAATCTTGACGAAGATATTCATTAGTTTTTCTATAAACAACATAATAAATTGAAATGAATTTACAAAAACACCAAACTTGATTGTAATAGCTTATCATATTACTCATCTTTCATTGTCTTAGTTACTATTCATAAGACACAAAAATACAAATTAGTTTAATTTTATGTCTAAATTTTTTCTGTTCATTATAAACAAATCTATCCAAACATTTGATTGAAGGAACAGCCCATTCTTCAGAAATGCGAGATAATCTTTCTTTCATAATCGAAGTCCAATCATCCTATCTTAGGATTTGCATTTTACATTAACACCTAACCAAACAGTGGAGATTAGTTTCGAATCATTTTTTTATGAATTGCCCATAATTATATATAAATATTTTAATTAATATCATCATAATTATTATTTGTGTATTTTGCATTGCAATAAAGATTATGAACAAAGCTAACAGAAAAGCTCCAGCATGTCTAGATCTATAGGATTAATCTTGGTATCACTATGTGAAGAAATATTTCCAATACCCTTAACATTGATTACTTGGATGGCTCCAATAATTTAATGACTTTATGTTTTCAAAGGCATGCAAATTATTGGCATATTAGTTTCTATATCAATATTTGGATTGAATATTGGACTATTGTAGCAATTAGTTACAGCCATTATTTATTGTTCTTCAATGCATTTTCCTACAATTCCTAATAGATTCTAAGTCTCTGTCATCTTACCATCCTTATTGACATGATACAAACAGTTATCCCAATAAATAACCTTTGCATAATCGACATTCATTAATGAACGAAGACGCTCTTCAGAAGAAAGCAATAATTCTAAGAGATTATCTTATTTTCCTTGTAAAATGACTCCTGTTTTGATGATATGTCTGAGTTTATTCTAAATAAGTATCTAGGCATCATTATTCAAAGCATTCTTAAGTACACTCTTACTAAATTCAGCCATTATTTATAGTAATGCTTCGTCATCTTTAGTAAAGAATCCATTAGACTTATTGACGCATTGAAGCACACCAACACATTTGTCGCCATCTAGAATTGGAGAGACTAAAAGTGTCTTAGTTTTGTAATTGTTTTTTGTATCTTATTGTGTATTAAATCTTTAATCTCTGTAAGCATCCTCAATATTCAAGATTGTGTGATTCTATGCAACAAAACCAGCCAATCCCTATCCAATTTGCAATCGAATAGTGGTGGAAGTTCCTTTGGCTACTCTAGTCCACAATTCCTTTTTAGTTTGGTCTACAATGAAACATGAAGCTCTATCACATTCCAAACAATCAACACATTTATCTATAATGTTTTGTAATGCATCATCCAGAAGGACAGATGTATTCATTTGTAAAGCACCAGTTACAATCTTCTTTAATCTCAAGACTAATAGGAATAATTATTAGTGATCTGACATGACTCTTTTAAATTTATCAAATAGAAACGACAACTTCTAAGCAGATATTGATTAGATGATTTCATTAAAGACCTCTTCTGAATCCAAAAGTACTTTCATTAATGACACTGTCCCATCTTGATTGTATTGAGTAGTTGCATCCTCATCAGCTATTATAACTCAAAATCTTAAGTACATAATTAGATATTTAAAATAGCATTAGTTCTGAAGCAATCCTCCTGTTGTAGAATATCATAAAAATTAGAGGATCCAGAAGTATTCCTTTCGCTCTTAAAAGTGTCTCCTTCCTCTTGATGGAATTTCATTAATGTTGGATTACGAAATGTTGATCTTCTGAATAATTTAATTGATTGTGTATTATCTTCTGGTAGTTTAATAATCTTTTTCTCTAGAGGCATTAAAGATTTATGATTCTTATTTTTCATACTTTATTTACTTCCTTGATTTAGTTGTCTCTCATCCCTTAAGATGCTCAATTTGGTCTAATTAGCCTACATCAAATATTCATTTATATGAGTTAAGCGATCAATCTCTTTTTGTTGCAGCTTTACTAGATCTTATAGTTTTCTTATTTAATCTTCCTTATTTCCAACAACTGAATGCAGTTTCTCTAATTCTTTTTATTAATTCTTGTAATTCTCATTCGATTTCTTCACAAAATCATCTGAAACATCAAATTCCTTGTTCTTTGGAGATGCCATTAAGGCACTTCTTTCTGTTTTCATTTTATATTTCCTGTTATTTTCAAATGTATATGATTCTTATAATTTACTCATTAATTTAATAAACAGGATTAAGACTAATTGAATGATAGAAATTTTTCAAATTAAACCAATTTAATTACACTTTCCAGTTTTATCAAAAGAGTGTTTGGAAGTACACATCCAAAACTTCCAAATTGTCTTCGTGAATAGATTCACCAATAACTTGTTGAAATAGAACATTTTCATAATTTATAAAATTATAATTCACTATTTAAAAGGTTTCTTTTGTATTCCACTTTAATACCCTTTTGTTCCCAAGTCTCGTTCCATCTCTCTAATACATATCCCAGAAATCTTTACACATCTTCAATACAAACCCTGGGTAGATACAGACTTAGGAAACAAGTGACAACCGAAAAAGCGAATGCCAAAATGAAAGTGAAAAAGCAAGGCCAATATTTTACTATTACATCATTTACCTCTGAAATGAAGGCTTCGAAATCATCCTTTGTTATGTAAGGCTCCAGTTCAACTGGGTAATCATGAGAATAGGATTTTGATGGCCCTATAAAGTAATGCACTCCACTTGATTTAACACTTGTTATTAATATAAGGGGATGCTGCTTTCTTCTGATACTTTCCATTTTAGCTAACTCAAAAGCATTGGCTCTTGGATCAAAAGGATATCTTGAATCTGTTTATAAATCACATGCTTCGTAACTCATGATTAATTACAAATATATAAATAATGAAAAAGCAATCCTCTGAAAATCTATTGGATTATTGTGTTTTTTATAAAGACAGACAACTTCCAGCTTTACATAAAACAGATGCTGTTAAAAGAGCATTGATCATAGATTCATTATCCAACTATGAGCATCCATTAAATCAGTTAATTGAAAAAAAGCAAACTTTTGTACCTTTCCTCAATGAAAGAGATAGCATGGGTAGATTGATATCAAGTGAATCTTATCATAGAAAAAGAAAAAGTGATGCATCCAGTATCTTTAATTCTCCAAAAAGTAGTCACAACTTTCTAAGCAAGAACTCAATTTCAAACACAAGTAGTTTGCATGATAATTAACTGCCTGCTACAAGGCTAAAATTAAAGAATCTTTTGGGAGGCACTCCTGAAAATACAGAATTAATTCAATCTACTTTATTAGCTAGTTAAAGCGAATTTAAATAATCATTTCAGTTCAATTCCAAACACAATTAGATCTCTACGAGAGTGCATCGAAAGAACAATAGTCTACAAAATAAACTGCCTCCTTTTTTGAAAGCATAAAAGATCCCTGAATTAAAATTGGTCAAGTAACCAACTACTCCATAAGCTACTCGATTGTTTTAAAGTAATTTCGTAATCGAAATGTTTAATCAAAACAAGTATCATTCTTAAACATAATACAAGAATACCTGAGTATAAAATGTAATATGTAATATTAATGGAAAGTATGAGTAAATTTTAAACTGAATTACTGAAGAATTTGACATCAAATGAAAGAAAAAGAACCTACGTTAAGTTGGATAAGAATCGAAGATTTCAATTAAGTCTATTATTACTCATTTCTAAACCTTAAACCTAGTATAGAATGTTATAATGATTTGTATATAATTTATATATGATAATAGTTTAATTGTTAATTAGTGTTGCATGCATACACCTTGTTTTAGCCAAGTATACAATATTTCTAGACACCCAACAAGTTTAAGAAAGTTCCCTCCTAATTGATATCAACTCAACTCAATAAGAAAAAAACTAAACCTTAGACTTGCAAAACTTTTATAATTATCAATATGTGGGACAAATCAGAGTTCTTTCTAAAGACTCAATATTACAGTAAACATTATACTATGTATAGCTTCAAAGTAATTTTTGATACAGGTTCATCATAGATGTGGTTACCAAGTATTAATTGTCAAAGATGTAATAAAAATTAAATTGGAATTGTTTGTGAATAACCAACATGCATTCCATCATAAGAATAAGCTTCAATAACTTATCATGTGGGAGCATTAATTGGAGTTAAATGTTTGGGCATGTTCTCAATAAACGAGCATTTCGATGAATCTCAGTTTATTTTAGTTGATGAAGTAACTGGAATGGAAGGAGCAATCTATGATGGAGTAGTAGGACTATAATAATCATCTAATCATTCTTTTATTGAGTGGCCCATCAGTTTTTATTATAATTTTGAAAACTCTAATCGTTAATCTTCAATAACTTTTGGAGGTTATGATGAGAGCTTGTTCAACAAGGAAATAAGATATGTTAAATCCGATGAATAATGGATCATTTCATCAGAAAAAATAGACATGAATGGCATTTTAGGAGTTGATCTTTATGCCATGATCGATTCTGGAAGCTCTTTACTGATCTTCCCTAAAAATATATTAGTGAATTTATAAAATGTATTCACTAACTGTGTGTGGACAGAAATCATTAAATGCTCCTGTCCAACTAATGATATTTCTGAATTTCCTACAATAAAAATACTTTTAGATAGCTAAGAATTCTCATTAGAACCATAATTCTATATTCACACAAATAATCACGAACCTATATGTTATGTATTGATATCAAATATTAGATCACATAATGACTAATTAATGATTTTAGGTAGTCCTTTTATGAGGAAGTATTACACAATATTTGATAAACAAAATAGTTAGATTGGTTTAGTTGAGTCCATTCATTATTAAGAATCAAATTAAAAGAATCTACTCAAGAACTTCTTCACATTGATTGGCTGCACTATTATAGCAATTGGAATTATAAAGATTGTCAATTATGTTATGGAATACGAATTAAGAAAATACAATAATCAGAAATCTTTAATGGTATGAAATGACTCAAATTGCTATTATTTTTATTCAAAATTGATCTACTCAAAAAGTATTTCTAGAATAACACACACACAAACATTAATATAATAAATTACAAAAAATTAAGAAACAGTCAACAACAACTTTTTTTGTCATTCTTCTCTTCTTCATTTTATTTTCCATTCAATGTTATATTGTAAGATGGAGAAAGATTATTTTGAGACTTTTACTTTTTTTTCATTTTCCCATTAAAATTCACCTTAATTCCTAACATCTATTTTTAATCAATTATTTACTTAATCATCTAAATTAATTTATTTGGTTTCGATTTTTCTTAAAATTTTATTAGCTACACTTTCAAAGACAACATCTACATTCTTCCCTGTTTTAGCTGAAGTTTCATAAAAATCTAACTTCTCTTATTATGCATACTCTTCAACTTCTTAAATTGTTACATCTTTCTTTTATAAATCAGATTTATTGCCAACAAGTACTAATTCAATCTTATCGCAAGAAAAAGTTTTTATTTCTCTTAACCATTTTTTGATGTCTTCAAATGTTGATCTTCTACTAAAATCAAATACAAGTAATCCTCCAATCGCTCCTCGATAATAAGATCTTGTGATCGATTTGAACGAATCTTAGCCTGCCTTACAAATTTTATTTATTTTTCTTACTGTGTCCCAAATTTGCAGTTTTATCGATTAATCATTTAATTTTATTGTCTTATAGCCAAATTCGACGCCTACTGTGCTTTCCGTATGATCGCAAAATTTGTTTTCTGTAAATTGCAACAATAAACAAGATTTTCCTACATCTTAAATGGTTTTAATGATTATGTTACTTGTGTCTCCTACTACTATGAATTTGAACATATAATTATAATCGTTGCTCATTTTATTTAATAAATAAAAACCAAACCAATTTTGATTTTATTATATATACAATCAGAAAGGTTTTTGATATTTTTTTTAACAGAGCTGAATATAGGACCAAGTTAGACTAAATAATATATGAATTTTAATATTTATCAAAATTATTCTAAGTAATTTAATTCATCCTCAATTTATTGAATTCTTCTTTATTATGCTTATGTTCTACCTTAAGAGGGAATTTATCTTAATTCATTTTTTAGCTGAAGTTTTCTTTGATTCCTTTAAAGTTCCTCGTTATTTTAACTAAATACAATAGAGAAAATACCTTTAGTTGTTTGATGGGTATTGTTATTATAAGAATTAACTCTAACTAATAGATGCCTATTGCATTGGGGGCTGATTAGAAAATGAGGGCATTGAAAATGATTTTAATTGGTAATTTTCTCTCTAGAGTTCTTAAATGATGCCTTGAGATTGGATGAGTCTCGTTTATGCTTCCTAGTATTGTGATTTAGTTGATAAATACTTTTAATTCAATTTCAAGTTTATTTTTTTATTGCTAAATTAAGACTAATTATTCTCTATAGATTTATATTAAATTCACTATTACTTGATTTCAAGTGATTCCATGACTATATCAGGATTAGAGTTCTAATTGAAAATCACTTTCAATTTCTTGAGCTCATCCAATGTTTTCTGATATTGAGATTATAAATTTAAAATATTTGAATTTTCCTACTAATGAGACATTTATTATTGCGATTGCTATTTCTCGATCATTTGAATCTGTTGTCTCAATTAGGCATTTTCTTGATTTTTTTTCTATTACAATATTGATCATACTTAAAGCTCAGAATCTTTTTCAATGATAATATTTTTTAAATTATTGATGGTTTAATCTTAAAATGCAATAATCTACATTTGCAATGCATAATTGGGATCCTCTGCCTGATTGTTATTTTATGGTATGTTATTATTTTTCTTATCACTCATTATCTACAATATTATTGGCCAATTCAATAATAAATAAGATTATAATCTATACAAATATTTGCCGCTTTTAGTTTATATTTAAATTATATCATCTAGAAAAGTTTAATGCCAAAAGGAAAGTAAAGCAAATAAGAACAAGTTAAAACACCAGAAGTTGTTGATAAGAAAATTAAAAAAGGAAAAAAGGCAAAAGCTAATGATGAACCAGCTGAATAGTCTGCATCACAACCTCAATCTCCTATTAAAAAAGGAAAAAAATAACCATAAGAAAAGAAACCAAAGGCTACAAAGGATAGATTTAGTAATTTTTAATTTGAAATAAGATAAACTTTATTACCCTGAAACTCCTAATCAATAATTCCCAAATTAATTACAAGAAAATGTAATTAATGTAATTGCTTCATATGGAACATCTGCACCATTAAAAGATATTACAAATAACCTCACTTTGTTCTATACAAACGAGGTTGAAGAATAAGCTGTTCATAGTTTTTTGGCTTAAGCAGAGGAAAGTGGAATTATTTATGAAAGATCAGGATAATACCACGTTGCCAATGAATTGATTCCACCATAAGTATTGGAATAAATTAACATTCTAGCCTCAACCAAAATAAGTTGTATCTCAAAGCATTGAATAAGAACCATTGCCATTATAGGTAAATGAATCTGCAGTAAAATAACCTTAAGATCACGAATAAATTGATTTCGAAGATTAAATTTAAAACCAATAAAGTGAAAAAAAAGAAGGTATCTATTCATATATTATTAATAAAGTAATTAACGAGAATGATGAAAATCAGAATTTATTTGATAATTGATTTATTCAAATTAATAATGTTTTTAATTTACATGTTTTTTTATATATTTTTAATTCATTTTTATTTAATAATTCTAATGTAATAATCTTTTGATTTCTCCTGTTCATTGATGTCTAAAAGAGTTAACGACTAGTTGGCGTATTATTCAATTGGATATAAAGTGTCCAATCTTAAGAACTATTTGATCAGACTAAACAAACTAATAAATTTAAATAATTCTATTACCGTAATAATTCAATAGAATAATCTTCAAATGGTTCTTTAAACCATTCTTCCTAATAGAACAATGTAAAGTAGTATTAGTAAATGTCGAAGTCTTTTTGTTTTTCCATCTCAATCTATTATTTTAATTTATGGAACTTAATATATTCGTTATCAGTGTCCTTAAAATCTTTTTTTATTTATTCATAATCGTCCATAAATTTCTAATCTTAAATATTTTTAATACTTTTTTCCATTTTTTTAATGTGAACATTCTTTTCTCGAATTCCTCTTGCATAGCTTTTACGGTTCTAGTATCACTTTTTTAAAATTTTCTAATTTAGTCTTTGTAATCCTCCTCAGTTTCAAATATCTTAAAAAAATGATTAGATATCCCAGCATAATTTTCCTCAGTAGCAATAAAATTGAATCCCTGTAATAATTGATAATAGGCAAAATGAATGGCGCAAACCTTCATTATTCTAAGGTATAGTTGCCCATGCTTATCATCTAACAAAGATTTTTTCGTTGCCTCATGCAACCAATTCACTAAGCCATTTAATAGTTTATCCCTTTTTAAAATTACTTGTAATAAAGTTTGAGCATTGAATGGTGATTATTGAATATCAACCAACTATATTCTTTGATTATCATCAAATTTCTGGAGCATTGATAATAAAATAAATAAATTAATAAATGAAATAAATTGGTTATATATCTATTATTCTGTTTTCAAATGTATACTCTTATTTATATTTATCTCTCTAGATCATCCTATGCAGAATTTTCAAATAATAATAGTATTGAGGTTTCATCAAATTTCTCATATTTTTTAAAAGGATGGTCTGTTTCCAAATTAAGAAATCTCTCAATTTAGATTAATAGTCTACAATTTAAAGAATCAATTACAATTAATATTTTATGTCGTTCTATTTGGTTTTATCATAATTCAATAATTTGCGAAGATGCTGATTCCAAAAAAAATAAAACCATTTAGCATATATTCCAAAGTCTGTAAAATCTTATTAAGAAATCAATTTATAAAACTTTTCTATGTTCTTGGGATATTAATTTTTTGTTTTAGAATTTATTAATTCGTTTTCTGCTTATTGGAATATATCCTTTGTTTATAGGAGAAAATCATAAACAAATTTTTTAATTTCTTGTATCTCTAAATCATTTGATTGATAAATTTCTTATGTCATTTACAAAAATTAATTCTCAAATTATTTCTTGAGTGATTCATCAATTAAGTCTAACTTTTGGTTACAAAATCCGAAAGCATTCTCAAGAATCTTAAAGCGATATCCAATAAAGCATGTCTAAATTAGCTCAAAATGATAGGCATCAAAATTTGGAAAGTATTGTTTTCTATATTATTTATATTTAAATACACTACTGATTGAAATTAATATTGCAAACTGTATAATAGTTGGGCTTTGCATATCATAGTATATATAATAAGATAGGATTTTCTCAAAAGATCATTTTTGCCCTTGAAATTTTATTTAATTTCATTAAACCTAAGAAACTAAGTTTAATGAAAATATCTTTCCCTATTTAACTTCTTCTCATGTTTATACAATGTAACTTATAAATTGTTTTCTTCCTTTTTTTATTTAACCTCAATAGGGATAGCTACGACTTATTTACCTATAGTCACTAAATGATATGGAATAGTTATTACTTATTTCTGATTTTATTAATTAATCCCAACTTGGTCTCTTCTCCTCTTCAAAACTGAGCATCTTGTTAATTAAATCTTAAATCAAGCATTTCAATTAAGCAGGTTGCTACTGATTTAGGTTAGGACAAACAAACGGCTTAGTTTTTAGAGACTTTTAAAATAGATTACGTATCAAAGGGTTCATCCCTTAGGATGGTATTTCTAGAAATGTTAATTCGTAGATAATGATTCCCAACTAGAATAATTTAACAATATTACCGAGAATATATCACATTTTGCAGAAAATTTATCTCCCAATGCAATTTGTGGGGACATATAAGCAGGAGTTCCCACTCTTGTCATGTATTGTTTAATACTAATGTCATCTAATACTTTTGACAACCCAAAATCTGTTAACTAATCTGATTTAGATGAACATTACTTTTAATGTTATTTTCTCCTTTGTCTTAAATTCAAATAAAATGTTAGCAGGTTTGAGATCTCTATGGATCATTTTGTTTTATATTAAGGCCTCATATCCACATACAATCTAACTAACCATATCTGCAATTTGTTCTAAGGTAAACTATTTTTTCTTCAAATTGTAGTCTTAAATAAGGGATTTAAGGTCTCCTCCTCTACACCTATCCATAAATACATATATCTGATTTTAATCTTAAATCACATCGTAGATGGTAATTAAATTCGGATTTGTCACTCTTTAGAGCAATTAAAGTAGCTGAATTTCTTTATGAGCTTAAACTGTCGCATTTTTACAAGAAATGATCTAATTAACAATATGGTTACTTTAACACACAAGTCTTTATTTTTTAAAGTATCGCTTTGACAGCTATAAACAATCCCAAATGAACCTTTTCCTAGCATTTCATCAGTATTGATGTTGTAGTGTCCCACTTTAATTTTGGAAGTCATATTTATAATAAATATTAATTCCTTTCTTATAAAACATTTGATGTAAATAATTAAGATTAAATATTTTAACAGCCTATAAAAGATTGTTATGCATTCAATTCATGGACTATTAATCAACAAATGAATTCATTTCAATTATTCACCAAACTACCAAATTTTTACAAATTATCTTAAATCTAAAAATAGATAAACGATGGCAGATCCAAAATTTCAATTGTAATCCAAGTCTTAGGTAGTGTAGAAATCATAAAAAAAGGGAACTATTTAAATTTTTTATATAAGAATTATGTTGCAAAAATATTTATTGAAAAATTGGGATTTAAGAGAATATTTCTGAACTTCAATATGCTTGAGAGGTATTAATTATTGAACATTTCTAATTTATGATTTTTTTAGGATTTAATAAAATTATATAATATTTTAGAATAAGGTGATTTGACATATTCAGATTTATGATATATATTTAAAAATGAAATATGATGAAGGATAGTCTCCTTAATTGCGTGATGATTACATACCCAAGCTTCCAAATCCAAGACGATCAGCAATTTTTAAGGCCACTAATGCCGTCAATCTAACTAAATTGGATAGCAAGTATTAAGAGAAAAATGACATGTTGGTGGCTTAAATTTACAAGATTGTCAAGCATATGCCTTCTGATGACAGATAATTAAAGGCTGAGAGACATATATATGATGCTTATTATCTTAGAACAATCAGAAATGATATTGATATGGCTGATAAAGTGTTATTAAAAAATTTATGGAAAATTGAAAACAGCAGGAATTGGGGTGGATTGCTCTTCACAATTACTTTATTTTATCAGATTCTCACATTCTTTGAGAAGCCTTTTCCGAATTCGGATTATTAAGAAAGTTCATCCATCTCTAAATTGGAGCTCATTATATTGATTTTGTTGTTTGTCGATTTTACTATTACCTTCATTTTATTGGCAACAAAAAAGAATGATGGTGGCTTCTAATTTAATACTAAGAGAATGTTAAAATTGATATTTATCTTATTGTGCGGAACAGATTTTATAAACTATTAATATGATCAAACTTAATTCAGATTTAGTCGATTGATTAGACCTTTACTCATGATATTTTATTCAAAAGACCTTAGAAGAAATCTCAAAGGAATTGCAAAGGCAAGCAGAGACTTGCTTCTATTATTTTTACTCTATGTAATTATTATATCAACATTTTCCTTTATCGGAATAAACTTAATTGGTTAATTGTAAACAGTGGACTAGGATACTTAGGATTATGGAGATTTCTTTCAATTATTTAATATGTTATTTATGACTGCAACTCTTGATTTCTATCCAGATATAATGATACCTGTGTTAATGTAAGGAACTTATTATGTATTCTTTTTTGTGATATATATAATTCTATTTTTATTTCTCTTTTAACCCATCCCTTTGGCTATTGTGTATGAAGGATTTCGAAAACATAGAATGTAAATAGCCATTTAAGATATTATCAAATAAAAATCAGCTATGATGGCCAGCTTCATTTCACTTGATTCAAATGATGTGGGTTACTTAACTGAAAGTCAATTCAAGAAATTCCTTAGAACCTTTTACCGAGGTCAGTTAACAGATGATCAAATACAAATCATATTTTAAGAAATTGATAAAGATTTTAAGTAAGAGTATTGTCTCAAATAGTGATAAGATATAGTTTGATGAATTTAATTAATTGTTAGCAGTGTTATAGAATAGCAAAAGGATATCACTGCCTCGAATGAAATCATTAAAATGTTGGGAATAATTCCAAAGATTTTGCAATAAATACGGATTGAAAAAGTTTATCGAATCTTGGGTAATATATCTATTTGAAAATAGGGGTTCATATTATTCATGCTAGCAATAACAATATTAAACTGTGCTCTCATTATAACAGCATTTTTTATTGATGATCTTGAAATTTTAGGTGTTTTTGACATTATTGACACAGTTTTTTTAGGGATATATATCTTTGAATGTTTGGTTAAAATGATAGGAATTGGAATTGTGGATTTCTTTAGTGATGGATGGTATAATTATAAATAACTAAAATTAGGAATGTGTTTGATGTAAGTATAATATTTCTATAAATTCTATTTGATTATGTTTTATTTAATTTTGTAACTGGAAATATTGTTTAATCAATTAAAGCAAATAGAATATTAAGAATAGCAAAAATTTAAAAAGCATTTCGAATATTTAGAGCATTTAGGTCAATCAAATTAGTTGGATACTTGCTATAAGGCCTAGAAATATTTGCTCATGTGAAGAATTTACTATATAAAATCATTATTTGTATACCACTTATCCTTAGATTGATTTTGCCAGTCTAAATAGTGTTTTTCACATATGCTTGTGTTGGAATATATATATATGGAGGTCTATAAGATGATGAACAGAATCCTTATCAGAATAATTCATGTGATCCAAATGAGTTTAGATTTTAATGGGGATAATGCAAATATGCAGATTTTAATTCATTGGGTGGATCATATTTATTGATGCTATAAATATTTACAGCTGCCTCTTGGGGTTAAATAGTTTTTGAATTATCATATGATACTAACACTTTAGCAGTTCCGATGATTTTTGTGGGTTCTTTTGTTTTCTTGTCTATTTTTTTATTAGCTTTAATAGGAGGGTTAGTTTGGGAAGTATTCACAGTGGTATCAAAGACTCTATTTGAATAAGAATTGGAACAATACAAACCAGAAGAGAGAGCAGCAGTAGAATTGAATTATTAAGATGAAGCAATATTAGGTAGTAGTTTTGGAACAGATAATGATCTGAGAAGTGGATCAGAACTGAGTAATGCTTTACAATTATAGAAAAAAACAGCAATTTTAAATGATGACAACCCAGATGTGTTACAATTTAAACGCAGAAGTTCTAAATTGAAACACAATTAAGACGAGTTAATTGAGATTCCAATAGAAATTGAACCTCAAATAGAAATCAAAGCATATAATAAGATTTTAAATGTTGGTATTAATAGTAATAAAGTGACAAAGAAGATAAAACCATAAGGAGATTTTATATAAATAATAGAGGAATCTATGTTTGAAATTCAAAAGATTTATTGTGATTATTTTATTGGTTATCAAGAATTTTTAGAATAGAAATTCATAAGAGAATCTCATAATATTTATAATGTAACATCAGAATATATAATCCATATAAGAAATGAAATCAAAAAGGATGAAATGTTTAAGAGAAAACAGATTAATATCTCCAATCATGATCTATTGATATAGAATGCAGTATTGAGAGACACTAGTGAAGTATATATAAAAAAATAAGAAGAAGAATTCTTAAAGCACGAGTTTGGACAAAAATTCGAGTTGATCAAAGAGTTAAAATTTTAAAATAAATTTAAAGTAGAGAGTAAGATATTATTTTCTTTAATGGGAATCTTAAAATTTCCAAAACCAAATCTTAAATATTTTTTCTAGATTTTATATTTAATTGAAAATTACTTTACTTACTAATTGCTTCCAGATACTTCATTCTTTAAATTAATTCACTCTATTGATGGTAGGTGGTATTTAATTAGTATTGAAGATAATTAGATAGTTTTCACTAAAATAGGTAATGGTCCTTGGACATATGAAAAATTGTTGTTTGAGACAGGTCAAATGAGAATATGTGAAAATCTTAAATTTATGAAGGATCAAAAAAATTAAGAAATTAAATTTCACATTAAATAATTTCATTCCAGTATGAACAAGATGGCTAAATAATTTGAGATAGATTCAAATAAAATTGATGTCAGAAGTACTATCGTATTGTATTAAATTAAAAATTCAAAATTTTAACCAACCAATACCACTACTCCAAGAACTCACGATAAAAAAAATAGTTGTAGTCTAAACTATTTGACTATGGGTTCTTAAGTAAGATAAAGACTCGCAGAAGTGGATGATCTTCAAGATGATTTAAATCAAGATTCTTCAATTTAATACATATACAAGGTAGATGATACCCACAAGCATGTAAGTTAGACAATTATTTTTGTTCTTTCTAAGATTCAAGCTTAGGAGGGAAGAATAGTTTATCAAAACTAAGTTATGTTGGCCTAATTTATATAGGATTTAGCAGGAGTCATCTAGAATTATTCATAAAGTTTTTTTTAATAATTGGAGGATCTTTATTCTATGAGAAGTTAACACAGAAGTATGAGATCAAAATCACAAATCCATGTATCTAAATGATATTTATATTTATTTATTATTAATCATATAATTTCTAGAAAATTCGCTTCAATCTCATTTACATTAAATTCAAATATCAATCTAAAAATTAATTTAAAAACATTCCTAATTATTATTCCCACAATTAATTATCCAGAAGTTTAAAGCTTTATCTAAAATTATTATTTAGGCTATTAAAATTATAAATTCATTATTATTATTAATAATGAATTAAAGAACTCCAGAGAAAAAGCAAAAGTCCTTACTACACCCATAAGCACCGAAGAAAAGGAAGAACTGCACTTATAGTTTTAATGATTAAGAATAAAATCCAATTAAGAAACAATTATTATTTTTAGAAAATGATTAAGAAGAGAACAAAATCAATTTTTCCATTTGAAAACATATATTCAATTTGATTTTAGTTGTTTTATCATTTCTTTATCTGCATCATATTTCTAATTGTCTAACCATCTGCATTATATATGGAAGAACTTGTTGAAAATACGTAAGTTTAGAAAGAAGTGAATAAGAATATTCATAACTTAATATATTTAAATGACTTAAAAAAATAGTGACGATAATTTAAATTATAATATTTTAAAAATAGTTGATTATAATAAATATTTGTAGTTTGTGAAATTTAAGTATTATTACAATATACAGTAGTATCATATGTATATTTATTTGATATAAAATATTTATATTATCAATATCATGAGAAGTTTCATAGGATTTTAGGGATATTTTTCAGTACAACTTATAGTTGCTTTAAAAAGACTGGTTTGATGATGATGTCTATCATACCGACAGATTTGCATTGTGTTTCAGTTAAGTAATCATCATGAGCAGTGCATGCTATAATGGGAATCATTTTAATTTAGTTAGTTTTCATTAGTTCAATAAGTGAGGATGTGGCTCTGAATTAATATTTATTAATTACTTAAATCCATTTAAAATGGGCATATCCAAATCCATTAAAATGAATTTAATTTTAGAGTGGTTCTCCTTTGTCTTAGTTATGCAATCGCTTCCATCGTAAGCATGCATGAAATTACCATATCCTAATCTCATCAACATCATTAGTAGAGCATCATGATTAAATGGTTCGTCATCAACAATCATAATATATTGATCTTTATCTATAATTAATTCTTGGTTGGACTCTATCCCACCGTCCTTAAAACTAAATTATCTCAAAAAGGAATTCACATCAAAAATAGATGAAGATCTCTTATTGAACAATTATGAATGTTTACTTTGACCTTGAGATTGAGGTAGTAGAGTGATCTATTTATAATTCCTTGCATGTTTGATCTATTCTATTTTTATTTCCTAACTCTTTGGTTCATTTACTATATAATCATCCTCTTCTTAAATTTCATCCATGTGATCTTACTAATTAATTAATACATTCATTTCTGATCTATCTGAACTCAAACTGCCAAACCCTATGTCTGACACTCCTTTGTTTATATTCAATTCTTGTAAGATGGAGAACTTAAACTCAGACTCATTCTATTTAAGAATTTAGATCTGACCCTTATTTCCATTTAATAAATGAACCAATTTGTTGGTCACTAATAAAGTAGTTCCTAATTTGTGGTTCCAAGAGCGTTTGATTGATTTCGAAGGATTTTGAAGACATTAAAATTATAAATTATAATCCGCCATCATTTCAACCGTCATTCCTATTCCAGAATCTTTTATTGCAAAATTCAACGTTCCTTAAACCAATTCCACAGTTAAATGAATTGTTCCATTCTGATTAGAATGTCGATAAGCATTATTTAACAAATTGTAAAGAATTCTTTCCAATTTCAATGAATCAGTAAATAGTACAATCATTCTACAATATATTATTAAAGATGATACCCTTTATAATCTTTTAATTGTTTGCTTTCAATTAGTATACGTAATTTGATTGATTTGGCTTTGCATTACTCTCTAATTAGATCTTTAACATTTTAGATAATCTACATTAAGGTAATACGAGAAGGTTAGAAAGTCATGGAATCTGAATTAACATAGTCTAAAAAGTCCAATATGCCATACAATTGACATTTCTATTGGATATAGATTTATGAAAGAATGACTTTTTGATATGGAAGCACATTCTTATCAGTAAGCATTGATGTAATCTTAGCCAAAGCTTAGTTTAATGGAGTTTTGAGTTTGTGGGAGAATATTTAAGATAAATTTTATCTGAATTTTCTTTTTGATCCTTTCATTTTGAAGTACAAGAGACTATCTAGTTTAGTATAGTATAATATATAATCCTAAGCCTTAGTTTTTGTAATTTGCACTCTGTAAATTTCCTTGCTCTTCTCTGATGGTATATATAGAATATAAAATAAATTCGAATTTTCTTTATCATATACATTTAGTAATTCTTATTCTGAAGAGCAATAGTAAGTCTTTTTCCATTCGGGATAAAATATATCTTTTAAACTCGGAATTGAGTCTTATGCCTAGTAAATTTAATAGCGAGATTCATTAATTTGACATTGATTGACAATTAACACATTCTTTCTTTGATTATGCTGTTTAGATTACGTTGTTTTTTGATCATGACAAGAATTCAGGATTTCTTAATGAGCAATGTTAAATTTCCTATAAAATTGATTTTTGTTTGGTTTCTCATTGCTTTTATAATTGTTGTACTGCAAATAGGCATCAAACAAATATAAGACTACTAATTCTATAATAGTTTACTAATATGATTTATTGTGAACACTATTAAATTAGTTGATGCAAACTATTAACATTGAAATAACTGCAAATTAATTAAGTATTACGATGTCTTTTTTTAGGTTGTATATATAAATTACAATCCAAAAATCAGTTGAACCAAACATTGATAATGACCTTGCTAATAGAAATAGCAATATAATCACCTTTGAATGAAAAATATAACAGTCTAATTTTATAGTGATTAAATGTACTTAACATAAAATATAAAGTGTATACCTATAATCAATGAAACTTCTATTAAATTCAATATTAACACTATATATTTCTGTTCGATAATCGAAAATGGAATTGATATTAATTGTAGTAAAAAGATGATCCTAACATTTTGATCTATTTCATTAAACATATTAGTATTGTTAATATTAATAATAATTAAATCAAATTTGTAATTAAGAAGTGAAACATAACAAAGATCTTCTTCTCCCATCCCCCATGTTAGTTATTTGTTAGAATGCTTCCCTTAGTGTTTTTACAAATACAGGTTTCACCACAACATAAAGCATCCCAATCTAAAGGCACTTATCTATGGTTTCCTTGTCATCATGAGCAGTGCAACCAATTATGGGTATGTAGTCTAATTTTTAATCCAACATCATTTCTACCAGAATTCTTGTAGCCTTAATAATTATTATGCAAACATACTTCGATTCCCCCCATTATAGGCATGTCTAAATCCATAATTATTATGGAAATTTGTCCTTTCTTTTCTTTGACTATATCGATTGCTTGTTGTCCATTATATGCTTTTAGGAATTAAGTATAACCCATAGTCTTCATCATCAAAATCAAAATGTCATGATTGAATGGTTCGTCATCAACAATTAAAATTTTCTGATCAAAGTCTATCAAAACTCTATCTGCAAAGGATGATCGTAACCTTTTCAAGGCTGGGGTCTTGAACGTCTTCGGTTAATTTATTGGAGTAGTAATAGGAGTGTTTGCTTATGGTTCATGCACAACTTTTGAGGATGAAAATAGTGATAATGATTTTGGTTTAATCAAATTGGAACTATTACATGATTATTCGTTGGTTCCATAATTTACAGTTTTAGTACTTTTCTATTTCAACATAAAACCAATAGTGAACTATTCCAAAGATCCTTCAGTTAGTTTATTTTCCTTAATGATTAATTTGAATTTGAATTCAGTCCCACCATCTGATTAAGAAATCTCAAGATGGTATTCTTAATCATTTAGTATATTAATTAAATGATTAGTGATTTCTAAGGACAATTTAATTTCTTTCTTAAGTGCTATTGACTTTTTTTTATATTGAAATTCCACTTAGCATCTAATGCATTCATTTATATTTTCTAGTTCTTCATTATTAAACAAGAATTCGTTACTATTAATGATAAATAAGACCTCTGAATTTTTCTTATCTATGCATAGATTAAGTGTAATTTGGCCATTTTATGGAGTGTATCTGTAAGTTAAGTTAAGCAAATTGTAGAGAATTCTTTCTAACTTGAGTAAATCTGATAAAATGTAGAATCTATAAAATGGTTATTTCTAAGATTATACTTATCGATATTATTTAATGGAACATTCTCCACAAAAACTTAGAATAGTATCTTTTTGTTTTAACATTAAGATTCTATCAATTCATTAAGTGTAAATAGAAATGATTTCATGTTAATTTTATAATATTAGATTCTGGTTTAATCACTTTATGGATTAAGAAATTCCAGAAGATCTGATATTTAAAAATATTACAATTTAGAGTTGATATATGCAGGTTTAATATAATTCTGTTTGATAGCATTATCCATTTCAGTATAGTTGTAGGCAGATGATAGGAAACCTAAGGAAGCGTTTAGGGGAGTTTTTAATTTATGAGCAAAGATGTCATAGAAGTATTTTTTGAATTTATTGAACTTCCAAATCATTAATCTTTGGTGGAAACTGTCAATTCTAATTAATGCAATTGTAATTAACTCATTTTTTCCGAATTTTTTGTATAAAACATTATATTTTGTTTTGATATTCTTGATAAAATCAGTTTATATAGCCACATAATGATATTAAGAATCTTAATTATCTTAACTTTTGATATGTTCTATAAATGTCTGATAATCATTAAATACAATGCTAGGTTCCCATCCACATTGATTCTAAGCAGGACTATCAAACTCTTTATCTTAATAAGCTTTGATTTGAAAGTTTTGGTTATCATTGTTTTAGTTTGGAGTAGTCTGCAATTAATTATAGTTGAAGTTAGAGGCATTTTTGGAGAGATCATTACATTTCTGATCAAATAGTTTAAAAATTATTAATTACTTGATATCTTCAATAATTTAATTTTGGGCAATGTCGATTTCTGACACCTGTTCGTTTTAATTGTAAATTTGATAAATTAAGATGAAAATACAATAATTGAGTTACTGAAAATAGGCAAAATTGATTTGACCATCATATTGAATAGAATATATAATAATATTGACAGCTAATTAAGTAAATTTACAATATTTAAGTATTTGAGTATGTTATTCCAATTTGAATATTTGTAAAAGATAAATCAAAAACCACAATGATTTCCTTCCATAATAGTATATTTATACGGCATTGTGAAAGAACAAGACGATTATCAGAAGGTATTCACATTTATTGATCTTGAATTTGACGAACTAATGAACTTGATATTTAAATGGGCGAATTTACTTATGGAAAACAATAAAATCAATGAATTGCACACCACCATCGGGATTTCATTGACCTATATACTATAGATTAAATCCAAGAGAACTACAGCACTAAACATAATACAAAACTATGCTGTATTGTGGGTCATCTAATAATTAATAATAATATGTAATATTCAATTTATAATAGACAGATATAAGAAGAGAATCATAATGATAAATCATTTTATACTTGATGATATGACTTTAGATCCAGCAAAGACATTTAAAGTTCTTTGCTTGATTTCATTCACTCTCACAAAAGCCTCTTGCAAACTCCTTACAAATACTGGCTTTGCAATGACACATAGCATTCCTGCTTCAAGGCACTCTTCTTGAGTATTTTTATCATCATGAGCAGTACATGCCAATATGGGAATATAGTCAATTTCATTCTATTGCATCAGTTCAATCAAAATATTAGTTGCCTATGATTTATATGTAATTTTACTCTGATTCCTCCCATAATGGGCATGTCTAAATCCATAAATATAATTTTAATCGAAGTATGATGTTTTTATACTAATTCTATACATTATTGACCATTGTATCCACTGATGAAGTTTTTGAAACCAAGACTTTTCAACATAAGTTTTAATGTATCATGATTAAAGGGTTCATCATCCACTAACATAATTGTCTAATTGAAATCTTGTCTGATGTCTACTGAATCTCCAATTCTTTTCATATTCAATGATCTTTCAAATGCTAAAGACATTGTTAGTGATTTCTCATTGAAATCCCTTTAATAGATGTTTTTCTGATATTGAATTATGCTCTATTAAGCCTATTGAGTTCTCAAAACTGTTTATTAGGGAGAATAGGAGAAATTTTAGGTACTCAAACAAAACGGTTTATTAGCGCAGGGTTCTTCATCCACATCTAAACCGTCGTAGATTCTCTCTTTGCTAGATAGATATAATCATAGAAATTACCTCATTTGATTTTGGCTTCTGGTGTAACCAAGAAAAGGATAGCTATTTAAGGGTTGCTTTAAAGTGATTGTACTTTTATGTTAAGAACTCAAATTAAGGGCTTGTACATCCGTTGTCTATTGGAAACTTCCTTGTTGGCAATTCATACTGATAAAGAAATAATAACTTGCACCTTCTTCAATCGTATTTCTGACTTGAAGTGAACATTGCATATCACTTAAGAAAAAGATTAATTTATTAGTGATTTGTAATGTCAAACTAAATTTGAACTTAGATTTCTTGACTATGGAATTCCTAAATTAAGAGATTGATTTATTCTATTGTTAAGCAAAAGAGTTGATTTAATCGACTTATTCTTATTTGAATCCCAAAACATTGTCATTAATCTTAAACTATACCTGATTCAACTCAGAATCAATTAGAATATGAAGACAAATTCTACCGTTGATTTGAGTGTGTCTGTAAGACTTATTCAATAGGTTGAAGAGAATTCTTTCCAATCTCTATTAATCTGTTTAAATATAAATAGGCCTAAAATTAACTAATAATAATACTTCTCCCTTGTGTTAAATGGCTTCTCATTTATCAAAAATTCTATTTTTATTTATTTTGCTCTACACTACAACTCAATTAAATCATAAATAAGACCTAGGGTTTTATTCAGATTCACCTTCACTATTCGAAATTACAATAAATCCTCTTAATTAATGTACTCTAAAATATCTTGCACTTAATAAAATTAAATTTTTGAATTAATAAAAGCAGGTTTTAAAAATTAACTTTTTAATTGTTCATCTACATTAAGATTTTCTGAAATGGCAGTTTACAAATACCCAAGAGTTGTGTTCAAGGGAGTTTTCAACTTATGAGTAAATATTTTGGATAAACTTAATTTGAATTTATTGATATTTTTGTTCTATTTGTTCATTAAGTTATCATCTTATTGTAACATTGCAATTAAATTGTATTTTTTACCTAAATTACAAAACTATTAAACATAAATTCTCCTCTTTGATTTTTATCCTGTTGGATTATCTAGTTCAGATGCCAAAATAATTTTATTTTGCATCTCTTTGAATTCCTTCTAAAATATTTCAAGAAAACCACTAATACTATCAAATACCAATGGCTTTGAACCAAAAATACGAGATTCTTGCTCATTACCATTACTAATAGAGTAACACTTAATTTTCAAATCCTTTTATGATTTAAACTGTAATTATTGGTTATCTAGTCGATTGGAATATAAGGAAACTCCAGATAGAACAGATATTTCTGGTGCGCTCTACTTATTGGTATCAACATCCATCAGATTTTCATCGTATAAACAATATCTGATTTTTCGAAATATCTACTTTAATAGTTGCTTTTAAGCCTTCTTCTTCTAAGTTAAAAAGTTAAATCGATTTAATATGAGCAATCCCATCAGGAATATTTATTCTAATAACAACTATAAGTGACATATTGGACAAATGGGATCAATCTAAGCAGATGTTACGACGATTATTAGCAATAAAATTATGAATTAGACAATATGTTTATTTGCTGCTATAGAAAGCAGGCTAAACCAAATGTAAGGAACCCCTTTTAATGAAAGTTAATAAGCGCAGTAATAAAGCATAACTGAAATTTCTAACAATTTAGGTTTCTTCTAGTATTTGTATTTATAAAGTATAATGACTTGAATATGTTAGAACAAACTTACATAAAATGATTCCGAGAAGGGCGGCATTGAGAATGATTGTTTAAATTTAGTTATTCACCACCCCGAATGCTAAATCAATCACTGAAAGACCTAACATGGCCAAGTGTCTATTCAAGATAGGTACATAAATCATAATATATTATTTAATACTAAATTATTAACATAACATATTAAATAAGTAATCTATTTGTTAAATCGAAATTCACAAAGGATACTAAAGAGGAAATTCAGAAAATCCTAAAAGCTTAAATAAACATTTTTCTAATCGAACAATAAGAGTTGAATATTTTAGAAAGATCCATTAATATTGATAAGAATTTAATCAAGTGAGGAGGATTACTAAGAAAAATTATTATGAATCCATAAATCTTATGTAATATTAACCATAATTATAAAAATTTATGCTAAGACTTTTATATAAATATGATTCATTTCCATACAAAATGGCGATATTCTTCGTTAAAAGTATGGATAATTCCTTAATAAAAGTAACAGTCCTATTGGATAGAATTTATTATCAATTGCACATAAATTGAAATTGATTTAGAGAGTCTATGTGAATAATAATTAGCATATTCTATCTGTCATATGATATTATCAAGTAATTTATATTTAATAGTTTTAGAATAACTAATTGATAATTATCCTTAACCTATACTTGAAGCTGAAAATCTGTTAGATCTTGCTTACTAATAGAGGGAACCCTATAGATTAGAATGCTAACAGTGGCTTAATGAGAGATTTGAGAATGTAGTAATATCGTTAACAATAGCTACAAAGTTATTCTGCCAACGTTCATAAATCAAAACCTCAATGATTTAATTAAATTATATATATATATATATATAATATAGACTACCTTAACTTATTGAATAGCAAATGTAATTATTTGAAGGTTTTATTACTCTAATTTGCTTGGGTATCATGACAATATTAAAAATAATAGACCAAATTATGTTAAATTGTTAATCTAGTATTGATTTATTCTTTTATTTCACTCCTTTGGATCAAAACGTATTTATGAATTTCAATATGATGCAGTAATGATGTACTTGATTAGAGGGTTAAGTATTCATTCTAGATATCCCCAAGAGGTATTTCACTTTGTTTGATGCATTTCATAAAATTGATTTATTAGTGATTATTATGGTCTTCAATTTTAAATTATGTCAAAGCATAAATTGTAAAATAATATCAGTTCAAATTTGAGTTTTTTGGATTCACACTCAATTGGATGAGTAATGATTGAATACTTGCTTTGTGGGAATTGGATTTGATAAGTGCTTCAAACTGAATCTGAAATCTATCAAAAATGCAATTGGCTTCATAATATCTATGTTCAACTTTGGATTCTATCCTGATGAAATTTTAAGCTCTTTTTTCGTATATTTAGTACCCTTTATATTTCTAATTGTAGATATATTAATTCAAAAATTAAAAATAATTTATCAGAATTGCAATAATTATATTTTAATTGCTAGTAATATTAATATATAATTTCTTCACAACATTATCAATAATTAGTTCTATTTTCTATTGTTTATGAATCTGCTCAATATTTATAAAAACGATTTATCTAAGGTTGATTTATATTTCATAAATATCTCATAATCAATTATCATTCTAATTCCTCCAAATAGTCCTTTACTTAAGAGGGTGGCAAGATCCTAAATACGTGATCATCCCTAATCACTCCTACTTCGATATTAGTGGGTGTTATTTATCCTTTGATATATATTTATATTTATACCTTCAAAACCTTCTTTCAAAGTTAATAAGGCTGTATTAATGGCATCTTCAATTTCCATATCAGCATTGTATCTCTTTTCTAAAAATGCCTTTGCATTCTTGGCTTGTTTGCCAATTGCTGTTGCCTTCCAACTATAATAGGCACCACTGGGATCGAGTTACACCAAATGAGGTCCCTCCTCATCATATCCAGCTATAAGAATAGACACTCCAAATGGTCTTATTCCACCTCTCTATGTAGCTATTTGTACATCCTAGTTTTATTCTATATTTATACCTCTGCCAATTCTCTACTTAATGTTTATACGAAAATCTCCTCTTGATATTTCAAATCATATTTCTTCACTAATTTTCTTGCTTATTGTGATAACACTCTAAAGTCTGGTCCTAAACCAGCATATGTAGCTGCTATATTATCTGTCAACGAAGCTATTTTTTGAACACTTGATTCTTCAATCAAAATGGATGATTATTTCTTTTCAACAACCAAAACCACCCCATTTTTAGCCTTAATTCCTATAGCAGTATCTCCCTTTGCCACTGCATTTAATGCATATTCAATTTACAACAACTTGCCTTTGCTACTGAAGGTTGTCAAAGCAAAATCTGTCATACTGGTGTTTTAAATATTTTAATTAAAAAAATTGACTATGATAAGAATATAATGAATTGATTATCATGAGAATATAATTGCAAGTCTCTAATTAGTTCTATTAGCTATAAAAAATAAAAATTCTCTGATCACACATCAATTATATAATATAAACTAATATTTTATTGATTTCCTATCTCTCCTAGTACCCTAAATTGATTTATATTCCTAAATATTAAATTAATCTTCATTAATAATATTGTATTTATAAATTATAACCTCAGTTTTGTTATATAAATTCATGTGATAATACATTCATAGACATTATTTATAATTCATTACTATATTGAATTCTCATTCAAATTCAGTTTTTATTGTTCTTTATTGCCTAATCAATAGCTAATCAAATTATTTTTGTCTGCTTCTCATCAACTGCTGTTAACTTTTTGGTATTTTTAATTAAAATTTTCTAAAATTCAACCTTTGTACACTTCTGTATAGTTTAACAGTTTTTGGCTCCAATTATTAGTATAGATCATTTGGTAATTAATTAAAACTTCTAGTGTCTTCTTATTTCAAGTCAATATATGCACTTTTATTAAGATCAGATTTTTTAGGGAACTTAGCCCTTTCTAAATAATTCAGCATTTCACTTGATTCAAAAGGAGATGGAACTATTAATTTTGGTAAATTTGATGTTCGAAATTTGTATTGTGAATCCTAATTAATTTTTAGAACAGAATAGCTATTTAACTTATTAACGTAATTAGCGAATGATTACTCTAAACTATTGTTTTGCATAGTTTTATATAAATTTATTTCTATAAATCCTATCTTCAAATCAAAGATAATGATGTGATGATAAAAAATATTATATGAAAATCCAAGAAATTATAATAGATAATAAAATTACAATTGTATTAAATGCCATTATCGTATTATAATTTCAATTTTCAATAAGGCGTCTATTTGTGCTTTATTCTTATTTTTTGAGTAAAATTTTTTTGATTTTCTCTTAAATTTAGAAAGTTTCTTCCTACTATTTTTTCTACAATATCTGGTTTTGAAGTGATAATTCAAAATGATACTGATATTACATTTCTGAATCATCAATGCCTTTGTATTATTTTTTAAAGATGTCCTATCCTTTCTTAACTTGTAAAAGAAGCCTCCGAGACAATTAATTTTAAGTTCTTATTGGAGGCTATTAAGCTTATGGTGGCCCTGTTATAACTTTTGGATTTCTCTAAATTTTATTTTATATTTTTCTTATTTTTCTCGTATGTTAAGTAGCTTAATCTTTATATGAAGAAATCTTTTACTAAATTTCTTTGTCGTTTGTTTGTGGAATTTGCATTACGTCCTTTTTCTACTAAGAAGTTAAATAAGCTCCTCCTTATGGTGGGAGAGGTGCTAATTATATTTTTTAATTCTTTTTCCTAAAAGGATTTTATACTTATTGTTAAATTAGCTATTATTTTTATTGTTATTGTAATTTATTTTAATTGCAATTATTATTGTTGGAATTTTTTATAACTTATTAATTTGATTGAAGAGGCGGTATTAGTCTTAGTTGAGGAGCATGTGAGATTTTAGGTTTTATCGATGGAAAACCTAAATTTTAATTAGGTAGATTTTTAATTTAATCTAGAAGTAAACATGATCTTTACCTAATATTTATTATGCAGTAAGTCTCTTTGTTTCATCTATTTACAACATACTTTCTATAAGTTATTTCATACTATCAGAATATTTGTTAGGAATTGGTTGATAACTACATTTAGCAATTGATTATAAAACTTAATATTATTAATCTCCTTCAAATGGGTACTTTAAAGCACATAATCGATACAGTAAAACTCCTAAAGACCAAATGTCAGTCATAGTTGTATAAGGTTCCTTGTTAATAATTTGAGGACTTTAAATTATAGTTGTCCCAATCTAAGATTGCACTTTTTCAAATGGTTCTTCCAAAATTCTTGATATTCCGAAATCTCCTACTTTAATATCACCTTTTTTGTTAAGAAAATGTTTTCTGCTTTAATATCTCTATGAATTATATTTTTATTATGTATATGGTTAATTGCCGAACATATTTAATAAAACCAATGTAATATTTTACTTTCATGGAAATATTTGCCTTTAGCATCTTTGATTTTTTTTTCTAAATCACCATCTAGAATTGATATAAACACTACCGCCTGCATATTCCATTACAATATGCACATTTCCTTTTTAAGTTTTGTAAGCTTCTCTAAATTATATTATATTTGTATGAGATTAGAGATTTAAGAATATTAACTTCTTTTGGATTTGATTTTCATTTTTCCCATCTAATTTTATTACCTTTTCGGCCTTAAGAGAGCTAAAATCTTAAGATATAATTAACCTTTACAATCTTCTTCTCACTAAACGCACCTACCCATATGATCCTTTTCCAAGTAGCCTTTATTGGGGATATTCTTGTTTAATTGGTAATTAATTCATTTAATATAAATATTATTATAATTCAAATTCATTAATTCAGCTTCTGCTCTTCTTATTCTGATATACAATCTTTACTATCCTTTGCCTAACAATTAAACAAAGAAAGGATCTGCCTGATCTGAAACTTTGAACAAATTGGTAAGTTAAGGTTTCAATTCTAAATAATCATTCTAAAATCTCTCATGATAAGGAGGATTTTCATCTAATTGGAATACTTACCTTAAATTTTTATTTTGGAAATATTATTGCCATTTAACAATGCTTTCTAAAGTAGTTATATTAAGCATCCTAAGGTCTTTTAATTTTTCTGATATTTAGTCAATTTGATTTTAATTCTGTTTTACCAAAGTTAAGACTTATTTAAAACAGTTCTCTCTGGCTGCAATCACAAACATACAATGCTGTATTGGGGCTAATTTCTGATTCATTAGATTTAGCTCCTCTTCTACAACAGCTCTTTTATTCGAGGATGCTTCTAATAATGCATTGAATAGATTCTTAAGAAAATAGACATAAATATTATACTTAATGGACTTGAGGTATACAATACACTTTATAAAGTTGTTTTAACTATTCTAATTTGGTTTCAAATATTCTTTGTTCGCACTCAACAAGTTCAACGTACTCTTGCTGATGTTTATGAATGTTGATATATTTTTCTACTATTGATGCTGTGGTATTTTATAATTTTGGCAGTCTCTTCCTATTGAAACTCTCTTTTGTCCTAAGATGCAAGATTTATTCAGATATAATTATCCTATCATTCCAAGCTCTTTCCTAAGGAGTATTTCTTAAGATTTACTCTCTCTTTATAACGCTTTTTGAGAGAAGAACATTGAGGCTTTCTTTGCTTTATGAATACTAAACTATTAACTTTGCTATTATTTATCATTGATATATAATTTTTCAATATAAATCCATTTAAACATTTTGATTATGTATTTTAGACAACTTTCTATTATTCAATAGTAAAATCTAAGAGATTAGCATAGATTTAAAGTTCTATTGATCTTTTAGTTACTTGCATTTAATCTTTGATATTATATCTAAGGATAGTTATCTTTAAATTTGAACTCAACTATCAAAACTTCTATGTTATTCTAACTTTGCTAATAAATTGAAAGTAGAAGTGATTGAGACAAAACCATAGTGTTTTATTCTATCAAATTTTGTACATTTACGTATTCTCTTTCCCTGATTGTTTTGATTGCTTAATAGTTAACTTAACTACTCTCTTTTCTACTAGTAATATGTCAGGAAATACTACTTAATTTTCTTTCTTTTTGATTTTTATAGCCTAATTATTAGTGATTAAATTACAATTGAGTTATATTAACTGATTTCTCTAATTTACACTCTCTTTGTTTTCTATCCTAATTTTCCATAAATTTCTTAAAGGTTTTTGTTTCTATTAATTTTGTCATGTGATTTCATTTGATAAATTTAATTAATATAATGAAACCTAGTAAATCATTATTTAATGATTTAGATTTGCCTTTATGGGAACTTGATGAAAACCAAATATTTAAATATAAAGCTTAGGCTTAATCCTAAACATTAAACTTAAATTTAAAGACTATACTCAATAAACCATCTGACGATAGAACTTATGAGGAGATCATTTTTATCATTGAATATTTAATGGGATTCACTTACTTTAGAAAAATTAAAAATTTTCACGGATAAGAATGCTTATTCAGACTGTCATAATTTGCATAGTTGATTAGCGTTCCTAATGAGATGATCATCGTTAAAAAAAGTAACTAAAGAAAATAAAATAGATGAGGAACCTAATGCTTTTTATTTCATTATAGAAGGGTAAGTAATGCAAGTTAATGAAGCTCAATGCAATGTTTCAAATGTTGCTGATGCTCTCTTCGAAGAAATCCTTACAAAACTTACACCTAACAAATCAGAATACATTACAAAAAAGAATTCAACCTTCATTATTATAAATGCCTTCATCTTTAGAGCATCTCTTCATAAATTCTCACGTTAAGCTAATCTTAAAAAAACGATAAAAATTAATCATCCATTATTAAATGTATTATAACTATACGACATTGAAGAATTATCTTCTGTGGCTTAAACAGAATTATATGAATAAGGTTAAAAAATTTATACAATTAACGATTCCCTTGAATTCTTGTACATTATTCTTGAAGGAAAATTGTTAATTGGCAAAAAAGTTGGATCTATATAAAGGAGGCATTTTGAATAAATTCCATCTATTTTATTGTCAGAATCAACAAAAGAAAAACCCTAAGTCAAACCTATTGCAGAAATATCAGAAAATGATATTTTTGGTTTTGAAGAATATATTTAAAAGCAAAATGCTAGGGTTTTTTAAGTTCAGTGTTCAACCAAATATTGTAAAATAATCAAATTTCCGCTTAAGATTTTCTTTGCCAAATTCAATTAGGTTTTTAATTTAAGGGAATATAAATTGTTATTAGACATCATATCAAAAAGAAATTATTATAGAAACAGAATTCATTCCATCTAAGTATAATTATATGAAAATCAAAGCTCATCAACTTAAAGATCAACTAAGCCTATGCATTATGAAACTTTAGAACCAATTCCATATGAACATTAGATCAGATCCAAGCCTAGATCCTTTTTATTAGAAAATAGCATTTTATTGCCAGATGATTTAGTATCTAATCTGCAATAATCCTACAAATTAAGAACAAGTCTCAAACAAAATGATCAGACTATAAACTGTAGTTCTTTCACCTTAGAGAATTCTGATGAAAAACATAAAGAAAAGAAAAAATTATAAATAAGGATAAATTATTTAATTGAAAGAGAATTACATAAAAATAAATCATTCGATAAAACTAAACTAATTAAGAAATCAGAAAAGATGTAAAAATTACCGAATGACTAAAACCCTATTGAAAAATTGTTAAATTTAAAACCTGAATAAAAATATGGTAGTACTAATATTAAATAAGAATTTATTAATTAGTCATTATTGCTTAAATAGGCTAGACAATCTTAAAATTCTAGATACTCTCCTTTGCCTGAAATACCATCATTTTAACCTAAACAAGGAAAGTTTTAATAAAAATTAATCCTTAAAAATGGGAAGGAAAAACAATATCTAATTATTGATAAAGTATGAATAACTATATATATTTTTGATTATTTTGATTATTTTATTATTCAACTTACAAAAATGAATTGAGTATTATTTGATTCTCTATAATTTATTTTGTACTTTTAATAAATATATTAAATCCCAAAGTGTTTAATTATTTTACCAAAGATACTTAAAAAGAGTCTATACAAATAATCAAGTTTGATACTACAAATTCTTATAGTTTATTCTCGTACTTTTATACATATTTAACAATTTTAAGTAAATCTAAAATTAATTGTTTGTTTCCTTAAAATAAATAAAATGAAGTTGATAAACTAAATTATATATTTCCTACATTTATTATTTATTAATGATTAGCAATAAGAATGCTTGTTCTCCTTTGATGAAATAGAGTATGCAACCGATATTTTTAATAAAGAATAAATTTAATTCATTCAACATAAAATTGGATTTTAGAATATACATAGAAATTGATCGGGAATTTATTATTAAACTACTCGATCAAGAAGATATTTTATTATTTTTTTATTTATGAAAATTGGCTTAACTATATTCTGTATAATTTTATACGCATCTGCTTTATCGTGTGGTATATAATGAAATCTAATTAATAGTTTCCAACGTCTAATACTACGATATATTTGCGTCAGAGAATGAGACTTAGGAATGGGACATGAACACCTTATTTTTTACGGGAGAAAGTTTAAAGTTCAACATCACTCAAGAAAGCAATTTTTTTGAAGTTTTAAATCCTTTACATCAACTTGGCTCATCAAAAAATGCTTATGGTATGAAATTATTTTAAATTGATTAGAGGTGAAGATTCTTTCTTTTAAACCTTTACATTAAAACGACAATGGAGGTTGGGCTAATGCTTTCGCAGCTTTAGGTCAGAACTAAACATATTATCAAGTTTTATATTCCTAAGAGTAATATAAGCAATATTTTTAGTGGTATTTTAAATCAAGTAAACGTTCCAATTTTTAATGAATCCATCAGAGTGAGAGAAATTACAGATAATTTTAGATGCTTTGATTTGGATTTCATATCAGAAACAAAAATTGTTATTGATTGCACTTTGCCGTATTCTGATATAACAGAAGCTCCTATAAGTGGTTTCTTTATAATAGATGTTAAAGAATAGAGTTATTTTGGGATTGAATTACTTGAAGATACATAAGATTACAATGATACATAATATAGAATACTATAATTCCATAAGTCTACATTTGAAAATTAAAATGAAGCACGCTTATTATTTAGAAGTGAGCCCGCTTGGGGAACTTAAAGGGCATAATAGAAATAGATTTTAGAGTAAGATAGCAAAATAAATGTATTTTCATTTACAAGCAAATTTACACTTTTATAGCCAACTCCTGTTACAGTTTTAACAAAAACAGTTTTAGCAAAATTATTAGGGGTCGATGAGGGTAAATTTACATTTTAATTGGTCGATTTATAAATAGAAGCTAATGGTAGAATAAATGTTTTAGATGCATTTAATGGTGTATATGTACTAAATTTTAAGGAAAAAAACTAAGAGTGGTAATTAGAGAATGTGATTACCAGTGTATTTGTGAGTACTTGTTTTGGGTTTAATATTCATAACTTCATTAATAAGGATGGGACTGTTACCTAGAGGATGGTTCTCGTTTATACAAATAAGCTATTATTGTTAGAAAATGGATTAATAAAATTTGGAATATAAATACCTGTTATAGAATGGTATAATACATTTTAAATCAAATTGACTCAACATTATATTATTCTTAAAATAAGAAAAACAATATATATTTACAAAGTAGAAAATGGAAAAAAGGTCATTTCACAGGAGGAAGATTTCGATAAAATATTGGCTAATCCCAATTACGAAGACGTTATTGGAATTAATTCTTTAACTGCAAAACGATTTTTCCTCAATGATGGTTTATTAAAATTGAATAGACAGGATAAAGCTACTTCTAATAATAAAATTGTTACACTAAAAGCTGAAACTATAGAATAACCATCAAAATAATGTTCATTGACTATTAATTTAAAAGTTCTAAAATAGAATGATCCATAAATTCTTAACTTTAATAATAATCCAATTAATCCTATTATCACAATTCCATCTAATCCATTGCCTTTAGAATAAATTGCTTCAGGACCTAATCTACAGTTTACATCAGTAGATTAAGTAGAAAATGAATTATAAGACAAGATTTCTTACACAATTTAATAAGTAATGAAATTATCAATTGGAAATATTCATATGCCAGATCCCTCAGATGTTATTTACTAAGATATTTTAGTCAATGAAAATCCATCCCAATTTTATTTGTTGTTTTAAGTATAGACCAAAATAGTCTATATTTATACTTGCCAGCAAATATATCCAAACTTAGAAATCACGGAATGCTAAAATTATAACACATTTGGACTTCCTTCTATCATAGATCAAAATGTGGGTCACTTTTCATGGTTCACTAATTATAACCAATTAATAATTATTCATCAAAACTCACAATTTATAGTCAACATTTATTCTGTTATGGATGGGAAAGTGTCAAATGTTTTTAGACTTATGTATGATGATAGAAGTTTTTTAAATAAGATATCATCAGTAGCAATAATCAATGATTACATTTATATCGTCTAATCTGGATTAAAGAAAATTTCAATTTATTAATTATAAGGTCCGTACTAATAATTACTTATAATTGATTAGGATAAGATACAAAGGTTTGAGATTAATGGATCTTTTACTCCAATTAAAGTTTTTGGGCATAAAAGTAATAATTTGGCATTTATACAAACCTAAACTTCTTTGTTGGTTGGAGCTTTCTCAAACAAGAATTCTCCTTCCTTTGAGATATACAAAGATATTTCTATTTCAGCTGGATCGGAATTAGGAGTAGCTATTGGAGTTGACACCTTTTTCGTTGTACAAACTTTGAAAGGTGTAGATCGAATCGAAGAATATAATTACTAACATCTTCAAAACATATTTAAACTAAAAGACCTTCCATTGTTCAATTATAAACTCTAAAAACCTTTAACCGTAGATTATTCATTGAAGAACGGATGGCTATATTTAAGAGCAACTGATGGGTTATAAACAGTTATATTAGTATATGAGCCAAATGTCTTAGTTCACAGTTCTTTAAACAAAGTTATAGAAACAAAACGACTTGTAAAGGATGGATTGAATTTTGATTTTGCCGTTGATGGTGGAGATTAAATGTTTTTGTATTACAAAAATCTTTCTCAACATCAATTTGTCAGCATTTTCTCAAAACCTTTCCTTTACTTCACTCCAAAAGCAGATCAAGCGGATTACGTTAATAATTAAATTGTAGCAATATAGATCGCTGGATTTTCTGGGGTTACTCCATTATATCAATAATCTTTAATGACTATACTCAACACCTAAAGTTAATTATTCATTTCATAATCCTTATTTGATAGCAAAAAGAAGATATACCAGTTTGTAAAATAATCTGGAATTTAATTTATAAATATGGGAAATGATTGGTATTCAGGTTAGGTTACAAATTTTGATATAAAATGCTCTCAATGCACAGGATCATTCCATATAATATCAAATATTTACAAGGTTGTAGATGGTTAATCCTACGGTCAAGTTATGGATGGCGCATCATTTGGATTAGCTGGATAAGTATATTAAACAAGAAACGCTTTGATGTTTGAAGATATAAATGGATAATTCAAGCTTAAAATATTAATGGACTTGAAAACTGAAAGGTGCAATTCTATTTCAATCTCAGCAGATTACAATTTCATCTTGTCAGCTTTTTAAAATGCTAACAATGAGGCAGGTTTATTTATTCATAAATGCAAGTACTAAGATGCTTGTTCTCAATTTAGACAAGGTATCTAAACTTTCAAAGGGTTGCAAAAGATCTCCAAAACTTACATGCCTGATTCAAAAAATATCATCATTTTAAATAGTCCTGACAATTTTTCTGTTTAACAAAATTTTATAGTTGTGGCTAACTTGGATGATGATGGCACTCAATTCACCATTTCCCATAAGTATGTTATTAATTACTAATTTGTTGCAACAAATTAATTATTCATTGGTGATTTTGACCTTATCAAATACCAAATTAATAATTATGTATATTCTACTCTCCTGTTTACTGATACCAACAATGGCATCTATTTTGCTCATTTTACATATAATGATTAAGGATAATTATTTAAAACTTCCTATGAATTATTTAAGCTAATCAATTTCTCTGATGATTAATTCTTTATCAATTAAGACACCAAGTTTTAATAGGTGAAGGTTATTTCATCTTAATTAAATGGAAACATTTTATAACTGAATGTGTTAATTACCACTAATAATTAAGCTCAATATGTATTTGCTTTTGACTTAGATGCTTCAAAACCATCCTTCGGGCTTCCTATTAAAAAATCAAGCACATCTTTATTATATGTTTTAACCCCTTATGGAAATTGGCCTTCTCTAAACAAAGCTTCTTACATAGATGGTAACGTGGCAATCCCTTACACTGATGGATACAAAGTAGTCATTGGAATTTATCCTCTAACAAGTGGTCGACCATCATCTGCCAAAATTACACCATTTACACATTCTATTTCAGCTGATTATCATAAACTAATCACCAGTGAAGACTTTTTTATGATATTCAACAAAAATGCTGGGTCTAATTATGTAATTTTATTTCTTAAATTTAGCCATACTTGTCTGTTAATATTAACTATGATGCTAGATATGATGAATATCTTGTAGAAAAATATTAAATGAGAAGTGATCCTTAAATCGTTTTAAGTAAAACCACTAATTATCCAAATGAACTTGTGATTAACCTGTATTTGAAAAATGATTTTAATCAAATATAAGGTTAGACAACTTTACAATCTAAGAGTTCAGTAGATTAAATAAATAATGTTGGAGAAGAAATAAATTTCTTGTCATTAGCTTGAATTTATAATAAACATTATAAGATTAATTTAAATTTTTAAAGTATAAGATATGTCTTAGTTGAAAAGTCAATATAAGCCTAAATTGGAATCAGCATTTGGAAATAAATGAATACTGGAGACAGATCATGTCCTTTCCTTATATCATTTACAGTATCAATCTTAGAGTAGTTTCAATTTGAGGCAAATCATTTAATACCTAACACAGAAGTAGACTAAGAACAAGAATTATTATTGGTTTCATTTAATAAATAAATTTTAATTATATCATATAATTAAATCAAATTTTGAATTTCTCTATCATATGATTACTAACCTTTTGATATTATTTATTGACCAATAGATTTTTTGGCATTTTCCAAAATTGTTTTTGATGAACTTTCTATAAATTACAATCTAAAAGTTCCTTTACTTTTCCTTTAAAAATGCCAAGTCATTACTTTTGTCATAAATTAGCCAAAATTACATCTTCAATAAAATTTTTGTTAAAAAGAGTCAGAGCCTTGGATAATTTAAACATTTCCTTTGGTCTTCAATTATAAATTTTAAAGTTTAATTTAGTATTAAAAACGATTTAAGCTTAATGATTAAGTGCTCTTTTGTTATAGTTGAGTGATTTTAGGGTCTAAAGTGCTAAAGATTTGTTTAAGCTATTGCTACTTTTTGATTAACTTATTGTTATCTCTAATAAGAGTTGCTGACTGAGCTGATCACCATGTTGATCATCCAACTTTGATTGAAAAATTATTAGAATTGACTCTGGTAATTTATTTTTTTAATATTCTACTTAATCAAAATTTCGATACTTTTTTTATATATTTTTATAAAATTTAACTAAAAGGTACAAAAATAATTTAATCATACTTGAGATAAATTATGCTAAGAATTATGATTATTCAACTTAAGGTTAGAGTATAGGTAGTGTTAATAACCCAAATTAGTATTCATAAAGTTTGAAAAAGATTTTGCCAATTAATTAAACCATGCAAATAAATTTCAAAAAACTCAAGAAAATTGAAGGAAAAATCCCTTTCTAAAGTATAGGATTATAATAAAAAAAATAATCATCTAACAGAATATAAATTGAAAGGAATAAAAAATATTGAAAAAGTTTTTTTAAATAATCAGCATTGAAAAGAAAAACACAAATAAAGAAAACAGTCAATTTTGAAAGCTTCGAAGATTTTATTGCTATCAAAGCACAAATTCTTATGGCTTAAGGGATGTATTCAATGATGAAAAATTATGAGCAAAAAATCTCAATAATTATAATGTCATATGAGAGTTTATATAAGACAAAGATGTTTGTACTTAAATGGCAAAATTTATTTTTACAATTTAAGATTAATAATTATCTTTTATTATATTTAGATAGTCAATTTCTAAAGTAGTTATTGTTGTAGTTTTTGATTTTCAATTAAATTGGTAAGAAAAGTTTTTCACTTGGTGTTAAAAGTGTAAGGTTCTTTAGAATTTATTTCTATCGTTATTACCCCTCATTATTAATAATTCAAAGAAGATCAAAAATGATTAATTCTCATTCTGCCTATAAATAAAAATGATGTTATGCCGTTTGACTTGAATTATAATAAACATTTGATAATTAGTATTGTCTAATAATATATAATTTTGATTATTATTTTAACGAATAATATGAAGACATTAAAGAGTACAATTTCAAACATTTCTCAAAATTATAGAGCCTCCTGTAAATCAGAATAATCAATAACTCCATTAAGAGTACCTTTCAAGTAGTTAATTTATCTTCATTTTAGTGGGGGATCTTAATAAAATTGTTTATCGAAAAAATCGCACACAAGCAACAATAATATCTTAGAATTTGTATTAATAGAGTATAAACAGCTTTGTGCTTGGGTAATTAGAGAAATAAATTTGAAAATAGATCATAATTAGATGATCAGCAACATAAATAAATAATTGTTTTAATTCGAAAGGTTTTTAGCAAAAAATTTGGATGGTTATGGTTAAGAAATTTAAGCTTTAAAATTGGTTCATCAAGAGCATTAAGTTGCTATATAAAAATTAAGTTCTACGAATTAAGATTTGAAAAAGAAGCTGAAATAAATCTCAAATAATATTAATGAAGACTTTTCAACTAATACTCCTTTGTAGAAAAGACACAATTATTCAATTGAATTGATAACGAAATAACCATTAAGAAATATTAGTTATTCTTTACAAGAACCAAATTGTGATAAGGAGAATAGAGAAATATTTCCAAAAAAGAAGTCTCTGAAACCTAAGTTTAAAATTTGATTAATATCGTTTGTTAATTACTTTATCATCAAAATAGAAAATATACTATTTTCTTAAATATACTTAAAAATATATAACTCATAAATCTAAAGCATGAATAACCTAATTATATGCATTTTCTGTTAGGTATTTATTCATTTCTAACCTGGAAGCCCAGGCCCAATCATCATATCCGAAAATCTTGACTTTCCCTTATAAATGCTTTGCTTAAAAATAGATTGTTTTGACTCCTTTAATTTTTGAATTTTCATCAGAATTAGGATTGACGGTCACTAATCTTGGATCTCTGTTGAAATAATATACCTAAATGAGATGGTAATAATACTTGCCAAGAATTTTGTGTCATTTTTTCGAATAATTTTGTTTGTGTTTCTTAAAAAGTTTCTTTTTCTTCAATATTGATGTTTGGAAATCCCCAAACTCCATTTTATTTTACTAATAAGTATACAGTATGTGAAGAATTGTATTAAATCAGCTTATTATTCTTTTCATTTGGATCTAAGAATCAGCTTGTCTATTTACCGCAATGCTTAAAGAATTTACTATTTTCCAAAAATACTGTTCGGACATCTCCAACCAATCTAACATGGGTTGCAGTCTCATCTCCAAAAACGTTTTAATCTCCAGTAAAATGAGTATATTCATGCAATTCCTTTGGCAATTTAGGAATATAATTATTTCTTTTTTCTATTAACAGTTTATACCTCAAATCTTACCTAATTAGTATCTAAATTTTCTAAGTTTCATCTCCTCTTCTGTATAATGAAGAAATATTATATCTCTTTGGATCAATAAACCCATGTTCAATTAATAATTGTCCCTTGTTAAGGTGACTAGAGACTTTGTCTAGAGTTTCTTTAATAGAGCTTCTGTATCAACTGTTTAGGTGGCGTATTTATAAATTGTTCTAAATGTGAACATTTTAAAATATATAATAAATCATTTAAAGGGTTGTGGAGACTTTGATAAAATAGATCTTTAAGCAGAAATTTTTCTAGGTTAAGCGCCTTTAGGAATTTACAAGAAATTATTCTATCTTTTATTTAATGGTGGCAATCTTGTTGTGGGTGTTTGATTTCTGGATTTGCTAACATCATTCTTTATATTTTTAGGATTAAGCAGCAGCTGCTATTTAATGACCTTATATTATTTCTTTATACTTTTAAATTTGCATATTCTTATTATTCCCTTTCATCCATTATTTAGTTTTGTTCAATTGTTTTCTACGCGTTGAAAAATTACACATTCGATAATTCAGCCCAAAATTCTTTGGAAATCTTATTATATAAGTATGTACTTATTGAATGGATAATTTCTTATCATTCATCAGGTTTTGGAAGATTTATGCAATCCTGCTTAGAATTTCTTTTTCATCATTCCAAAATAATAACTTCATTTGAAAAAGTAATTTCGGAATTTTTGCTCTTACTAACCCAACAGCATCATATTGCAACTATAATATGTTAATCAAATTGTTAGATATAAAGAACTTTCTCGATCTTTATTAACATAATTTCAAAATGAATTCTATTGATAATTATCTTAATTAGTAATTTGAATGATTAATAAACCCTAAATAATTTTGTATTATTGAATCTCTACTTTCGAGTGAGTCTAATTCAATAATCTTTTCTATTAATAAATTCATAATCTTATCTCTTATAAATTTTGAACCCATATGACTCATTTTTAAACATTATTATAGAAAATCCTTCTGTAAAAATAAAATTCTGGATACTATTATCATTATATCAATCATATTTGATATTTCATTCCACAACCCTTTTGTTTCGTATTGAAATACATTTCTTTTAAACAACTCATAAATTGTTTAAAGTTACTATAGCCAAATTTTATTCTTATTTATCAATGTTGCTTTTTCAATGATTTCAGATAAATAAGGAATAAATATAAGCTAATTCAATTCAAAATTAATAAATAGCTTTTAAATTACTTTAAATTACATATCCTAGGATAAACTGGAATATAAACTTGACAAACACTTTAATATGTCATAATTTCGCATCTCCTCTGAAAGAATTTATATCGAATTTAATAACATATCATCTATCTAAATAGAGTGTTTCTCATTGAACTATTTTATTATTGAATAATAGGAATGTAATGTTTCTAAAAATAGAAATTGATTATCATTATTATTGCTAATTATATCGCTTATTTTTTCGATGAAAAGAGATTATAAGGTGTCCTGATTTAAACTCTAAATATAATGAAAATATTATACATATTATGAAATTGATTGGCAGAACTCAAATTATGTAGAATCTAATTATTTGATAATATTTTCTAATAAAAGTTGTAATCTTGATTTATGAATCTCTTCATTCAGGTCATAAGTAGCTAAAAAAAATTTGGCTGAACTCATTCTAACATCTTTTGATGAATCGTATATTAATGTTGTAAATTTATCAATCCAATCAAATTCATGTAATATAGATTTTAATAATTATTGATTACTGAGTAATATTTCTGAAATAACCTTACGAACTCGTTCATCTTTATGCTTCATACTGGATTTAATTTAAAGGTGAGCCTATTTTTTTAATTCAGGTGTAAATTTATGATAATAAATTTCGATTATCTTTAATATTTGGTACATCTGATTATCAGTCTCAAGATACAATCCTTCTTTATAAATGTCAAGATCATCTAAATATTTTAAGATCTCAGCACAAGAATTGATGATCTCATATTATTGATATTGTTTTGTAAAAATATTGAAGCAAATGTCACTATAAGACTATTTTATTTGATTGGGGATCTAATAATATTAATACTCATACTTGGATTTTATTGAAAATTTCACTCACTGCTTTAATGTATTCTTTTAGCAAAGATTCATCATGCAATGAATGTAATTAATTTGCAATTATTTCTAATAATAATAATGCTCCTTTGGGATCTGATAAAGATTCTCGAATATTTTGTGCCACAAACGATTTCTGGAAACTTTATCCATTCATCAATAAAAATTTAGCCCTATCCACAAATGAATTACATTCTGGTGCCATACTTTTTTGAATTTCTTCATCACTCTCACTTAAAGAATTAATTTTACCTTCAACGATTTGGGAATGACAGCATACTTCTCATTTACAAAGTCCATAATTACTTAATTAGAAAATTAATTAATATAAAATGATGATGAATTCATAAATTTTACGGAAATTACTGTTTTCATAATCTGAAGAATCCTTAATTCAACTGAAAAATTAAACATTAAACATTATTAAATATCCAACCTAGAATTGAGCTAGGATAAATTATATACTTATTGAATATTTAATTAAAAATAAGCAAAAATTTCAGATTGGGATAGTTAAGTTTTGTTAATTTTTTTAATAAAATTTTATGGTGTACCATTATGACATTTAGAATTTAATTTATCCTCTTATCTAAGTTGTTTCAATAATCTTTTTATTAGTACTTTATAAATTGCTCCCAAAAGTATCCTTATTTCAAATATTAGTCTTAATTTTCTGAATAAAGCACACTTCGCAATACCTAAACCAATAATTCAATATATTCAAGCATATTTTTGTTATATATAGGTTACATAAAATAATGAAGGAAACTTAAGTTAAACATAATTTCAAGCAATGTAAATGAATTAATGGAAAATGGTATTAATTTTTATCATCTACTTTAAGATGCTTAATTAAAATTTAGAACCATCAAAATTAATTTTTGAATTGAGGATCAGTATTTATTCATCTTTTTGATATCGTTATAATTTTGAATTCGTCATTATGATTTTCTAAATTAAAAGATAACTCTTAAATATTCTTAATTAAATTAAGAGAAGATTTAATAAACTTAAATATGTAATGATCGTTTAAGTTTAATTAAGGAGAGGCTTTACAAACCATCTGAAAGTACATCTCTTATACGAGACTTCATTTTATTTTTTTCAATTTCATTTAGGTTCTTAGATAGTTTCTAGATATTCATCTAAAGTGCTTTGATGCTCTTTCCCAAGAATTGCAAACAAAGTTTTTTTAATTCTTATTTTTAGGGGAATTAATATCCAAATATTCATTAAGAAATGGCTTTGTAAAAATTGATAATCGTTTTATTTTTAATTACTAAATTGGTGTACTGGACGTCTTAACATTGATTTAGCACAATGTGCCAATAGGGTACTCTCTAATATCTATTAATTAATTAGCTCTTTATTGAAGAGGAAGTTGATATGTACTTATCTCTTGGTATTTTAATATTAGCATTATTTCTTTCTATATTATACAAATCATTCAATATTTTATGAAAGATATACATGACTTTGTGGAATCATCCCAATAATACTATTAAGATATTTTGGTGAAAAAATTAGTACAGTTTTCTTTGTAAGTAGATAATTTTTTCCTTTCCTCAAAAAAAAATGTCATAGCTAAAAAGAAATTTATTAACAATATAAATTTTCTAATAATTATATCAAATTCTAAAATATGCATCCATGCCGCTGTTTTAACCATGTTTTAATTTTTAATGCTAAGTAAGTGAGGCTTCTGTGCCATAAGCTTTTTTGCAGTTATTAAAGGAACAAAAAAATTGACGATCAATATCTGCAGCACTTCTTCTACTCTTCTTCTTTCTATCCTCCAGTTAATTCATAATTTCTTCGTCATCCAATTAAGCCAATTCTCCCCCTAGTAATTCATATTTAAGGACTTTAGTTTTTAGATCATTTCTCTCTGTCATAACTTTTTCCAACTCCATTTATTATATTCCTTACATGATTGTACAAGATACAATTATAATAATATAATTTCACAGCCTCTTTGTAATAATCTTTTTAAGCATCTTACTTTTCACTTTCACTTTCGCTCATATATTTTGATATTAATATTAATATATATAATTATATGTTAGAGTATTAGAATTTTGAACATTAATAATCGGAATTATTGGAATGTTACACTAACAAAAAGGGAATAACTACATATTTATTTACTTGGTTAAATTAATTTGTATAAACTCATCAGAGAAACTTGGAGTAGAAAGACGTTTTCAATATCAATTCCTAGGAGAGTATCGAACATTAGACCATCAAATTTCAATTAAACAAAGAGAGCTTGATATATTCACTATTAAAAAGTTATCCAAAACAATGGATTTGCATAGTTTTGCTGAAAGTTGGACTTATGGGAATTTTGTTGTTAAATCCTTTTCTTATAAACATGATTGTTGAACTGTTTGATTCACCTGGGTTGGATATATGGTAATTTTTAAAAACCACCTTGTTGTTTACTGGATGGATAATGTCAGTTTATTGTTAAGTTTCCATAATAAGCTTTTATTTAGTAATGCATCATTTATAATTAATAGAAATAAGTCTAGATTGAGGTGTAAGCTGCTTTGTCTTCTATTTTGTATCACAAATTATTTACTGCATGCTTACCATTGCCTTCCTAAGCAGAAATAATAAATTTGTTTTAAATCGATATTCCACAAATAACAATTTTGTTTGATTGCGGAGTATCTCTATTTTTAACACCATTTTAAATCTGTGGAGCCATTTATATATACTTTTAAACAGTCGGCTTGGCAGCATCCTTCGGTTTGATTGGAATGGTTATCCAAGTAGGAATTTCATTGATATATGGAAGTATATATTCTAAGTAAATATAATTTGATATTTTAGTTTGTAAAAAAAGATAATGAAATCAAGAGATAGTCGTGTATCAAATATGGATGAACTATTGAAGGGCATTTTGACAATAAAACAGAATTGCTATTATAAATTCTTTTTCAATCGAGTAATTGTTAGACTTATAAAAGATTAGAGACAAAAGAAATATCGAGATGTCCAACATTGCCATCTAATAGAAATTATCCTTTTTTGTGAAGGCATCGTTTTCTATTGTTCCAGTGGGAGTTATGTATTTTACAATGAAGATTTTTGACATCTTTAATTTAAAATCTGTCTTGATGGTTACTTAGAATTATGCTTAATTAATTTCGGCTGTCAATTTTATCCCATACAATTTGGGTTAGTTATTAATGGCTAAAACATCAATAAAGAGATATATGGATTTCATTTAATCTAAGGATGTAGAATAATAAATGATGCAAGCATAATCAGTCTAAATTTTAATTAGGGAAGGCAATTTTAGATGGAGAAATTCTAAAAATCAATTTTAATTAAAGAATATCAATCTTTCAATATAAAAAGGGGAATTCATTGTGATTGTTGGAAAAAATGGATCAGGGAAAAGTACTTTATTGAATAGTTTATTGGGAGAATTAGAAAAAACAATTGAGAATTCATTTGTATACCTAAATGGAAGTGTTTCAGTAGCATCATAAGAACCTTTTTTGATTTAAGGAACTATCAAATAAAATATCATTGATGAGTCAGTTATGGAATTGGATCGATATCTTGAAATTATAAAAACAACTTAATTGTTAGAGGACATTCAAAGGATGGAGAGTGGACATAATAGTGAAGTAGGAGAAGACGGTCAATCATTAAGTGGAGGACAAAGAAAGAGGGTTCATTTAGCAAGAACTTTATATAGGCACAGCGATATCTATTTGCTTGATTGTCCCTTTGAATCTTTAGATCATAAAACTGCTAAGAAATTAATGGATGCATTGTACTAAATTAGTCAAAAGGAAAAGAAAACTATAATTATGACATGCAATGATGTAAACTAGATTAAAGTATGTGACAGAATTATTTAACTTGAAGATGGATCGATCACCTATAATGGCAGTTTAGATAAATTTTAAGGGAATTCTTAATCAAATGACTTAGATTCTCTTGATTTAATTGAAGGTTAATAAGTTTAATAAGTCTAATAAGTCTAGTAAACTACAATCAATTAGCAATCTAATAGACAATTGTATAGCCTAATTGATAAATAATAAATTATGGTTATGGAAAGTGAAGATAGATCTTTGGGAAGTCTTCAAATGGAGATTTTCAAATATCTATACCAATTATTTGGAAGATATTAGACTTTAGTGTTGACAATTCTATTTTGTATATCAGGAATGTGTTGTTCAACATTTTATTAATTGAAATTGAAATCCATCACTGAGATTTCCAATTCAGATCAGTCCACTGAAGAATAAAAGGCAGATGCAGTCGAATAGTTTTTATTATTTTATCCACTCTCTCACATTTTGATGGCCTTGTTCACTCTATTTAGTGGAATCTATTTAACTTCAAAGGGAGTGACTGCTTCTATGCTTCTGCATAATAACATTATCAATAATCTATTAAAGGCATCAGTAGCTGATTTTTATAATGTTACTTTAGTTAGCATAATAAAAAATAGAATGACAAATGATATTTTCCAATTCGGTATGATGTTATTTAATACGATTAGATATGAATACTCCTTCTTTGATATCATCCTTATTTGATAGCATCTTTAGTTTTATGGCATCAGTATTAGGATGTTTATTTCTATCAAGTGCGTTATCATACCCAATTTTGATTTGTTATTTGTTGTTGCAAACATAATATATGTTGAAATACATTAGAATCAATTTAGAGGTGTCCAGATTATAAGCAATTTCTAAATCTCCCTTGCTGAACACATTAACTCAAACTCATTAAGGTATTTTATTTAATAGACATTGCAAATAAACTTAAAATTAAGTATCATGCTTTTATTAACAATTTAATGTTTATACAAAGAATTCGATTTGTGCTGCTGCATTATCTGCTTGGTTCATCCAAATAACTTGCTTTTTGATGCTGATAATGTATGTATGCATTTTGATAGTTAATGTATATATTTTGAATCAATAATTAGTACATTTACAAAATTGATAATAAGGAATCTGCAACCATCTCAATGTATTTGGCAGTAAGTCTAGGTGAAAGATTTACTAGTTTCATCCTATCATTTTAATCATTTTATTCTAACAATGTTTATTTTGAAAGGTGTCTATCTTTGATTAATAATATTCCAAAGGAAGATTTGTCCACTCAATAATACAGCGATTTTGAGAATCCAATGGATAGAAGAAATGACGATATTCATTTCAGTGATCATGATAGCATCAGTTAAATTGAAATGATGACCATAAATTCTGTTGAGAGTGTGTAAGAATTGCAAGAATAAAATGTCCTAGAATTAAGCAACGTGACTTTACAATACAAAAATGCCACTGTATTAACAGATGTTTCATTCAAATTAAAATAGAGATAAAAAGTATGTTGCAATAATTCTATTTTTAGATTGCTATCCTTGGCAGAACTGGAGCTGGAAAGACCAGTCTTATGCATTGTATCACAAGGTTAGTTGAACCGTATTCAGGATCTTTAAAGGTACTTGGATAGGATAATAGACACACAAGCATTAATAGAATAAGATCTCTATTTTCTGTTGTGTCTTAAGATCCTTTTGTTTTCGAAGGCACAATCTAATAGAATATTGATCCCAATAATGCTTATAATCCTATAGAAATAATCAGAACTCTCTCCAAATATGGGCTATCTTAAGTAAAATTATTGGAAGAGTTGTAATATCAAGTAGAACCTTATGGTTCTAATTTGTCATTGGGAGAAAAATAGTTATTAGTTTTGTGTCGAGTATTATTGTAAAAGAGAAGGATCGTAATTTTGGATGAGTGCACAGGGAACCTAGACAATTAATATTGCTAATTAATCAATTTGACTCTTGATTTATTTATGAAAGTATTATGATCTTGTTATTAGTAGGATAAAACTGTTATTGCAATAACTCATAAATTAGAGTTGCTTGATATGTTTGATCAGGTGATGGTTATGGATTAAGGAAAAATCGTTGCTTTGGGTTCAAAATAGGATATTTTAAATTAGTATTTAAATTAGAAGGTGATATGATGAATTGATATGTAATTTGAAATATATTTTATAAATGTTTCCTAATATTATTCAATAGGATCGAAGGTCTTCAATTATGGATGACCAACTAATAAGCCATAATAAGAATATTCATAATACGCCTGAATAAACCAGTCGTAGGCTTCAAAAGAGGCAATCTTCGAAAATAGGCTCACAATCTTAAATTACAAGAAATCAAAGATCAAAATTGTCTATCGACAATCTTAGTTAATAAAGAAAAGCAACCCTCTAAAGCTAGAAGAATAGACAGAATAACTTATTTTATGAATATTAAGACTTATTCCTATCAGAATCTTCAGATAGCAATTCCTCCTCAGATGGAGCATCTAAAAAAAGCAAAATTCAGTAGAAAGGACCAGCATCGATAATAAACTACGACAAAGTGATAGATGAACAGATGGAATTTATACATAAAACTCTGCATTAGTAGCTGTCATCAATCAGGTATTGACCTGTAATATTTAGCAAATAAAAAGCAACCTCATTTCTAAAGAACAGTTAGACTAGCCAAATGAAATAGACAATGAAAAGTATGAAAAGCATCAAATAACTGTCATAGTATTCCAAAAAAAGTAGTTTTTAGAGTAAAATAAATTTTTCAACCAAATATAACAGGGAAAGATCTATTTCTACATCGAAAAATGTTTCTGATACATAAGAGTTGAAAAGCTTAGTAAAAATATTAGATTAAGCAGGAATACCTGAATAAGAATAAAGCTAATATAAATAAATAATTGAAGAACTCGAAAAATAATGTGCAGAAATTGTGCCTGTTGGAAGAAATAGGATTAAATAGAAAGTCAGAAAAACCTTTGTGCAATTATTTAACCAATACTATAAAGATGATAATTAATTGAAAGGAATAGACGGAGATCAAATGAGTGTCTATTCTGTTGCTTAGAATGAATCGCTTTTCTTTGGAAACAGAGCATATGAACCCTAAAATATTCAAAATAGTCCCTCCAATATTAATATGACATCAATACTAGATAACGTATTTACCAAAACCCAAAACCATGGATTTATGAGTGACAGAATGAAATTACTGATTGATAATTTTAAATTTGAATTAAGCAACGACGATTCTAATTTTGTTGCTTAATCCGAACAATCATCTGAAATAGAAGTTGATGAAGAGGAGGAATATTTAGAAAAGCAATTTACCTAAACAATTAGAGATCCAACTACATAATAGGATCATTAAATATAAAAATATCAAAGAAAATATAAGCGAGACCCAATTTATGATCCGTATCCACTTATTTGGCAAAGCAAGGAAGATTACGAATGGATAGTTAAAGACTATCAATTTTATTGGGATAATTATCCTCTAGTCTATCTAAGAAAAACTATAGTTTTCATCATCAGGATCATTGCAAACACTGCCAATAAAATAATAAATCATCGTATCTTTACTATTTTGGTATTAATTTCAATCATATTTAATATAATGGTATTCATAGAAAGTTAAAGTGAAAATTTATAGACTGATGTTTAGGCCAGCCTTAGATAATAAAAATAAAGTAATTTCAATATATTATTTAGTTATACTATTCTTCTTTATTGCAGAAAACATTCTCAAACTAATTGGCTAAGGCGTAATAGATTTCTTTTGGGATTTACAGAATGTATTTGATATGATCATTCTCATTCTCTTTTCCTTCCATTATTATTACCCAACTTTGATGATCATTGATTTTTCAACTGCAAGATTGCTGAAAATATTATCAGTTATTAGCGTATTTAGTAAGAGATTACAGATAATGCTTCTTGCATTAAAGCACTCCTTAAGATTTTTACTGGAATCGCTCCTTATTGTAGTTATATTTTCATACTTCTTTGCTTTATTCGGAATGCATTTATTTTAAGGATTGTTCCTATATAAATGTTATCATGCTGAATCTGGTATTTAAACCAACTACTTGTGCGGATATAATCTGGAATGCTAAGATTATTCTATGATATGTTGCAAATCTTTAACTAATCCAAATGTTCCAACTAATTTTGATGACATCTTTTATTCTTTTTAAGAAGTCGTCCGATTGATGATATTCAATGAATGGACAGAACCCATCTATTTAGCAATGCTCACATTTCATGATTTTGCCATCATATACTTTATTTTTCTTATTTTTATCATTGCTATTTTTGGAGCCAATTTGATCATCGCTGTTCTTAAAATCTATTATTCGCAAACACTATTGAAATATCAGCATGAAGACATATAAAAATTATCTGCAAGCATTGAAGTTATCTTGAATCTAAGAATTATTAAAGATCACTCAATTGATTTTGATTTGAAGAACAATTCATAGTAGGATTGGGTAAGAAAAAAACCTCGTGAGGTAGATGAGTAAACTACCTATGCTAAAACAATCCTTTAAAATAATAATTAGAAGGTTATAAATTACAAATTTAAATATTTATCTGCCAGACAAACCAAAGAATAGGATGAAATCAAAAATCGAAAAAGAGGTATTAAATCAAACATGAGCAAACTGGAAAATTTAATAGATAATTTTAAATTAGAAAAGCTATTCTTATTTGAATAGAACAAGGAACAGTTCATGCAGAAGCTCATTTAAAATGATGCCTTTGATAAAGAATATTTAAAATTGTTTTATATTTAGACCTTCAAAAAAGTGCCTTTGTATTCTTGGAGAATCGTTATTAATAAGTACTTTTAATATAATAGCACTTCAGAGGGTGATATATTTAGTTTCAAAATCAGAAATGAGTAACAACAAAAGAAGAGGGAAAGGGAATTTGAGTTCATTAGAAAATCTGTATTAAATCATTGCTATCGATTAAAAAAATCAGATTATTCCTTTATTAAATCGTAGAATTAAAACTCTCTCAATCATTCCCATGGTCGCTTACCAATAAAATAGAAATCAAAATAGAAATAACAATTAAATAATGAAAAAAGTGAGAAAAATGAAAAAGCAGTGAAAATTGAAAATAATAGTTATGATCATAAAGTCATCAAGATTATCCCAAATAACTAAAAGAGTAATAATACAACAGAAAAAGTTGACAAAATCACCTATTATGATTTAGATTTTGTAAAATAAAGGATCAACAGGTAAATACCTGAAATTTAAGAAGATATGTAGGATTTTGAGGACTTGTTTGTTAAATACAGATTGGAAGAATGTAAATAAGGAATAGTTTACAAAAATAATTGGTCAGGAAATTGCGTATTGCAATCCAAATAGAAGATTCCATCAACGATAAAAATATTTCATTAACTTAATAATATTGATATTTATTAATGGAAAACACCAGATCTCTCATGTGTATGGAGTTTAATATCAAAAAATTTAAATTTGATGTTGAGGAACCGATCTGCTCAAATCTTTTTTGATTTAATAGTTTTGATCAATATCCTTTTACTTAGTATGATAGGTTATGTAGATTAAAATATCATCAGACAACTCAACGATTATTTTGTATTTATCCTACTTGGTGAGTTATTTCTAAAACTTGTATTTTAAGGCATTAAGAGATTTTGCACAAGGGCCAACAATTTTGTTGATACTTTCATTTTAACATGCTCTATAATTTAATCAGTATATGTGAATTAAAACTCTGGCAAAGGAAACATTTATCTTGATTTATTAAACTCTAGTCAAGCACTTCTAATATATCGAATAATCAAATATAATAATTTCGCATTAAAGATAGCAAAGATTACAAAAAAGTCCCTTCCTTCTTTTCTCAATTTAATATTTTTGATGATTACTTTAATTTTCTGTTTTGCTTTTATAGGGATGAACTTATACAAAGGTAAATTCCCAATTAACACGGATTTTGGTTTACAATAGTCATTTGATGATCTTGCAGCTGCTTTTTTAACAGTTTTTGTACGAGCTGCAAATGAAGATTGGTTTGGGATGGTAATGCTAGGATCGCAATATAGTAGTAAGATTGGCACTACTTTTTTTAGTGTTATCTCCGTTTACGTCCTAAATCTAATGACAATAGGATTCATTTTGGCTATAGTGTTAGATTCATTTTCTTCCTACGAGAATGAGACGGAATCAGGAGAGGATAGACTAGATTCATAGTTCTCAATTTTAGAGGGGAATGATAATCTGACTGAAGTAACGTTAAGCAGTGATAAGGTTGCTACTCCTAAAGAAATTATCTAAAAGAATACAAATGGGAATGATGTTTTTTAAGATACTAAGTAAGATGATGAAAAATAAGTCATTTAGAATAATAATTTTTTTGATTTGTCGGCAAGAATTGAATTATTATTAGAATAACTATTCGCTAAATTTCAATTTTTTACTAATAATGAGAGTGAGAATTCATTATATATTTTTAGTAAATAAAACTAGTTCAGAAAGTTATGTTATCGATGTATCAATTATTAATTGTACATCACTCTAATTTAATTTACTTTCTTTATTGCACTTTTGAATATGTGTGTCCACACTTATTTTGATTACGAGAATAAGATCTCGAAAGATTTAATTGTTTAAATATCAAATTATGTAGAGTTGACTACAAATATATTGTTACTAATTGATTCAATCTTAAAGATTATCTCATTAGGATTTATGAAAGATAAAGGAAGTTTTACAAGTGAGTTTTGGAGATTCATAGATTTTGTTTATTAGTTATGCTACATCACCAATTATATTGTGAAATATGATGCGTTTCAATATTTGAAGGCTATAAAATACGCAAGACCTTTTCGTTTCCTATATTTATTCGAATAACTCAAATATATCAACAGTGCCATATCAAAGTCAATTGTTGATTTGATGAATATTCTATTTGTGTAAATAATGGTGTGGCTAATATTTGCAATCTTCGGCGTCATGCTTTATAAGGATAAAATGAGTTATTGCAAATATCCTTTGAATTTTGGAATCAACAAGTAAGAATGCATTGAGGAAGGTGAAGAATGGGTAAATAACCTCTACAATTTCGATAATATGGGAAATGCGATGTTGGCTCTATATAGAATGACAGCCTGCGATGATTGGGTGTACATCATGCAAATTTGTTTGAATTCAAGAGCAGAGGATCAAGGGCCCATTCTATATGGAAATAGATGGGTGACCTTAATTTACTTTATGTTATTTATCTTGGTTGGAGTGCTCTTCTTTCTTGGCTTTTTTGCAGGAATTTTGTTCATCAATTTTCAAACTTATAAGACTAAATTACAGAAACAAATATTAACAAATGATCAATAATTGTTTGCCAATATAACCGAGATCATTTAGAAGGAAGTCCCAAATTATTCAGATCCTCCAAAGTCATTTATCAGAAAACTGGCTTCTAATATAATAAAATAAAGTCTATATGAAAGAATGATCTTATTGACGATATTTATCAACACTGGTATTTAAGAGATTATAATTATTTATAGGAATTTTAACCTTCTTTTACGATGATGCTTCGTTGGAATTGTTATAAACTTTAGAATACATATATCATGCTCTCAGTTGTTTTTTAATTCTGGACACATGTTTAAAAATATTGGCATTTGGTATTAGAAGGTATTGGGGATACATTTGGAGAGAAATTGAATTTATCTTGGGCATTATTGCTCTGATCGATTTGATTCTATTTCTTACGATTAATTGGAGTTAGTACTACTTTAAATCCACGATCAATGATAAATACTTCCTGATTCTCAGATTAGCATTTGCCTGTAGAAATCTAAGAACTCTATTAATCATTCAATAATTCAAAGGATTGACTAGATTGCTCAGAATTTTGAACTTTTCTGCTTCATTTCTACTATAAATTTTATGTTTCTTCTTTTCAATCCTGTTATTTTATGGATTTATTGGATGTGAGTATTTCGGTATGATTGAGAAAGGAGCATATGTAACAGATTACATGAACTTCACTAATATTGGCAAGGCATTACTGATTTTGTTTAAGATCTGTACGAAAAACAATTGGATTAGAATAATGATAGATGTTTCAGAACGCAATTAATACTGTACACCTGAAACACCTAGCTATTGTGGAGTTAAATGGATTTATGCAAATATATTCTTCTACACATTTGTTCTTATTTCCAATTTTGTTGCATTCAATCTATTTATTACAGCATTGGTAGATCAATTTGAAAGTATCAATATATTTAAACTGTAGAATTCTTTAATTCTTAGAATAGTGTCTTATAAACCTACATCGAGAATATTGATCCCTTTAGAACTACCTGGTGCAAGTATTCTACAGAAACTAAAGGAGCCTAGATGCATTCCAGATATTTAGCACATTTTCTATTAGAATTGGGACCGCCTTTAGGATCAGCTCCAGGTGATAATATTTGGGATGCTGCCAAAAGTGCTTCTAATTTTAAAATCAAGGCTGATTTAAATGGTTACATTCATTTTTAAGAAGTACTTTACGAGACTATTCGATATGTTTATAGAGATTAGATCTTTAGAACTGGCCACCCTGAAGGCATTAAACTAATGAAGTAGATTGATAAAGATACACGTTTCAGATTGCATTTCAAGAGACTTGTAAGTTATTTTCAAGTTATTTAGGATATTTTGGATAGAAGATATCCAATATATGAAATGATGCATCTTAAGGGAAATTTCAATATTTTATAGGAATATCTATTTCTTTTAATGATCTTTAGAACTTTTAAATCCTACTCCGCTAAGACGATTGGAAAAATTTAGGAAGCCATTATTTCACGTGAAAATTCCAATCACCCCAAATAATTGATATAAATTAGTTCTTAAAGCGAACAAGATGAGGATACATTGAAAGAAGACATAATAATGGAATCATAACATCAAATATCATTAAATAGTGAAGATGTTGAAACTTTCTAAGTCTAGGTTTCCAAGTATATTGAATCACATAAGGCTAATAAAAAATTAAAGTTTCTAGATCAAGGCTATAATAATCACTCAGAAGGTAGAATACTTTTTCTACCGGATTCGCAAAAGACTGACCGCTTTCAAATTGGTCCAATCAAACATAAATCAACAATCAAGAAAAAGCAAGAATATAATTTTGTTGATTTTGAAGCCATTGAATAAAAATAGTTGCATAACCCTATGCTAGACTCTTCTCATCTCAATGAACACAGTAAGGGGGCAATGACTGACTCACTTATTAATGAAGAACACAAAATCAATTAAATTAATTATTCTAGTCTATCACCTCATAGAGACAGGTTTAGCATTAATTCGTTGAATGAGAGTGTCGGTACTGAAAATCATAATTTTTTTTATGGGAAACCAAAAATGAAATAATGTTAAAAAGTTGCTAAGTGATATAAATTATAAAATCATATTACTTAATCTCATAAAATATTTTCATCATTTTCAATTTCCTATTAAGAATTTAAAATTATGAATAATTCGGTCATTTATCAATTCCAGAAGTAAAATATTTGCTATTCTTTTTTAAATGTGATATCAGATGTTACAAGAATTATAATTTTAACTAATAAGCGAAATTTGTTTACAATAATAATAATTGTAAATATATATACTTCAATTTTCATAACAACTCCAAGTTCATTTCATTTATATTTGATATATATAGATAAGATTCTGATCTAGGTTCCTGTTTTTTATACTACAAAGTCAATTCTAATTTTGGGAACTCATCTTGACTTTTCTATTTGATAATTGTGAACATAGTTGTAATAATTTTAGGATTCATCAAAGATTAGATTTTGGAGGTAGGAATGTAATGACTTGTTTATGGTCCTTTGATTTCAAGAATGACATGTAGATTTCGATTTGTATTATTGATCAGTTGAACTTATTTGACAGTTTCAGCTAACCTTGAATTAGATACGACTGCTTTGTCTTCATTTTCTGCACTCCATGCCTTAGATTGGATGAAATTGGCTGCTTCAGAATTTGGATCAACAGAAAAATGATGTATTTAAGTTCCTTTTACATATTATTGAGGTAATGCCTCATTGGTTTAACCAGTAGGTAGATTATCACAAACATATGTAGTGTAGACTTTTTCCTACGATTACAATGATTTTTACTTCTAATGTGATGATTTTGTGGAGTGTTCCATCATCAATTTATGATTTGATTTAATTAAAGTTTGGAGATGCTTCATTTGCTGTCAATTCCTCTTTGGTGGTTGGATTGAATAGATACAGAAGTTTAGTTACTTTGGCAACTTCAACAGATTTGCCAATGATATAATCATACTGAGGTTTAGTGGGATCTCGAATTTAATCTAATCTCTTTTGATACTCTTCAAGTAGTAGTTTAACTTCTTCAGATTCCTACTTACGATTGTTTTAAGAATAGAATCTTTTTGTATCTAAAATGAAGGTTTCTAAAAAGGACTTGAATATTTCTTCATTATATTTCTATAAATAGATTATATTGATTTACATATTGATAATTCACACATGGCAGATTTGAGATGTAATTGAAGCAAATTGGACTTTCTAAACTTATGGAGAGGCAACACTTAAGAATTAATAGACATTGAATATCATTGTTTTTACTCATCCTATGAGAACAGAAGTAATCAAACAAACAATTTGACCATCCCAATGGACTGGCAAAGGTCCAATAGTCTTCTTCCAAACTTGATAGACCATATAAACCAAACGAGGCTATATCGGAAAATTGATTATCATAAATCTTGGTGGTCTCCTTTTGTTTGGATGATGGAATCCCAATTAACCATTCCAATCTTTCAATTTAGAGATCATCTTCAATCAATAAAAACGATTTAGCTACAGATAAATAGTTTTTGAATTCATCAACATCCCCATTTGACATACCACGCATAATACATCCAGAAATAATCTCAGAGAAGTACCTATTCTTATAAGATAACCTTAATATCACAGGTAAGATATCTTCCACTTTAGTTTTCAATATCTTATCGTAGAACTTAGGAGAATATAATAATTTTTTCTCATTCAAACTTAATTATTGATTTTGTTTCAAAAGAGCAGTTACAATTTGAAGTTAGATTTGTATATTCATGGCCACATAGGCATTACCCATTTAAACTTTTTTCTCATATAATTACAACGGACTGCTTTTATCTAGTACAAAATCTATCATATACAAGACCATGTTTTTTTTCATTAAATATTCTTATTAAGGTCTACCTCCTTACAAAAAATCTAACCAAAATTGAAAATAAAACTCATATCTTGACCAATTCTTAGGTACTTAATCTTGAATCATTAAGAATAACTGATCTAATCCTTCATTTAATTTCTATGTGATTTAGCCTTCTAACTAAATTGCTTGATTAAATAGAGTTGATAGCAATTTGCTAATGTGTTTTCGTGTCCTTGCTTCAGGACACACTAATAGTAAATCCACTACTTTGCTTAATTTACCAAAGTAAATCAAATCAAGGTAACTGATACTTGGATATTATTAAATTAATTATAAAATTTTGGCATTAAATTAATCCATCAATGAATTCTCATATGCTCTTGACAACAGATCGTAATTAAACTTAATTAACACATCTATCATCTTGGATGCATTACTTTCATTTACAAATTCACTGACATCTAGAATAAATTTCAAGAAATCTTAATTGAACAAGTTGCGTTCTAATAAAAATTGCTGATTATCGCAATTCACTTTCTATTGATATTCAGTTGGAATATAAGGTTTCAATGAGTTATAGTCAACCTATAATACATTCTTTTAGTTCTGATCGATTATGTAATTATCAAATAAATCTATGTGATTTTACAGTTCTTGTTCATTATTGAATACTAAAGATATTTGATCCTTCTGAACTTTTTCATAAATGAGCATATAAGCACTTTGAGAATTCTCTCTAAACCCTGTTCCCCAAACATCATTATAGTCAAAATTACTTGATCCTCCAAAACATTCTTGTTCCATTTACTTTAATTTAAATTCCTTAATTTTATGATCATTAAATTCTAGCCATTGATCTTAATTTTTGATATCTATATAACTGAAATAGTGTCCTACATCAGCAGAACCAACATGAACAACTACTCCAACCAATTTATATGATGTGCATTGATCTTTGTTAATCGTGTATTATTGCAGATCTAAATCGATTGGGAATTCCAATCTTGTATTGATCTTATCATTCATAAAAGTGTCTAAATTAAATACAATTCTTTAGAGATGTAAAATTAATATATTTGGCAAATGAGCCAATTGTTAACATTTGTTCACATCCACTTTCTAATTACAACTTTCACATTTGAAATCAGAAATAAGCTCTCCTTAAACAAATTTATCAAAACACTCCTACAAATTCTTTAAATTCTTGATCGGTAAAGATAAATTGTAAAATATTTCTTCCTTGCTTTTTGTTACCTTACAATTTTAGCATTGTATCAATGTACAAGTCTTTCCACCAAATACTCCATCCATAATGTTTTTATAGACAGTATCCTTCAACAGATTCTCCAACTTATCAAAAATCATATTTAAGAATTCTTGTGCATCTTATTAAACAAATATGTTGACTGGCTCACCAGCATAATCTTTAAATGCTGCACAAAATTCTTAAGGATTGTAATCAATACGATCTGATTGTTCTAAATAACTGAACATTTATTGCAACTGATGTAATACATTATCATCATATGTGAATCCTGTTTTACTCAATTACAAATCGACATCTTTGTGATCATTAGCTTACAGAATGCCATATCGAAATGGTTTTATCATGTAAAATTATTATAACATAGCGTTCATGTAACAAATACACCTGAGATTTTTGATACCACAATACCCAAGGTGACTTCTCATATCACTTGAGGGGATGTAATTCCATCTATTTATAGTTGGTATTTTTTAACTTAGTTGTTGTAGGTTTGTTACTATTGTATCAATGTTCTATTTTTAAGCTAGATTATGGAGCAATTTAAAGGCTACTTGTCTGCTTTCTACAGATTTGCATTTAATCTCCTTGTCTTCTGACATGCTGAAGAGACAATTATTGAATATAATATCATCAATTGGTTATTTAATGAATCTATATAACTTAGTCAAAAGATTCAACAAACCAACCAATATTTTATCAGTAGGAGTATTCTTCTATCTATTTTCCTAACTTTTGTAATTCATTAAATTTTGAAACATTTATTGACTTAGCTGTTAATAATCAATGAATTGTTAAGATTCTTCAGTCTCAAAAGCACTATCTATTAATTGACTCAATAATTCATAATATTGGGCTGAATTACCCTAAGAGTTTTACATCACTATCAATTATTATAACATGATTCTTGTTGGTTAATTGTTTTTCTTTTAACTTTCATGGCAAAGTACTAGAATTGCTCTGCTAAATAGATTACGCAAGGTATCAGATGTACCAGTAAAGATGCCACTGAAAAATATGTTGATAAATTCAATGTTTTCAATGCTTGTTGCCAATAATTTCTGATTATTCAGCAATATAACTATTACAATTATTATGCTATGTTCAATAATTTATCTGTCTTCCTATTCCAACTCATTGCATTTTAACAATTCTTGTATCAGATGTATTAAAACAGGGATGAAATTTTCGATTTTCTCTATAATATCATCTCCTAATTTACTTTCCTTCAATTTCTAAACCAACAGTTGAAATTCTTCCGACTCTTCTGATTATCTAATATCCAATAACACTTAATCCAATGGTTTAATTAATTAAATTCCTCTTGATGCCTTATACAGATTAGGAATGTAAGCAGCACAAGCAGCGATAATATAATTTTAAAATGTGTTTAATAAAAATGATAATATCTCCTTCTCTATTTGCGATAAGGTACTAACACTCTTACCTTAATACTCTTTGAAAAACTGCAATAATCTATCAAACCCCCCCAATTGCAAGAACTTACTCATCCATTTATCCTTTAATGTGAGAATATCTTAATCCTCTATAAGTGCCTATAAATGATTGGAATCTTATTGGTTCATCAGAAATTCAATAATATACAAACTGTATAACAATCTATAATGACTGCTCACTAAGATTGAATCCCAATCAGTTGGTTAGGTGATGTTCTCAAATGTTAACATCTGCTTGATCAATTAAGGAGAAGGTGGTAATCTTCTTAATAGATACCAAGTTTTCTCTTGAACCTCATTGCTAGAATTTTAGAGGAATTCGAATAGCAACTCTAAATATTCTTAATTTTAAACAATCTATCCTCTTGGTAATTGCTAAGCATTGATTTCAGGCAGAGGTACTCGATCTCCTCTTATTAAATCATTTCTATAGTGTAAGGTTTGTAAATTCAACCAAACAGTCGACCTTTTGGTTCTGACTGAATCAGTATAAAAGTCATAGAAATCCTATAGAGTTAAGATCTAATCTTTGTCCCTATCATATTGTTCAAATGTTCGTTAAATGTTAGCATCATCAATACTACATGGATTACCAGTGCATCCAGTTACAAATCTAGCACAATTCTCTTTTGTCATTTTGCCATCAGTTGAATATTCACTGAAGATTTCTGCGAACACTACCTTAGCTTATTCTGATAAGTTCTCCCCATCCAATAATTATGTCTCAGGGGCATCCTTCACTTGTCTTTTAAAAACCATAATTATTTCATCTTTCTTTAATCTTAGATCCTTTATCATCTTACCATTCTCTGTAAACTTTATTTCACCTTTAAGACTATTCAAACCTATGGCATCCCATTATAGTTTAATCACCTTACTGATTGCCAATCGTAATTCTACAATTGTTTAATTGTCATTTATTTTTATTGTAAATCTTCTTTACTAACTATTTTCATATTATATTTAGATTGAAAGTTCTTCACCTTAAGAGAGAGCATTCAAACTCTTTAAGTTTCCAACTCCATTTACTTCACTTTAATCTATGAAATCTTCTAATACTAATAAACATCTTAGTAATTTTTAATTTTATATCTTATTTTCTTACAATTTATTAAATAATTCCTCAATAGTCATTTAGAATGAATGGATATATTCAATAGCCATCTAAGAGACTTTTTCATTTTCCCCTTCTAATATTATTTACCATAAGACATCAAAACCAAAACTCTCAAATTTATTAATTGTGGATAATACAGTCTTGAGACAATTAAATCCTTCTTCATTCAAATGAGCCAAATCATTAGCCATTTTCTAAATGAAAAAAGTCTTAAGTTCAGATATTTCAACCATTGATGTCAATTAAGACTGTCCATCCTAATTTGACAATGAGCTAAACCATTTATAAACTAGATCTTTTTCAGATTAACATTCAGATTAGCAAACTAACAATTCCCATAGAGTGGATATAACATTGAATGTTAGACGATATTCATAAGTGCTAATGTTCTAATAGAACATTTATATAAACTGCATTCTAACTTTGATTTCCTCTAAGCTAATTTATTACTTTTTGATTTCTCTAATTTATGTAAATATTTGTTCAATAATTCCACATTAAGATTATAGATCTGTTAGTGCACCATTACGAGTGTATTATTCCCAAGTTGCTGGCGAGATATCCAACTTTTCTATCAATTTAATAAGCACTCTCAATCCAATACTAGCTGATTCTTATTTTACTATGCTTTCTCCGATCATCTTAATTTGTACTCCCTTATGTGGCCTCATTTCAAATGATGTCACTTACTCTATATACTAAGCTAGATAGTACTCAAAAAGAGTCTAATTCAATTACCCATTCTTTAAGACATTCCAATAGTAATTACAACATTTTGTAATATAACCCTCCTTATACTTATGATTTGATTTAATAATATCTTACAATAAATCCAATTCATCTTTGTTCACTTGTTTAGGGTCTCTGTTACAAATTTCGTCAGTTAAGAAATCCAACCATTCCTTCTCTAGAGAATTCGAGGCATCCTTAAATAATTTGTAAATGGCCAATTTATGTTCATATTCTGCCTTTTCTAAACTATTCCAAATATCCTTGAGGTTCTGGATTCCAATCATTCTTTCCTCAATCAGGAACTTAAAGAATTCCCCACTTCTTTAAACTAAATGGGAATTACCTGAACCAGCATATAAGGTTTCAAAAATCTTCTTCTCATTCAACCATTCCAGTATCATTTGAATGGCAGCTTGCTTTTGGTATTCTTGCATTCCATATTAATTAAATAGGTCTTTAGTTCGTTTGATCAATTCTTAAATGGCTTTCAATCCCTAGATTTTTCTCTCCAAAAAATCACTAGTGAAACATTTATATGCAATATCTAAATCAAATCTATCAATGATTTCTGATTTTCTTTAGATAGGGTACACTCTTTTCAATAAATTGGACAATGACTGCAAAATGTCTGTAATTTTCTGAGCTGAGAAATTACGCAGATTATTATCTGTAGACTATAAAATGTTGTTTTACACAGCAACTTACAAAGCAGGGACATAATTACTAACAAACTATCTGTGTAACATTTCATGGATGTTATTGAGAACTTGCATATAAAGATGAAGAAAGTCGATAGTGCATTTAGCTTAGATTTATTCCAAAATATATTGAAACAATCCTTAAGATCCAAAATCATTGATCATCTAAGTAAGAACAATTGAACGACGAGTTTGTTTTGTCTAGAATCTGGGAATAGCATAGTGATTCTCAGGATATAGGAAGTCATTGCAATCCTGGATGATATCTTCCTGACTATAAGGAATTGGATATTGACCTTTAGAAAAGGTATTTTTTTTCTGAATTCTAGGACTAACTGCTCGAATTCTTTCATCATATTGCGAATTCCAACCGAAGTATCTCTTGCCCATCTAATCATAGAGATTGCCTTTTTCATCATAAACCCTAAAGCCAACGATATATTCGACTTCTTCCTCCTTCAATGCAGCAATAATAGTAGCATTCTGCCATTGTCTATTATCTAAACAATCAATCAGATCTCCAGGCTATAGAGAATGTCTCCATTGCCATTCTTCATCTGTAACCTTGCTTTTAAATGGTGCCAAATCCATGGAGTATCTGACAATCTTCCTCTTATCATCATTCTCATGCCATTTGACCCACACAAATTTCTCATTCAACTTGTCAATCGTCGCTCTACACCAACCTATCACATTTCCTTTCTCATCATCATACAATGCATCCACTTATTAACCTTCTTGCAATTCTGCACAAAACTCATGCTGTGTAAATTCATGATGTGAAAACTATCTCATCGTTTTATTACTGATACCTAATTTACATCAATCTAATGCAACTCATAACATTTATATATTTGCTTGTCTGGATCCATCACAATCCTCATCGTTTCCCATGCCTTTATCTGTTCCTTCGCACTTAAACACACCTTCACTATATGCGACAAGATCCTATTTGCTTACTATCCTCAATCACAGTAAAACTTACCTTCCATCCCATCGCATACTATCTCAATTCAATCACTGCCTTTCCACTTTGATATATCAAATCCAAACCCACTTAATGTTGGATCTATTACCATATTATCTCCAAATCATTCTGACAACTTTAATAATCCATTTTAACTTACTCCTATGACTATACCAATCTCTATAATGACTCCTTCAACTCTTCAATATTCATTTAATAATTTATCACTTTATTTATATAAAAATCTGCTATTATATGTACCAATATTTATCTAAATACAAATAATCCAAAAGTAAATAATAATTTTAATGGGAATATGTTCAGCGAAAGGTAAAACTAAGCAAGAACGAAAGGAACAGCACGAAATCCTACCTCAATAATCTCCTCAACTTGACCCTACCTCAGATGTCTAAAGAAATTTTAAATCCGAAACTAACATCACTACTAATAAGTTAGGTGCACCATCAAACAAGCAAAACCAAAAAGCTAAAATGGCTCCGAGTCCATCTACTAAACCTGTTAAGCGAATGGTCTGGGCAGATTAGATCGTTGAAAACGGTGGTCAAAGGGGCACTCTAAAAACTTGGATTTCAATTAAAAATGCTAATTTCTCTAAATACTATTCTGTTCTGAACAAAGAACAATCTAAATGTCGTATAAAATTGAATGAATAACTGGCACTTGTACAACACAATCTAAGCGGTAAGATTAGAGTGGCTGAATTCATTCCAAAAACCTCAGAAGGTGATCAACTTGTGGAATCTATTATCAAAACATAACTTGTAAATATTATACCCCTAAACCTTTAGAACCATCCTAATTTAATAAAATTAGATGAAGTCTTTTAGGACGCTTCCAATTATTAAATTATTCACGACTTTTGCAATGGAGGCTCCCTGCAATAATATCTATCGAATACAGTTTACACATAGTAATAAGCAGCACTTGTATTGAAATAGATAGTCGAATTAATTTCGTATATACATAAATTAGAACTGAATCATTGTGGATTATCGTTATAATCTTTTTAAAAGTATAATTAATCTAATTCAAATTACATTAAATTAGTTGATTATAGGGCTATTTATGTTAAATCAATGATTTCTACAAAAGATAATTTAATGTATTTGGCCCCAGAAGCCATCCTATAACCAGAAATCTACACACCAGAAAGAGATACATGGAGTATTGGCATAATGTTATACAAAATGCTATCTGGGCAACTTCCATTTAAAGGGTCAAATAAGGACGAACTACTTTAATCAATTTAAAAATATTCAGCCTCCGATGAATTTGACACAGATGCCCTACCTAAAACTAGTATCGATTTTATCAAGAAATTCCTAAGAAGTGATCCAAAAAAGAGAATCAAACTCAATCTGGCTTTGAATGATTAATGGGTTAGGCACAACATAGAAAAATCTTAGGCTGAATAAGATCAAATTGTTAAATAACTTGATCAGAATCACGCTCTTTCATTCTTATAATGTTGTTTCTTGCAGTTTATGATCACTACCTTTCAATCTGATTAGGAATAATCTTTGTATCAAATCTTTGGGTAATTTGACATCAACCATGATGGTAAGATCAATAGGTAAGAATTGACTCAGGCCTACATGAACCATTTTTCTAATCTGTAAGAAGTCAAGGAACATGTAGACACAGTTTTCAAAGGTGTAGATATAAATAGAAACGGTGAAATTGATTTTTAGGAATTCTTAATAGGAGTCATAGATCGTAATACTTTGATAACTATTGATAATTTAAAGGAGGCATTTCGCATATTATCCGACGTAGAAGGCTTCATTTCTCTTTCAAAGATGCAGTAATTGTATCATAGTAAAAAGCAGTAACTAAAATAGTAATTTGCAGCGTATGAAAATAATCAAGTAAGTTTATTGATTATATCTCTAGATTAATTTTAAATAATTTTAGGATTTGATGTTTGATGCTCTGTGAATATGATTACGAGAATTTTGAATGTTTTTATATATAAAATTGATAAAATTAAAGACCTTTCTAATGTATTTTTATTGAAAACCGTTTTATATAATAAAAATATCAAAATAAAAAATAAAATATTAAATACTTTAATACTTTAATACTAATATATTGTAATTTATACAAATCAATAATAATGTATAATATATGAAAATTCAAGCAAGCCCAGAAGTTATCCATTCATATTTCAACCCAGAACTCTACTTTATTTTCTTAAATCATCCAATAAATTTTAACAGTTTATTAGTGAAGATATTATTGATAATATTATAACTATAGCTTAAAATGATAATTAATAAAAATAATTAATGTTTTTGAAAGCTTCCCTTTTTTCTTAGATTTTATAATTTGCAATTCTCAAAACATCATTCCAGCTTTATTCCCTAAGACAGAAAATGAAGAGAATTGTTATGAATTCCAAAATGCAAACCATATTCTATACAAATCTGACTAGCTTCTCAATGAGTAAAATGATGGGAATTCAGACATGAAATTTTCTTTAGATAATTGAAGGTTTTCCCATAGGCTTAATCATATTGAAACGATTAGTATAAGAATTCTTATTGTATAATTATTTTATATATAAATGAAATAATAAACCTATTTCATCAGGCCTCCTGCTGATCTTTCCTCTTGTCATTCTGTCAATAAGAACAGCTTCACCAACAAAGTAGAAACGTCAAATAGCCAAGGAGTTCGTAGGAAGACCCCGATAATATCTCAGCCATTGCATTCTCCAGTTCATCTGAAGGATCTGTATTCAGCATATATATGAAGATATCGAAACTAAATAGCCAAAGGGACTTCTATTAATCACCCACTTCCAGAAGGATCAATCTCGAAGTTTAAGATAATAAATGATTTCTCTGGCTACAAAATGCCTACTGCAAGAAGAATGAAGTCTGATGAACAAGTGGCAACACCTAAGCAAATTAAGAAAACACAGAACAATCACATGAATAACATCAAATTTAGAACAGATAGAAAACCTAATTATACTCCTGTTGTAAAAATGAAGACAGAACCTAATGACGTATGTGCTCATTCTATTTCCAAAAAGGATGAATCTCAAGAAATACTCTTCCGTTTGCACAAGAAATCAATTCCCACAGAACCTGATGATAAAGTGTCTTAGATCTTAGGCAATCAACTCACCAGATGTATCAAGAAAGTAAACTCGATAGATAATTCTAATCCATTTTTTATTAGGATAGAACAAGATAGTCAGTTCTTATAAGAAACAAAAGAAAAAAAACAAATTCTTCATCAAAATAACTCTTAAACCAAGGAACAAATTTTAGACTTGTTATGTCTTTCAACTCAAGATTTAAAAAGAAAATTTGCAGAATTAAATAAAGTAGGCAACTCTAAAATTAATACAAGACAATCTAACAAATTATTAATTCCTAAAACCGGAAGAACCAAATTTCCAACTGATTTTTTTAATGCTCTTTAACCCAATTCAATTTTACATTGATTAATTTTTTTATAATTTCTAACATCATGAATCATGCATATTATGTACCTTCCCAACAAATTAGCTACCATATTTAACAGTAACCATGTTAGAACAGAAATCCCGATAATATTGCTGAGAAGTATAAATTTATATTATCATCAGATTAAAATTACTTAAATCCAAAAAACATGTTAATCAATCACTGCACACAAACAAGGACTACCTGAATAAATAACACTCAATAAAAAGTTAGAAAAACATCTCCTCAACCAAATTACATTCTTCTCGAAGACTAAAATCTCAAGACGAAGAATAAATTTCATAAATAATGAATGATGCTATCAGATAACTACCTAAACAATCCAAACGTATTAATGGTTATCTGGTTAAGTAATAACTAAGTTCAAATTCCTATCAAATTCATAAGTAATAAAAAATTTCTGACTACCACACCGTTAACAAAGATAAAACTGTTATAAAGACTGAACCTGACACATAACTTTGCAGCGACAGAATCCTATGTTATAAAACTCCGATTATCATTCCAAAATAAATTCAATCTAAAGAATAGATTAAATCTATTTGCAACTTAATATCTCCATAACATAAGCCGGCTGAAGAAATCACGAATCTCAAATTAGAAATTAGAAATTAAAATCACAGAAAGAATTACAAACTCAAAACCGAAGTTTAAGAAAAAATACTTGATCTGCTCCTGCTCTCTACAAGAGAACTTAAAATCAAGCTATCAGACAAAAAAACAAAATAAACCTCAATCCCCAAAACTACAAGAGCTGGATTACCAGTAGACTTTTTTAATTTTAAAAAATGATCTATATATAACTCAATTAAAATATTTTATCAGCTCATTATTTTTTGAATGAAGTTCATATTATATTAATTTTAAATAATATTATATATAAATCTAAATTTAATGATGTCTTATTTATGTGAAATAAAATGAAATTCCCTTATGAATTTTACAGTGTATTATCATGATTTAAAGTCAAAAAATTTGTGTAACTTATTAACAAAATTGAGCATTTGTATTTAACTTCTTGCTTAATTAAGTAGAATAATTGTAGATTATCTAACTAACTTAAATTCAAGTGCTTGTTATTATAATAAAAGAGTAGATTTTTAGTAATTTAGGCAAATAGAAATTAATTCCACTATCAATATATATTATCGTATTCTAATCTAAAATTGTGATTTATTTGATGGTTATAATTATATTGTGCCAATTTATTAAGGGTTTTTTGATAATAAGATATAATTAGTTCTTCTTGAAGGTGAAGAAATTATATAAAAATTTAACAATGCAGAAGATATTCACACTTGATGATAAAATTGTCCAGATTCCCGAATGCTCAATCTGCTTATTACCCTTAAACAATGATCTCTGCACTATAGTGGATTGTGGCCATGTTTTTCATAAAGGATGTGTTGCCAGCTTGAAAACGAGTGGTTTCTAATAATGCCCAGTTTGCAGGGTGCAGATGAAGAACGTATGTGATATCTTTTATACGATTAAAATAAAAGATGTCTAAGATGAGCCTAAATATATGGCATATATGATTTAAATTATTACTTTAAAAGAAGAAATTGAGAAATTAAAACAGAGTGATAAGGATCATCATGAGAAAGTATTTGCTTTATAAAAAATCTTGAGTAGAAAAGACCTAAAGATTTAGTTACTGAGATAACATAATAAAAATTAGAAAGTAAAATATAAGGATTTGAATAGTATATTTATTTCAGAACATAACTAAATAATAGATCTATATCGTTACTTTGGAAATATAATGAAAAATTGGCATATGAATGATCATATACCAAATTTACTTAAAGGTTAATAATCTTCAAACTCATAATCTTCAGAATAGAATTAAAGTGAATCACAAGATGAGGAAGAATAGTAGTCATCGGATTAGATGGATTAATTTGAAGATTAATAAAATAAAGTTGCTTATTTTTTCAAATAACTCACATCTTTACTAGAAGATAAGTTAAAGTAAAAGAAAAAAGCGGAAGAAGATAAGATAATACTATAATCAAAGAGTTAAAAAAAGTAATGCCTAAAAGAGATTTAATCTTTTGAGAAAACTCAAAGATAACATAAATGATTTATACATTTAAAATACATAAAATTAACATTACCAAAATATTGAAATGAATTAGATTAAGAAAATTATAGCATCTATAAATGTATAACTTCAAATCAGATTATGCTGCCTTAAAATTTAATTTTAACATTTATCTCAAAAAATTTGTCTATTTTGAATAAATGTTGTATCCTAAAGCCAATCCATTGTAAATACCATAATATTAATGGCATCTTTAGATTATCTTCTGCAAATTAACTAGACTTTTAATGAATCAACAATAAAATCAATAATTCCAATCTTTTCTACGTCTAAATTTAAAAATCAAGTTCCTATTTGAAAATTATCCTCATTGGATTTAATATAATAATATAAACTCATAGTAAAGTTCATAATATATGATTTTGATTCATAATTATTAAAATAATTGTTGAAGTTGTTAAATTATAACATTATTTTGTTTCCAAATTATTCCTAATTTTATATGCTATGTATTGTAATCAGTAATAACAGATTTATATACCCTTCATACAGATAACCAGTATCATTTTCGGCTTTTGTAATATTGCTCAACTTTTTGAAAAGCAAGAAAATTTTAATTTATTTTGAGAATAAATGTATTCTAATTATTTAATAATATTTGTATAAGCACACTCTTATTCTTGCATCTATGAAGAATTTTTAACAAAATGTAAAAGTTAATCATTGATTTTCAACACAATTTCACTTTATAATTAGATTAATATTTCTGTTTTATTATTAAATTAACGATAATGGGATGTTGCGAAGCCAATGGAATAAGGAATAGATTGGAATAAATCAATCCATTCAAACAACCAAGAGGTATTTGTGTTATTGAAATCGAAGATAATTCTGCACCAATTTGTAGGAAACCAATATTTGATGACAATTCTACATAACCTTATAAATCCGAGTCACAATATTATTCTTATAAAACTCAACAATTTAGAGTGTCCAGAGTGACAAAATCCCCTAATAAATATGATGAGTTTAATACAAACTAATAAATAAAAAGATAATAGCAGCCATTAATTTAACATAGGGTATAAACTCAATAAGCTATTTCTTGTCCCCCAATTAGATAATAAACTAACTAATATTTGAGTAATTAAAGTTTCTCAGTACCAGTAAGTACTTTAGTTTAATAACCTTAATATGTTGTAAACAGTCAACCTTAATAGCATCAGCCATATGTGGTATATCCACAAAGTAATAATGTTAGCTTTCGTGGAGATTAAGTAAACTAGATTATAAGTAATCTTAATAATTGTACTAATTTTTATATTATCATAGAATAATAAAAATTATTTAAGACAACTTCCAAAGCTATAATGAAAGTTGAAGATGAAAAATTGACGAATAACGATAGAGAGGTTATGCAAGACATATTTCATCATTTGGAGAAAACTTCTTGTTTTAATTCTAAGAAATCAAGTAAAAGTAATCTGAGTGGATCAATATAAATGAATAGTAAGGAACTCAAAAAAATGTATGATCAAATGAATAACTAACTTCAATTATTGAATAAATTAATAATTTGTTTGGATAACAAATGGAATTTACAAGATAGTAAGCAAGTCAAATTGTAATTGAAGGAGTTTTCAGACAAAGTAAAATAATTGGGAGAAGTTACCTTGCATAATAGTAATATAGAATAACAAATGAGCGATAAAAGCTTTCGATCACAGGAGTCCTCCTTTCTACCAAGAACTAATCACACATAAACTAAAGAAATGGATTTTAGCAATCTCAGTGAGCAGGAGGATAGTTAAATTAGATAGATGAAAGACATTATGCAACAATATCATAATTAGACTAGTGAATAGAGTGGTTTATTTTAGAGAGACTTAAATAAGACTTCCTTTATGTCAATAAAAAAGTAAGATAGTAGGTTATCATCAGAGAGAATGAAGGAGAATAACTACAAAATGGACACATTAATAAATAAATTACATCACTTGAATTAAAGTTATAAATTATTGTCTAATGAATGATTTTATTATAAAATTTTATGTACTTGATTTTTTATAAATACACAAAATTTATAGTAAATACAATAGGAATTAATAAGAGTGAGACTAGATATTCACCAATTTGATTAGCTTATTAGATAAATTTGAGTTTAGTCCTGTTTTTTATGAATCACTCTAATAATGGGAAAGTTTAAATTATTTTTAGAATAAGGGATAACTTGATCCAAAATATAAGATATTGAGAAGAATAATCAATAAATATTCACTAAGAAGAAATTAAAAATATAAATTTATCCTAATTTATAATTTTTTAGAAAGATTTGTAATGATTAGCCGTGAATGCTCATTTTATTTTTTAATTAAGAATAGCCTTCAATTAGATAATTCTTTATGAAATAACTATGTATCAGGAGGTAATTCATATAGTTTTGAAAAATGGATGGTGTAATGGTAGGTAAAATAGAGAAAAAAACTCATTTTAATATAGCTTTAACTTAAATATAATTGCATGATTAATTAATAATTCAATATAAAGAAGAAAATATTTCTAAAAGTTTGACATATTAAGCTTGCAAATCCCAAATTATCTACATATACCAAAGATGCATCTAGTATATCATATCAATATTTAGATTGTCAGAATGCTTGAATATTTTACTTTTGAAATTAATGCGAACTTTGACCAAACTATTGAAGCCTACTTTGAACTTTCCCTACTCATATTAGAAGATCATACTATAATCACTATAGTGAATGTAAACTTATTCGTTTTATTGTAAAGCCCATTATGAAATGTAAACTTTTTATTCGCCAAGTAAAGTTCTAAACTAAATTCTAACTTTAGAGATTTAATCTTCACGGAAGAGAAAGAACCATGTAGAGATGGAAATTTTTTAGTTCTCCTTCCAATTCAATTGCAATCCCCTCATGAGACTGTGGCTTATTAAGATTATGTAGAAAAGGAATAGGGAGAGTCTTTGAGTTCAATGACTATAAGGATTGATATAGAAATAGCAGGTTTAATAGGGAACCAATTAATGATTTAGTTAAGATCTGCAACTGGAATATTAAATTAAGTTCGAAAAAGGCTGAATTATTTACTCGTTTAGTATAAAGTAATGACTGACTATCTTTTTCATTTTAAATTAGAGTATATATAAATTAAAATTATTATGTTTGGAATAATTAGAAGAAATAATCAGACGGGAAATTAAGCAAACTTAAAGTAATTTATTCTAAGATCACCGATCACTAAATGCTTTACAAATTTAAGGGCAAAAACAATATTATATATTTACATTTCTTGTTCTATGCTTATCATTTTAGCTAGCGTAATAATTTTGTTCAGTTTAATCACCTAATATATTTCTGAAACACTTTAGGAATCTTCAGAATTTACATTCGATCTCTATTCGAAAAGATAATAAGATATAGCAAAACAAAGCATAAAAGAATTTTGGGTTACATTTATTCACTCAAGTATTAATTATTGATATCCTTAAGTATCTTAGCCATTAATATCTTTGCATCGACTTCACAATTATTATTCGCTTCTAGATGATTTGAAAGTGAGTTCGAAGGAAACAAATTAAAATTGTTACCATTAACCATTAATTTAGGTAATTTTATGCAAATCAATTAGATTGAGATACCTTGTATTTGCCATCTTAACGAGTCAAACATCAATTCGGGTCATGATAATCATAAGAACACGATTAGGAATTTGTAGTAATTTTAAACAGCTTTGCCTACTCAAATGTTTGGAGTTCAATAGTATATTGGTTTTTTTGAATACTCATAAGCAGAACTCTTTTAATATCCTTGTTTAGATTTCGGAAATTAAAGAGTATATGATCCAAAGAGCAGACCATGGTATATTGAGGCTCAAAAGGCATATAATTTAAGCAAATTTACATAATACTCTGTTCGATTAACTGGTCATTATAGAAGTATAAAATAAATACAAATTCATTAGCCATCCCTTTTAATGATATTAGATTCTCTATTGCTTTACCGTTAATCAATTTCAAAAAAAGTATGATAGGGGCCATTAGAGCTCACATTTCATCGAAAGTCTTATAAGAAACCATTTATAAGACTTCAAATAAAACTAACTTAATATTAACTACAAATGATGGAATGTTATTAGTAAGCAACTTGTTAAATAATTCTGAGTATGAATTAGGAAAGGACTACTTTTTTAATGAAACAATAACTGGCTTTAATATTGAAGATTGGCGATCCTTAATCTATACAAATTCGAGTAATTGCGATCATGTTGATATTGGATTTATATGTAGACAAAATAAAATAGACAAGTAGGATTATTATATGACACATACTCCCTTAGAATAGTATAATTTAAAAATAATTCTGTAATTCTATTGTATTAATATCTAGATATTAAACTAAAATTGAATATTAAAATAGTACGTCTAACAACACTAACAGTAGATGAAAGCTTAAATATAAGAAACCTTATTAAAAGGAATGTCAATTTTAGTTCTAATAGCAATTGTAATCTCATTTCTATCCTCTCTTATCTTGGGGAAAATGCTAGGACCTTTATAAGAAATTGCAAGAACTTTCTAGATAACAAGGCATTCTTCTTCTTAATCTATTACTTAGAGATTCTTAAAATTTAAATTATCACATAATTATGCTGGAATTTTTAAGAAGCCAGGCTGTTTTATATCCAAAGATATCTTTTTATTTTGTCAATGCATTCAACAATTTATAACTAACTTTTCATCAACGAAAAAAAAAACAAATAGGATCTATGAACGATTGGATTCAATCTAATATCCTCGTAAAGAAGATTAGGATCAAACCGAAATTATAGATTACTTTCAATAATAAATCTTAAACAACAAATTCAAAGAACAAGAATTCAACTAGAAATTTATAAAAAATTTAATAACAACTAGTTTAGTTAGTTCCACACCGAAAGAATACTGAATAATGTTACTAAATTATTTTGAATAAAATTATATATTATCATTTCAATAATTTCATCATAGATTCAAATTGTTATTAATTAAGCTAAAAAAAATTATATAAATTATTACTGAGTTTAGATCATCAGTCATAGATGCAAATTCTGATTTAATATCAACAGTTTCACATTGTAAATGTCTTTTCAATCCTTTCAAGTAAATATCCGATTTGTTGAATGAGAAGATAGCAAAGCATGTTTCAATATTTTCTTGAGTCAATAAGATTGAACGAGATAAGGTTAAAGAAACAAATTTATTTTAATCCATTCCCATTTAATCATTTATTTCAAATTATTAGAATATATCATCTATTTTTTGAGCGATGTTTTCTTTATTAATTTTGTAATTGTAAAATAGTTTAATTAATTCTTATTTACTTAAAGAACCATCATTGTTGGTATTAGCTTCTATATATAGCTTTTAGGCAGCAAAATACTCTTCTATATTGAATTCTTATCCAAAATAACTTAACATTAATTATTAGATGGGACGGCATGGTTTATTAGTTAAGAAGTTTTTGAGTAATTATACTTTTGTGTTTGCTTTTTTCTTAGAATAAAACTTTATAAATTCATGCTTACGTAATTTGTCAAAATCAAGTCTTTCTTAAGGATATTTAGACAGTACTGTCTCTAGAAAATGTTTGAATTTCTGATCCTTTTTATGTTGGAAATTAAATTTATGATCTTTGATAATCTATATCATAATTTGTTAAGTAGTATTTTATGGAATTTCATATGGTAATTTACCTTTTCTTAGTATCAATCCAATCAAACCCACTGTCCATATGTCTCTTTCTTTTGTAAATTGTTCTTAACGATAGAGACATTCTGGAGGGAGCAATTTTATAACTTCAATATTTGTTAAGTCTTTGCAATAGATTGTTTTTAAATTGGTAAGCTTGACAACCAGTCGATTATTAAGGTTCATATATTAAAATGATTTGAGAGTCAAATTGCCATGGACAATATTCTTTTGATGAAGATAAGACATAGCTGATATAATTTATTCGTAAATTTAAGCTACTTAGGGTTTTGATACTTTGGCTTCTCCAATAATTAAGTCTGAAAGATTGGATCCATTGAAGTATTCAGAAATCACTTAATAGTTGCTTTTATCTTGGTAGATCTCGATGATTCTTAAGATATTTGGATGATCCTGAAAGAATGATATTTTAATTAAATACAATTGAAATCTTTTGGAGTTAATTAATATATTTCTCGTTGCCCTCTATATGCTTTGGAATATTTTACATTTAAACAAGCATTCCAGTTTTGTTGTTTTGTAAAATTTAAAGTTACTATATATAAGATATATATATTACATAATTTGATTTATGTTGACCAATAAGAGTATACTTCTTAGAAGCACTTGTCGATTCTAAAAGAGGATTATTAAGGCTTTAAGGAGAATTCAATAGTTTTGGCATTGTAAAAGCGAGACCTCTTTGACTTGCTGGGATTGTACAATCTAAATTTTGAATACAAATGGTTTCTGTATTGGCTTGCTTCTCTTAATGTTGATGAAGCGATTTTTTTAATTCAGTCTCTTAGGTACCAGACAGATCTATCTTTGTCTTACTTTCGGTTTTCACTCTTTACGAGTCTAACTTTGTGTTTAACTTTTTTGTTTGGCAAACTCCCATAAATTAATAATATTTCTATAAATCATTTAAAACATTTAAATAGTTGCTCCTTAAAGCTTAATCAATAGGCTGGATCAGAAGTTTCCTTTGTTTTTGTATAAAAATGAAGAAATTTAAAAACTAAGAAAACGTTATTTTGTACATATATAAAACTGAAAATATTTAATTGAAATCCATATATTGCTCTATAATTGTACTTGCATTATCATTTTATTTAGAAATAAATTATTCTTCACTTTTCCAAAACGTAAAAAAAATAACTTTACAAAGAGGTCTTTCTACATTACTTTTGAAATTACGTAATTCAGTAATATCGTATATACATCCAAAATTTATAAACATATTTCTAAAAGTTTCTAATATGATTTGAGATATGTGATTCGTTCATTTGATGTATTGATGTAATCTCATTCTAATATCCTAATGTATAAATTAGTAAAAATACCATATCGACTTAGGATTGGTTTTTTCTTGGATTTTTCAAATGTGAGTATTTTAAAGGGAAGAGAATAACAGATATTTTGATTGTCAACATATTTCTGTTTACTTAAGGCTCATACATATTTGATTTCCATATCATAAGGTGAATACATAGGATTATTGTTTAACCGAATATGTTAAACAATAAGTGATGTAATCCTTTTATAAAAATGAAATAAAAAGCATAGTGAGAATGAGAATGAAATCAATTTGCATATTTTATAGTCCAGTTATTTATTCAAAAATGGAATTGACCATTAATCATTATAATATAGATATCCATTATTGTTCTAATAAGTAATTTTATTTTCTTAATGTTTTATAATCGAATTCCAAAACCTCTTCCGATTTTGCTTGGATTGCCGGATGATCCTAAACCAAAATTTATTTGGATGAAATTAGGAGAAGAATAGTAAACTATGATTTAGGGGAGACTCTCAAAGAGAACATTTACAAGTAATCCTTAACAACATTTTAAATCATCGAAGGGAAATATTAGTTATAGGACTAGTGTTGTCAATAGTGATTAATTGTAAGGAGCACAATCAATTAATAATTCAACAAATCTCATATATTACGAGGATTTTAACATAGATGTGAAGGAAAGCATTTGTAAATAAAACTATTTACCAATAAAAAATGTTTCAGAATTGCAGGAAAGTCTTAAAAATCTAAAATATAGGTACGACGCAAATCATCCGAGAGATTATGAAATTTTCGGAGGTTTTGAAGGGTGTAACGTATAAGAAATCTATTATTGTAAACATGACACTGTTAAGATAGTATTGAAATCAGACACAAATTCTCACGGATTTTGTAAGTGGTTCTCTTTGGGATTGAAGATATATGCATTCAAAGAGATGAACATAAGGGTGAATATCATAAATTTGAGAGCATAGGAGAAGAATCGAGATGTATATGTATAGAGACTATCTGATAATCACGAATTCTTTGTGCCTTCTCATTATTCGTTGACAAATATCAAGCGTAAGGAGGGTCATTTTGCGTAATGTTCTTTTGAGATCAAATCCTCTTATGAAAGTTATATCATTAGCTTTTAGAAACCCTTTACATTCAATTAATTAAGGGAGAATGGTCAATATGGGCAATTGGGATTGTCTAAGTTATAATACCCTATTTATTATTGGGTTCAGAAATAAAATGGGCCATTAACCTTGATAGTTGCTCGCATTAGACCCGTAGATGCAAATACATCATATTTAGCTGAAGAATTGATAAAATAGTTGAAGTAAACAAAATTAAATGTGATTGTTGTACCGATGCTCAATCCAGACGGTGTGGTCTTAGGTAATTCTAGATGTAATTTGAGTGGAAAGGATTTAAGTTCTAATTATCAATTTACCAATCCGACTCAGTGTCCAGAAATCAAAAGTCTATTGGGAATAGAGAATGTACAAATTGCAATGTAATTATGCTATTTATTGGAAGTGAGTTGAGAATGCATGAGAAGCCTCATATTGTTAGTTCAATCAAATTTAATTGTGGGTTGCCACAAAGGAAAAGGAATTTAGAAATTCATGACATCAGTTCAAAGTATTAGAAATATGTCAAAATATTCATCAGTTAAAATTAAGTGAATTATGAGGAATAGGCACAACTTATAATTAAGGCTTTGTAATCTATTCACTAATAGAATGCTGAGAACATTAGTTACAAAAGCGAAACAGATCATGAGGATGACATTTTGGATACCTTCTTTTACAATCCTTAGATAAAGGAAGCAACTGCTCGATAGTCATAACCTCTATATTAACAAAGTCTCAATCCATAAACCTAATTGTAGGAACTATTGCAAAACATAAATCCTTCAATCAAGGAATAGGAATCAGTAAATCAACTAAGGAATTTAGAATGGAAAGAGTTAACTCATCGTTCAGAATTGTCAAATGGCAAGATTAAGACACAAATCACACCAAGCAAAGAAATTCATAATAGTTTCTTTGATAAATAATTGATTAAAAGAAAATCAAATTATCATCAGCATTCAGAATCCCACTCTCAAAGCCAATAAGATAAGATTGTGTTAAAGAGTCCCTTTTTACCTAGTCGAGAGCAGATTTTTGAAAAATATACAAACTTGTCAAGAAGTCCTAACAACAAAAGAAAGACATTGTCATAAGCTAAATTATAAACACTTACATAATATTAAGTGTTTAAATATAACAGGCAAAAATGATGAAATTATTTATTATCAATATTTTTGTGCTTAAATTGAATACTAAATATATTAATTCTTATTTTTTGTATAAATAATATAGAATTAATTAATATTATTCTTTGTTTAATATATTTAAAAATTATATAGTGTAATTAGTAAAGTATAATAATAATACTTACTTGCAATTTATCATCTCCATAATGTTATTATGATAAAGTTAAATCTAAGCAATCTTAGAGACAATATTGGTTATGCATCTGGGAAGCAATTTGAGCTCGTTTGTCATTTATAATTATAATTAATATTTTCGAATTTATTAAATATTTCATAGTTCACTAATGACTGATTCTACTTTCTATTTCTTGTATTTGGCTATCACTACAATAAGAACTGCACCCAAAATCATAATTATTCCAACAGTCATAACTAAATACCATCCCCAATTTATTGTAGAAAGCCCAGTTTTGAGTTCTCCAAAGTTCGCTTTCACACCTTTTTCTGTGAAATTGCCTGAATTATAAAGAGTGATTAATGGCAACACCATGTCTTCTTTAACATTTACAAACAGTTCATCCTTTTGAATTTTCATGGAAATCATAAACTGAATGACTGCTTGCAATGGAGCACCAGAGTATTTCTCTATATTTGCATATATTTTATCATAGTCATTAGCAGTTATCACATGTCCATCCTTATTAACAATAGTTACGAGATCTGAAAGGTTGCTCTAACTTTGATAGAAGTGAGGCAGAGATACAACGGCTGGAGCATTGAATGGTTTCTCCATATTGATTGTTCCATTCCATTAATTATTGTATTTTGGATCAATTTTGAGATTATCCATACTTAATTCAAAGTGAATAGTATCTAAGCCATGGATTTTTGGACCACTGGATGTTGATTTCAATTCCACTAAAGTTATAATTATATTGTATTATTACACACTCGATATAGCTAAGGGACATAGAGCCTAATCATGTCTTCTTTTTCCAAAAAGGGCTTAAAAGTAATTCCGTCAGTCGATGAGGTTATATATTCTTTTTCATTCCAAGGATTCTCCCATTTAGTGAATGTCTTATTCCCATCAAAATATGAATAATTGTACTATATTAATCATAAATCAGAATTACAATTGCATAATCGTATCTATTCATAGACTTTAAATATCTTGTCATTGTTAAATTGTCCTTCCCTGTGAATAATACTTATGGATAATTATAACTATCATCAATTGTCATATTTGGATCTCCCAACATAACCCATGAATTAGTGGATGGATCACCATTTCCAGCTGGATCATTGTTTTTCAATTCTTCCCCCAGAGGTTCTGAGTAACCAAAGAATAACTCTTTTGGAGTCCTAGTAGTTGCCAATCCACCCATGACTCCTTGAATGGCAGCAAATCTCAAATATTAAGTAATATGTTCATATTCTCTTACTTGATAGATATCTATGAATTTCAAATAAAATGCTGGATGATTTTTTTCATAAATGAATGCCGATGTGATTGCTAAAGGATTAAATATCCCCTTGAAATGCAAGAGCTTTTTAGCTTGAAAATCTGTCATTTGAGGTGGTTCCTTAGTAAAAATATCTTTGTATTCAGTCATAAAGTAGCCATACTCAAAAGGACGAGGGAATTACTTTTTATTCCAATAGTGAATGCTCTTCTATTTAGTCAAAGATGGAGGTGGATTTAGAGTAATTTCACATCTGGCAAATTATTTGATTGCTATTTCTTATTTGGAACAATGTGTATATTGACAGTTATATTTTTCCTTCAATTCTGCGTGTACAAGTTGAAAAGCATCCTAGAAGGATTGATCAGTGGAACCCTTTTCTGAACATATCTCAAAGATCTGATTTTAAGTCAATGAGTGCTACTTCCCAAATTCTTACAACTAAGCTCCATAAACTCCGAAAGTGCACAATTATTAGATAGTCATGAAATGATTAACATTTAGTTGATACCCCATGCTCTTGCAAATGGATTCAGCCTATTTATCATCAATATTCCCGATACTTGATTTGAACATAGTCTTACAATCCTTCCATTTCTATTTAAATATCATTTCTGAGCTCAACAAATAAGGCAACAAGTATTCACTCACATTCCTAAAGTGATAATAAATTGATTCACTGGCAAACAAACCAATTCCTCCATGTTCAAGCTTACCTCCTAAATTTCTCCTAAAAGAAAAGTTAACACCCATTTATTATACCCATCTATAAACAACATGAGCCAATTCTAATGATTTTATTTGAAATCTCTCTTATATTGGTTTCAAGTCTTCTAAGTTCTTACTCTTATCGAATTTGGCTCCTACCTCATAGATAAACTCAACATTCCCCTTGTGCTATAAGAGATTTTCATCCTTCATATAACCACCAACTGGATAATCGTAATTTCTATTTAGGAATTGATATGCCCAATCTAAATCAAATGTCTAATCTCCATAGTCAGCTTCAAACTCTCCTCCTTTGTAATAGTATGCAATTTCAATATAATCATGCAATGTATTATTTGTAAAGTTGACAGAATCGGTTGGCAGAATTCCCAAACCTGGAGGGGGATTGGCTGAAATTCCACTTGATTGCCATTACAAAGCGGTAAAATATTTGCCATCGCAATCGTACTTGTATTTCTTTTGATCTGGATCCTATCCGTAAGGATTACAATTATAACTATTAGCCATTGCGGATACATTGATGGCTTTAATTTGTTCACTCACGGCCTTTCGAATGTCATTCACAAGTTCTTAGTTTAGATCGAAGTAATCCCTTAGTAATTAGCCTGCTGGCCCAAAGTTATGTCCTTCCAAACCCAAACGAACCCAATTCTCCATTGTGTCAGGATTTCCCAATCCCATGAAATGATCATAAAACATGTCCTTTCGTTTTTGCTCATCATTGATCATTTTCAATAATGCATTGCATGAGGCCTCATCCTTCACAAATTGATAATGAAACCCTTGATAATAGATATTCAACACTAATTATTCCTACAGATTTTACATCACTTATCCAATGGTCATCCAAGTCAATTTCGGCTATGGCAAATGAGTACCTAAATACCAACTTCCAAATAATCCTGGATTTACCACTGAGTATTCTTTTGTGCCTTCTTCTGCATTCTTTTCTTAAAAGGTTACGTAACGATTACTAGTTACTTCCTTACCATCTTCTGAATAAGTTCGATTTGTAAATTCTTGCACTTGAATTAGTGAGTACACTTTTTCATGTTCTATAAATTAAGGTTTTTGCCCACGAAAAATGACGTCAAGTAAATTTGTTGGTTCATAGACTGTCAATACTCGCATTAAATCAACCTGGGAATCCCCTGGTAGCTTTGCCCACAATCCACTATTTGACTCTGTTAGAATCACCTAATCGGGCACTTTGCCATTAATCATATTTTCAACAAACGACGGAATAAAGAATGATAAAATAAAGATAGTCAGTCCGCATAGAGACAAGCATCCAATAGAAACCTTCTAACAAGTACTTAATAATTAGTTGTAATGTTTTTTTCTGTTACTTTATATATGCCCTTCATTTTCTTCATCAATGAAGTTATCGTTCATTTTTATAAAAAGAATATAATAAGATGAGATAAATTATATGCATATATAAATCACACAACCAAAAGCCAGAAATTTCAACAACTTCAATTGAATTATCCGAAAATTTCATATCAAACATAATCTAATTTAATTCTAAACTTCTACAATTGTTTTTTAATCAATATTAACATTGTTAAACGATTTAATTAGTCCATCTCAGTTTGAAAAATACGAGAATTAATAAAAAAAATCTTATTCTCTTTCTTATTTACATCATTAATCATAAAATCATTAATCTTTAATATCAAATATTACAGTCAAACATATTTCATAATATAATTTATTAACGAATATTTCAAATATCTTCTTAATCACTTCATATATCCAAAGCAATCCACTTCCAATCAGTTCCCAATCCTATTGTATAAGTTGACTATCAACAGGATTTCTTTCTATGACAGAATTGTTTCAAATTGTGATTTTTCATATCTCTGAAAATGGGGTCTGCTGTTTCATTTTATCTATATGAACATAATTAAGGTTTACATTAATTTATATTAAAATTTTTTCAAAAAATTTTATTAAAGATTTAAAATCATGGTAATACATTATGAATTATAGTTTAGGGAAAACAACCAACACAAGGATAAAAGAAAACCAAGGATTAGATTTCTAAGGCAGCCTCCCAAAGAAGTAATTAAACAAAGAAGGTAATATTGTTCTTTGATAACGTGCATAGAAATGGACTAAGGGAAGAGCAAAGGATAAATTAAACAATGCCGTGTTTTTAGACAATACATCCTACAAATAAATTGAGACCTAATTACCAAAAATGGGTGCATTGATCACAGTCTCAACAGTATCAGATAAATTCAAAGTTAATGGGTATTTATTGGTCTCTTAAACCTTATTAAGTTCATTGGCAAGAAGATGCATTAGACATTTCGCAAAATCAGGTTTGTTGGTGCCAGCCGGAGATTAAAACTCTAAATAATACATCTTCACTGTAAATGCTCAAGTTGTCGCTGCCTAAAAAGCTGCCGCTGCTGCTGCCGCCGCTGACAAACCATAAGCCTAAAAGAAGGCTCCAGCACCCAAGAAATAATGAGATTATAATTTAAGTACATTACATGATATACATATATAATTTTGGATGATTCTCCCCCTATTTTTGGGTGAGTTGTAATATTCTATTCTGCCATTCTTTATCAATTATATATAAATTTAATGATTTATAATAATTCGATCTCCATTCATACTTAAGAACAAGCATACTTAACTGTTTACCTATAATGAAAAAAAATTGAATAAGGGTAGAAATATACCTTTTAGATTAAAGATTAATTAATATAGGAATTTCTAAATATCTAAATACTTCAAAATTCAATCATTTTACCTAAAGTTTCATTGAGTCCTTAAACACATCTAGAAATGAATCAAAAACTGTTAAAATTCATTACTTAAAAGTATTAATTTGGAATTGGTGGCAATTAAATTTGGTTGATGATGAAAATTATATGGGTTATTCAGTAAAAATTAGTTAATCTGTATTTACCAACACTTTGGAATTCCACAGAAATTGAGAAATAAAAAGAATATCTAATGTTCAATTTTGCCTATTGAAATCTAAACATTTTTTCGTTGAAATAGATTATAAATTTTGCATAATTATAGATGTTCATAGTTACTTTTGAAAAAGTAGAATCATAGCTATAAAGAAAAACAAATGCAGATTGTAAAGTTCTTAATATTTGCTCTGTCTTTAGTGTTATTTAGTGTTGATACATTAGAATTAAATCTGTAAGGTTTAAGCATCAGAATGTGATTATATTCTTAAAGATTGAAAAAGGATTTTTAGTGAAATTGATTTATATTTGTAAACTCCACTATTTTGTGTTAAAGAGGTATATAGGATTATAACTCTTAAGGGTATAAAAAGATTATTTAGATTTGAATATTTTGATGAGAATAAATATAAATGTAAAATAGTTAAAATCTGTAGGATAGATAAAGATATTTGAGATAATTTACATTAAATAAACGCAACTATTATAGAAAATTTATGATTCATACCTTCATGAATAAAGATGAGAGAATTATTTAAAGAGTATTCTTAAAGATTTCATAGAAAGATTTAAGGTTATTACCCAAATATACTTAATCAGCATGATTTAGTGTCTTAAAATTTACTTTCACATTTTGAGAAAATAATCTTAGTTGTTAGAATTAAATTTTGAAGCCTTAATACTTTGAATAAAATAGTATAATAAACTCGAATCTTTAGAAGGAAGAGCCATTGCAGTTTACCTGACAATCTACAATATCGATCAAGAAAAGTGATATTTTTACTATTTTTATAATAATTTTATAATCTCGATTTGGTGAAAATAGATGTAGAAGACCTCAAAATTTATTTTGGATCTGTACAACATTTTGGAAGTAATTTAGTATTATCTAAGGCAGTGTGAAGATTTCGATACAATTATCAATTGGGCTGATTGCTGCAAAATGTTTTACATCTCCGATACCAAAAAATTTGAAGATATTGTCATGAAACAATATTTTAAAACCACAAATATTTAGTCATTCTATAGACAATTAAGAATATATGGGTTTAAAATTAAAAGAAATTCTAACTGTTAAAAAGTATTTCATCACATATATTTTGCGAAAGGACAATAGTATACACAATCATTTATAACTTTAGATAAAATTTATCTAAAATTTAGAAGGGTAAGTCATTAACAGACTAAATATAAGGAGAGATGTATAATGTGAATCAAACAATGAAGGAAAATAAAGAACTAAAATAGTAACTTAATTTGATGATATAATTCTAAAAAAGATTAGTGAAACAATTTGAGATTCATTAAACTATTTAAAAAGCAATCATAGATAAAATGATGAAGTTAAGCAATGTACTTATATCCATATCAATTGATAGCTGTTGTGCAATGAAAGAATTCATCAGACAATCCTAAGTGAAAAGAAGATAGAGAATTTTGTTAATCTAATAGACGGATTTCAACCTGAATTACTAGTAAGAATAATTAGATTCTTATTGAAAAGGATTGATCCAAAGACTCCAATAAATGAGATTTAATATTCTCCTACTCCATTTCCTTTTAATGCTTAAATATGATTATTCATATAAAATCACTGTAATTGTTGTGTGTAAAATTTGATTATAAAATAATAATAATAATTAAAGTAAAGGTATTAGTGAACAGTAACTACATTCGTTTTTGCATTACACAAATATCATTAATCATTTAAAAGATAACTGCTTACTAAGGTGTATTCGTAGATCCTTAGTTATGGGTTCGTAGAGAATGGATCTCTAGATGTTTTAAATAAACACATTGTTTTGATAAAGAGTATGAAACATACTAGAGTTGATCAAAATATGTAGTTCTATGTATTCTTCGCATTCTTTAACTTAAATTCTGATTCGATATGATTTCGAATAGAGCTCAATTAGTATGTGGTATATTTGAATAAGATATATCCGCAATAAATTGGCATATGTGTTGAGCTGGAGTTCGGTGGATTTTGTGAAGAGTTAGATTGGTATCAGGTATTTGCAATAAGATTTGTTGAGTCTTTTGATCAATTGAAACAACTTAATCTCCTTAATCTCGTGATTATTGAGCAGAACCAGAGACATTAATCCCCAATTGTAGAAGCGCAAATAGTCTTGACGATTGATGCGTATCTGTCGATTGAGATCCTCTCTGACTTAAAGTGGGAATACTTTGGTTTGGGCAGTTGTAATAATTTTCTCTAGAATTACTAGTAAATTCATGTCCTCCACTCCATATCGGCAGACCCTAAGATCGAATCTATGGCATTTATAATTTGCCTTGATTGACTTATTTAGGATATCACTTTGTTTTAGAATGCAATCTGACAATGAGACCTTATCAATCTGGCATTCTCTTAAAAATTGCCTCCCATTACATCCATCGCATTGTTCTTGCGAGAAATTGGGAAACAGCTGGATGAGGTGACTTTGTAAGATATTGATCACTTTATCTTAGTAACTGAGCTTGATAAATGGTTTTTTAATGAGGTTTGGCAATTATTAATCCCAGATGTTTTCACAAACAGTTGATAGGAATTGTTTCCTCGAACTGCAATCGCAAATGTAGATTGTAACCAGAATAAACACTGATCCAGTAATAGCAAAGCTCGTACACATAACTTCAATTTTATGAGTTGATAAAGATGTAATCAAGATTTTCATTATCAGATGTCCGCCCACTTGTATTATTCCATCTAAGAAATCTGAAACGAAATACGAAGCTGCTTGTAACTAAGCGAAACTACTGCCAAAAGAATAATATTCTTATTTTGTCGTCTATTATTCATCAAAATTCATCTGAAGTAGTCCAGACAATAGATTTGATATTACTAGAGCCTGTTTCACGAAATTCTGATTTTAAACTATCAATATTATGGACAACATCATAAATGCTAAAAAAATATAATTTATATAAAGTTGTTGCCATTATTCATGCTAGATTAAATCTTTCATAATTTTAACTACATTCAGGACAAAGCAAAATGATAGGATTCCAAAGTATATTGGTTTTCTAATAGATTTTGTTTTGAGTTCCTAATATTATTTTTCAAGAATTTAATCTTTAAATCTCAAAGTGATGAAATTCATTAATTTATTATTACATATAAATCCAATTAATAAAATTCAAATCTTTCTCTATCCGCACAACACTATATATAATTATTTTATATTGTTGCTGACTCAATATGAATCAAAAATTTACTATATATTTTCAACTATAAAACAATATATATATATATTTCAAAATTTAAAATTTATAACCTGATCAACACCATTTATTCGTATTAATTCCTATTAGCATTGAACACACCACTCATCACAATTTGCAATCAAAAAGAAAACTCTCATGATAAATATGAACATAACAAAGCTTATGAAAAATTCATTAGATTCATTGTCGATAAACTACTGACAACAAAATGCTTGCGATAATTCGAATTCGCAATTGCTATTAACTCTTCCTATAAATTAATGTGTTTTATAGCAATACGAATATTATCAAGAATTCTAATAGACAATATAATTATCATATTTAAAACCTAATTCTATTAATTATGATAAAAGTACAAGCATTGACCGAATACGGACCCCAAATCTTCGAAATCGAGAGTAATTTTCACTATGTTAGAGACTTGGTGGAAAGATGCGCATAAAAACTTAAAAAATAGAATGTTCGACTTTATTATGACAAAGATTGCCAAAGAGAGATTGGATCTGATTAGAGGATTGAACAAGCAGGAATCAACTAAATTATCTTTGTTAAAATAATAGAAAATGAATTTGAATAGTCGTCGCAGTATGGGGATGTAGTATGTTGGTTCATAAGAGATGGAGTAGAATTAGAATAAGGAGTTCAATTAAGATCAGACTTTACATTTGAAGAAGTAAACAAATGAAATATCTAGGTTTTGGATGATGCGATATCCTAGAATATAATACAAAGCATGCCATAATAGATCAAAGTGACAAATCACAGACAATCTCAAATCCTGGCAACTTTAATGGAAATGCAGATGTTTAAGCTCATTGACCCAAATACGAGAGACCCTCAACTAACTATCCATTTTACAACTGACGGAAAAGATCCAATAGTAGAAAATACTCAATTTAATTAATAATTCCCTTAGAAATTTCCAGTATTTCAGGGACCAAGGAAGGAATTCTAACCTAATATATCAAGAAACTAAAATTTTTAGTAACAATTGCCAAATCAATAACAACAGTCATTTTAATAATTCTAATAATTCAGCAACAATACAACCTTCTAGCCACAACCCTTAAATGCTACTGCAATGTAAAACAAGGGTTAGATTCATAATACAAGCTTTCAACCCCAGCTAAATTTCCCACAACAAAAACCCTAAAATTTTAACAACAATATGTAGCAATCTCAATAGATTCTTCAATCTAATATCATAGGGCAATCTGCTATAATTTCTTAAATGTAAAACAACAAGCCATTCTAAATGAATCAACCAAATTCAAATTAAAAGCCTCAATAAGGTCAATAACCGGGGTTTCCTCCTACTTTCACTCCTAATACTATTCAACCTGAAAAAAGTCCAAATCAATCATTACAAAAAAATTAAAATAACCCATTCATGCCACCTCCCAAAAATCCAAATTTAGGATTGCCAAATCAAAATAACCCATTATAATAATAATTCTAAAACAACTATCAGTAACAACATCTTGAGTCTGAAGCAATTAAGAGTCTTGAACAAATGGCTCAAAAGACTGTCGATTCAACTTTTATCTTGGGAAATTTTGTCTTTACAATCGATTAATAAGGAGGGTATGTAAGTTACAAACACATAAATAATAAAATAACTGGTTATTTTATTGAACCAAAAGGTAAAGAAATTAGTTTAAAAAATGAGAATAACCTTAAATGGTAAACTAGATTAGGAGTCTAGATAGCTTTAAATGATAATTTAGGGTTTGTAATTAAATGGAAAAATAATACTTATAATTCTATATTAATGAACTTTTTGTGAGGGAAATCAAATTGATGATAAATATGCAATAATATTAATATATGAAATATATTTTAAAGTACAACCTCTCTTTTGTAAGTTAAATAAACACTAATCCAACTTTTAGCCCTAATTTAATTACATTTCCATTAAACTTGACTTCATCTAATATCAAGTACTTCGTATCAATATTTGGGTTATTTTATACTATTGAATAATATCAATAGAATTGATCGAATAATGAAATTCATTTAGAAGTATTTAATATGAAAATTAGAATGCTTTTACTTGAAACATCTTAAATTATTTGATTAGTAAAATAACACAATTTGATTTATTTTGGTATTAAACTTATCACAAAATCTAAAATCTAATAACGTAAAGTAGAGATGTAGAGATTCTCTAAAAAATAGCTTTTGAAGGTTGGGTGATTGAATTTGGATGTAGCCTTGAGGGAGAACAACAAAATCTGAAATTCCCAGTATTAGGATGATAATGGAAAAAATTAGAAGCAATGATTATTATTAAATTATGAATAATTTTACACTGAAATTTAACAATCCAGAGCTTGAACTTCAGTATCAGGAAGAAAAAATTCAAAAAATAAGAAAGAGGGTATTTTATCTCTTTATGGCTTTGGGTTTGATTCTGAATATTTCTAAAGTGATACTTGATATTGTAGAATTCAAGCCATTCACTAAATATATCAATTATACTCTGATCGGTATCATCATTGTCCTAGTTCCGGTGAGCATTAAATGGCCCATTCACATTAGATACACTCTGATGGTGGCTAATATTTCAACAGCTTTGTTGTAGATGAATTTTACTGATACCACTTCACCCTAGATGTACTATAGTTACGGAAGCAATTTTACATAATTCTAGACTTGTGCTTACTTTGTTTCAGATTTTTTGGATAGTGTTGTTCAGGTAATTTGTCATACATTAATAAAATCGTCAATCACGATCTACTAAACAGAGAGTGTCGATCCACAGGATATTTTGATGAGTGTGGGAGCAGCAATAATAATTTCCATGGTTATTTACATTAGTGATTCCCATTCGCGTAAGGAATTTCTGTAAAATGTTTGCGAGAATATATGGTGTCAGCAATTACCGGAGATTATAAAGAAACCGTATTTCCAAATCACTTACAATAAGAATTTGTTATAATATAATGTGCTTAGTTGGAATGAGGTTGAAAGGTTCCCCTCCTATTGTGATTAGATGTGTTAGGGATGTAATGTGAGAAGTTTTCTGAGAATGTACAAAAGCGACGACAAAGAGTTGGGCTACTAACTACAGGAGCTCATTACAGGCACAATTAATGTGCACAATGGAAAATATAAATTTAAAATCCGAATCATAAATATTGGTGTTGATTACACACATAAAATTATTATATTAGATAATACACTAACTCAGAATACAGATCTGACTCTAATGATGTCAATCAAAAAGTCTATGAGCTTTTACATTAAACAATCATCAAACAAATCTTGTCAAGTCTTTTTTAATTGGGGAATGATGTCACTACTTCTAATTAATGATTTTACCATTCAGGAAATATAACTTTATAAATTAATTAAAAAGTTGAATGCTATTTACCAGAAATAAAAATAATTCGATTTCTTTGTGAAAGGAGATCAAACCATCGTATTCACAGGCTATATCAATTTAATTCGCATATACATGATTCAAGTTTACCAGATTCTCACTTAGATATACGAGCATCAAGAGAAAAAGAGGAAACGACACTCTGAAAACAAACCCATCCCCATCTTCTTATCCATCTACAAAGAAACAGACACCATTTGTATCCAATTGCCCCCGACTCTTAATTACCTCCTGTTTATATGCAAATACACCAAGAACATTTTCATCTCCTAAATTGAATAGACTATATTGGCAGGTCCAATATAAAATGATTTAAAGATCAATTTCAATACTTGTGTACCTTACAAAAAAATTTGATTTTTAATAAATTAATTTAGTATATAACAAATTAATTCTCATTATAATTTACTGAAATTACCCGAAAATTCCAATGCTTCTATTATATCGGAGTGTTGAGGATATTTCTTATTCAAAATCGAGTGATTGTCAAATGATCCTAATTTAAGAGAGGAAGAGATCATCTGATTAAGATTTAGCTTCTTTAATGTTTCGTGATTGCAAAAGGCCACTGGAGTCAATCCATCAGTATTCATTTTGTTCAAATTGCCTCCCAATTGGATGAATCTCATAATCAGAGACACTGAATTGCTCTTAAACACAAAATGCATAGGAGTCATGCCATCGAAACTGGGAATATTGATATTGCTTCCAATTTTTAATAAATAATTGCAAATGGCTTCATCTCCATTCTCAGCAGCATAAGAAAGAGGAGTTCTGCCTAATTCGTCCTTCTGATTGGCATCTTCAGTTGTATACATAAAGCCTGATTGAATTGCAATGTTTAGACATCGTTTTTTAGCAGCCTAAAACAACTTTCTAGTCTTCAATTTCATATCAGATTGTATTCGTTATTTTGAAGAATAAATACTTGATTAACTCTTTTATTTATTTAGAGTCAAACTTTTAATAACATTATTCACTTCTAATTCTATCCTTTCGATTCTTTCTGGATTCTTCTTTACAAAAGATGCCAATACATTCTTTTTTAATTCCTCCTACTCTTATTTCAATTGCTTCTATTTCTAATACTTCTTTCTTTGAAGATAGGCTTTAATTGCTGCCTTAATCTTATTAATTGCAGTCACTTCTATTTCACTAGTAATCCATTCATGAGGATTCTTGTGTCCACTAATTTTCTATTGATTCTAATCAACCAAAGCCTTAGAAACAAACTGTCTCTCTGTCTATGGACCACCACTAAGATATCTCTTAAACTCAGACTATCTTTTAGTACTGGAGGATCTAACTTTGTACTTTTATTCCTCCTTAATGGCTCTCTCAGTTTGAGACCCAGGATTCTTAACAATTAACTTTGAAGGAGGATGAAATAACCGTTAGACGAATTCCGTCGACTTCATTTCTTTATTGATTTTAAACAACAGAGATTCTTATTTTGGAATATTCCTAGTAATAAAATCATGAGTAATCCCAAGATTCTTTTCATTTCTATACTTTTTAACTTTTTTCATTAATTTCTCTTTGAATTTCAGAATAACTTTATTGACACCCTTCTGCTATTAAATATACCAATCCTTATCTAATTCCTATTATAACTTCAATGAATGTTTCCTTTGCAAATCTTTAAATACTGTAACCATCTTCACTTTAACCTTCTCGAGTTCCTTCTAACTCTTCTGCAATTACATCTTCCTCAAGACACTGTAATGAGTATCCTTCACTTACTATTCGAGATTTGCCCCAATCTTTTTAAGCCAAACTTAGCGAATTGATTTAACTTCATTGGATATATTTGTATATGTTGCCAATATACATTCAGCTATGTTGAATTCAATTTCATCTATAATATTTTTATCCAAATGAGATATGGTCTTCTATAGAAATTCCTTATCTGAACAACTATTCAATAATTAGGAAGTAGTGGCTATGAATTTGACTTCTTCTTCTGTTAAACACCCTCCTTCAGTATATTTTGTGAGTAACCTGTCTCTCTGTTGATTCCAAACACTCTACCCTACATTATCTAAAATGGCCTTCTAAATAACAGGATACAATCCCAAAACCTTATGTGATCTTCCTTTCAACCTGTACTATTTCTCTAGATCCTCATTCCATTGTGTCTTAAAGTCCTTATACTGAGACACCAATTACACTTTTGGATTAACTGTGATCACTTCTGAAATAGATGACTACCTCCTTCTAGTAGATGTAGCACATGTCGTACTTGTCCTGCTTATCTGTGATGCATTGGACTAGCTGAATGTCCTATTTCTTTTCTCCTATTACTATTTGGCTTGAGTTGCAGTTATACTATCAATTAAAGCATATTGCAGTTTCTTCCTCAAATGCTCATATTTGGATTTGACATTCAACCATTCAAATATATTGATGTTCTGTTTGTTCATTCTTTGTAATTCATTCCATTCATCCACTCTATACGAATGCATTCTTAATTCAACCTTAGACAACAAACCTATTTAATCATAATTATACTTTGCATCTATTCCTTTATGTGTTTACACATTGCTCTTATTACAAAATTCTGTCTCTCTTCAATAGAACTATATTGTTCCAATTCCTGTATTGAGAATCCAAATTAGTGACAAAATTACTGTAATTCCTTATTATGCACCATCTCTTAAATTAAATAAGCATAACTCTCCACCATCTAATGTTTACCAGCTTTGCTTCTACCTGAAGACATAGAAATTCCAGAACTCTGAGTCATTTGATGAATATGTTGTATCTCACTCAATTGTTGCAATCTCATCTCAAAATCCTTTTCATTTTTCAGTTCTCCAAATACTTCCTCATCAAACAAAGGTTCCGATGACTGAGTTCTTCTTTATTTCAATGAAAAATTCATAGACTGCTTGATCATCCTAATAAAATATACTTTTCTAATTTATAATAAATATTTAATTATTATTATGGAATTATGTTAACTGCTACCAAATTAGTTCAATAAAAGCTTAAATCTCTCTTCAAAATAAATTATCCGAATTGGCAAATTAGTTCACAACTCCCCATTTCTAAATTTATAGCATCTTCATCTTAGTCATAATAACATATCAATTTTGGATGGCATTGAATAATTCAAATAATTAAAAAGCCTATCTCTATCAAATAATCAAATTGTTGATATCAATGAACTTCAAAAAGCTAATAAGAATCTCTAATACTTATCAATTCACACCAATCCATTAACTGTTTATGATTCTCATGATGTGTGTTATAATTTGTTTCCAAAGCTTAAGAGACTAGATGGAATGACAGTTGACATGAGAATAGTCAAAGCTCAAAGAATCCAGGCTGAAATTGTTTCGAGATGGCTCGTACCATGGATATAATAACTTAATATTTAGATGTTAAACATATAAAAAGTATTATCCTTAAGAAGTGCAACTAAAGAGATTGATCAACAGTCACAATTAAGGGTTGTCTCTAACGATCTCTTGTTACAAATTGATTGGCAATTCATTGATAGAATGTTACCATTCCTCAATTCATCCTCTCTTCAGAACTTATCCAAATTACTTCAATCAATATCATATAGTTAAGAACTTGATTAAGCATAAACCAAAGAAATGAAGAAGATACATCATGAAACATTTCAAGATATCATCAAATTGCAATCTTCCAATCATTATGCTGCATTTATTGACTACTTGATAAGATTAAATGATGGAGATAAAACTAATTATTATAAAGTATTCCTCAAAATCCAAAAACCACAATTGCATATCTCCTCTGATTTATACCCGAAGGATAATGATCTCATACCACAAGAAGAACCTCACAAAATAGCTTAGACAGTTCCGACATTTCTCAAGGATAAAATCAAATGCTAAGAAGTCATTTCAAATACATACAGAAAACAAAGGACAATACCCAATTACGAGAAAGAGTTGTTTTTCCAATACTTTCCAGTCTTTCCTTTTCGTCAAGAATACGTGTAATCGATATTGTAAATTGCCACCTTAAAGTTAACTGAGCTCAAAAATTTAGTATCCTAAGTTGCATATCTAAAATAAAATGCTATTCAAAGTGTTCCTTAGAGTGTTCGTACTCTCAGGAGGAAATAGAAACCATTTTAGAGAGTATCCTCTGAAGAACCAGCACCTTAGAAATTACTCTTAAGACCATCCAAGTTTGAAATATCTCCCAGAGAAGAAGAATAAGTTATTAATATAGAAGAAGAGAAAACAATTACTAAGAGTTATTCAGATGTTAAAGGGGAGATATTAAGATAACAAAAAGCTTAATCTTTGGTATCAACATTAAATAAAGTATTTCAAAAAAGAATCAAAAGATATTTCCGAAGAATTAATAATGTAGAATAAGAGAATACTAGATTTTTAGATTACCCTTAAGTTGTCTATTTATCAAGTTTATTTTATGCAATGAAAAGAGTCCTAGAATAAAATAGACAGAAAAGACAGAGGTAATAGAAAAGGAAACTAGTAAGTCTTGCATTCCAGGGTCTTAAACTATATAAATATATCAAATTGAGGGAATCTAAATAGATTAACAAAGGATATCAAATTCTTTAAAAAGTATATTTTAAACAACTGATTGATGGAATTAGGTGTATGAAACATTTACTTTCACCTTTCATGGAAACAGTGAAAAATTAACCATTTAAATTAGTCTTAAGATAGGCGCCTTTTTAAAAAAATAACAAAACCATTAAATTAAAAAATTATAATGATGAAAATAATGAAAATCTTAAAATATGCAGTGTTTGTACCTATTAGTTTTGATTTATATAAAATTGATTTTAATTTATTTATTATTTACTTAACAACAAACTTATTTCACATAAAATACTATCTCTTATTTAGAGTGTTTTCAATTAAAAATGAGTATATTTCAATCTGAATCTTAGTAGTGTAAAATATACATAAAATATAATATCAGATTTGAATGAAGAATGGTAATTTTTAAATTGATTGAATGTTCAAACAACACTTGATTCATATTCAAAAAATTATGAACAAACTCAAAGTTGAGCATTCATTCTTATTAGAGCAAAACATTAATTGACCAGTTTAAATTACAATATACATAAAACTACTTAAAAAATTATTAAAAAAAATCACCCATGGCAGGGATTGAACCTGCAGCCTACAGCTTAGAAGGCTGTCGCGCTACCAATTGCGCCACATGGGCAACGTTAATATATCAGTTTCAGAAAGCTAGATAATTAGCTGTAAAATAAGCTCAAAAAAATTATACATTAATGAAGTATAATAAATTTTCATAAGAAATTTTGAATTGTTTTATAATTTAGAATAAATAATTTCAAATTTTTCAATTAATTTTTAGGTAAGGAAAAAGAAGTGGGGAAAGCTAAGGACTTGTTGGACCTCCTATATTTTTAAGTTCTTCAAAAATATTTGAAGCAATCTCAGGGTTGAATCCTTTAGATACAGATATGAGTGTATCAAAAAAAACAGTACAATCCTTAGAGTCCTCATCACACCTAAAATAAAACTAAATTTATAATTTTATTACTTCATATATGCCTTTAATCTATTTACAAATCTGTAGATATATCTTCGTGTGGATATTCAATTAAGCTTAAATTACCAATTACTATTTTTGTAGGAGTTTTAACTCATTATTTAATTTTTTATTTTCTTCACTTAAACTACTTCTGTAATCTAAGTGACTTTATAATTTTTCTCTCTTCTCTAAGGCTATTAATTTTTCTCTAATAGATAAAATATTATTGTATTACATATTTCCTTTTTAAAAATTAGAATGGTGAAATTATTTTTGTTTTTTCTCATTTTATTTCACTTTAAATCCATACTGACTCAATTGCCTATAAAACGCTGAAATTTTTGTTGAATTAAAATTGAAGGGCATTACCTTTTCCTGAAATAATTCAGCAGAAATAATTAAAATTGAATTCCCATCCTAGCTCCATTAGATACAATCTTCATGTTAATTTGACTAACATCATTATTGTAATACTACTTAAAGAATACGAAAAAGTTTTTGTAGGAATTTTTTCTTATTTCCCATCTTATAAAATATAATTAATTAAATTATACTTGGAATTAAAGATTAGATACATTCAATAATAAAATCTTAATATTGGAATAAAATAGCAAAATTTGGGTAAATTTAGATAAATTACTTGGAATTATACATTCTACGTCGTCTTGTAATAAGAAGAAGTGAAACCAAGTATAATTACTCATCATTTAAATATAAAAATAATTAATTATTGTTATTTCATTGCTTATTTTGGAAATTGGTTTATAATGACCTATGTATATTCCATTGTTTTTATAATACAATTACACTATCTAATTGTTTATAATAAAATCAATAGAACTTTAGCAAGAAGGACAAAAAATATTGAATAAAAATGCTTACAAGTTAATATTACAAATAAGATACTCAAAAAGGAGTTTCTTCATATTCAAGTTAATTTTAATTTGGGAAGAAATAGAAATCAGGATGTTACGCAGATGTTTCGAATTGTTATAATATTAAATTAAAGTCCGGTTTTTTTCTCAATTATTTCAATAGTATTTCTAATTGTTTCCTAAATAATGAATTCAAAAGGATGAGCTTATTTGGTAAAGTGGATTAACGAATTTAGTTGGTTGTGGTTTTTGTTCCGCATGTACATTTGATTACATTTTATTTTTTAACATCTACTTACTTCTCAATAAGACTGATCATGCATTTCGAATGGTATGAATGCCCACAAGTATCAAGATAGATTGATTCCTATTTTAAGTTGACTTTGCATATATGACATAGAGTGCCGCTCTCTTCAAATTATTCAACAGGCTATGTAGAGATGTGTGATTTTAGATTCTTGATTCCTTTTTGTGCATTACAACCCATTATAAATATAGTGTGTTAATATAAATAATATAAACTGCTTATTAATTGATTTAACATATCTATTCTAAATCAAGTACATTATTTAACAAAAATACTTTACTGAGTTTCACATAATTAATCATTAATATAATAAAATTAGCATTTCAAACATTGCCTTATGTCAATTTTTAATTCAATTAATTTCTTAATTTATTCATCAAAAATATGGTGCATTATTTATTATGAAATTTTTATCTAATTGATATCGTTGAATTATAACTATGTGTGACATTCTGTGCAATACTAACTTTACATGTCTTTAAGATTCTCTTCAACTACTTTCTAAAAAGAATCTTTTAGATAAAAATGACCATTATGAATTGTATTTACATCATGGTTAATTTCATTTTTAATACAATTCACATCAACTTAAGGGTTAAGTAATTATTCCATTTATTTAATCTTTATCTAAAAATCCATTTAATTTGTTTAGAGTTATCTCAACACTTCTAGTGGCTGATATAAAAATTGATAAAATTGAGTTTCCATTAAATTTAGTTTAACTTCAATTTCCTTTTATTATTAGATAGATGATTTATTTATCCAATGCTTTATTTCTTATAATTATACTGTGAGATATTATTAAATTTATTGAGTTGTTTACTAAGTTTCCATTTGTTATTAACTACATTCTGTCTTATATTTATCCGAGATTTATGAACCACTCATTTTATTCTTATTTTCTTGTATTTCCGAAGGTTGACATTTACTTTTTACGAATTGATATTTAACAAATTTATCCAGACGAGTTAAATTTTTATTTATTTCATCAACACTAACGGATAAATTCTAAATTTCATTTTCTACAACTGAATTTGATTTTTTGTCAGCTATAATTGAAAACTAACATAAATTGCTATCATCTTCTGGATCATTCTTTACCTTAATTCTCCTCTCTAATTTCTCAATTCTATTATTTTGATTATTCAAAATTGGAAGCAAGTCTTATTTAATCAATTCTACAATTGTTGCCACTTTCCCATCAATTTTCTCTGCTTTTTTTGGTTATTATCTCTCTGAGCTTACACTTGTAATATTCTCTCTAATTGATGTATTAATTTTCCTTTTCAGTTCCAAATCAATATATTTCACAGCTTTTGTTTCTTAGATTTAATTAGACTTGATTGCACTCAATATTTTGCCATGCTCTACTTTCATATCTTGATGTAGATTTGGAATGCTTCTAATAACATTATTTTTTAATTTATTCATTATTAGAAAATAATATAATAACCTGGAAAATTGTATGATAGTTTTAAATATGTTGATTGTAATTTATTCAAAAAAAACAACATTCTTAAAAGACTTAATATACTATCGTTTTATATGATATTATAATATTTAAAAGGAGGATAGTGATTTTGATAATTTATTATTTCTATTTGAGTTTTTCAATTTGATTTTATATTTGAAATTAAAGGTAGAATTAGAGTTAATGATATTTAAATGAATTTTAATCTCCTATTTAATGCAGTTTATTATTAGAAATAATACTTGATTACATGAGAGTAGGCGAATAGAATTATAAATAAACTAAAATACATTGTAATTTTATTTTAAAAATAAAGTTGAGTAGAAATATTGGTTAAATCACAATATTTTAGGGGATTGATTAATTTTGTAGAATTCATAAGATGTAGTGCATTTATGAATTAATTTAATGACATCTTTTGTTGTATCAAATATTAATTCATATTATTAAAATTAGAGAATTTAGAAGTTTATGGAGTGCAATGAAGAAAGATCATCTTAGAATGATTAACCAAATAAACTTGGAGGATCAAAAAAATAAAAGAAGAAAAATGAATATGATTATCATAGAAAAAAGAGAAGAGGGATGGATGGATCAAATAGTAAAAAGTCAGGACAAAGGTTCACTGAGGAGGAAGATCGGCTGATTCTGTAGTTAGTATTGAATAACGGTCCTAAATTCTAAAAGATTCACAGACATTTTCCTGGGAAAACTTTGGCTATGGTGAAGAATCGATATTATAAGCATTTACGCTTTAGATGGGAATTACTAGGACAGTATAACTATTTTACAATTAGAAATTATAAGCATTTAAGTGTTCCATAAGAATAATTAGAAACTTTGTGTGAGTAATAGAAGAAAGTGAGCAATATTCTAAATGCTGAGAAAGATGATCTAATTACCCAGATAACTTCACGTACTACATTACTATCGAATGCTCGTATGTTAGTTGAATACATAGTTGAATAATTGTTATGATATAAAAGTTAGTCTATTATGATTCTGACAATAACTCTAATCCTCCTCTAGAACCAAAGAAACCTTAGATGAAAATAGTCATTCTTCATAGTCAAAACCAGTGTCATACACATAACTGATGAGAAAGCTGTCAAAGAAGATCAGCAATCTGAATCTGAATCTGATGATTATAAACAAATTCCAATTTGCTTCAAGGAGACCAAGAATGAAAGACTGTATCTCTAATTACTGTAAACAAAATACAAATAAGATTTTGAATAAGCTACAGTTATGAAATAGTTTTAAATTCTAGTACCTCCTGGTATAAATTTTATAGAAACAGAATTTTAGGCAATATTGCTTTTCTAACAAAAATGAAAGAGAAGAACAACCTTAAATTTAATAGATTGATATAGGATGAAATCTATATCTGAGATTCAAAAGGCTATACATGAAAAAGGACTATGAAATTAATAGCAAGGAGAAGGGACTCATAATTAATTAATTTGAGAGGCGTGAAGATGAAAATATTCCAAATAAAAAGGAACAAAAATAACAAACAAATGAGATTATCCTGAGATTATTGAAAATTCATATATTTTTGAATAAATTTAATAAAGAGAAGATTAACACCTTTTAATTATAGAAACTTCTTTGAAATGCAAGAAATATGAGTTAAGAGATATTCATAGATAGTCATTTGTTGTTAATGAAAAAGATAAATAATTCTAACTAATAAATCATTATTAACATTGAGGTAAATACTTGAGAGCTATTTTTATTGAATAAACCTCACTAGGATCCATTCTAGCTTAAGTAGATAACTCATGAAATTCATTTATGTTTATAGATTTGATAGATCCATTTTACATTTACAATTTTATTGTATCTGAATTCAATATGTGTTAAATCTAATCATATTATTAATAAAGAATGTACTTTTATTTTAGACTATGCTATGTATCCTTCAAAACATTATCCTAATTTTGTGTTTTTCAAAGCAAAATTTCCATGTTCATTATTAATCCTTTGTTTTTAATTCCTTTCCCTGATTGCATTACAAACTTGTTTTGAATAAGTATAAAACTTCTACAGTTTTTAAGGTAGTTCATTTAATCTATATTGTTTTGGTTTTTACCCCTTTTTTTGAACCAAAACCTATCATATTAATATAAGAATTACTTCTTATCCATTTGGTTAAATAATAAAGTTTAAATCTTTATTGCATACATCCATTTAAAATCTGCCATCTTCATGTATTTACAATAATCCATTCTTTGTCTATAACTTACATTGTTTTAAATCCCCTAATTTTATCGGAGATTCATTATAAACATTAATGGTTGAAGAATTATGTTTTATTAGTTTGACACTGTTGTCTCTTATGTTTTCCTTATTGCAGTTTTCTTTGTAAATGTTTTCTTTATTGTAATGATTACAGCTTGTGTTATTAGAATGAGATTCTTAAGGCAAGAAAAATCGAGGAACATTCTCCAGGTGATAATTTTATTTTAACCCTCCTTTGCTATTGGTAGTTTAACCAAATAAGAGCTTCTTTCCTCCTAATTGTTATTATTTCTATATAAAAGAAGCTACAATTTATTATTTCTCCAATCCAATCATCGAACAAGTAGATCTATGTTATTGTTGTTTTACAAAAGGACTCAAATCTAGAAGTTACTTAATTTATGAACTAGATTGATTCCTACTCTAAACCTTAGGTGGGATAGATTCAATAAAAAAAGGATGTTTCATTATCTTTTCAATAGAGTATCTTTAATCGGCATCCAAATTTAATAAATTGATTATTAGATCTTTAAAGACCTCACTGAAATCTTTGGGTAAGTCGAAATCGCCAATTTTGACTCTTCTCAAAACTTCACCCAAAGGAGCATTCTTTTCTTCAAAGGGTCCATGTCCTTTAGCCATAGCATATAAGCAACATCCCATACTCCACAAATCCACTTTCTTTCCATAAGGTTATTGGTTTATGATTTCAGGACTTATATAATTAGGAGTTCCACATAGAGTGTTTCTCTCTTCTTCATCGTTGTTTAATTTTACAGCCAATCCAAAATCTGCAATTTTAAGGGTATCATTTTAGATCAATAAGTTACCTAATTTGATATCTCTGTGGATTATATTGTGAGTATGTAAATACTTTAAGCCTTCTGCCAATTCTCTGCCATAATATCGTATTTATTATTCGGTGAATGGTTCCTTTTTTACCAACTAATAGATATCTGAATCACATAATTCCATTATGAGATAACTGTTATCAGCATCTTCAAATATGTCTATTAGATGCACTATATTCTTATGATGTAATTCTTAATGAATAGTAACTTCATTTTATATTTTTTGCGCATTCTATACAGTTTTTTGTATGATCTTGGCAGCCATTTCTACTTTAGTTAAACGGTTGACAATTTTACACACAAAACTACCTGCTCCACGACCTATTGGGTTCTTGATTTGATAATTCTTCCTAATCAAAAAATAATACACTTACTGCCAAAGAGTCTGATTTCATTATTAACAACTATAATTTTAACAGATTTTAATATTAATTAACTAGAATTATAACACAAATTCATATACAAAAATACTGTGATTACAATCTGTCTTCCATTAACAGACCCTTTTATTATTTCATAATTTAAATTTAAATGAAATTGAGTTTTAGTGAATGCAGTTTGCTTTCCTCAGTTAAAAATGGCGATTTGGGTCTCATCACTCATCTGATAGAGGAATTAGCTAAAAGTGTGTCGACATTTTTACAAATTTAGATGTACATTTATATTAATACAAAAAAATAGAAAATCTGATAACAATTTTAGGTAACAACTTTATACATTCACTTTTTAATTCATTATCCAAGCTCTCCAAGGTCAGAGTATTGACCCTCAAATAGCCTCCAATCCTCCTTAGCAATAAAATATAATTGTCGAAATTATCAAAGCCATCAAGGAATTTAAAATTGAATTATTTGATCTTGCAGCATAGAACCCAAATATGTCATTCTTTGACTTTCTAGTTACGTAGCAATTCAACGATCTTTATGATATTCTCACTGCCTCTGAAAAACAATTGAATGGACAATTAGAACCAATCACTCCCAAAAAATTAAAATAAGAAATGCCCTCAAAACTATTTTCTGAACTCTACTACCAAAATGATATTGTCAAAAGAAGATCAATGTCTGCCAGTCATTCAACTTCATAAAAATTGCTCTAATAAAATAACATTGAATTAGATTTCGCGTTGCTATAATAATTTGTATACAACCAAATAGAACACAAGTAGGATTCACCCAAAGCTAAAAATAAATAAAACCCACAACTCTTTTCATTTGACTCTACCTTTGTCAGAGATTTGCCTCTCTCAAAGTATAATGCCATTAGCAATTTCGATGAATAATTCAATTTCACACTCTAAAAATCTCAAGAAGATGCTATTTAAACTTCAAGATTCGAGAGTCAAAGAATCGATGAAGAAGAATACTTTGGCACAGATCAATCTAGTTCTGATATCAACCTAACACTCGATAGATCATATAGAGATTGGGATGTTAGGTTTAGATAACTGGCAGAAAAAGAGAAATAAGTTGCCTAAAGAGAACTTAAGACCATCATTTAAGAAAAGCATCTCCTCAATAGAACTAGAAGTTAAAGAATGATCAGTCCCAATAGCAAAGAATAAGATCATGACCTGATGAATAGGCCTAATCATGAATCCAAACCATTTTTAGATGCCAAATCAACCCTTAAATTCAAATAAAAATAAAAAGTATTAAATTATTAATAATTAGAAAACTAGCATTAATGAAAGACCTGATGTATTTATTATTTGAAATTAATATTAATTCATTCATCATTTTCATAACTAAATATCATCTTAATATCATTCAATGATTTTTTCCATAATTATTTGAAATGAGTTTTAAATTTTTTGTAAATTGTAATTTTATATTTATTAATAAAATTGATTTGGAAATTTAACATTCCGACAAAAAAGCAACGTTTTTAGAAATGGTATTTTTTTTTATGAGCTAAAAGATTAAAATTTCTTTAGAACAATGCTGCTTTGAAATTAATTTTAATTATTATCGCCTTTTTTAAGTTTTTGGGATGGCATTTTAGGAAATTATTATTATTTTTTTTACAAAAAAATACATATAATTACTAAATTAATTATATTCAAAGGCAAAAGTCATTAAATTTCATTTCAATATGTATTTATGTCCTTGCTCAATACTGAAAAGATAAATTTGAAATAGATGATTTTTGAATTGTATCCATATATTAGACATTGAAATATTCCATTATTATTTTAAAATGAATAAATTTACATTGTTTTTCTTAGATAAAAGTACTGAAGCTCGCTATTAGGCCCAGTCTCTCTAGAGCATTAGGATGACACATTTTAATTTACTTTCTAAAGGTTATTTGATCACTTTTATTTTCAGATGCCTAACCTTTTTATTAAGTAGCGATTTCAATAGGTTTTATCCAAACTTATCTATGCTGTTATTCTTCATCGCAGCAGAGATTTTTTTGTCCAAACATAATTTAAGCTTGAGAATCCTTTCAATAATAGCAAATCATCTTTTGACAATATTTTTTTATTTATTTGATGAAGAAACTGATGTTGCTATTGCACATTTAAAAGGAGTGAACTAGATGGGATCTAACTTTTTAATAACGATGGGAAGTGAATTTCCTGAAGCATTAATATAGGTGATATCAATTACAGCAATCAGAATATATTTTGTCTTTTAATAATCAAAAACACTTAGTTTATATCCAATCTCAAGCCTGATCTTAGTTTCTGTGTTCTACTTATTTTTTCATTATAAATACAATGATGCAATGAGAGCCTAATTTATGCTAATTTAAAAAGATCGATAATGGGAGACAATCTTAAGATAGCTAATCGATAAGCAATCTTATGTCATTTTAAATTTCAATGAAAATTCATTTTAGTTCGAATTTCTAATGGCAAAAAATTTTCAAAATAGATGTATGAAAAATAAAGAAGAGATTTTAAATTTCTTTAAAGAGGCACAATATAATAAAAAATCCTTAAATGATTATTTATATGATTAGATGAAAGAATATCAAACAAAAAGAATAGATATTTTTAGAAAAGAAATTTTTGTCAAGAAACATCGAGAGTTGGTAAAATTAGAATTTTCCATTTTTTTTGGAAATCAACCAACCATTTTATTGATTTTCCATAAACCTAAATTGTAGTTATCAAATATTGTAGGGAATATCAATAATAAAGTCCTATTTTAATACTTAATAAAATTATTAAATTGTTTTAATAAAAAATATAAAACTAACCCATCTTATATTCACTTTATGAAAAAAATTCGCTTGATTGAGATTTATCAGAATTTACAAAATAGTTGGGAATTATAAGTTTAAGAAATTAACCTTTAAACAGTAGTTTCAGAGTAGATAAAATATTTTCCTAACATCATCCTTAAGATTAACGCAAAGACATAAATTACCTTTAAGACAAATAAAGATATAATTAGTTTAATTTTGTTTAAGATATTTTCAAATACAAATACTTCCCTAATCAAATTGAGATACACTTCTCCAGAGGAAGAAGAGAACATTCAACTCCGTTTTCATGGTAACTTTAATTGTAAAGTTTTACTCTCATTTTTTACCTTCCATAAAGAACATATCAGTAGATTTGCCATGTTTACAAATCTTACAAATAACAGTAATTGTTTTAATATATTCTAGGTATTGATCTTTATTTTGAAAAGAATCCATACATACCATTCACTGGCAAAGAAAAATAATAATAAATACTTGATAATTGAATTTGATTAAAAATAAATATTTATGGCATACTAAATTATTAACAAATATAATAAAGGATATATGTATTTATTAAGAAATAGGTCATTCTTCAATTTAAGTTAGCCTAAAAGGGATGTAGGCTTATCTATTCAAAGTAATCTAGATACTATGATTATTTTTAATCTGAAAGCGATTAATGATAGTCAAAAACTAAACGTTATACTCTTCGATTAGTTTACAAATTTTCTATGTGTTGAAATTCCCACGAAGAATTAACTTAATAGTTTATTCAGATTCCTAATAAAAGCGAAATGAGATAGTTTTGTTTTGATTAGCAACTTTAATGGCTGCCTTCGAATAGTTTTAAATAATTAAAATAAGAGCACCTAATATACATGGTATTGTTTTTAATTCGATTTCGTGATATAGAACATCAAAGTTAGAATCCTAGATGAGATCAAATTTTTCTAGAAATTTCTTTAAATTAATAGAATTCACCGCATACTTTCCTTTCTCTATCCTATACAATAGAGATTCTAACCTTAAAAACCTCTAAAGCTTTTGTAGTTTACTGAAATTGACATTATTATTGTTATTGGTTATTACTCTCTATAAAATCCTAGAGTACAAAATGATTTTATTATAAAGTAAATGTAGATTTATGTTTTTTGATTATTAAACAGGTTCAAATATAATTAAAATTGTTGGTTGATTCGCAAAATAAATGGAGTATTTAAGTTTAAACAGGGAGAGTTAATTCTTAATAAATATGATTGATGAATTAGTGGGATTGCCATTGCTTTGATGAAGTTGGATTTATTCAAAAAAATAATGCTCTAAAGTAGATTTTTCAATTTGAGATTCCCTTAGAAATTACTTATAATCTTGATTGTAAAAATATTATTCACAATTGCGTTAGGATGCCAACTTAAATTAATAGGTTTCTGAGATAAAGGTTAGAATGAAATATGATTGATTCTCAATAATACTTTCCAACACGTTCTCCCATTTTTATTCAACCAAGGTTAATAGATATTATGACCTTATTGCTTTGTGGTGAAAATATAAATAATAGATCATTATTATCATTACTAATACGCTACCGGATAATACTTCATATTCATTCTAAGTGCTATATAAAATAGTAAAGGTCCCTTTAGCCAGTTATATAAAGATGATTTAAAATACCGCTTCAGGAAAATCACCAGAAAATACTATTATGAGTGAAGTAAAAGCACTATTTCCTCCTCTTAAATGAGAATAATAATTATTAAGAGGCTCCTCGTACATAAATGTTAAAATCGATAATCCACAATTTGCAATAATTAGACTTAATCGTTTACAAAAATAATATTTTGAATAACATCTCAGAACAAGAAGCACAATTACAACTCCTAAATTTACTCCTGTATTAACCCAATCAAAATTAATTATTTTCAATATACACCTTAAAAGAAAACTTATAGTCAATCCTCCAATAATAATATTTTATCCATATGTCTTCTAATCTTGATAGTTTTTTTCGATATTTTTATCTTTAAAGATTAATGTGTATTTGTTCATAAATATTTTAATAAATATATAACTATGCTAAAATGTAGTTTTTATAGGAAGAATAAATTATTCGATTCAGTTTTTACAGTATATTCATGATTAAACATTTGACAATTCATCTGGTCAAATTTGTGTAAGAAAGTGTACTGCAGAATTAATTAAAAAATCATTATCTTAATTAGCAACATATTTGTTTTTAATCTCTAAAAAAAGTACAACTAGTTTATTTTTAGTATTATATTAATTACTACCTATTTTTAAGGAAATTCATAAATGCTTTCTGATATTATTGATTCTTTTTGGCTTTAGTTGCCAATAAGGCAATTTCATTTGATATCTCATTAAAAAGTTGACCAGATTGAATTTAGAGTGGGGGTAATAAATTTATTAAAAATACCAAAATAATTCTAAAAATAAAATTTTATAAATTAGTGTGATCAAAAATGTAATGGGATACTCAATTATCTTTTTTTTGTGGAAATATTCATAAAAAAATTCAGAAATATGAAATTATAAATTTGGAATCTCTCTCTCCTTCTTTTTGATATAAATATAACTAATTTTTAATAGAGTCCTAAAATGAATGCTCATGAAAAATTAAAGTGATGTTAAGGTAGTTTTATGGATAGAATGATAATAAAAATGTAATAAATAAACAATTGAAACATGCTTACGTGTAGAGATATAAATATTTAAGAATAAAATTAATGAAAAAATTTGATTAATAATAATGAGTTTAATAGTGTTGTTAACATTATTCGTTTTTGGTTATTGCGATTAAAAGGAAGCAGGATTACAGAAAGTGAAGGTTCAAGTAGCTACTGTATTGGATGGATACTATAAAGAATTTGATGGAGTATTGTGTTATTCGGAGAAATATAATCAATTTGTGATTTATCATGAGAGATCGAAGGCAAAAAGTAATAGTGAGTTGTGATTGATAGATTTAAAGGAGTTGTTTCCTGAAGCAGATTTCTTTTTGTAGTTTGGAATGAATGGGAATGCAGTGGGATTGAGTCTCTAGAATTTTGTTCCTCAATTGATAATTAACGAAGATTAATACAAGAGCGTGGTGTTTACAGTGAAACCTGAAGTGAAGAAGGGTAAGAGAGTATTTGGATGATCGATTAGGAACAACCTTGAAAGTAGCATTTGTTCATGCCGATTACGAGGGGGAACAAGAGAGATTTATCGATCTGATGGAGAACGGATTGAGTGCTTATACACCAATCAGCGAGACTCAATTGGACTTCGCAGCAATGTAATTTGAACATAAGTTTATTTAATATGTGAAGAAGATGCACGATGAATTGTGATTTATATAATAAATAAATGTAGTATTTAACGATGCCGGTTTAGCTCAGTGGTTAGAGCATTTGCCTCGTAAGCAAAGGGTCGGGGGTTCAATTCCCCCAATTGGCTTTTTTTTTGGGTGCGTGTCTATCTTATTAAATAATTTATTAAAAAAATGGATTATGAATAGGTGATGAATGACAAGAAGTTGAGAGAGCAGCTGGAGGGAGGGGAAACGATAGTGTTGACTATGAAAGTGATAAAGTTCACAGGACAAAATAAAAAGTTGCCACGAGTTATTGTAAGCACGATATTTGATCTGTTTATAGGCAATAACAAACAAGAACATATATAACATATCTCCAGCTGAAGGTAGTGCAGTCAAGAATTTCTTCTAGAATTTGGTGTAGAAGTAAGAATCTGCGTAACCTAAATTAGATCGAGGATCAAGAGAAAAATAGCTTTATCAGCAATAATAGGGATAACCATTTCAAAAATAGTGAAGGAGTTCATTCTTCACATTCCAACTGAATATGATTAGCGATATTAGGTGGATGATTAGTAAATATTGACCATTATCATTTAGATTGGCATTAATAATTTAAACACTTTGTGAAGTTTATATAAAGCATAACCTAAAGAAAATAAAGTGTTTCTTCATTGAGGAAATGAATCTAAGTCAATATACAACAACTAACTACGACATTAAGAAGAACATCAGAAGGCAATTGCCAAAGCAAGGAAGTGAGATGACAGTAGATGAAGTGAAAATGGCAATGCAAGCATCAAGGGGAAACGTTTAGACATTGTATCAGAAATCGAATTCTCCTGAGATCAGTATTGAAGATTTCACATTGATCAAAATGTTGGGGAGAGGTGCATTTGGAAAGGTGATGTTATGTGAAAAGAAGGATACCAAGGAGATATTTGCAATTAAGAGTTTAAGAAAGGAAGATATCATTTCAAGAGATCATATTGAATATTTGAAGACTGAAAGAAAGATATTGGAGTAGACTTAGCATCCCTTTTTGGTGTCATTGGAGTATGCCTTCATCACTTAAGAATGCGTTTACTTTGTGATGAAGTTTATGATGTATATTATGAATTCTATGACAGAGGGGGTGAATTGTATACTCATTTGTAGAAGATAAATAAATTTAATGAGGAATTTGCTTTATTCTATTCATCATAAGTTCTGTTGGCTTTGGAGTATCTGCATAAGCAGGGCATCATCTACAGAGATTTGAAACCAGAGAATATTTTGATGGATGAAAAAGGATATGTGGCCTTGACTGATTATGGATTGGCTAAGTTCTTATCAAAGGGATAGGTTACTTAATCTATTGTAGGCACTCCTGAATATCTGGCACCTGAGGTAATTACTCAATAGGGACATGCTTTCACTGCTGATTGGTGGTGTTTGGGTATATTAATGTAAGATGTAATTGGATTATTCTAGTTATGAAATGTTATGTGGTAAGACTCCATTCTTTTCAGAGAATAGAAATCAGATGTTCAGGAATATCGTGGAATCTGAGTTGAAATTCCCGTCAACTCTCCACATCACACCAGAGTGCAAGAGTCTCCTTACGAGTTTACTCAAGAAGAAACCCAATGAACGTTTGGGCAACAAAGGAGATGCTGAGGAGATTAAGAAGCATGCCTGGTTCAAACGTATGGACTTTTAGAGATTGATTTCAAAAGAAGTAATAGAATATAATATAACATGCAGATTTAAGCACCAATAATTCCAGACTTATAATCTGCCACAGATTTATCAAATTTTAATCCCCAAATTTTAGACGAAAGTAATTTTAAATTATATCATTTAAGAAATTGAGGAAGGTGAGCCATAAGGTACAACAAATACTTAGGCTTTGAAAAAATTTGATTAAGAATTCTATGGTTTGAATTACAAAAAAGAATGATTATTGTTTTATAGATTCATGAATTTCATAATTTCATAATCTTATAATCAATTATTGAAAATGGATTCTAGTATTTACTTAGCAGATCCAGGATTCTTGCATTCCGCTTCATTTAATTCTTATTATAGAGACTTGAGAGCATTTTGAAGGAGCTAACTCTCATTGTTCCTTGCAGCAATTCCCTTATGTCTATCCAACACCTAATTCATGACCACCAAAAAGTTATCTTCCTCAGACACCTTAGTTTTAGTGCCTCCAGAATCAGATTAAAATTTATTTTAATTCATAATATAATCATTTAGGAATCCCATATATTCTAATAGTTTTATCTTAGCAACCAGAAACGAGGAATCTTCCATCCAAAGAATAATTGAAACTCAATGCAAAATACTGATGGCCAGGAATCGACTCTCCAATTTACTGTCTGGTTGAGATCTCAAATACTCGGATTTCCTTTCGAATACATGCAAGTAATTTGCCATCTGGAGATACAACAAATCTATGCGGATCATTCCCTGGAATGAAATTCCAAATCTGTTGTCTATGCATATAATCCCAAACAATGATGTTTTTCTCCGATTAACTGCAAGAGATCAAATATTGAGGAGTAAATTGAATCCAATCCACCTTTTCACTGTGACCCTACAATGGCTATCCAATCTATGCTAATCCATGGATATCCCACAACCGAATAGTTTTATCCAAAGAACAAGATGCTATGATTTAATTGTCATTGCTGTATTAAACACAATAAATCTTAGCCTAGTGTTCCTTCTTAAATTGTTTCATCACTATATCTTTCTAATCAATATTCCACATCACTAAATTTGCATCCCAACCAGAAGATAACAAACTATTATTCTAATTATTAAAGTGCAACGAACTCACATGGTCATCATGTCCCTTTAATTTCTTTATAAATTTCTTCGTCTCCATATCCAGAAATTTTATGTATCCCTTCGAACTCCCCATCACTACCACCTTAGAATCAGAAGTGATGGCCAACGATGTTATTATCGCCCTATGCTTCTTAGATACCCACAACTTTTCCAAAGTGTTCATATTCCATATTATGATCTTGTTGTCATCTCCTCCACTGATAAGATCACCACCCTTTATTGGTTACAAACACCACACCTCTCCATCACTTTATATTGTACGGATATGGTTACTAAAGGCTCCCACCAAATTCTCAGGTTTCACAGAATTTACATCACTGTTTCCGATTACAAAACTGCTCAACTTTTATATGCACTCCTTCAATAAATTACCTATATTTAATGACTGCAAAGGTTTCACTATCTTAATCTTTAACTAATCCTATTTAAGAGTAGCTATCTCTATTATTTATTTTGATAACTACTCAATTCTCTCCGGCTGTTGAACAAATTGAAATTCCTGCGCATACTTTTACGCTTAATAAGAGAATCTCCCAAAGTGACGCTTAATCTTGTCTATTGTGCCATCGATGATGCGATTCAACTCCGATCTCAATATTTCTATTTCCTCCAGTGTCTCAATTATTGAATCATGCAAATGAGGCTATTTCATGTTTAAATATTAATTCAAGAAATCTTCGATTTAAGACAATTGCATAACTTTATGATTTCTATGGTAATAAGGAATGCAATAATCTCGACAAATCAATTTGCGAACCTAAGGACATTAAGGTGAAATACACAGCATGTACTCATTTTACTGATGTCCTAACATGCATTAAAATCCACTTGACCATTATTACAAATTCATTTAACTTATTTTATATTAAATATTTTTAAATCATTAAATAGATCTGCAACACGAACTTTCGTTACTCTTTCAACCTCTATAGCTCATTATCGGGTCGTTTACAAATTTCGCATTCTCCTCAAGGATTTAAGCTGTTGTTAAGAATGATTGCCAAACAAAAATTAATTATTAATGTAAAGTAACTACCATCTTTTGATCTTCTAGGTCAGTATTTTTATTGAATTTTCAATTCTTTTGGTTTCCCATTCTGAATTTAATTTCTAATTTCAATTATTATCAATCTCCTCTGTTTTTATTTTCCAATGATCAAAAGAAAGAAATTCTAATCTGTTTTTTTATTGGTTTTTTCGTATCTTTAAAATTCTCCCTCTAGTTTTCTAAATTCATTGTTCAATTATTAGGTAGCATTTTGTACTTTTTGAACTTATTTCTTTAAGAGAATTATAAATTAAATAGCTATTTTTTTTAATACCTAATTTATGATGTTAATTGATTACTTATTTAAACTTCTCTTTTATTCTAAACAAGATCCTTTTCCATAGTTTAAATCTTTTAGTTTTTTAAATAAGTCCTTCTTCAAAAAATTCATTTATTCTTGTTCCATAGTAGGCTTGTATTTTTATCAATGAAATTTATAATTACTTTATTTTTTTAATTTATCTGGGAAAACAAATTTGATGTTTGAAGGTAGTAGCATAGTTCAATTAGACTGACGAATAATCAATAAGTATTTTGCATATGAGTTCTTTTAAATAAAAAAATTTCAAATTATCAGAAAATTTAAAACAAGGATTTCGTTTTGAATATGCCCAACCTTATTGTATGCATGATGATTCATCAGATTTTATCGAAGTTATTTATTTTGAAGGAGAATAAAACAGAATTCTTGTAATTCTATTGAAAAAATTTTAATATTTTTCGATTAATTTAATTGATTTATAGGCTTGTTAAATTATTTTGTAGATATAAGGTAATAACTTTAATTATATATTAAGATATTTGATATTTGCATGTATAATCAATTAATTATGTAGAAAAAAAATCATTTAACATTCACTTAATGCATTGTGTTAATAAAGCTGATTGTTTCATCATATAGTAAGTCAATATTCTTTTGTACCGATTTTGATTTAATAAAATCAGCAATCTAAATAGCTTAAGCTAATGTTGGTTAGATTTGATGATGTAAATTTTAATTGGTTTAAAATTTTATTAAAAAGGGACTTGATCCTCTATCCTTTAGCCATTAATTAATATATTATCTTGGATTTTTTATCACCGTTTATTTAAAATGTGTTATGTGGAAGCAATTCTTGTCATTTTATTTTAAATCCTAAAATTGATCAAAAATATGCTACTTATGATTCTAAATATTAGAAGTACACTATATTAAATTCTGTTTTAGAGTTGATAATATTACTAATGTATATAACACAATCTAAAGAGGCTTAATCGTTTAATTTATGAATGCTTTATAATACTGTTATTTCAATTGTGTCCAAATCCAAATATTCCTCCAACCATTCGATATGCGGCTATAATGGATCTTTCATCTCTGAATTCCTTCTTTTTATAGATTACATTAAAAATTCTAAATTAATACATTAATTTAGAATGATAAGAAAATATAAGGAATTAACAATTAATTTTACATATCGACCGCAATTTTAATGGAGTATTTATTTTGAACCCATTTGCTGGGTGCTAAAATCAAAAAGATTGAAGTAAAATGCTGGATTCACATTTTTTTTATTGGGAAAGATCGAATTATCTAGAACAACAACCTTGATTTGCTGAAAAAAGAACATTAAATATATAAATGTTTGAGAATGATCAACTTAATCTAATTAAGCTCAAAAATTTAATGTTGAAATAAATAGAAAATGAATTAATTTTTTCCATTTTTCAAAGTTTTTCATCTGACTGTAATTAATGATTTTTAACTTCACAGCCATTTTCTAATAATTAAGAAATCTTTTGTTTAATTAATAATTTTGAAATTCTATAAGAAATAATAACTCCAAATCAGTTTTAAATTCAAATCCTCTCTGTAGGTAGATAGAAAATAATCTTTTTTTTACAAAACAGTCTGTCTGGATTATGTCACAAAACTCTAAATTCATCAACAGTTTGAAATCATATACCTAGCAATATTTAATAGTTCTTAATTATTCAATATTGTTGGTAATTTTTGAGTTATATTAATACCACATCGTTATTAAAATCTAGCATGTAGTTGGAGATAATTTTGATAGTGCTTTAAATAATTAAATAACATGTGAGCTTCCAATAACAAAAACTTGTATTTCATTAATAAAATGAATTACTTAATAAAATACATTAAATTCTTATTACACAATACGAAATCACTTAGATTCCTATGAAATTGAATAACTAGATTCCATAAGTTAATATTTCAATTATTTAGGATTATTCCATGAAGAAATTTAAATAGACTTCTTCATTATCAGCTTCTAATTCCTACCATTATTGAATTAAGTGAGATACTTTTTGTTCTTATTATTTTTATAAAAGAATGCCATCATCATCTTTTGAATCTCTGCAATCTACTGCAAGTTCTCTCTAACTGGAACCCAGCCCCAGTCTTTTGTAACCTTACAATTTAAAATAATAATGTTTATTTAGAGTTACAATATTATTTATTTCATTCTTTCCAATAAAATCAGACAACAACTTGCTCTCAATAGTTCTTTGGGAGCCTACCATAAGGATGTATTTTTTCATCTAAGAAATCACACTATTCTGTAAATTAAGCTTGAGTATCATATTAGCATTTTAAGATTTCTCTGGCTGGTTCTCAAGGTTGTAATCCATGGTATCCAGAATAGCAGATCATCATGCAACCTCTTAGCGAATCTAATTATTCTTGAACAATTTTTGTAGTAAGACAATTTTTATCAGGTGCCATGGTTTAGTTTGCAGCATCAATTAAAGATTATTCAGATAGTCTTTTATGAATTAATAGGTGGGAGATAGGCACTACAATTCGTATTGGAATTATTTAACTCTGTTTTCTTATAGTGAATCAAAAACATAGAAATGTGTATATATTTATAAATATTGATGCTAGATGAATATATAAATTCTTCATAAATTTGCTGCAATACTTAATTTATTACAGGTGTCTTCCAATAAACTAAGCAAATGTTCTTCTGATTATTCTCTGGTTCTCTTCTCTTGATCCAATTCTACCTTCACTCTATTCACTATATCTTTAAGCATTTCAAATATGGACTATTCACTTTCATCTCTGTTTCTTTTCTCCACATTGATCAAGCTGCTCAACTTCACTAACTCATCAGTGATTGATTTCATTACCTAAAATAAAATTAATATCCTTACATTTTAATCAGACTCATCTCTTTCATTGGCCTCTTCTCGAATTGCCTCTTGAATCTTTGGCAAATCATTTTGTAATCCCTAATGAATTCCTTCAATAGCATCTATTCTTTAGGCAGTTTCCTTCTAGACCTCTGTTCTGAGTAATGCTGATTTATCTTCTGTCAATCTAAGAACCTTGGCTTCTCCTTCCTTCTTGGTCTGCTGCTCATTCTCAATTGCATTTTCAAACTTCTTTGTCAAAGCTTAAACATCTCTATTCTTAGCTTCGATGGCTTATTCTTTTGCTTATCTGTCATCTTCCACTTGCTTCTATAATTTGCCTAACTGTAAAACCAAATCAATATATTGTTTACTTAATCTCTCAATCCATTCAACCTAGTGAAGATTTACTCTTGAAACTCGTTGAAAGCATCCTCTGCTTATTGAATACGTTGTTCAGCTTATTCCAATTTCTAAAACCTTTCATTCTCAACTCCAATCTAAATGGTTGACAGCTTCTCTGAGATCTTCTATATTCTACCTGTACTTGGTGATGGCTAGGCATCTATGACTCAAATATTATCATTACATAAAGATTGTTTGACTCTAGACATTTGGATATTATGTAATTTATTTTAATATAAATATAATTAATTTTATTTATAATTTATATTGCTGATTTTGTTAAACTTAATTATTAAATTACTTTCCATAATTATCTAGTAAACCTTTTTAATTTTTTTACCTTGTCATTTCTTATTAGAATACCTGGATTGATAATCTCCAAAATAAATGGAATTTAAATTAAAATACAATGAGGATTATCCAAAATAGTAATTTTCATTAAATGCTAAGATCAGGATGACTATAATTAAAGGACATAAAAAGATTTTAGTTAATATATATATATTTATGTTATTATTAAAACAATGAATAAATTTACTCAGACCTTTCAATAGTAACACTTAGAAACTCTGTATCAGAAAGAAAAGGAACAATATTGTTATGATAACTTCAAGAAAACAGCCTTGCTTTCTTTTATAATAGCACTAATACGATTAATAAGTTTTGCTAATGAAGAGAATATTGCTGGCATATTAATCACATCGATTATCCTATCCATTATATTACTGATGTCTATTTTAATTTTAAAATTCTGTCCATCTGGCACAATATTTTGTATGGTCTTTATTAACAATTTGCTTATTTTACACCAAATTCATGATTAATAAGGCACGAATCAATTCATTCTTGGCACAAACTTAGCTATTGCACATACTTCAATACTATTAATTATTGATTATAAATTGGCAGCAATCAATATTTTTTGTTAAACCGTATTCAAATTGTTAATAGCAGGACTTTTTGATGGCAAAACTGATAGTTGTTCAGTCATATTATCCATTTTGTGTCCCATTTGTTTTGTTTCTGTAGTGTACACAATTGAAAAGGAAAGAAGACTCTTGTTTTTGAGTAACAATCAAGGGAATGATTGGCGTATATTATATATTTCAATTTCTTATAGATTAATTATTGCCTTCAGTAATAAGCGACCCATTTGTGCTATTCTCATTTGATCACCATAGAATGTGCTTTAAGTACAAGAACTCTAATAAAATCGATAGATTTCCATATTGCACTTAGGAATTCAATTAGGAGGATAATTTTAGATAATTTTTCAGACTATAACACATTTCTGGTGTAACAATTGAATAATTCATACTGAACAGAATCGATAAAAAATCCAAGTTTTTCGATCTAAATTAGTTTACACTAAGACCAAATTAATATGACTCTGTTGATTTTGAAGAGACAAATATTCTACTTGCAGAGTTATATAACTTGGATGACAACTTCTTAATTGTCTTAGAGTAATCTAATTAAAGAACATAGTATTTACAATCGACGAAGGATAAACTAATTAATTTGATTGGTTAGCATCAATCCATAGTGTACAACTTTCTAAAGAAACAGGCGACATTAATCAATTTGAGTCTACAGAATGAAACATCTAGAGTCCAAATACTTTATCAATTAAAACTTCATCACTTGTATTTCCAAGGCAAATACAAGATATCAAATTCGTTTTCATAAGCCAAAACATAATTTGAAACTGTCTCTATTGATTATAAGCAACTTTTTCTGGCTATAATTTCACTCTTTAAAAAGGCATATCCCGATGTTAATCTTCAATTTGATTGCACAGATACTAAGTTTGATGTGGTTCATTACAAAGATATACCTTAAGATTTCATCATTCAATTATTGTAGATTACACTGAGGAAAACAACTCTGGATCAAAGATCCAAGATCAGAATCATTTTGCACTCCAAATTCGAGATTTTGTTTGTTTAGATAATTTGTCTCAATTCTTTTATTCTATTTGAAAATCTGAACAAGAATTCAGTCATTAAGTTGTATCTTAAATTGCATTCTCCTGACTCTGAGATTAGGATCGGTGACAATGCAATCAATATTTAGTTATATAGGGATGTATCGTAGTTAAAGTCCATGAATAAGTTTCAAGATGAAAATTGAATATAAATTATAAATTTTCAGAAATTAAGAACTTTTAGATGATTTCATAATATATAATATTTGAATTATAATTTTAAATATAATTACATATTATCATCGAATATCAAATTAATTTCAGAATGTTCCATACCAAACATAATACATGTGGAGGACCTCCAAACAAAAATCCTAAAAACCAAGGTAAACTACATTTTTGAGACATTTTAATTTGGTGATGTAACTGAAAGATTAATTTCAATTCCATAATTGCATTTCAAATAAAAATGCAGAATATTGAATATTGATTATAATAAATAAATAGATGAGCATACCTAAATTTACTTTATCCAAATAAGTACGTTTCTGTACATTGATTTCATTGAATTGCAATCCCTTGTGTTTGTTACTCAACCAAAACACCAAATTCTCAGATATTATGAAATTGATTAAAATTAGCTGGAGAAGAAATTTGAAATTTCTAAGACTATTCAAGCCTGATGGAACCGAAGTTGAAGAAAAGGACTTGATTAACATCAAAAGAGGCACAACACTATACGCTGAACTGAGTAACGAAGACCTTAAGCCAAATATTATCCAACAATAATATGATATCATCAAGAAGATAGGGGAGGGAGGTTAAGGAATTGTATTACTTGGAAAACATAAAATCACTAAAGAATCTGTTGCTTTGAAAATAATTAGTTTGAAAACTTGGTTGGGATAAGAAATAGATGGAATTTCATAAGAATAATCAATTTTAAATGCATTGGATCATAAAAATATTGTTAAATTGCATTAAAGCTATGTAACACAAAATCAGAGAGAAATTACAATGGTTTTAGAATACCTGAATGGTGGATCACTCCTAAACTAAGCCAATTGTATATTCTAATTATTATAATTTATTTTAGCCAAATTAAGTGAAGCAGATGCTAAGCTATATTCGAAACAAATAGTCGATGCAATTGCCTATTGTCACCAGAACAGCATTGTTCACTGTGACTTGAAATTGGAAAATATTATGTTAACTTCTCCGAATTCCAAAGAAGTAGATTTTTTAATTCAAAAAATAGATAAAAATTATTGATTTTGGAGTTTCGAGTTATGCTGGACAATTAAAATTACCTGATAGTGTTGTAGGTACATTATCTTATCTGGCTCCAGAAGTTCTATCCCCTTCATATAAATGCATCCAACCATCCTAAGATGTTTTGGCTGTTGGATGCATTATCTATGGATTGGTTTTTGGAAGACTGCCTTTTGATGGAGCCAATCCTTCTGAAACCTATAGAAATATCATTTAATGTAATTATAGCATACCGAAGAAAAGTGTCTCCAAAGATTTAATACATCTCTTAAGTTAGATATTTGTTAATCCTCCAAAAGAGAGGGCAAACATCTTTGACATTCAAAATCATTCTTGGTTTAAAGAATAACCCATATTATTCAAATTATCCTTTCGTAATGGTAGATCTTCAAGCGTGACTAAATTAAATTCCTACAGATAACAATAAGATGAGGATTAAATTATACTAGTTAGTCAAAGAAAGAATATGTATCATCGAAGATCTGTTACCAGACAAGATAAGGTATTGTTTTTCAATAAAATCAAATGAGTTGCAACTATATTTATATTTGTTTATAGTCCTGTATCATAGTATCTCTAACATCTTGATTTCATTCAAAAAATTGAGTTCTTTGAATTTCAATTTAATATTACACACACTCTTCCAAATCACTAAATAAATTCTTATTATGTATTATTTTCATTAATTTAAACAAATATTATTGCCATTAAATATAAATTTAATCATCCATATCAGTGAAATTATTGATATTATTTTTATATTCAATTTCTAAAAACTATTAAAGTGTTTTTTTACAATGAAATTCATATATAAAGGGCACTCATAAAGTGTATTGATATTATCAGATTATCGAGTAATTTTATTTGAGATTTACGGTAAAATTTAATGTTAGTTAATACTATAAATTATGACAGTTTCTTTTTATTTAATATTTTAAAGTTTTTATTCATGATTATCAAGTATCACCGACATTATTAAATTACTATATTCTCTCTACGTCAATTAGTCAACATATCGAAAGGAATTTACAGTATTTTACAATATTTGTTTATGAATTATTATTCCCATTGATCAACAGAGAATTTCATTAAGAAATGCTTTATTTTAATTTAATCAATCCCAAAAACACATCATTTATCAATGTAGCTATCTCGAAATAAGTAAAAATGTCGCTTTCAGAGGTGCTTTTTGGATCCATGAAAAATAGAGCTTAATAGAGGTAAAATCATGATTTTTTATCATTCGAGTAAACAGACACATTAAGGACTTGAATAATAATTTTTACTAGTTGACAGAACCCACAATTTATATTTGTGTGTTGAAATTAATTTTCACTATTTCTAGAAATCCCTTAAGTCAGATAAAAACAAAAAGTATGCTGTAGCTTCTAATACTAATTGCCCGATCTATGAGTTCATTTTTCATTAAAAAAAGGAAGTAAATAGAGTAGAAGTCATATAGAATCAAATATTTTCTTCTTAAAAAAATATTAAAAACTTATTTTCATTTTTAGGATTCCAAAAACTGTAAATTGATCTTGCTTGTCATTGAGGTTTGATAAATTTAATATTTAATCAAGTTTAAGAACTATATCATTAAAAAGAATGTGAATATAAATATAACATAGTTGTTTTTGACATAAAATATGTGGAAATATATATCACTGTTATTATAAAATCATCAAATAATTTCATCTTCAAACTCCCTCATTTCTTCCAAAGGTTAATAATTTTTATAAAGATATAATTTCACAGCTATTATATGATTAATAAGTTTTACACTAATGTTATGCGAGAATGTCGAGATTTGGACACAACCTTCTCTATATTTTCTAAAAGAAAGGGTTATTCTGAAGTTACATTTTATATTCCTAATAACACTCAGTTTTTATAACAATATAAAACAATTTCGACGATTTTTAATCTTATCCAAAAATCAACTAATTTCGTAATTAATTTGCTTTTAATCGAATCAATAATTGGCATAGTATTTGAAAGAAGGTTTGAATCAATTCCTCATTACTGTAAATGTAGAAATCATAATATTCTTCCGACTATAATTCTATTTGAACGGGATAATAAGCATTGCAATAGAGGTTAACCATTAGTTGTAAGAGTTTTGTGAGGTTGATGTCTTTGATTTTACGATCTATTTACGAAAAACTATTAACTTATTAAAATTTGCCTAGAAAATACATACAGTGAATCTTCAATTTAGCTAATGGTTAAATGTAATTTTTTGTGGTCAATATTGTGGAAATTTGGTTGAGTTGTTTTTTTAAGAAACTAATAGTAAGTTACTAATTTCTATTGATGCTTGTGATTAGTGAGTTATTAATGCTTTCCAAACAATCGTATTTGTTTTCATTGAAAGTGATTAGATAATATTTTTGACCAAGAAAACATTCAACATAATTAATTTCGATTGAAGATTGATTATTATCTATATTGTGAACAATCAAGTTTTGAGCATAATAATGATTGTAATTATTGTAGTTTGGGTCGTTTCTTGATAAGATATATTATTCCAGTGATTGATCCTAGTAATAAGTATTCCTTAGAAAAGCCCGGAGATTGGATGTTGGTGCATTGGAATCATCCCATTTGATGGAAGTGATCTAACTCTAAAATCGTAAGTGAAAACTCGAACTTTTTTACTCTAAGTTAAACATCATAAATTAATTTTGTACCAAATCGGGCAAAAACCGAACTAATTAAATTAATTTTATTACATAGTTATTTTTAAAAACATTCTTCAGAAAATCTAATATTAAGACCTTGCTATTGGAAATAAACAAACAATCCAATTGATATTCCCTCCAGCAAATAAAAGACAAAATTAAGAATGCTGAAATTTCCCTTTTCAGATATTTGAATCCAGGTTTTTAATCCAATGAAAACAATCATCTAAAAACAAGCTCCTTTTAGATTCAAAATACTATATACAATCATTAAAAAGATCATATTTAATGATGAATTTTATTGAAGTTCTTCTAAGTTGTTTATTTGATATTATTATATTTACAGCAAACTGAGGACGCAACAAGTCAAAAGATTCCCGTATTTCTTAACCCATATTTTTCCTTTGTAAGAAATCACTAGTAGTATAATTGTATAGATTAAAAACCCACCTCCGTAAAGAATATAAAAAGATTTCCCTGTTAATAATATTGAGACAATCCTGAATAAGGCAAAGAATGTCATTAACAGAAAAACCAACATTTACTAGTTTCTTGTACTTTTGTAAACAAATTCGTCGAAATCGTACGAATGCTTTTGAGTAAAAAATCCTTGGTATTGTGTATTCATATAATTTATTAATAAGTTATAATACAGAGAAGATTGAATTAAGTAATGAGTTACTAAATACTGTTTGTGATAATCAATTTTCAAAACATTACATATTTAAACAATTTGATCCCGTTTATTTAAGCCATTATTACTACAACAACAAGATTGTGCTTGAATACAAGTTTATATTAATATATAAATTAATAATTAGTTAATTACTAATAATTTAATTAATGAACGTGTTATTTTACAAATAATACTTTTTAACTTTATACGAACTTTTTGGATTAAAATTAATATTAAGGTTTGAAACTTGAATGTTGACAATTTAAACCTCTTAAATTAAAACATTTGACTATCTTACAAAGTTCTTACTTTTCTATTTGAACCATAATATGAACAATTTATCGATTCCTACTCTATTCCAACTAGATATGATAATTTAAGACACATATTAAAAAAATCTTTAAATTCTTTCTTCCAAAGAAAACCTAAAATTAATTACTTTATTGTTGTTAAATACATACCTAAAGTAAAATATCTCGTCTTCTCTGTCCTAAATCAGATTAATTTAAATGGAAAAAGACAATATAAATATTACAGTTTTTGCTTATTATTATATTATCCAAATTCAATCCATTCTTTATTATCCTAGTGGCAAGTAAATCAACAATTAACTTAGACCAAAAACAATTCGTTATTCTATTATATGTAAATGATTTTACAATACATTTTATTTTTTTTGGACAACCTGAAAAATTTTACAATAAAAAGTTTTATTTTTTGTGTTTCCTATTTATTTTCATCTTTCTATTTAAAATTTGTGATCAAATGATTTTCTTTATTTCGTTTTTTCCTTCAAAAAATATATTAAATATTCAATTGATACTGATTTTTTTTCTAGGCTATATTATATTTTTTATTATAATTAATAGTGCAACTATTTGCAAGCTTTGTTTATTCATTATAAAAGGTTTGAAAAGTGAGACTACTTTTATGTTTACATCATTTTGGAGCATTGTAAGATAACATATTTTTGAAAGATATCAGAAACTAAGTTGAAAAGTGCAAAATTCTATAAATAATTCTATCATATGACTGAATTTATTGGATGTCCACCCGAAAATGAACATAGTTAATTAAATATTATAGAATTTGTAAAACATATTAAAAATCATAGAATGTTCAATATAAAATTCTGTTTGATAAATTCAGTTTGTTAGACTATCAAATATTCATAATCAAATACCAGATGTCTGAAACAAAAGTGCCCACCTTCTTGATGAAATTGAAATCAATGCTGAATGTAGTTTAGTTCAATTATTATAGGATGAAGCGAATGGTCATATAATTAGTTGGGATGAAAAAGGAAGTAAACTAATCATTCATCAAATCAAATTATTCAAGGAAATAGTATTACCCTAATATTTCAAGTAACCTAATTATTCAAGTTTCTAAAAGTAAATCTGAAGTTATATATTTAAGGTAAATGAATAATTATGGATTTAAGAATTTCAGAATATCAGCCAAATCTACAGAATTTTACAATGAGAATTGGACAAGTGACTACCAATAAATAGATAAAATCAAGAGGAGAAAAACTGAATTTGTTTTAGATACAGATTCCTCTTTTCTCTCGCAATTAAAGATTTTGCAATCTAGTTAAAATTAATTAATGGAGAATCTGCAACATATTGATTATAAGTAAAGAATTCTAAGTTAAATTATTTATGAATTGCACTTGAAATCATAAAAATACTTAGAATTATTCCAATAATTGCTGGAACTTTAATTGTGATTTGTAAATATATATATTTATCCAATGATAGTAATATAAAAATCATAATATTCTTAAATATAATTACTTACTAATGAAGGAACTTTAAAAGGAATTTGAAAATCGTGGAGAGAAGCAGAGATAAAAATTTTTGAGACATTTATATGGGATGCTTGATGTACTGATATCTAATATTAGATAGAATCCCAAAAATGAATAGATCATAACATGGTGTGAACATGGGTTTGTAATATAGAATGTCGATGAATTTAAAACCTAATTGCTCCCTACCAATTTCAAACACAATAATTACTAGAGTTTCATGAGATAACTCAATAAATATGGATTCAAAATAAAATCTAAAGAAAATTAAAAAGCTTATTTCACTCATCCTACAATTAGGGAGTAAAAGAGGGAAACAAAGAGAGTTTTGACCATCAAGAAGAATTCTTAGAAATTGGATTACAAAAATGAATTAAAAATTTTAAAGGCACAATTAGACGATCTCAAAGAAGGACAAAGGATCTTAAATAAGTAGTTTTAACTTTCGATTAAAATCATGATGAAATTACAATCCCATTATGCTCGATTGAATATGGTATTGTTATAGTTGACTCTAGATGACTTTGCATACAGTTGGGTTTGCAAACATTTTTGGGAATCTCATGTACACAAATCATAAGAAAATATGGGGAAATATAGGAGGAGACCTTTTCCAGGTACTGAATTGTCATCTAACTTAAGTTCTAACTAAATTCAATAGTCCAAGGGTTCCCTGAACTTCTGGATACAAAGTTACAAACTCCCATAATGAGCAACTTAGGAACTCCATTGCCTTTTTATCAATTTTTTGGCTAGATGAAGGAATTCACAAACTTACTTCTTTAGTGAAATGTATATATAAAATATTAGATATAACAATAATTTTAATTTTTCTTTTTCCTTATAAATGTAAATAGATACAAGAGACAAGAATTAGAGAGAGTCCAAATTCCTTTAAGTGTTATATGAAATTTTGGATGTAAATCCAATATTGATAATTGTAGAATTCAAACTAGAATATCGTTTAATGGTCTAATTAAGGCTTTTTTATTTCCAGTGTTTAAACATTTAAAACTAATTTGTTGCCTCAATATTTTAAACACAATAAATACTCAAGTTTCTTAAGGCAATTAAATAAATATGGCTTTTAAATAAAGGAAAAATAAAAAGACACTGTCAAGTTCATTCATGACATTATTAATTAAGACAAACGAGAACTAAAGAAATAGTAATTGATAAAAAAACAAGAAAACACTCTGAACCTCAGAGACGAAATTGTAGACATGAGATAAGAATTAATTAAGTTGCAAAAGCAATAGACAATCCTGAAATAATAAATGGAAATCTCCAAAAAATTGATGAGTTATTTATTTAAGAGTATGACTCGATTTATTAATGTATAAAAATCTCATACAAACTAGGTTACTGCATCCACTATTGATTATTCAAAAGCTTTCTCAACAATGCTGCTATCCAATCTAAGTAAAGCCATTCCCAATGTATCAGGAGATCTATTATAAGTACAATTAATTACCATTCTCAAACTAGCACTAACTTGGAGCTGCTAAAATAGCCTTTCCAGATTTCTTTACATCAACTTTTGTTACTCCGACAGCAAGCTTATTTGGAACTCCAATACCATTTTATATCTCTATGCTATAAGAATTATTGTTTCTAAAGGAAAATTATAATAATAAATGAGTATTACTCAATCATATTAATTTTATGATAGTTTGTAACATAAAGTAAAAATAATGAACTTAATTTAAATCAATTGAACGCATTTTCAGTCATTTAAAATGTTCTTCTTGTGGTTGCTCTGCTCTAAGTGGATTCCATTATGCAGTTTAACTTTTCCTTTAAAGAGTATATCTATTCTTCAGAGGCATCTGTGATCCATTTGAATATCTAATAATGTAAAAGTGATGTTCACCTTATTAATAATTGCTTTGTAAGCTAAATCTTCTTAATCTATAAGAGTGTCAATCTTTAGACTCAATTCTTAATTCAGAGCTTAAACACCCATTTCGTATGATCCGATTTCATTGTTAATCTTTTCCACTATGATAAAAATGGCATATTACTTATCCAAGTTGCCCCTTCCATGAAGATTTAAGACTTATCAATAACTTTACTAACTTTCAATTGCTCATCTACCTTTTAAAATAGATTTCTATTGATTGTTTCCTTAGATTTTTTGGATTCCGACTTTTGATCAGAGAACTATACCTTTAAATTTCTCTCGGTTTTCTTTTGTGTCATAATTCCTTCATAAGGTATTCTTGAATTTAATTATCGTTTCAGATTGTTAATCTCGCTATCAGTCAATTGCTTTAATTTGTTCACTTTTGCAGTATAATGCTCATAAAAAGTAGAATTAAGACATATCAGCAATTCATTCTTTTAAGAGCAACTCATATCGATATTATTGATAATGTCTATTACTTTTTATGGGATCCAAAATCTTAATAGAAATATTCATTTACATCTCTTCTTTTACTTAAACTTATACTTCAAGTTTCTTATTTCCATTTTCAAGTACTTTAGATTTCTGCTATTGAAATTCAGCTTAAATGTAATGCTAATTGTTTTCTATTTATATATCATTAAACTCTTTAGTTTACTTCAACAGTCCTAGCAATCTAGTAATGTCCTATTTTAATTGATCATTTTCAAGCCTGATCAATCTATTACTTGATTTATCCATCTATAAACTATCAATAACATCTTCTATCATCTCGAATTTCTGCAGTATCAATTCTTTCTCCTATTTCAAGATCTCAATCTCTTTTTGCTGCTTATAGTTAATCTCCTCGAGTTCATTTATCTTTTGTTATGCATCAATTAGTTTAGTGTTTTTTTAAAACAATTCTTCTTGCTGCTTCTAAATTTAAATTGAAACACTTTTCGGATTGTATTTCACTTATTGCTATCCTAACTAACTATTAAGTAATTTTTGGTCTCCCTCTGCTCTCTAATTTCCATTATTAATTTACTATTATCCCAAAATCTCTTACTTATTTCATGTGCATCCAAATGCTTGCTAAAGTATCAAAATCTTTGTCCTCTTCTTATTTCATTATTCTAGAGCCAACTTGAAAACTGTTAATTAAAAATTAATTGATTTATAAATAATAATAAATAACACCTTAAACACTTACTACTAATAGTAATCATGAATACATCATACAAATATCACTAGCCTTACTCTAGATTCCCTATTTAAATTAACTTAAACAACTTTAGAGAACAATAAATTATATCACAATAACTAGTCCAGTAAATTGATAATTCTTGTTGAAACTTTGTTCATGCTTCAAATTTAAAATCAGAGAGACTTTAAGATCCTTTATTATTTATTAACACAAGTTTGAAAGGCTTTATATCCCTATACCTACAACTATATATAAAAAATGGGAAGACAACTTAACAATTGTCGAACAAAGGGAATACTTTTTATATATTAGAAATCCTTTCAAAAATTTTATTATATTCCTATTGGAGTTCTTGGTATTTTAAGTAATCCTGGCAAACTGTAATTTTATTCTTTTATTAATGAAAATGTAACGTTTAAGAAAAGATGTATAATAAAATAAGTGCATCTCTAATTTATATATGTAAAATATTTATTTATGTCTAAATGAAACACACTATTTAGTTACCTTAATTTTTAATGAGTCTTTTACTAATTATTGTAAACCTTAGGTGTAATACCAAGAGTATTATAGTAATTTAGTGAGATTGTAAGTGAATCTGAGTAAAACTAAAAATTAGGTGGAGGGAAATCAATTATACTGATTTAACTTATATAAAACGATAGAGAAGTTATTTATACAAAAATATCAAATTTAGTTAAGATTTAGGGTTCTTCTTTGTATAATTGAATTGGTCTGAATGCTTAGTTTCAATTTCTTGATTTTTTTGGACTTTCTATCTGACAATTACTAATTTTAGATTTTGAGTTGTTTGAACAAGGATTTAATTTCAAACTCTTGCTCTATTTAAAGATACTCAGTTAAATCACTGTCAAAAGATTCTTATTTGAGCTGCATAAAATGGATGTCTTTATATTAATTATTTATTGTTTATTAATTAAGAATCATGATATTTCAATAGTCATAAATTAAACTGGATTTAATATTTTATAATGATCACTTTGTGACCATAAAAATAACTTTCTTTCCTTGATAAAAGTGCTGTTTTTTTAATTCTAGAAGTCATTATTAAGTATACAAAGTTGACTGCCTTAGCCTTTACATCAAATCCTGATTGGAATCCTTCTATTTTTAGAAATTTGAGAGGACTAATCTAAAGTTAGTACAAAGAATCTCATTAAATCCTTATAGAGAGTATACCTCTAGATAGATGAACATGTAATGGATTTGTTATTTACTGGAAATTATGTCATCTTCAATTTTATATGGGAAAGTTGAGTTTTTTTGATCATTTTCTGACTCTGCTTGTTAGAGTGTCAGATAATCAGACTAATTAAATGGTAACAAGGATCAAAATATTATCTTTTAATTATTAATAATTACAAAATTATATATAATACATGTAAAATAAGTTTTTACATCACATAACACACTTATAGGCTGAAAATTCGAAACCATCAGAATCTCATTGGTTATTGATTACAGGAATAATAGTGGGTAGTTTGGTAGGGATAATTGGATTAGTTTATGGTTATTTAAAATATAGATAATACAAGGTTTATTAGGAATATTCGTAAAGGCCTGAAGATGGAATTCCAAAAGAGAAAATTGGATTTGCTCAAAGAAACAAATTCCGATTCTGGAAATTGTATGAGAATAAGGAAGAACCAAATGATCAAGTGAAGTAACAGCTGAAAGAAAGTATTTAAGAAGCAGCGAACTTCAGATTATTATGGCTAGTACATTGAGTTGAGGTTCCTGTGTAAGCCTGGTGACTAATGCACTATTCGAGCAGAGAAACCTGTAGCAAGAGATTCCACATCCTATTTTGAGATTGAGATAGAAGATAATCCAAGGAAATCTGACGTTATATTAGGATTTTGTTCAGCAAAAGAATTTCAGAAAGAGTTATCTTTGGGTCGATCTCAGACGAGTGTAGGATTCCATTCGAATACGGGTTAAGTGTATTGGAGGAATGCTTTACATCAAGATCATAAGTTTTAAGCTGTTTATGGCGAGACCATTGGTATTGGCATAAGATAGAGTGATGGGAGAGTGTGGCTAAGTTACAATGGGAAGTTTTTGAATCCACCTCCAGCAAGTGAGGGAAAGAACCAAGAGGAGTTGGAATTGGAGAAGAAGAAGGAGGAGGGAGAGAGTGAAATCGATATTGGTGAATATATAGAATTAAGATTTTATAGATTTGAATAATAGGAACAAGGAGATTGAAGAGAAGAGGAAAGCCTTGATTTTGAGCATGGGGGAGAATCAGGAATTGTATCCGGCTATTAGTGTCAATGGACCTTGCAAAATCAACTTGAATGTGGGGAGCATGTAGTTTAGAATGAACCAAAAGGAATTGAAACATGGATTATTGCATTGATTGATTATAGCAATAAATATATATATTTATATTTTATAAATAATATGAAGTCAAGTCTCAAGAAGCAACAAATTGTCTGGGCTAGAACAAAAGGACGTAAATATTTATTTAATTTAATTAGATCCCTGGTGGCCAGGAATCGTATTTTATTTATTTATCTTATTAGATTACCAAAGTAATCGATGGAAATTAGTATGCCATTAATTTCATTGGTGATGATTCACAGTAAGGGTACATTCACAATATATATAGCTCCATATTGATGAGTGATAATCTTTTTGATTTTCAAGAGAAATTCGAGGAATTCAATGATAAAGTCAAGAAGAACAAAAAATTGAAAGAAGCAATTCAAACTGCGCAAAAACTCTAAAGACCGCCATTTTCATAATTAGAAAAACAAAAAAAAAAGCACAGTGATAGTGAATAAGAGGAGAAAAAGAAAGGTATCATAATTAAACGAAATCTGCGAAAACCATTCAAAAAGCCTGAGACTCCAAATAAAGATGTATTAAAATTTTATTAAAAAGAATGTATAAAAATCCCCATTGTAGGAAACTCCTCAAATGCAATAGAAGAAACAACATCTAGACAGAGAATTTTAAGATTTATTGTTATTATTGATAGCTGCCCAATTGAATTATGATTAGATTAAATAGAAATTGACACCAATCCTTGATACCATTGAAGCTTAGGTGGCTCAAAATAATACTATCACAGAAGTCTTATCTGAGAGAAAGGGATCCATCCTGAATGCCGTCTATTTAATATTGAAACACCAAAGTGAATAAAATCCAGATCACTTTTTTTAAAGGGATATTCATTAATAAATAACAAGATTACATGAGTTAATTAGCAAATTAAAAAACTCATTATTAAATTAATTCTTCAATGCCTCTAACATCATTTAGAATTTATCTGAAGTATGCATTAATTCAAATAGAAGTATTGACTAAATTTTATCCATTTTATAGGTTAAGTCTTCACAAACATAGTGAATTAAGACAAAATTATCGAGAAGAAAACATCTCAAGTGTCTCAAAAACAAACAGGAGAGAAAACAAAAAAATAAAAAAAGAAAGACAAAACTGAAAATAAAATTCAAATCAATGAGGGTAATGCTTAAATTACTGATAACATCACTGTCTAAAATAACAATAATAACAATAGCAATAATACTAATTAATAAAAGAAGGAATAAGTATCAAATGAGGAGTAGAAAATTGAGGAGAAGAAGAATAATATTGAATAAACTAAAATAAGTAAATAGGATGTTGGAGGTTAAAAAAAAGTCTAAAAGAAGAATGAAATCCCTGATTAAGCCTTAAGGAGAAAGGTTTGTCTGAATATGTTAGAATTGGTTCAATTGTTGGGAATGGAAGAGGAAGAAGCAAAGAAAATTACAATAAAAATTGAGAGTTTAGGGAGGGAAGCGGACCCATTAATGAGAAATAAGTATGCTAAGTTGATGTGGCATTGCATAGTTAATTTAGATGTATATGATTGGAAATATGATTTAAGAGTAAATTATTAAAAAGGGAGGAGTTACTAAATTTGATAGATGAGAATGCAGATCAAAGTGATGTTTGGAATAAATTGACATTATAACCAATAGACAGGACAAGGAAATTGATTCATATATGATTTTAAATTGAATTTGATAATTATATAATTCATTTCTGCATAAATTATTTATATCTCTCTGAATCCAATTTTGATTGTTGATTGTTTGGAAAAACTAATTTCATGCTTTCTTACAGATCGACATCCGTGCCTGTGAAATTGAATCTCTTTTAATTGAATTCAACCATTTTGGCTTTGAAAACTAGATCTTCATTGTCATAAAATACTTATTCCTCACTATCTTACTTCGATTGTACTTCTTCATTGTCATTTTGTTGTTCTTATTAGAAGTACTATTCAAATTGATTGGCTTCCTATTCAACAACTTATTTAGATTATTCTTATTTCTTTTTTCTGTTTCTCTTTTATTTTTTTTATTCCTTCTTTGATTAAACTGGTTAATTATCATCCTTAGCTTAATTTTCCTCTTCCATATTATTATTATTCTCCCCTTCACCTTCCTTTTTAGATTTCTTTTTGTTTTTGTCAGGTTAAATTTATTACTTTAATTTTAATTCTTCTGCAATTCTTTAAAACTTCTCTTTTCTCAACTTATTCCTCCTGCCTCTTTCTGTAGCTTCATCTTTAGTAGGATCCCATTCATCTTCTAGATGTCTTTGCTCTTTACTTATCTTTTTCTTCTTTTCATTCTCTTCTTCCTCATCATCTCTAAACAACTCCATCTCATCAGTTTATTTCATTTGCTCTTGAGGAACTTGTTTCTCTAAATTTGATATTGTCTTTTTTTCTCCTTTTGAATCACCCTTCCAATAGGTCATCACCAAATTTTCTATTTTATTTTTGGTGTATTTCGAAGTTAAGATTCCAACTGTTTCAATGAGTTAATATTTTGATACTTTTGCACAAACAACATAACAAAACAGTCTGTCCCTTTCATACTTCTCATATTCTAATACTAAACTTGGACAAACAGCTTTCAAATGAGATGCAGGAGTCCAATGTTTTTATTTATAACCAATAAATGAGGTTTAGTATTGATACTCTTGATGAATGGATTAGTATCGTTTAGCCAGCAATTAATCTACGTCATAACAAAAATATTTTGGATTTTGTTTAGGCCTTGGCATTTCATTATAATAATCCTTAACAGGGACATATTTCTATTTGAATTCAAAATTAGGATTTCTGGTAGCAAAATATTCCTCTGGCCCTACTCCATAGTATTCCCAAGGTGATAAACTTAATCGATGTTTAGGGAATGGCAATTTCTTAGGTTTCTTTTTTGTTTATTATCCATATGGTCCATCATCCATATCGATGCCACCACTGAAGATGAATTCAGTTGCATATCTGCCTCTTTTGTAAACATTAAGCATGGGATTGATATCAGGTTCAGGTGGTTTAACAAAGGCTTATTTCAAGATTAAACCATTTTTAAGTAAGACATCATAATTTAAGAGATCTGGTTTGATTGGTTTGTCATCTATATCATCTTATTAGAAATTAGGATCAATCATTTTCATTAATTCGCTGATCTTTTGTTTTTCTTCAGCTGTTTTTTTGTTGTCCAAATCAGTGCCCCTCTTGTACTTCTGCTTGTTCTTATATTTATTTTATCTGTGCAAATAATCTATCATTCTCTATTGATATTAGTGCAAAGTCTCCCCTTCTCTTATTTTCTCCGGAAGCCCACTTTTTCTTATTTCTTTTATTGTAACAATTACTTTCTATATTCCTCATCTTGCTTTCTCTATTTAGCAGCATTGATCTCTCTATTCTTCATGGCAATAAAATCTTAATAAGAGACAGGTGCAACATTTTGAGGTGGTTCCACATCTGGAGATTGTTCATCTCTTTACTTATATTTATATTAGATTTGTAAAGCTGTATTTTCATTTAATGGTTGTGTAATCTATCAATTAATAGAGAATAACAAATACCTTCTGTTTCAATTGAGAAAAAACATCTGTTTTCTTTTTGAAATGAATTTAGGGCAGAGTTTCATCTTCATTAGGTCTTACCTGTTTTCTAGGTACTTTATTCATCTGTACTTCCTCTTCATCAGATTCTATATTCATTTTTGTTTGAATTTGATCAGGAATTGAGATGACTTTTTACTTTGGCTTCTCATTATTTTTTTGATTCTGTTCTCCAAATCCTTTAGTAATAGGTTACCTAACTTATTGCTATTTTTAATGTTATGGTTATTATTAATGATTGCTCACAGTCTAACTTGGTTAAGGCTATTAGATTTTAATTTGTGAAAGTGACTTTTACAATTATGACATACTATCAAGTGTATTGCTAACTTAATTTTGCTATTGTTTGTAGACATCAGTTTGTGTTTGTAGTTGTTATTGCAAAGTGAGTTGTAATTGTGATGTACTGTTTCTGTCTTCAAATTTTTGCAATGTACATTCTTATTTTTTGACAACTGTCTCTGAAAAGTTAGGCAATGAGGGTTTCTGTTTTGGCCCTTCATCATCTGAGTTTATTGTGATTACCAAACCTTGTCTTGCTTGTAATCTAAATGAATAATAAAATGGCATTATACGTATTATCATCTCCTATTTATACATCCAACACATTGTCATCCTCAATCAATTATGGACCGTATTTATTTTTGTAATATTGCCTAGCAATTAGCGAGCGAGCCCTTTATTACATTATATTATTTCATTAGTACTGATATGCAAAAGTAGATATTGCTAAATTATCATTAAAATAATTTGTTTCACTTTATAGTAGATATATAGAAATAATCAAAATAAATTCATCATTTACTAAAAGGACTTACAGCATAGGTCCTTGATTTTAAATGAAATGAGTTCCCAGCCTTCGTAGATTCCCTATCTCTTGATGACAACTGTTAATTTCTCATCTGCTTACTTGAATCTAAACGAGAACTCGGTTGAGGAGAATGATATGTTTTGGACACTTTCCTCATCTAACTACATCTCAGACTCTCCTTCTCTTACAATAGTTTTTCAATATTGTCAGTGGAAATCTCTTTGTCCAGCATTTCCTATTGATATTCTAACACTTCATGAGCATACTAATTGAGACAACTATCAAATTGCTCATCCATACTCATAGGAGATGATAAGTTCTTTTTCAGTCTGATACTTGAACTACTTTGAGGTATCAACAATTGTGGCATTTCAGGTATTTCAAACATTTTTTGCATTTGATTCTATTTAGTCAAATTGAAAATGTATTTTGTTCGATTAAAATCTTCAGCAAACACTATAGCCTTTTAAGACACGCCAATCTTCTAATCTTTTTATTTGAGTTTCATGGAAAATTCATTGCTTTAATCAATGATCTTCAACATTTACTCACTCTATTCCTCCATATTATCATAGATCTTGACATCATGCTGAAGTTCTTTATGAGTTGGACTGTAGTTTTCTTTCTTCTTATAGAGATCAGCCATAGATTTTTCCTTGACTTGATACTAATCAGTTCTTAGTTAATTGAAGACTCGCAAACGCTTTAGAAGACCATCCTTTGAGTCATTTGCCATCTTTTTATTTAATTCATTATAGATTTCAATGTATTTCATTCCTTTGGCTTTGAAATATTTGACAGGCAAATTCCTGCTATTTAGTAAATCAAATTTGGCCTTCTTAATTTTGCTTTTAAAATCGGGATCATTTGAATTAAAAGAGTATTTCTGATTAAGATCTCTATAGAATTATTATAGATGGACTATTTTGTTTTTGAAATCATTCTTCAGTTTCATTTCATTCTTTTCTATTTATTTCTAAATGGCATCATTATCAAAATCTAACTCTAATTAATTTTTGTCAGCTACAGTTGCCTTATTATCATAATACATCTCCATGCCAATATTTTACCATCCATTTATTCTTTTCTAAAGCAATTGGATACACATATATTACATCTCTATTATCTTTAGGTTTCAAAATACGACATGTGCTAGGTCCATCCATTTTAATAGTAGTGTCCCATTTGCAAATCCTTCTCTGGGCAAATTGAAGAGCAGTTTATTTTGGGCATTTCTATTGTACATAAATAAGAGACTTACATTATTGATTAGATGAAGAAATGTTGCTGCCTTGGTAGGTGATATGTAGATGTCTTTCATTTTCACTCCACCCAATTTCTAACAAAATTTGAAGTATGGAATCTCATTTAGAAATTTATAATTTTACTTCTTCCTTCTCTATTGATTACATAAATAATGAGATAAATAAAAATTATAATTAAGACTCTATAAAACAAATATTTACAATAGTGAAAATCATTAAGTATTTTTTCTTGCTTTTTCCAATTCCAAAAGCTTTTCTAGCATTTTGAATCTCAAAAAACCATAATCTATATATTCAAAGTTGAGAGAATTCTTATCATGAGCCAAAAGAATACTCCACCATACCCAATTCAAATTGGATAAGATTTACAATCTTCTGATTCTTCTCTTTAAATAAGAAATCGCCTTGAACAACTCCACAATCTCTTATTCGCTTAATCTCTATTCAAGAATCTGTTTAACTAATTAGATGAAAGTCTTCAATTCATCTTTGTTTTTATTGGTTTTTTCATTGATCAATCTTTAGATCTGATCTATTTCTAATTAGGTGCACTCCTTGTTGATTATGTAACTGAGTGCAAGGAAATGTGCTTAAATGGGAGCAGTATTGAAATTGTCATCTACTAGAACATAATAAGGTTCTTCTTCGTGTTGATAGTTGATTGCAGATTCATTTAAGAAATTAGCAATGTCATAAGAGGGATAATTATATGAACAATATTCATAATCTATGAAGATGATTTCCTTGTCCTTCTTAGAAGTGTTAAATATATTTAATTAATTCAAATCATTATGGCAGAATTTTAACTAAAAATTATTGTTAATAACAATACCTCTTCATTATTCTCCTTTTGAGTCATTTCATTCAAATAATTGAATTCTTCTTCGTTATTAATGAAGTTTTCAATACATTCCAACTATTCAAGTTCTACGTCTGTGTACAATCCTCGTTTTTCGATCTTCTTGATTACATTTGCCTTCATTTCTCCCGAGAGAGTCTTGTTAATAATGGAAGATTAGCCATTATTGGGTATAGGGATCTCCATCTAATGGAATTTCTACAACACTCCCATAGACTTAAATTAGAAATCAGCTTCAGCCATTTTTTAATTGTTAGGATGTACTCCATCTTTTACAAATTCTTCCATCCTCCAACTGTTACCACATTCCAATTACTAAGGTCCAAGGTCCATGTCAGAAATTGTTTTAAAGATGATCCTCTCTTGTTATGAATCCACGAATCCTTCAGCATTCCCAAATCTAGTTTTAAATGATAAAATTCATTACTCTCTGAACAAGATTGTTTAAGGTGTAGTGTCAATCATGGCCTGAGCTTTGTAGGTTATGTTAGTCAACCCTGTCAATCTAGAAATACAGATGTTTGAAGGAGAGACTGATTTCCATGAAGTGAATTTCTCGGAGATGATTTCTTTGATTGCATATTCTGTAAGATGTGTGCTTCTTGAGTTCATTATTTATTATATATGGATTTTTAAATACAATATCTCAGATATACAAAGGCACAATATTGTTGTAATATTCGTACGTAGATGATTTAAATCTGACGTGTATTTTTTAAACTAATATATTGACAATTATTTTAATGCAAACAATTATATATTATTCTGATTGATATTTAATACTATTTATATTATTGTCATTTTATTTATAATTCAATCACCTATCATATTAATTTCATTTATGAACATAAAGCAGTTCATTTACATTCATTATAAATAATGTGATAAAACCTGTAATTGATTATGTCATACTTATCTTTGTGGAATGAATTCTATTTTACTCACAAAATATAGGTTTAATGTTAAGAACTGTAAGATTCTTAATCAATGACAGCTATCTGATGAAGTTCAAATTATGGAGAGTATACTATTAAAATATGGAAAATAAAAATGCTAATGATAAATATGAGAAAACTAATAAAGACATATGCAATAAAAATGATGATTCATCTCGTTGATGCAATAGATTAAATTACACATTTAATACATGTAATTTAACATTCATATAGTATTTTTGAGAGTTGATTAATTGAATAATGATTAAATGTATTTTGTTGAATTATGTAGCTAATTATTTTAACATTTAATATAATTAATGAATGAAGTTTAATAATTACTTCTGACATCCTTTTCGTGTTCCCCTCATAGATAATAAGCAGAATAATAATTAATATAACATTTAATTACTAATCCTCAACATTTTCAATAATTAGGATTGTTGATTATAGTACAAGATTAAAGTAATGAGATTTCATTTAATCACAGATTCCCTCTAAATAGCCACAGTTTTGAATGCTACAATTAAACTAATGAAATCGAATCAATGTAATATAATATCAAAATATTTAGAATTGATAACTCAACTTTATAAGCAAACCTTATTCGAAATATATACAAATCTAAATGTTCCCTACAATTGCAAGTATCTAATAAAATCAGCAATTGCAGTCTTATTTGAGGAGGATACATGTAAATGCGATTATTAAAATTAGAATATAGTCATCATTTCTAGGAATGCATGTTTCTATATCTGAAGGATCAAAGATCAATTATCTTATCAATCTAGATTTTCAGATTATTAACTGATGCAATTATCTATGCTGATGTTGTGGATCAAAATAAATATTCTTGGTACATTGACTATATTGAAAAAGTAAGCAAAATCATGAATTAATCCTTTAACTTAGAAAATGATTATCTAATTTACTTTAACTTTTTGGAATGCTTTGAAGGAATGCTCTTTCGCTTTTTCAAATATGATCAACAAAAGTATTTGTTCTTCCAAAATTTCATACTTCAAAATCAGGAACTGAGCAAACTATTCATTAATATCTTCTCATTCCAATCTTAGAATCATTTCATCTAATGTTAAAGCAATTCAACAATATAGAATGTTAAAATATTGACTCTGAAATGTTATAAACATATCATAATTAGAATGCTCTCCAGCAGGAATAAACAACAATTGCAGATATTCCCAATTTATCAATAACTAAATCAATTAATTCTATTTCTGATTCAATCCTTGCAAATCACAATTTCAGAAGAAGTGACTGTAATCATATTGGAGATTCTGTCGACAACTATAAATCAAATAGAATTCTATAATATCTACTAAAACTATTATCAATAGTTGATTGTCACTCATTTGTATTCTTATTTAGTGTATTCATCCAAACAGTTATCACTGCTATATAACGAACCCTTAGACTTTATTTAATAAGAACTTAGTTTTGATAGTTAAAATAAACTTTAATCACTTCATAATCAAACCCTGGATTTGATTCGAGCCTTGATTACTCACATAGATGGAGCTTATTCATTTTTATCCTCGAGTGCTTTTGTGTTATTTAAATATTCAATAAATGAAATACTATCGAATCAATTATTCATCATAACAGAACAAGAATTCAATCACATTAAACTATTACAAAATAAGTAACTGTTTATAATACTTAAGCTCAATCTTTTATAATTATGATAGCAAATAACGATTACAAATATCTCTCATCATTCTAATCATCATCTAACCTAATCTAAACACCAGATACGATATACAGGAATACTTGGCAATTATCATATAAAACAGTTACCAAGTAGTTCTCCAATGTTAAGATGAGTTAATCCAAATACTTTTCACTAAATTAATCGGCGAAAGCTATTCTATTCTGAAATCTACAGTGAGTTAGCTATTTTATAAACAATTCCTTGAGAACATAGTCTAACTTGAACAGTTTAATAAACTGGCCTTATTCTACCAATAAATCAGCACTATCAATTTGATTATCTCTTCAGATGAGCTACCTGGATTCGTAGAGAAAAACAAACTGTTCGATGAAATTATCTAAAAATTCTCATCCTAAATATCTTGCACCTGCGATATTCGAATCCTACAAATGATTGAAGAATGGGTCTCTACCTATCAATTTTAACAGAACACAATCCAACTCATTGCATAGCACCTCGCTTAGAGAATTTATTAAGAATAGACTAATATATATAACAATCAAATAAATAGAGAAATATTTATTGAATTATCATGGAATATCCTTCATTAAATCGCAAATCATTATAATTATTTTGACTATTTATTGAGTGTTGAAAATCAAATAGTTCAACTCTATAAACAAGTTAAAGAAGAAGAATCTGTCTAATATACAGAAAAAATGATTCCATTCGTCTCAATCATAATACAGAAATTAAAAAGAGTAACTATGGATCAAATATCCCTGTTGCCTAAATTTGAAAGAATCCTCTAATCGTAAAATTACTCATTTTAATCTTTATTTGAACTTTTAAACAACTACATGTATTATGGCAGGGAATATTTCATTAATGAAACAACTTAATCAATTGTAAAATTATAATGTTGTATTTAGTACTTCCATTTGGCCTTATCGAATATTGTGTCTAATTTGAATTCCACATTAGATAAGTGCGAAGGAGCCTTGCTGATTCAATTAGGAATTCAATGTCTCAGGAATGATCTTAACGAAAACATTCTCAGACAAATCTTTGATCATTCATATCAAATTATCAAACAATCCAACACTGATGAATTATTAGCATCCAGAATTAAGTGTATATTCCTAAGTGCATTACTGACAATCAAATCACTTTCCGAAAAAATAATAGGAACCAACTAAATGCAAGGTATTCAATAGGAGTTATATGAAATGAATTATTCTGCCGGTTACGATGCTAAGTTATTCATCATCTATTATTCTAATGCAATACTCTAGAATCCTGAAATCTTATTGACTACTGGTTGTAATATCGTATCAATGCTATCGTATCAATTGGAATAACAGAAGGAAGAAAAGTTTGAGAACTTTGATGGCTGTTCCTCCTCAGGTTCTGAAGCTGATGATCATTGTTATGAAAACTTTACAGAGGAGAAGAGAACTCTTGAAGAATAAATCACAAAATTTAAGAGTGGATATGTTAGTGTTGATGAATTTGAAACATTTAAATAGGCTATTTATCAATTAAAAGCACATCATCCTAATATCATTGCATAATTCAAACAAGGTCTACATTTCTTCACCTCAAAAAAGCTGTAATAGATGTTATCAGTAACCAGAGCCTAATACGAATAACCTAGACAAGTATATAATTGTGTATTACATAATAGATGATAAAAATAGCAAAACGAAAAAATCATTGAATGTTTTGATGTAGAATGATTATATAATTAGTATTTATAAATACAATTCATATTTTATAGTACATTTATTTCTACCCATATTAGTTGAAAAGTGATTCAAATCAACAAATTTATTGTCTATAGTCTAATATTACAACAAATATCTCTTTAATTAACTGTCAAATTGATAAATTAACATCAATACTTAATAAATTTAATTACATTAATAAGTGATATCATTTATGCACTTAACATTAAATTTCATTCCTATGGCAATTCTAAATCTATTAAACTTTAAAGTTTTTATTATCCTTATCTAAGTCATCTTAATTGAATTAATGCAATATAATGAATCATTCAATTCATTTTCAGAATGTCAGACTGTTTAAAAATTCACTTTTTAAAAATCAAAGTTATGAAGAAAAAAGTCCTAAAAAATAATTATGAACTAATTCTATGTGTCATCTAATAATTAAATAGGATAAGAATGTATTATAACAATCAAATCATAACTTTACACTCAATAATGATGTGCACTTCTTCTCTATAGTATTTAGTTCGCGCCTAAACACAATTTCACTTTTCTTATTGTCTTTCTTGTCATTCCATTTTATGGCTTAACTTCAAGCTTGAGATTTTTTAGCATTTGCTTAATTTCTAACTCAGCATTAATTTATCCAAATTCTGTATCTTGCAAATCAAAACTTTTTAATGGCATCTCCATTTATTTTTCAAGCTTGATTTGATTTAAATAAAATAAATCTCAATTTTATAAAACAACTGGATTTAATACAATGCAGACAACAATTAAAATATTACAATAATATTAATTATAATGCAAACAATTGCATTTTTTAAAGATGAAGATCTCAAAGAAACCTTTGCCAACTAAACTTCAATGTATATCTCTATGTAATAAACTAGAATATAGACTCTATAGCATGCATAATTGGAAGTGAGCAAAATAAATGAAAAATCTCCATAATTGAGGAAATAAGCTGAAATGAATTTTGATATGGCTCAACATACAATAACTCGTTTGGCCGATGACCTAAAGGCTATTCATAAATCTATAAATAGAATAAAGGAATTAAATCAACTAATCGATGAATAAAAAAAAAAATAATGAAATCAATATAAAATGCAATTTAAAAACTCAGATTTTTAAATAATCAATTCTCATCCTCTCTCTCATCCCAAGAAACAAATACACAAAATTAAAATTCCTCTTTGTTTTTGTTGGAGTATCAATTCTATAAATTAATATTACACATAATTTAATAATGAATTAAAAAAATATGTGATTTATAGACTTTGTCTATCCGTTAGAATAGGTGACAAATCTCAAAAAGAAAGTTACAATATCGAGGAAGCCAGATGTTTATATTTCACTATTTATTAAAAATGCATACTTGAAATATTGACCTTTACACTATTTATATTTAATATTATGTAGATCGTGAATTAAACTTGATGATAGTGATTCCTTAAAGACAATAATTATTTTTTATTTACAACTTTATATCTTCAAAATGTTTCCTTTTGCTTTTATTCCTCAAGACTTATAAAGTACGAAAATATCATACATCTCTAGGTTCTTTCAACTTTTGTTAACCTTTATATTAATTTCCATGGATGTATCCTTATTCTTAGTATGGAAACTTCTCGGCCAACTATTTGCCATAGTTTCCAAGAATAAACTGCAGCTTTTAATAGCCTGAGATTCACAGCCAGCCAAACCAAATAACGACGCCATAAATTTAAGGAAAGTCCTCAAAAACGTTTCAGAGATCTTTTTAAAATGAACCCATTGAAACGCCGACTAGTATTGATCACAATTAATCCATCAATATGCCCGTACCTATTTTGAACAAAAAGAAAAAGAAAAAATCCACTAAAAGCAAATTCTTTAAAAAAGGTATGTTATTGGTTTTAACTGAGAAAGGCCATTGGACTAATAAAGAGCATAGACTATATATATAGTTTATTGAGAGTCACAAAGAGATTATGTCAGATTCAGATTAGAAGAAAATGAATAAAATATTTAAACAGATGTCAGATTTCCTAAAAACTAGATCTGCAAGCCAATGCCGATCTCATCATTAGAAATTCAATCCATATGAGTTAACAGGTTTGAGTGCTGTGAAGAATTCAAGCGAATTTAAGATTGTTAATGAATGATATAAAAACGATGATATATAAAAAATTTGAAAATATTTATGAACTATCCCAAATTTACCAAAAAAGTATGCATTACTCTAATATAAAATGCATTGATGATACCATCCAAAGAAAATCTGACAATTACTAGATATAATAAAAAATAACATGCATATTAGGAATATTGAGCAATTTTGAATTATGTGGAGTATATAATTATTAAATTTTAACATTTATAAGAAAAAATTCTAATGGCAGATAGCTTTAATTCAAGATAAAGTGGATAATTTTATAATTTTGTGGGCACTGCGGGTACAGCCGATTTCTAGGCTGGATCTGGTTAGGAATAATAGTTAATAATAATATTTCTATTTTAGATTGAGTTTTGGTAAAAACTATTTGGGGTATGGTGATCAATTAGCGGGGAGTTTCTAGAATAATTATTTGCAATATCCTGCCTTGGATTAAGATATGAAAAATAGTCTAGATCAATTTTACGAAATGAAAATCGACGATGTTGACAATTAGTTGATTTAAGAAGAGTCATCAAATTAATCGAGACAGAAGTAATCAATACAATCAGAAAGAAATAGTCGATCCCAATATTCAGGAGATCAAGAATATAGATTAGGTTAGCCTTCAAAATTTATACATAGAATCGGCTGACTAAATCAATAGTATATTTAAACCTGAAGTAAAATTGCAGATACCTCAAAACTAAGGCAAGAGCATATATAGAGAAAAGATAGAATCGTTATTAGAGAAAAGAACTTCAAACAACAATTCTGTGTCTCCATCAATAACACCTAGATCATCAAAAAGTTAATAAAAACTAGAGAGAAAGAGATCGTAGAATTTACAAAATGAAACATCAAACGAAATTGGTGACCCTACACAAGTGAAATTGGCAAAGAATAGAGAATCAGCCAAGAATTCAAGAGAGAGAAAGAAAATATATCAATAATTGCTTGAAAAGTAGGTTGCTGAACTTTAAGAAGAAAACGAAAAACTAAAGGATATATGCAAGAATTAAGCTCATTCTATGGAGATAGTAAATAAAAAAACTTAGAAAGTAAGGTATCTTAATCTCTACGATAGTTTTAAACATTTTTAGAGCAGCAATAGCAAATGTTTGAAAAATTGGAATTATGTATAATAAAAAAAGTTAGCGATGACGAAATCGGTATCATCATGGATGCATTGAGATATAGAATTCAATCAAATTCAAAGGAAAGAAATGACACGGCAAGAGTGTACTTTGATAGCATAGCTGAAATCTTATTGCCAATGTAGGTTAAGTATTTGCTTTATGCATGTTCACATTCAAAGGACATGTTTGCGAATTCTGACTAGTATTACATTTTTTATCTTTTAAGGGATTACACTGACTGGATGAAAGGTGGTTTTGAAAATACAAACGTTAAATTTGAGAATCTCACAAAACTGAAGAAGTTTCAAATGAAGGTGTAATAGTTAAAATCAAATATTTCAGGGTTTTTTAATTATTAATTATTTAGTTCTTTAGATAAAATTAAAAATGAAATCAAATCGATCTAGGATCAAGCTTCTAAACTGGACCAAGTTTGGGATTCTCTAAAATCTGTTCTGAACCCTTTGTAGTTGAGCACAATGATTTGTTCACTCTATCATGTAAGTTATCAATGAGTAATCTTAGAATTTATATAGGAATGAATTATAAACAAGTACTCTATTTGATTAACTGCGAAATTCGTAGGCTGAAGAGGATGATTTCTAGTTTAAGATTGAAGAAGAAATAAATTTTGGTATAAATAAAATGGTTAAAAGGTGTTGAGAATTAAACTTATTTATTAAATTATTATTTTTGTGTCAGTAGTATAGATTAATGTCTGAATAAAAAGTAATTTCTATCTTTGATTTTGGAAAAACCAGGAATAAATTTTGGTAAACATGTGATAAATCTGTATTGGATGTAACCTATTTCATTTTATAACAAGTCTCAAACATTTTTAGTTGAATAAGAATTTTTGACTGCAGGCAAAGTTAGTGTCAAACCCATCTTCATAGTACTTGGATTGGAATACATTTATAAAGTAACTGTCGACAAATTGTAATGTGCACCTCTCCTCACTACTCATTTGACATACATTGAACCAGGAGCTGATCATTTCGTTTAATTGAATTCTGATGAGCAACTGTATGGATTTAGATTGCAAAACTAAACCAAGACATTAGAGATCTTTCTAGCTGATAAGTCTGTTTATGATTAATGGAGAATCCATCTTCGAAAAATATGTCTGCTTGAGAATTTCCATGATGCTTACATGGTCTCTAAATTGATTGGAAAAGGAAGTTTTGCCAAAGTATACCTTGCCACCAGAAAAGACAACAACACTTAATATGCTATCAAGGCATTTAGCAAATCTTTTATGCAACAATAACACAAAGGAATTGAAAGTCTCTTGAATGAAATGAAAGTGATGAGGAAATTAAACCACCCTAATATTGTCAAATTGCATGAAGTACACGAAACAGCTAATTCTGTTTATTTTGTGGTCGATATTGTGGCAGGAGGAGAGCTCCTCTAAAGAGTTAGAGAAACAGGTATTGTAAATTTAAATTCTTTAGGTTTTTTACCTGCTGAAACATTATAAAGATTAGCCTACAACCTATTATCAGCTTTAAATCATATGCATCAATTTAATATTGCGCATAGAGATCTTAAACCTGAAAACCTTCTACTTAAATCTTATGAAAACAATCATGAAATAATCTTAGCAGATTTTGGATTGGCAGCATTGTTGTAGGATGACAATATTTTATTTAAAAGATGTGGTACTCCTGGATTTGTAGCTCCAGAAATTCTAGAATATATTGATGGCTAATAATTTTACGATGAAAAATGTGATGTTTTTAGTGCTGGAATTATTTTGTATCTATTAATTGTAAGCAATTTAATTGACTTTAGACTGGAGGGTAGCCATTCACAGGTAAAGATTAAAAAGCCATTTTGAAGGCAAATAAGGATTGTATCATTGATTTTGATGATTCCTTATTTAAATCCGCTCCTATACAAATGTAAGATTTGATACGATCCATGTTGCTAAAGAAAGCTTAGGATAGATTGAGTTCGAGTGAGGTAGAAATTTACATAATTAAATTAGTGTTTAAGACATCCTTATTTTAAAGAATTAGCAAAAGAGCATTAAGTAAAATAGGAGAAATTTTCAAATAATTTAAATGACTACAATTAGTAATATAAGAATAATGTGAAAATGGGTTCAATTGATCTGAATCTAGAATAAAGATAGCCAGCATTCACAGGAAATTTGAATTCGATTGAATCCATATCTTGTGTTTCTAATAATTCATTTGCCAAAATAGAAATGAAAGCTCCTTCTGTGGTGGGAGCTTCTAAATTTAGTTAATATAGCTCTAAACTAAATAGATTGGGATCTAGAGATATATCTGGTAATTAGTTAACATAAATTTATAGACATCCCAACAACCTAATTATAGAAAACAGAATCAAAGAAACATATTGATTTACATAGGATTGCTATACAAAATTCACACAGAAAATAGTTTTAAGATTAATTTGAGGATCAGCCTATTTAAATAGAAGGATCGGAAGTCAGCGAAATGGCAAGATTGTACAATTCAACAAGATAAATTCGAATCCCTGAAAACTTGCCAACCTTGTCTTAATCTAGTAAATAAGCATCTACTCCAACTAATAGAAACAAGAAGATTCCTTGAATGCTTTTTTTCATTCAAACGTTATTTATTTCAGAAATTATTAATAATTATATTTGTAATGTCCTTCTTAGGCAAAAGTCAAAAAAATAGGAGTAACAAGTAATCACAATTTAGGTGAATTGCCAAAAGATTTTGCAGAATAGATATTGAAGAATGATATAACATTAATGATGAGTAAATATTAAGATAGTATGGCATTGAATAATCTTATCCAATTGTATATGGTATCAATAATCATATGAAACAATCAGAAAGGAGTTGAGTATTACGAATCTCAGAAGGACTAAAAAAGTGAGTATTTCAAAAGTAAGTTGAATTGGATTATGAGTCATCCAATTATCATATCTCCAAAAAAATAAGAGGAGCAATTAGATAAAGAGTAAACAAAAAAAATTGATTTCAAGATTCATACTAATTTTGAATAGATTTAGCATTATGAAGATGTGACTTCATTCGAAAACCCCACAGAAAAATCAGAAATAGATACTCAATTGAATAAAGCCATAATCCCTATCCAAAACAATGAAGTAAAGTAGATGATCGATAATCTGAAGATGGAAACAACGAAAATAAATTAAGTTTTAAATCTATTATAAATAGATTATCCAAAATGATCTTGATTCACAAAAAACTAAAATTGCAGATAGAATACACAAACGAAGTAAAAGTTTTGTAAATAAAAACAAATACGATCAAGATGAATGAAAATTTTTATATTATAATGTAATAAATTTACATCTATTTCTAATATCCTTTATTACAGATATTAATATCTAATCATCAATATTTTTTATAACCAATCTGAGCCCTTCCATATATATGTGGAGTATTGAATAAATGCAATAAGCTGTCTTTTGAAACTACTTGATTTCCACTGTTCTCATTTACAAATTAGTCTAATTGATCCATTTACTATTGCTATTATTATTACTATTATTGTTAATTCGCAAACTTTTTATTTAAATTTTAGAGTTTTTGCTTCTTTGGATCATCTCCAATTGCCTTTTATTACTGATATCCAAGTGCCAACTTTTATCCTCCTAATTCGTCAATGTATGCTTAATAACCATCAGCTCCATCAACCAAGGCTTAAAAACTCGCAACTCCACCTGGCATATAAGGTATTGCTGAGCCATCTGGTCTTATATCATCAACTGGTTTTCCTTAAGCAAGTCTCTCATCTCTGGTTTCAATAATAGTCACATGATCGTTATATTTTAAACCACAAGTACATAGCCAACTACTTTAAAACCTAGTGTTGCATCCGCATTATCCTTTAGTACATTTTTTTGTGATTGGATCATGTTCTGTGTAAGAATGATGGCAAACACATTTCAGATCTTGGGATCCAAAAATGGGAATGTAATTAAACTAAGGGCAACTGCATTGTTTATTTTTGCAAACAACCTATTATAATTAATAGAACTGTACTTTTTTATTTTTTGGCATCATGTATTCATGTTCTTTGAATCTATGTCCACAAAAGCACATACTAGCTGGACCAATTTGTTTGCATTCCATTCCTTTGCTGTTCTTCCAAGTCGCATAGACACGATTTTTGATATTCTAATTATTTTAATTACTAAACTTCTTATTATTTCTTTTTTAAGGCTTCATACTCCTTCTCACTTAGTAATGGTCCTCCATTATCGCCAACTACATTGCAATAATCAATGTATGCTTGTATGTGTTGAGCAGCCTAATTATTAAATACAATTCTCTCTGCCATTATATAATTTAATGATAATTTAATATTAATGATATTGCTTTTAGATTAACCCACAGGAATAATCATTTTAAAAAAGTTAAAATTTAGATGTATAAATAAATTCTTATTAACCTAGAGTGAAACTAATATAAAATTCAATATTTAATTAAAATGATTGAAGAAAGAATGATAAAATGTGAAAAATAATTTCCAGCAATTTTAGAATCATCTCATAACATTTAAAAAAACTATCCTCAACCCAGGTAAACAAAAAGAGGTAGTGGCTACTTAAAAAAAGAAGAAATAAAAAGTGAACAAGTTTAAAGTTTAGCTGCTTAAAAAAAAAAATCCCTCCAATTAAGAACCTCTAAGTGTTCATAATAGGACCTCAAAAAGGGAGGTTAATTTGGAAAGAATTAACCTGAAAAAATCCTATCACATACAGGACACACTCTAAATGAAGCGAAATTTTTGATATCATGGAAACATCTAGGAAGCACAAAACCATCAGATTCATATCATCCTTATTCTTTGATCATACAACACAATCCCGAAATATTATTAAATTATTTTGAAGAAAATGATTAATATATAATTATTGAATGATTTCATCATTTATTTCTAAGTGCTATGTCCAAATTACTTCTAATTAAATCAGAAAATTATTTTGTATTGATGAAGCTAATGATTAATAAGAAAGAGTACTTAATTGCTTATTCACCAAGTTATTATTCAGTTAAATACATATTTTTTAGATCCTAAAATATTGCAATCTCATAAGCAAATGCTTCATTTTCATCTTATCTTTGTTGAGCATATCTTTTAACATCATCTCTTCTCATGTCTTAAAAGTCCTCCTCCACTTTTATCTTTTCTAATTAATAGTTATCTAATAAAGCTACATTAAATTGTATTGATTGAGAACATATTATCGGCAATTTATTATTGGAAGATTGAGTGTTCTTTTTCTAATTAAGCCTTTCTTTTTTCATACAAAGATGTTTGAGTTTTATCATGAAACAAGTCTTCATTGTACTGATCTTAGACCGCCTATTTCACTTTAACAAGCTTTTGCCTTATCTTCTTAAGTTGTTTCATATTCTCAAAAGTTGGTACACTCTCTATTAATGCAGCTACTAAAGGATAATTTCCATATCTCTTATTGAGGCATCCGGTAAGTTCTTACACATCTCTTTGAGTTGGGTCCTAATTAGATATTATAATCACATACTCTTTAATTAATATCCAATTCTCCTGAAATGAACTTTTATACAATGTCCAATGCTTTGTCTAAAATCTTCAATGCCGTCTAATGATCAGTAACTAAAAAAATACTGAGACTTCACGTACTCTTTTCCTCATATTATTTGCTATTAGTTTAATGCATCAAATCTTCCCTTTGAATGGCTACTCTATTTTAACTCACGAAGTCTTGTAAAGATGACTGCTTGTTATTCAATTAGACCTATTTAATAGATATGAAAACATACAAGTTAGTTTTTAAGTACATTTTCCACTAGGTTAATGCTGTTACTAATCTCAATTTAAGCATTTCCCAATAAAACATCTAAATCATCAATTATTTTTTTATGTTATGCTGATCTTTAAAAAAAGTCTTAGGACACTTCCTCTTACATTTCTTTTAAATCCTCACTCAAATCTTGAACTGCAAAATCCAAATCAACTAAAAACTAAATTGCATAAATTACCTAAAGGTCGTTCCAACATGCTTGATAATTATGCGAATGTTAATATAAATTTCGACAGCTTTCCATTTTTTAACTCATCCACTTTCTACTCATCTAATTTTGGCTAAACAGGTAATCCCAATGACACGGAAATTAGAACTGTTAATAAAATTCTCTTCATTATTACCGTTTTTATATTTATAATAATAATAAAAATATTTTAGGGTTGTCTTACGGAATGTATTATTACACTCATTTCATTAGATCTTGCCATTTAACTAATTGATTAAATGAATATGAGAGATCTTGCACTTAGTATGTTTTATTTGAAAAGATTGGAACTATTATACTCATTATTCATTAAAATTTTCAGATTCTTTGATATTGTATTAACTAGACATAGATATTTAACCAATTTAAAAGTTCTAATTAATATTCAAATAAAATTTTTGTAAATACTAAATTATATCTTAGGATAATTAAGTTATCGTTGTTGTTTAAAGGAGTCTCAAATTTTTACTCGCAATTGAATCCTACTGTCCCGTTAATATTATTACATCCTAAAATTTTAAATATACTAGACTAATTCCTCATACACATAATAGTAAAACTTTTTATCCTAAAACAAAAAAAAATTATCGTTTGAGAATATTTTGTAATATATCTTTACAGGAAGTTATAGAATTTGATTATTCGATATTAAATCAAATGATTCTTAAAAAGAAGTCAGAAAGAACTGGAACTAGCAATATAAGGCGAAATTTCTGTCAGGTTGAACTTTATGTTTTCTAAAACAAAATCCTAAGAATAAAAAGAGAATTAGCACTTAGATATTCTAGTTACTTTATTAATCATCCAACCTAAGTGTGTTTTCATAAATCTCTGAGACTTACTCTAAGTTATATATATCAATTTTTTTTCTATAATTATAAAAATTGATTGTAACAATATCATCCAACTTGGTTCGTTTTAATTTAAATAAAATCCAGATTTGACTAAATTCTCAGTTTAAATAGATTAAGTGATATTATGTTAAACTTGAAACTTTAAACTCAAAACAACTTCCAGGTATTTATTGAATTTATTTCAATGTAGCTCAATTCAAGAGTATCATGTAGACTACATTAGTTTAACTAATATTTGTTCTTATATGTAAATTCCACTAAACTTAATTTTGAAATTTTTATTAAGGGATCAACTTTATGCTTATGTAAATTTAATTGTTTATTTATGAGAATGACGAATTAGGCTCTAATCCTTTTCTTCTCATTTTAAACAATTTTATCATTCAAACTTTCAGCAAACTTAATCTTGTACACTATATTCTTTTCATCGTAATGACTATGATGTATTTATATAAAAACAAAAATCTAGCTAAGTAGAGATACTCCCATAATTTTCAGCTGCTCTCTCATAAATTTTTCACAAGACTCATCATCTATTGCATTAATATTCAGAAGATTTCCAATTGGTATGTTAAAACATTATAATTTATTTGTATAGTTTTATCAGTAGGACCAACTCTCTCCAAAGCATTATCAGATGAATTATTGTGAATCCTTTAGACTTGATGTTAAAACAAATGTTCCCCTATTTACCCAGATTTTAAAGATTATTAAGCTATTTGAGTTATTCAACACTACAGTTGATAATTTATAAAGACATAATGCTCGCATGCCTTAGTGCATTGGTAGAGATGATTTGAACAATGAGAAGCAATTGCAGAACTGACACCATTTTCACAACTTTTGATTGGACAAGATCTTCTATATAGTGTAGATTTAACATATAAAGTTTTTAGAATTATAATTGGATTTGTGTGACTATTCCCCATTCTTATTAAACGATTATATTAGCAATAAAAACCTGATAAATAATTCGGATGCTCTCTTAAGAAAGTTGAAGTTTCATCTGTAAATAAACTTGGTTTATTGTAGGATTTCTTACAATTATTGTTTTAAAATACTACTGACCAAAAATGGATTAGAATATTAATATATATCCTAATAAAATTCTGCTCTAAGTTTGAATCGCAATACTATAAAGAAAGTTTAATGAAATTTTGAGGCGCGACTAGTATGTCTTCTAAGATGGCAACTTTGATTAAATATCATAGAAACATAAAAATTAGAAGACAATTTTAGTAATATTACTTAATAAATAATGATATAAAAAATTATATAGTAGTTTTTGCTGAAACTGTGAGAGCAAGTTCAATTTTTTAACTAAAAAAGGGCAGATCTATGTGCTTTAGTCAAAATAAACAGTTAAAATAATTAACTAATTTTTAAATATTTTATGTATTTATAATAGTTACCACAAGATAAAACTTTATAAAGAGTGCTCATATTCAATCAACAGATTTGAAAAGGCATATATAGGTGAGAGGACATTAAGGACAAAATAAACCGATGAACAAATGGCTTTACATGATCACGAAAATTCTGTCAAGTTGTAAAGTAAATAGTTAATTTGTAAGATCAAGAGATATTTTAATCGAACAAAATTATAGGCTTTCCAAAAGTACGACAATGTTTGTAATTAGTTGGTAATTTTATTAGCAACGTTGCAATATGTGAATGATAATTTCTTGTTTGAATATTTAGAAAGTTCTTCTTTATGAAAAATAATTATTATTAAGAATTAATATAATATAATATGATTTTCATATTTAAAAAAAATTGAAAAATTCAGAATTTTCAAAGTTAATATAGAAAATGATTTTTTTAATATTATTGTCTCGAGTTTATAGTTTAAGAGATGCGAAGTTTGAAAAAGGTAATGTTGAAATAATGAACTTCTCTCAATCTCAGCATATATTACAAACCTCAACAGCTCTTCCAAGATTTATTGAAGTTTAAGCTTAAGTTTTTATAACTTCACAGCGTTCAGATTGGGAATACCTTCTTCCTAATGGATTTATGGAGAAAGTTAGCATTATAACAACAACAGGTATTGTATCACTATTAAAAGGATTCAAATTGAGAGCATATGCAGTATCAACATATCCTCTTTACGGAATATCCGTAGATTGGGTTGCATTTGATGATCCAAGGCTTAAGGTAGTAACATTTGAATCAACTGATTTCTAAGCTTTAACATCAGGATCAGGAAGCAGGAGCGTCTAATTCATAATTGAACATCTATTACAAGATGCAACTAAGAGCATTATTGCCTTGATAGGTATCAGACATACATATTATAACTTTATAGTGGAATTAAAAGTAAAACTGATGTATATAAAAATGGTAGATTGAATAACTAAACTCAAAAACAGTTATAGTCTCTGCAAATACATATACCCTAGCCCAACTAAACTATATAAAATTCAATATTCTTTTGGGAACTGATCAATCTTTATGGACATCTCCTGAATTATCTTTTACTCTTGATATGAATGAAAATCACCCATTTATCAGTAGGTCATATTATAATGCTGAAGTGACCTAAACTATTTTATTCCTATAAGAATAATTTAATGATATAGCCTCAGCTACTCCATTAATCGCAAAACGAGGATATGATGTTGATCAAAGATGGAATCCGTGTCAGTTTTTGAATGTATCCTTAACAAATCAAGTTATTAAGGTAGTACTAGGGCTATGTAAAATTATATTTATTATTATATTAAGTATCAATTTTAAAAGGTTATCATATATATAAGAGTACTGATAAAATAGGGAAATGATAAATAAAGAATTATGTAGAAATGCTTAATTATAAAGTAATTGAGATTTTTAT